TGTACGCGCAAATCGAAAGCGTTTTCACCGGAGGAGTAGGTGTCAAAAAAGTAAAAAATCCATAGGACAAAAAAGTTAATCTTCTCTGCAGTGTTATCTTGGAAACAGAAGTCAGGTTACTGGGCAACGAAGATGTAAGTTTTTTGTTATCAGTTTGTGTTACCTGAATTACTGATGCTTGAAAAGGTAGAGGACGCTATATTACAAACAGAATCAGCAGATGTTTCAAAGTTAACAACAAAGGAAACCGTCAAATTGAGTTTGGCGTTTTGTTTCCTTTGGTTTTTTGCGAATTATACGACCAATGCAAGTTTAGCTTATACAAGTGTAGCCAGTAGTACAATCTTGTCCTCTATGTCGGGCATATTTACGTTGGGAATTGGCGCAATGTGCGGTGTGGAAACGCTTAGTATTCCTAAGGTCATTTCGGTATGTTTAAGGTAAATTTGGGAGACAACAAAAATATAATTGTGTGTGTGTGTGTGTGTTCAAGGTTTAAAGATTAGTTTCTCTGGGATTATATTTGTGTCTTATTCCGACCAAATGACAAAACCTGATACAAACGACTTTACCATTCCTGCTCCACTCATTGGTGATCTATTGGCTCTTTGTGGTGCGATTTTTTACGGTTGCTATACAACTTTATTGAAGGTTAAAATCGTGGACGAATCGCGCATCGATATGCCCTTGTTCTTTGGCTTTGTTGGAGCTTTCAATGTATTGTTTATGTGGCCCTTCTTTATCGTCTTGCATTACACGGGCCTTGAAAAATTCGAATTGCCCTTTTCGCCATCTATCTGGGTCATGATCTTGTTGAATGCATTTATCGGCACCTTTCTCTCAGATTATCTATGGTTGCTTTCCATGTTGATGACCTCTCCTTTGGTCGTCACACTTGGTATATCTCTTACTGTAAGTGTACCCCTTTTTAAAAGAGGATATCAACCCGAGTAACGTTTTTATAACAGATACCACTTGCATTGGTTGGTGATGTTGTTTTTAAACATTTCATGCCTGGCCTTCAATACGCGATTGGTGCCACGTTGGTCGTTGCAGGATTTTTCGTGGTGAATATAGCTACGTTATCCGACGTTGATGAAAAGGAATTGATCCATCAGCGTGAAATAATAGGAGAAGATGAAGATGATCTTGATGTAGACGAGACACGTAGAAGAATGGCAAGAGCTTTAAGTATCTCCAACCCTAATAGAAGAGCAAGTAATGCTTCAGGATTAAGTGCTCATCCTTAACAACAAAAAGTAAACGAAAAATCTCCCAAAGATCGCCCTTTCTTGTAGATACTTAATAAAAAGCATGTTCCGTAGTTTATTGAATATTTAAAAAAAGCTAATTTATACAAGGTAAGCAGATAGGTATTTAATGTTTGTATGGTCGCTCATCATCCAAATCATCGTCTTCTCTCTCTCTCTTAAGTGAAATTCTCTCTTCATCATCCGACATATCATACTCATCTTCATCGTATGAATCCGGCATGTCGTCATCATCATCAGAACCCAATATTTCATCCATATCTTCGCCTAAGACAGCATCCATATCTGCACGAAATAGCTCATCCTCTTCTAAATCATCCAAATCCTGGTCTTCCTCAGGCTGTTTTGGTATTGAAGGAGCCTTTCCATTTGTCTTTTCCACGTTTTTTTCGTCTTCGTCATCCTCTTCGTCATCGCTTCCTAACGCTTCATCCACTTCATCATCCTCCCAGTCAAACTCGATTTCTAAAAGCGTAGATTCTGGATCCTCTATTTCAGGCTCGGGTGGTGTGACATCAGCCATTGGTAATAAATATTCTGTCTCATTCAATCGTTCCCAATTCCAAACCGAGTCGGTGATCCATGCAGGTGTCACGATTTTGATATTTCCATGTTTCCTTGCTGTCAAAGCTTTATCTGTACCAGGCTGTTTCATGTATGAGTTTCATTCCATTAAAGAAGAAAGTAAAAAAAAAAAAAAAAAACTTACATTAGCAGCAATTAAATGGGTCACTTTTCCTGTTAATTCATGAAAGCAATTCGCTCCAAAGGAAGTCGCCATACGCCAAATCCAAGAATCTTCAGGCCGTGTCTGATGAAGTGGGATGATGCCAGAAAAAACCACGTTCACATCTCGTAAAACTTTTCGCTTTAACGAGTTTAAAATAATGGCCACGTCAGGTTTTTGGTTACGCTTCAAGAGGTCGTTAAAGTATATATTATGTACATCGAATAATGTCTATTGAAGAAAGGGGTCAGTCTGCGTTTTTTTTTTTTTTTTTTTTACTTTAAACAACATATATGCGCCTAGCTTTACCTTTCGTATGACACGAAGAGTATCATCGGCATCATGTGTGTTTGGCAAATGGGTGTCCTTTTGAATCCTTGCAGGAACTTTAAACACGGCATCATCTTTTGGAGGTGGATATTTAGGTGCGTTCTCTTCATCATCCTCTGTATCTGAATAAATATCCGCACTTTCTCCATCATGGTTCTTTTCCGATGAACTATCCGTATCCTCTATACTGTTTGTGCCCACACTTTGGCTGCCTTCCTCCTCTTTTACTGCTGGGACGTCGTCTTTATCCTCTTTATCCTTCTCGGCGTGAGCTGTAATGTTATTATCATCGTTCAGCCTTATCGATGATTCGTCTACCTCCACTTTAACCTTTGGTTCTGCATTATGATGTGTCTCTTCTTTATGATTTGCCTGCACAATGTGATTTGGATCCTCATTGTGCTTTGGTTCTTCGTTATGATTTGACTCATCCTCATGATTTGGTTCCTCTTTAATATGGAGGTCTTCTTGATGATGGATTGACGTTTCTTTGTGGATTGGCTCTTCCTTGATGTTTAACCCATTTTCGTGATTTGCCTCATCCTTGTGATCTGGGTCCTCTCGATCATTTGCAGCATTCTTCTCGTCGCTGGTATTCGTGTGTGGTGCGGTAGAAGACTGTTTATGTACAATTGTTTTGGAGAGAGATTCAGCGGATGGTATAATGTCCTTTTTGGGTTGAGCAAAAGGCGAATTGATGTCACCGATACCAATAAAGTACTCGTAAGGTTTGATCTGGATAAGGTTACGAGAGTAATCCCAGACATCTCCACGATCATCGAGTACAACAACCTTGGATGTATCTGAAGGGAACAAGCGTTCGAGTCTCTTTTTTGTCATACTACCATTTTCATCACGAGATAGGATTCTGTCCTGGAAAAGAGTACCATCAGGGTCAATTTCTCTCACAACGGCTTCAGCATAGGAACGTGTGCCCATCGTGTAGATATGCATTTCGTATTTTTTAGACACATCTTTGAGGAATTCAGATAGTCCTGGTCTAATTTCACTTGTGTTAGTGCTCTGTGTGTCTAGAATGGTACTTGTGGGTATACCTTAATTTAATGGAGTAAATTAACGGACTACCGTCCAAGGTGAATTGCCTGATATCTTTGACAGACTGGCTATCTGTTTCTTTTCGTTCTTTGACCCAGTCAGCAATTGAAGGTTCCCATGTTGCATGTAAAATAGTCTGATCCAGATCGACGATTAAAGAAAGCTTTCTTGCCTCTAATAATCTTTTTGCATCCTGTTGTTCCAGACGTTTTGCCTCCTACTCTAAAAGGTTAAACAACGGAGCATTCGTTTCGAAGGGTTGTGCTTACGTTTAAGCTGACAGTGATGCCAGTGTCTTTGTGTGTCATTTTAATTTGATCGACTTGTGATTCTTCCCTACATAAACTCTCACGTTAGGTATTTTTTATTTTTTTATTAAATAAAGGGGAAAAAAAAGTAATTTACTCGTCTTGAATGACGTTGCCGCAAACAGCACATAAACCGCCAAACTTGACTTCGTGTAAGCAATAATCACAGGAAGCGTTTGTGCATTTTCCACCGTCTAAATTTTCGTGTTGGCAAGACATCTTTAAAGGAAGCGTGTTTAAATAAGAAACATTTTTTCTCCTCTCTCCTTTTGATCATGTTTTTATGGGAACCTTTTTTAACAGTCACTCTTTGAAACAAGGAAAAATAAAATATAAAAAAATGCATTTTTTTTTTTATTTGGGTAAAGTTTTTTGACAGCACATACTTTTTATACATAACAATGTCAACCGCTTTTGACGCTTTCGTAACTGTACACCAGTACCAATTGGCCTCTATTCCCGAAGAATTATGGCAGGTAATATAAGCACTCTTTTGCTTCAAAAAAAAAAGGACGGTTTTTAACCGTGGTTTCTTTGTAGCCTCTCTTTATGAAACTCGGCGAAGACTACTTGGACGCAGGTAAGCTAACCACTGAAAGAGCTTTTCAACAAGCGTTAAAACATAAAGGACAGGTAATTATGCTGAACTTCATCACGGTGATCCCATGGACGGCTATTCTCTCCACGTCAAAGCCGATAAAACCTTGAAAAAGCACAGGTATGCAAAAGTAAAGTATATTTTGACATTGGCAAGAAACTAATGTTCATTATAAAGTGACATCTTTCTCATTGATCATGCTTGGACCACTTCTCCCGAAGAAGCCAAGAAAGAGTTGCGTGCAAATCTTACTTTGATGGACCGTCTTGAGAATTTAATGGATATAGAACCTTTGGAAGCGCCTGTAGACTCGGAAGGCGAAGACTCTGATGGAGATGACGAACCCAGTGAAGAATTGATTGAACTCGTTGCTTCTCAGGCCAATGTATCTGTCAAGGAGGCTGAAAAGGCTCTTAGAGCTGAGAATAATGAACTGGTCAATGCCATTATGCGTTTAACCATGAGTGCTGAAGATCAAGCTGAATCTGACCGTTTAGATGACTTGGTCATGACCCAAATCTTATCTAGTGGTAAACCTCAAGAGAAGGAGGAAAAGGAAAAGGAAACTAGACGTGAGAGAAGAGAGGCTAGAGAAAAGGAATGGTTGGATCAACGCGTAGATACCATCTATAACAGAATGTGGTCTTATATTCAAACTTATTCTTACTCCATCCTTAAAACCGATGGTCAACCCACTGCTCAAACTGCTTGGTATATCACTGACGAGGTAGGATCTGCTATCTGTCATTCCTCTGACCCTAATGTAGTCGTCTTGCCCTTTATCTTTTCTCGTGGCTCCTCAGGTATGATCCCTTACAGTGTCTTTTTCCCCGTCAAGGATATTCCTGCTGGTGAAATTATCACCTGTGATCTTGTGCCCAAGAATCTCGAGCGCGACTCTGATAAGCTCGCTTACCTATTTGCCTTTGAAGACCGTGTTCTTTTGGACAGCGAGATCCAGACCAAGCGTGATCAATTAACTAAGCTCTATAGTGCTAGACAAGCAGAGTTAAAGAACAAGACATTTACACCACCTGCAGGAAAAATCTTGTCTTCCCAAGAAGCTTTAGAAGCCCTTAAAAAGGACGGCGAAAGCGTCTCCAAGAAGGACACTATTACTGTCTGCACGGATACTAGTTTTGTTCAACAATTTTTGAAATTGGACAATGTCAAGTTTACCAATAATCCTGCTTCAGCTGATATCGTTTGGACCAGTCAGGATTTCCAAGGTTGGGACTCTCTTGAACCCCATCAAACTGTGAATCAATTTCCCAATGAGAAATGTATTACATTCAAGCACAACATGGCTGAATTAATCCAGTAAGTTATCACTAAATCATAATAACTTGAATAATTTTATCACTGATACAAAAAAAAAAAAAGAAAAACCTATGGTGCTCCCGACTGGTATATGCCTACATATAACATCATGACCCAATTAAGTGAATTTGTTGGGGATTATCTTAATGTAAACAATCCATTTGTAAACATTTATTGTTTCTTCACTAATAATTTCAACTTTTTATTAGACTGAAGATGAACAAAAGACAAACCTTTGGATTACTAAGCCTTGGAACATGGCTCGTGGTTTGGGTCTTGATATCACTGGTAACCTCTCTGAAATTATCCGTCAACACGATAATCCTATCCCCAAGATCGCTCAACGTTACTTGTTATCCCCTTGTCTTTATAAGGGCAAGAAATTCGATTTACGTTACATTGTACTTGTACGTCGTACAGACCCCCACTTGGTTGCATGCGTTTACAATATGTTCTGGACCCGTTTGGCCAACAAGAAATACAACTTGGAAGATTTGAATGATTACGAGTGTCAATTTACCGTGATGAATTACTCCAAGTATGAAATGACTCAGTTGGATTACAAGAGCTTTATTCATAATATGGAAAAGGAACATGATATCAAGTGGGACACTGTTCAGAAGGATATCAACAATGCTATGAAGAGTAAGTGTGCTTACAAAGATGATGGGAAGGATTAAAACTTAAATTGATTATGTAAAATCTAGATGTACTGGCTGCTGCCGCATGCACACCTCAGCCTTTAGGTTTGGCAGGAAGAGATACAACTAAATTTGACGCTTTCAGTATGTATGGTTTCGACATTATGTTGACGGATGATTTCAAACCTATTGTGGTCGAAACCAACTTTTCACCTGATTGCACAAGAGCCTGTCAATACGATCCTGAATTTGTCAATAACATCTTTTCGCTCATTGATGGTCGATTCGGTACCACTGAAAAGGGTTTAGCAGCATTCACAACACTGTAAGATTTTTTTTTTTATTTAATAAAAGAGAATATAAAAAAAAAAAGTTAGCTCTCTGAGGATTGCGGTAAGGCGACGGCGACGGCCATAGCTTTTGCCTGCTTCCTCTTTAAATCTTGTTGAATATTCTCAATGTCCTTGGAGACGATGTTCTTGACGCCAGATTCGATAAGCGACCTAACGATATCAGATATACAAACAGAATCCTTCAACTGTTTGTGTACAAATGCAAGATGTTCAGGCTCTAAAGAACGATACATAGCATATGTTCTTGGATCTTCGGCTATTGGGTGGTTGTGTTCTCCAATACTCTTGCGAACAGTCCAGAAATCGCCCTTCTTCTCGTAACGCGCATAAATCAAGCAGGAACATCCATTCTTTAATGATTTTCGGATTCTTGTCTTGACCATAGGCTTATCGGGTGATGTGGCCTTCTTCGTATTTTTACGATAATAACCTCCGTGCTTACAAATCAGGTAGACTTTGGTCTTATCGGATTTACTGGTGGTAAGCGCTACATTGTATTTCTTGCCGTACTCTAATGCAGTGGAACGAAGTGAGGCCAAACTGTTGAATACCTGTCCAGTGGGGAAGGTTTCATAAAATTCAACTAAGATTGGACTATTTCTATCCATTTCAATAACGGGTTTTGGGAGATCGGCCTTTATCTCTGGTGTTGGTAACGGAATTGCTATTGCAGGTGCAGGTACCAAAGGTTGACTATTCACATCGATTAGAGTCTGTTGTACAAAGCCTGTCATTTTGTTATTATAACTAGCCATATGGCGTTGCAGAACGGTCTCAATTTCATTGGTAATGGGTTGGCTATTTGTGGGCCCAGTTTTTTCAGTCATTTTGTAAGAGAAGGGAGAAAAAACATAACAAACATGACCCTATGCGCACCCTGGCAAAAAGGGCTGTGTGTGAATATATTTATGAGCCTGGCCGACAAGTCCGGAGATACTCCGATCACAAATATAAATCTGATTGGCTAATTCAAACGACAAGATATGCGCAAAATGCGTACGGATATAAAAACCCGCATAGTACGTTGAATTGTACTAACAGATACTAGCTACAATGCATTAATAAGTACTCTAAGAAAGTGCAATTTAAAATTGGGTGACACAAAGGCTTTGATTTTAAACATAAATGATCGTATTTCTACCTATCATGGAGACTAAGCTCATTAAATCATAAATGACAAACAAACCAAGTCATCCTATAATAAATTAACTAATTGCATTTGATGTAAAAAATAGAACACACTGTCACAAGATGGAACCAAACCATATTCGTTAACTAAATGACAAGTCCAAATACAGAGATTTTGTCAAACTATATTTTCTCCCTTTTTCTCTCATATCCTATAATACACCAAGTATAATATTTCGACCGACTCTATGAAAAGACCAGACCCTCACGATGAGGAGAGAAGAGAGCATGAATTAAGTGAGTTGATTGCACATTATCTTATATAACAAAGGCTGACGCCCTTTTTGTTTACCAGGAAAAATACAGGAATAAAGGCTGACACTCCTTTTTGTTTACCAGGAAAAGGACAGCAATATATGGGAGGCACATTTAGATTGAACCCCAACTCTGTATGTTCACTCTATCCATTACGTCAGGATATATGCCAGATAGAATCACTTACAATTTTTTTGGGCTAATGACAATTATATTAATCTATCTGTTGACCCCCAAAATCAAATGATGAAAGCAAGGTTCAGCGAGGCGTTTGTAAATTGACATTTAAATAGAAGTTTAGCAACAACAGTTTCCTTTCTCAAATCTCCCGGAATCAAAGTTTGTCAAAACACTTACGCAGCAAAAAATCCAAAGTCTATTTATGTCAATAATAGCATATATATAGCCACTCTGCTAAACGAAGAAAAGAAGGAATCGATTTTGATGCGCTCTGATTTAAATCAAGACAGACAGTTCTATGTTAAAGGAAGACTTGCATTGTATGCCATAGGTTAATTATATTACTTTAAAGTTATGTTATTCTCGACAAGATCCAAGTCGATAGAGATTTACCCAAATAGTAATCAAGATAATATATTGCCCTGATTTTACATACTGGAGCACAAGGATTCATACCTTGGAAAGTGTACGTATTATGCTCTTAAAACTTTCAAAAAGCCATTATCAAAAAAAAAAAAAATTCAGGCGGGCCATTCAAATGATCACTTTAAGTGGCAGTCAAAAGGCATGGATCCGAAAAAAAAAAAAAAAAGAAAAAAAAAAGAAGCACATAAGCTTGGAAATACGCTTGATGATTTAATTCTTCAGCTTATAGCAGAAGAAACCAACACGATACATATATTCCAAAAATGGGAGAGATTCTCCAACAAGAACGGAAAACATAATTATAGTATGGACGATTTTCGCTCATCACTGTCATCAAAGCAGATACCAACAGTTGTGATTCTGATTGTCAAAGCAAAAATTGAAGCCAAATGCTTAGGAGCAATGAGGTAGAGCGCATGTCAGCAGAAGACATACCCTCGTCTGGTATGTGGCTACATAGCAAAGCCCAAGCACTAAAAAACCAAGAAAGCTGTCGATTGAACATCTGATAAATAATCACATGGATATATTGAAACATCATTATAAGGAACACCAGCTGTTGGAAATAAACCAGAGCCAATAAGCGATGAAGATGAAGCTAATTTCAATGAACTTAATGATTTTACCGAACCTGAAGACATAGTCAGAACAATGGGAAAAACACTTAAAAATGAATTGAGTCACTAGAAAACCCCGTTTAGACACTTACCATAAGAAGCACTATTCTAACACAAGAAAAGATATGTTCTCTTATCATGGTTGGAAGCGAGGTTCAATTCTTTCATTTGTCGGTAACTGGTCTGGAAAAGGATCATATACCCGTGGGCATACACGACGAAACACAAAACTGATTCTGAATCGATTCAATTCTGTCACTGTTAATCATGTCGCTGTAGTAGATAAGTTTAAGTAGACCATCACTTGTAGCTCAAGTTTTGAAGTCGCCACAAAACAAGCCGTGACAGTTGGAGAAAATAAAGTGAAAATAATTAAAGAAGCTATTACATGCACCAATCTTAATTACCCAAGAAGACTGTCGCCAACAAGACGTACGACAGTAAATCGAGACATAAATGGTGTAACCAACATCGCACTCATTGGCTGTTCTTGTGTGGTCTCAGAAAGCTCTTTCGAAGAGATCCTTTTAACGCAAACAAGTAAGTGTAGTCTTTCTTAATGAACAGTAAATTTTGATTAAAAATAACCCATGACAGGTACAACTTGTCACACCATTATCAATGCGACATTGGAATCCCCGGTTGCTTCGGAGACTTAATATCATGGATGTTCCTCCACCTATTTTTGGCGCTCTCCCTTCTTTCGACGGCAAATCCGTTTAGCCGGACAGTGTAGAAAATTACCATTTTTCGGGTTCATGCAAAAATCACTGGTAATCCCCGGCTTACATGTTACAAATATGCATCTGAGAGCATTTGGTTGCCGCTTGACCTTTTCTCAGGCATTCTCCGAGTTTCTTTCTGTTTGTCTTTCCCAGCTATCCTGTTTTAGCTTGAAGATACCCCTCTCCCCCACATGTGTGTGTTTAAACAACTTTATGATAAATTAAACTTTTTTCCAGTACAAGCAAATATTTAAGCACATAGGACAATTTATTATTTTCTGCCGTATTTTCTGGACCAAAAAAACAATGACTGGTTTATAATGAAATTTAATCGTAAATGGCTGAAATGTTTAACGAACAATATCCCACCCCTTACTTTTTTTTCCACAGCATAAGGGGGAGAGCAGAAAATCTTTATATAACACGCTTCTCTCCTTCATCCCCCCCTTTTTTTTTCTTTTCAATTCTTCAGCCATGGTCTCCTCAAGAAATTGTCTTGGTTTAATCTCAGTTGCATGTGCTACTTTACTGGCAATGCATGGTACTGTATTAGCGGCAGCTATTCCTCATGATGGTGTCATTCGTATCGTAAATGGTAAATAATCCAACTTCTAAAATAAAAAACCTACAGCTAAATGGGCGGAGAATTATAGATAATCCGATTTCTCACAAGGTTACCGGTAGTCATGGTGCTGTGGCGGTAGAGAATGAACAGTGTTCAAACACCGGTGTAAATGGTTAGTGGCCACTAACTCATATTAGACAGTTACTTACTCTTAAAAAAAGTTTTGAAAGAAGGAGGTAATGCTGTGGATGCTGCAATTGCCTCTGGTCTTTGCATCGGTGTTATCAATAGCTTCGCCACTGGTAAACTATCTCGTGTGACTAAACGATATTGATAGCATACTCAACCTTTATTTTTCATTAGGCATTGGAGGGTATAATATTAATTTTGTGCTGGTAGAGATAGTCTATATCTAATATTTGTATCACTATTAGTGGAGGTTTCATGTTGATTCGTACTCCTTCTGGCGAATATGATTTTATTGATTTCCGTGAAGCTGCACCTGCAGCAGCGACAGAAGATATGTACGTACATAATATCAGTCTGTCCCAAAACACTGGATTAGCTATTGCTGTACCGTAAGTATTTCCTTTTTATAAGTTGCTATGATTATTTGACTGAAACTGCTATTTTTTTAGAGGAGAGATTCGTGGTTATGGACTTGCTCATGCAAAGTAAAAAAAAAAAAAGTGTTGATGTACGTACCTTAAATACAGTTTGCTGATCATTTCATAAATTCTTAGGCACGGAAAATTACCTTGGGCAAGACTGTTTAGAGATGCCATCAACATTGCAAGAAATGGGTTTATTACCAGCGACCATATATACCAAAGACTCAAGGTAAAAAAAAAAAAAAAAAAACTTAATGACTCACAAGCCATAGTTCCAACATTTTTTCTTGTTAAGACTTCAGAGTCATGGATAATGCAAAAACCTGAATGGGTCGAAATATTTGCACCTAACGGATCAATTGCAGAAATTGGTTCCATCATTAAACGACCTGCTTTAGCCAATACCCTTACCACAATTGCCAAAGAAGGAGCCAATGCTTACTATGAGGTAAGATTAATTTAAATGTATCAATCTCTTAGATTTGATATTTAAGCATATGAATAGGGACCTATTGCAGAATCAATTGTGAATACCATAACAAAAAATGGTGGTATCTTAACATTGGAAGATTTCAAAAACTACCGTGCCATTGAACGCCCTGTGGTTAATACGACCTATAATGGACATATAGTTCACACGACATCAGCACCTACCAGCGGTCCTATTCTCCTCAATGTGCTAAACTTGATTGAGCCTTATCAATTTTCGGTGGACGGACCCACCGGTTTAAACTATCATCGCTTGATTGAAGCTCTGAAATTTGGATACGCTGCTCGAAGTGAGTTCGGAGACCCATCTTTCACTGGCAATCAAGAGCGGTTAGATGAAATTGCCTCTAAAGCTTGGGCCGATTCCATTCGTCCTCAGATCACAGATGTGAGTTTATTTGGAGCAATTATTTATTTATTTACTGATGAATTAAAATAAATAGGAAACAACACACAACGTATCTTACTATAACCCCAAATACGAAAGCAATGACCCCCATGGAACAATGCATTTGTCTATTGTTGACAGTGATCATGGTGCTGTGGCACAAACCACTACTATCAACCTCTTGTTTGGCTCAAAAGTGATGGATAGAGAAACCGGTATTATTTTTAATGACCAGCAGGCAGATTTCAGTAGCCCAGGAACCATTAATGCATACGGTTACTCACCCACTAAAAATAATTTCATTGCACCCGGTAAAAGACCCTTGTCTTCGACCACACCGACAATCATTGAAGATGCACAAGGACAATTAAAAATGGTTGTCGGAAGCTCAGGTGGTTCTCATATTGTATCAGGCGCAATGAATGTAACATTTATAGAAATCTGGGAGAGATAAGAAGGTCAACTAACTTAATTTTACGATAATTGTAGGTAATTATCAATGCGCTTGATTTCAAAGAAGAATTATTTCAAGCGGTGGGAACACCTCGTCTTCATCACCAATTGATGCCAAATGAACTAGGCGCAGAAATTGGATTCGATCCTCTTATATTAGCAGATCTCGCTAACCGTGGCCACCAAGTAAGTTACAAAAAAAAAAAAAAAAAAAAAAAAAAAGAAAGAAAAAAAAAACGAAAAAGAGAGAGAGAGATGATTTACTCATGAATTGATATAGGTGGTTGATATGGATATCAAAACCACAGTTTTCTCGGCAGTACAGGCAGTTATACTGCATGCTAATGGAACATTGGATGCAGTCAGCGATCCAAGGAAATCAGGTCTTGGTGCCGCTTATTAGTAAAAATAAATAAATAAAATGCCCATGCATGTGATGTACTTTCATCAGATACATCAAATTAAGAATGCCATTGTGTCAGGGTATTCTCTTGTTGCTTATTGGGGTAATAATTACAGTCTTATATTCATCTTGAGGTGGATGAAGGCTGTACGCCCAATCTTTTCTGTCTTTTAGTTGGGTCTCTGTAGTACACGCTCATAGACATTACCGCCTTCTATCTTCCTCTTATTGCTGGTATTATTATAAAACCACTATGGTGAAATCATACAAAATTTCTACATTTCTGGTACTATGGTAATTTCCAAACCCGTTTCATGCACACTTTATTGCTTATGTAAGCTTTAGAAAAAAAGTCCTTCTTGCTTACAACAGCTTTGCAAAATCATTTCATGTAGGTATGCTCTCTATTTCTTCAGCATAACTGACAGCGTTATAGTCCAACTCGTTCATAAGGCCTTTTGACAAGAGCCTCATTTTGATCTTCCAAGGTGACATGACCAAACGTTTACTTGAAGCCATCGTTAATGTTTCCCTCATCATTTAGCTCGGAAAGAAGTGCCTGAATCAGCAGTCCAATGTACTTAATGTCTTATTCTGTCAATCCGCTTAATGTCTTGAACAAAAAAGTTGTTTGTGAAAAAAAGAAAAAAATAGCATATACTGTGCAATCAAAAAATATGAAAACACAAGCCCAGGAGCTGACGTTATGTTACACAAACGGTAAAAAGATATTTCTTGCATGAACAAGAATAAAATAATTTTAATTGGTTAAACAAAATAATTTATATATATTTTTCATTTTCATTAATATTTAAAAACCAAGCCAGCTTTCGCCACTACGTGCCTGGAAAAAAATGGTGACCACCCTTCCGCAAGATGGAAATCCATATCCAATAGGACGACCGATACTTGAACTCAATGGTTATACCGCGTACTCCGGAAAGATCAGCGAGAGCAACCCCAAAGAAATCGCATATCAGAAGACATTTTTTTGTTAAGAGAAAAAAAAAAAAAGGAACTCGTCGAGTGGAAAAAATGGGTCCCTTTTATACCTTTTTTTTTTGAATGGGTCGAATCTGTCAGTTACACATAAAAATTTTGGGACTTTCAAAAAAACAAGTGACTGCAATTTTTAAGAACGTTCTGGCACCATCTTGACATTATTGTTTGCAGTGAACTTAGCTGCACCTAAACAGCATCACTGTAATTCTTTGATAATACGTGTGAGTAAAGAGAAGTAGACAGTAGAATGAAGATACAAAGTAGAGAATGTATCTTTTTTTTTTTAAAACTCGGATTCTCAATAAGGCAAGTGGCGCGTGCATAGTCTACAGCTTGAAGCGCCTTCTATATTGGGTTCTTTCATTCTACCTCCTGGGAGTTACCAGAAAAAATGGTAAAATTATATAAAAGTTTATCTTATTTAATCCAAATAAAAAAAGTGTCCTATTTTCAAATCATCATGTTAATAATTCCTGGTACAAATGCCTTGAAAAGTTTTAACGACCAAAGGGGGAAACGTACCATCAACTCGGGGTTTGTTTTTTTCACTTAGATAAAAAACTTGACGATTGCATTATTTGGAATAAGCTTCATTGACACTAAACTAGCCTATTATAAAAATAAAAGGCTCTTCATACTGCACTCACGAAATGGGCTACAATGTGTTTTTTAATTTATACGACGTTAATAATGAAACCTCTTAATACACAAATGTTATTTACCAATCATAAGTAATTGTTGTAACTATAACCATAAAACCAATTAACCTTTGAGAAGAACTACTACTGGAAAAAGTTAAATTATAATTTTTGTATTAAAGAATAACCGAAGCAATATTTTCAAATAGTTACAACGATTAGGGGTTGATAAACATATTATTTACTTGGGCTTATTTCTCTTTGTGATCGACAACAACTCTCCTTGCAGATCATAACACATCACACATTGACGTTTTACTATAAAAAGAGTCGATGTTCATCTATTTTATTTTACAACAAAATATTCTCTTCATAAAAACTTCAAGGATGCATAATTTCCCAATCTTTCTTATCCTCGTCATTGTATTGACTCTTTTTGGTACTGACGCCCGTGTTACTTTTGATTCTCAAAAGAGAAGCCCTCAGCCATATGACGCTCAAGGTCTTGTTAATGGACTTCTTGGTGGTGGTAAATCTTCTGGTAAACCTTATAGCCCTCTTTCAGATCCTTCCGAATTAAACGGTGATACTACTAAAGGTGACAGCTAGAAAGAGCGTAATTAAGATAAACTACTCAAGACTTTAGAAAATGATAGTGTAGCAAAATATTAGTTGGTGTATAATGAAGCACTTTTTAAAGATGTCTACCTTTACATAATTGATTAATAAAACGAGTCTGTCCTTGTTTACCACTTTATTCACAAACATATCGCCTTTTTTTTTAAAAAAAAAAACCGCCCATCTTTTCACAAAAAGTATTTGTATGTATATTCTGTAACATTCACCAAACTCTGTCACATATAAAATATATGTATATTGTTATATCAAGAGACCTATATATCGACTTTGTTTTTATTTTCCAAAAAAAAAACCAAAGAGTGATTGCCCATTATTAATATGTATCTGTTACAATTTGGAATACAAGATGCATACACAATAACTGTCAAAATTGTTACTGATACTTCAGGTATTTAATTAATCCACAAAAAAAATCATAGAATAGACAAAGTTGTAATCTTCTCTCAAATGTAAGCATTTACGCTCTACTAATTATAGTACATTTTTGAGTTGATTTTCTCAAATTTGGTATTAGAATTTTCATCTGAATTTGAAGCGTTGAAATTATGGCTCTCTATTCATACCTGTGGTAGGACAGAGTTTTCAAAAAAGTTAACCTCAGTTTTTGATAAGACGGGCAAAAAAAATGTTAATGGGCACAAAAATATGTTAAAACTTGTCATGTCTCATACTATCAATGTCGTCGGTGATGGTTAAAAAAAAATTATAATAAAATACTACACCATGTTTTGGTGTAGATCTTTACAGAATGTATTTAATTCGCTTATTCATCGCATAATTAAGTTAAATAAAAGCTCAAAGGAACACTTATTCTTTAGTGTATAACTGTACAATTATTTTCAATTTACTTAAAATCGACATATTATAAAAAACTTTGTTTGATTAATTTGACTCTTCCTACTGTCTTCATTCCAGTGTTCTTTTTTCCAGCTTTGACTTTAGATGATGATACGTAATGGAAAGTGTTCTAGCATCCTTGTACTTGTTGTAGTTCCCGTTGGCACGTCCTTAAAATTAAGTTCATTGCTTCTTTATTTGCAAGCATCGCCTTCGACATTTTATCACTTTCGGGTTTATGTTTTTGAGGTATAAAATGGACAAAGTCTGAAAACCAAGTAAAAACCGCCTTTTGGGGAAAACCAAACTGCCTTTTGGGTATTGGAGAAATCAAAACCACGTTGGAACGACTGTATGAACAAAAAATGTCTAGACGTCCGTATTTTTTTCAAACGTATTTTTTTTATACCACATACAGGAATTCCGGCCAAGACCAGCAGGCCAGTATGATTGCACCTATTCACAGTCCAATCCCAGCTATTCACGGTTCGTGAGTTCCAAAACTCAAGAACCCTGCCTAGGAGGTCGCCCTCCTATAGCAAAGACTAGCCGCAGCCGCAATATCACAATATATCTTTTTCAAAGAAACAAGAGTCACTACTAAACTAACCTTTTTATATAATCGGTTACTTTCAGACGATGAAAGAAGTATGTTAAGGGAAAAGAAAAGGAGAAGAATAAAGTGTGCGAACCAGCTTTATTTATATGTAGATAAATAAGCATATGTCAGGATAATTTCATTTGTCTATTTTATCATCCATAATGTTTGAGCCTTTACTTAAAATAGAGTTCTAGACATTTCCTATGAACAGTTCTATAGCAAAATGGGACAATTAACAAGCGTCAATTTCATACTCCTACTGACTTTCCTTCTGGTACTTTTCATAGATAACAAAGGGACCATTGTCGAATCGAAAAACAGGGGATTTATCACCTGTTTGATGATGTCTTTATGTTAATACAATCACTGTCCCGTTAAAGTTTCGATGACATGATGATTGGGGGTGGGGGAAGGCAAAAGCGGGACCCATAAAGCTTACAATAAAAAAAAAGACCCACATTTTTTTTTTTCGTGCCCTTTTTTTTTTTTTTTTTTTTGAAAGAAACCAACAGCCATTTTATAAATTATGGATGTGTTGCCTAGTCAAAGACAACCTCCTTCTTCAACAAAATCATCGCTAGGTGCAGGAGTTAATCGAGATCAACAAGTAGAGAAATTATTAAAAGAAGTAAAACAACTAAAGCAAAAGGTAGATGTACTTGACAAAGAGAATATTGCGTTGAAAAAGAGTATATACGACCTGTCTGCAAGATATGCAGCTTCTATTTCTCAAGGTGGTCTTTCTTATAGACCAGGTCCGTTTGTCATTGACAATGAAGTTGCGACAACAGGAAAAGCACAAGAGATGATTACAAAAGCGGTACAAGAAGCTAATGGCGATATGGAACCTTTTCAATCAGGTATAAAATAAAGATCTCAACAGTGGTCATCGTAGAATATTAAAATGTCTTTTGTAGTCTATCCTCATGATTCTCGTGATGGTAAACCATTTCAAATGAGATACGAGCTCAAGGTAGACGAAGATAAAATTACCCGATACACTCGATAAGAGTATTAATATGTACTCGTAGGGTCATACTGGTGCCGTATATACTGTTGAATTCTCACCCAATGGCGCGCTTTTAGCCTCAGGATCATTTGACAAAACCGTTCGAATTTGGGATACTGCTTCTGCACAAAAAGAGGTAAACCATTTTTTTTTTTTTTTTGCATAATTTATTTAAAATTCTGTAGACGCTTTGTTTAAAAGCACATACACTCAACTTGTCAGATTTAGCTTGGACACCTGATTCATCTATGCTACTTTCAGGTGGTTATGATGAGACTTGTAAAACATGGGATGTAGATTCTGGAAAATTATGTAGTAGTTACGACACCGAAGGTCTTGTTCAGTGTGTTGCATGGGATTTCGTAGGTCAGTTACAAGCTTGGAAGAAATAAATGTGTCTGTATTAACAAGTCTTCTTTTTTTTATTAGATTCCTGTATTTTTTATTATGGTACTTCTCGTAAAGTACTTGCTATGGTAGATATTAGAGCAGAAGGAAACGCTTCGGTCATTAGAAACGATGCAATGATTAACACTTTATATGCTTCGAGAGATGGTATACATGTTATCACAGGTGATGCTCAGGGTTTTGTGAAAGTATGGGACGTCAGGTCAAGTAAGTCGTTATACAAGATCGGGAAATTATATCTATAAAATAAATGCTTACCACGTTCTGATCATTATAGAGCAGTGTATATCCTCGAGATTGAACGATCCTAGTAAAATGCCTATAACACATATATCCGTTGGAAGAAGGAGCACAGATGCGTCAAGAAGAGCTAGTAAGCCATTTGTTTTAATTTTGATAGAGTGTTCGTTATTAAAAAAAAGGTGATTTATAGTTGATGATTACGATGAACCTAGATATATGGCCCTCAACAGCTACGACAATTGTAAGTGCGAATAATTGCATAATAATTACTCTGCTAATAACATTATATAATAGTACTACGTGTATATGATCGTGGCATGGATCCTCCAAAGTCCGATCTTCGTTTGGTTCACTCATTGAAAGGATTTAAAAACAAAAACTGGCCCATCAAGTCATCTTTTTATTGTGGTAGTGGATGTAAGTGTTATACATGAAGATATACGACATGTTATCCTAACCCTGGTCATAAAAGACAATTCGTCTATCCTTAGTAAACCTTCAGCAACCAACGATGTTTACGGAGATTCGGATCTTACACCCAATCCAGGGGATTATTTGTTTGATTCACAAGAGCCTAAAGAGGAAAAGAGTGTGTTATTAGCTACAGGCAGTGCTGATCCTTACGCATACTTATATAATGTCGGTGAAGATAGTGCAGAACTTATGCAACGTTTAGAAGGTCATACGGATAGAGTTTATGCTGTTAACTTTCATCCTACTGAACCTATTTTGGCAAGTTGCTCTGCTGATTTCACTGTCAAGGTTTGGGGTCCAAGCTTACATAGAGGAAAAAAGAAGACTCTGAATTAATTTTGTTAAATAAAAACATTTTGTACATAGATTTTCATTTTCTTTCTCTTTTCTTTAAAAATATGTCTCGACAAAGTGCTACTAATTATTTTGCGAGCTCTATCCACTCATCTAATTCAGATATAAAAGATTCCGGAAAAGCTCTTAATCCGTCTATATCTTCTCGCAAGGCGATTAATATCCCTTCAGCGATTGCATCTCAAACTAATCCATACAACTTTCCATCAAGCCAACAATCAATAAACACCCATGGCATGGTAAGACCAAGCACGAGCTACTCAAAGAGGCCTACTACATCAGCCACATTGAGAAGAGCACCACCTCCAAAACGCATCATGGCTATCACAGAAGGCCGTGGTGTAGCCATTGAAGTTGGGCTTTGTATATTTGATGTTAATTGCTGTGAAGCTGTTATATCACAGCTAGCAGACTCACAAACGTTTACAAGGACTTTGCAAAAAATAAACCTGAATGAGCCCCAAAAAATCCTTGTGTCATCTTCTGTAGATGATACAGCTATTGTTGGAGGCGGCAGTGAATTATGTCAGTTGATTCGACAACAGTTTCCTCAGATTCCAATCATCACTTTGAAGCGCAGGTATTTTAATGATGAAGAGGGAAAACAATATATCACGGATTACGGATTACAAGAAGATACAGCCGGATTACTTTTTGGAGTATCCGCAAAGTGAGTAGCTATCATTGACTAATATTGAAATATTTACAGATTTTTCTTGCAGGTACTATTGCTTAGCGGCTGTATCTGGAACATTTAGGTGAGATAGAATAAGCCATTCAACAGTACAAAATTCTAATCACGCATACAGGCATATATTTGAAAACGAAGGCTACTCGTTTGCAAACCACACAGTCAAGTTTGTCTACCAAGGTGCTGACGGTAAATATAGACAGCAAACACACTGTATAATCAAATAGCATCTTATTATCATATATGTAGGTACAATGATGATCGGTATGTGGCAGACAAAGAATCGTTTACCATTTGAGAGTAACACCCTACATAGATTCAATTACAGCAAAAAATTTGGAGCTTGTCTCAAATACGACTAATAGTCGTACCCGAAACACTCTGTTGGGTATCTTAGATCATACTGTAACACCGATGGGAAAACGTTTACTCAGAATGAACATTTTACAGCCACCATGCTCTATTGATATTATAAGGGATAGACTAGATGCGATCGAAGAACTTTCGCATAGTGAAGAAAGTATATTTAATATACAGTCGTGTTTAAAGCAACTGACAGATTTGGATCATACAATATCTTACCTGGTCAAAATACCTAATCAACATAACGCTAAAAATTATGTTACATCGGTTCAACACGCAGAGATGAAGGTCAATCAAGTTATTGCATTAAAACAAGCAGTTAAATGTGTTCAAGATGTTGCTGATTGCCTACCTCAGAGCGTAAAGGATGATTGCGATCAGAACAACGGAGAGAATTATTTGTTACTTAGTACAATTTACAAGGTAAGGTATAATCGATGTGAAACTTCTTCAGCTAAAAATTCTACATGATGTAAGATTTTATCAAGCTCTGTTTTCGGTAAATCTCATCTCAAATATAATGTTGTTGTTTGAATAGACTTTCTTACCAACAAAGTTTAATTAAATAATTAGCTGAATTAGAGAAAGTTGCTGAGGAGTATATCAACGACGAAGTTGGAATTCAAAAGACTAGTCTTGGTATCAGAAACCAAAAGTGTTATGCTATAAAGGTAACTATAAAAAATTTGAAAATATTTCTGATTTCAACTATTTATATTTTAAGGCTGGTGTCAATGGACTTTTGGATGTTGGTATGTACTCAATTATCTTGTAAACAGCAAACAAACGTTTAAAATAACGCAACATAAAAAACTAGCTCGTCAAACTTACAAAGAGACAACGGAGGATATTTATGAACTTGTATCAAATTATGCTGAAGCAAACAATTTGGCAATGAAATTGCAATTTAATTCATCTTGTGGTTTTCATATTACAATGCATACTTCCCAACTCGCTAAATGTAACGGTCAACTTCCTGAAGAGTTTATAAATGTTATCACCAAGAGAAAAACCTTGCAGTTCACCACTCTCGAATTGGTAAGTCAGAATGAAGGAATTATGTCTCAATCAATTAATATTTTGTTCTAGTTGCAAAAGAATAGTCGTCTCAATGAATCATTAACAGAAGTATTTCTCATGTCTGATAGGTATAATATAAACGGATGATTTGGGAACACAGACTTTACTGATTTTTTTTTATGTAGGATTGTTACAAAGCTATTAGGGACATTTAGAGAAAACATTAACGTTCTTTATAAATCTTCTGAAGCCATTGCCTTATTAGACATGCTCTTATCTTTAGCAACATCAAACCTATCATCTGATTATAGTGAGTCGTGACATGCTTTATTGTAGGGCACTAACTCAAATACATCATATTATAGTAAGACCCCAATTCTCCGAAACAATAGCAATCAACGCCGGTCGACACCCCATCTTGGATCATATTTTGTCGTTCCCGTTAGTTCCAAATGACTCATTTGCGTCTTTATCGAGCAGCTTTCAGTTTATCACGGGTCCTAACATGAGTGGAAAATCCACTTACTTGCGTCAAATAGCCTTACTGACCATAATGGCTCATATGGGATCATTGTAAGTCTGATACATGAAATTATGACCTGTTCTTTTTTCTAATTAGGATTTGCTTCAATTTAAAAGTGTACCTGCTGAGTATGCATCATTTAGGTTGTGCGATCAGGTAAGCTACCAAGTTATTCAGTTGTTTTAAGCCTGATACCATATATTTTCAGTTACTCTCTCGATTGGCAAATGACAATACATTCTCAGACATCGGTACTTCGTCATTTATGTCTGAAATGAGAGAGACAGCATATTTATTACAGCACGTAACTGATACTAGCTTGGTAATAATTGACGAGCTTGGTCGTGGCACTTCCCCATCTGACGCATTGGGAATCACGGCTGCTGTTTGCGAAGATTTGATTAGGACAAGGGTACGTTGGTACATATCTTTAGATTATACTTACGTCTTTGAAATTTTTGATAGGCATTCTGCTTCTTTGCAACTCACTTACACGAGTTAACAAGAACTCTTATTGTATATCCAAATGTGGTAAATCTACAATTCAAGGTTCATGTAACCGTGAGTAAAAAAAATTATGCGTGTTTTTGAAATTGGTCCTAATGTTCTTAGCTGCTATATTCAGAAGCATAGCAACAATAACTGCACTGTGGACTACCAGTATAAAATTGAAGACGGAAATCTGTCATCTGAAAATCATTATGGTACAACTTCATACACTGCTTAAGTAATGGTTTTTATTAATTATTTTAACAGGGATACAGACAGCGCAAGTCTTGGGATTCCCAAAGGAGGTGTTATCATGTGCATACAAAATAGTAGACCAGGTAGATTTTTTTAATATAAAAGAATGACATATAGATAATCAATAGCTAATAAATTATTCTCAGCTAAAAGAAAACGGGGCAAGATATGAAAGATTACAAGCAGACCAATCGGAAGAGTTGTCAAAGGAACGTAGACTTCTTTGGGTAGGTAGTATTATTTTTTCAAAAAAAAGTTACATTAATTCTGATTGATATGTAGTTTGCTGATAAAGTATTGCAACTGGGACAAGCTAATATGAGTAGTGAACAACTACTTGGGCAATTATCAAAACTTCAAAATGATATGTGGAATGAAGAGGAAGACGACAACAGCTCTAGTTTAAATAGATAAAACACAAAATTTATAACACCACATGGCGATTTAAATAATGTATAGCAAAAATAAGACGTTAATACAGACAGACGTAAATTACATTGAAGAAACAAATAAAGTTCAAACACTCATTGCGGTGTGTAAATTATATGCAAAAAATCAGGTGGACATGAATTCTTTTTTTCTTAACTGCATCCACGCGGCATCAGTGATTCTTTCTTTTCACTTAATTAATTTTTTTTTATGCCAATATCTAATCAGTATCAATCGCTGAATTCCGCAGGTAAGCTGACGACAGTCAACTAAAAACAAAAAGGGGAGAATGGGAAAAGGGGATAAAAGGCTAATTGCAATTCCATCAATTTTCTTTTTTCTTATCACGCCTATTTACAATGGATAAAACAGATACCATTGCTCAAGAAAATGATGTCCATTTGGCAGAGAAGAAACTTATTCGAAAATTGGATACTAGATTGCTACCATTTTTAAGTCTTATGTACTTATTTTCATCCTTAGATAGATCAAGTCTAGGTATTATTAATTTATTGTGAACCGTTTTATCAAATGAAGGCTTAAAATGTATCTCCAGGCAATGCTGTTTTGGACAATTTTGAACAGGACGTCGGAATTACACCTGACCAATTTAATACTTGTGTCACAATTTTTTATGTAAGTCACTTTATTTTTATTTCGCATTAATAGCTAGTCATGCCTCGTAAAAAAGGTTGGTTTTTTAATTTTTCAGGTACCAAGCAACATTTTATTGAAGCGCTTTACGGCTAGAAGATGGTAAGTAATTTTTTACACTGTAATTTATATTTAATAAGTAAATGTATACTATAAAGGCTTCCTCTACTCATGATGTTATGGGGATCGATTGCTTGTCTACATGCAGGTGTGAAAAGCTACTCGCAGCTTATGACGCTAAGATTTTTTTTAGGCTTTTTTGAAGCAGGTTTTTTTCCTGGCGTAATCTATTTCTTAACATGTTTTTACAAAAAAAATGAAATGGCAACCCGCATCGCTTTATTCTGGGGATCTACAGTTGCCGCACATGCATATGGTGATATATAGCTAATCACATACATAAAATCCGTAAATTAACAATAGTATGATTCAGCTGGTATACTAGCATATGGCATTCTTCAATTAAGAGGATCAGGAGGATTAGCCGGATGGCAGTGGTTATTTCTTATTGAGGGTATACCCACAGTTGTTGTGGCAATTATTGCATTGTAAGTTTTATCACATAAACTAACATCCATCAATAAACACTAAAATACCATATAGTTTCTACCTTCCTGAATCCCCTTCAACATGGACTATGTTCACACTAGAAGAGAGAATACTGGCTGTCAAAAGATTAGAAGAAGACGGAGAAACAAATCATACTCACGTTACCTTGGGCGATTTGGATGCATCCAACAAGAAGCAAGCGATAAAAGCGCTCACAGATTGGAAAGTGTGGATATACATGGTTATGTTTTTTTGTGGAAGCGTCCCAAATACGAGTATATCAAAGCAAGTTTATAATTTTATACCGTTTATTGTTGTTATTAATCAGAACTAAAATAGCTTTTTACCATCAATTGTAAAAGGAATGGGCTATGATGATAAACTTTCAGCTAATCTAATGTCTGGTAACATAGTTAACATTTTCATCAAGTTATACGGCTATTTTAATATTACATCACTATATTAGCACCCCCGTATGTTGGCGCCGTATTTGTGGTATATGATATATAGTTATTTATTATCACTCGTGAAATTCTAACGTTGAAAGATAGATGATTACTGCTGCATATTCCTCAGATATTCGAAAAGATAGAGCCTTTCACGCAATTTTAGGTGCTTCTATTTGCATGATTGGATACATTATCTTGAATATATGCGTACAAAGGCCAGCGTTGTATACGGGTGTTTGCATTGCTGTATCTGGTATCTTTGTTATTAACCCTATTGTTAATGCTTGGTTGACTAGCAATATTGCCCCCGATATGAAAAAAAGCGTTGCGACAGCTATGGCTGTATCCGCAAATAATTCCGCTGGGCTAATAGGATCAAATATATATAGACACTCAGATGCACCTAGATATTGTAAGTCATGATGTAAGTTTATTTCTGATATGTATCCCATAAATCTAAGTGTCATAATAGTACGTGGACATAGGATTAACTTGATGTTTATATCCCTTTTCATCATTTTGACACTCATTCAGAGATTTTTACTTCGGCGTGAAAACAATATAAAAAGGCAAGAAAAGTCTAAGCTAACACCGGAAGAGCTACAAGAACTCACGGAAAGTGATAACAAAATAGGCGACGAATCCTTTGATTTTGTTTATAGACTTTGATATTAGCCGTTTTTTTTTTACAGCGATGTGGAATAAATGTGTAAAATACCACAGTCTCTGATTACTTTGCTTCTACAATGGAACAATTATAAAGATAATATTGAATGTTTATTAATGCGAATATACAGCTTTTGTTTTAATAGAATATGTGGCTTTAACTACATCTATTTTCTGGTAGCAGTAACAGTAGCAATGTTATCCGTAACGGTGACTGTCCCAAACTTTGAAGAATGACCGTTTTCATCTGTGATTTCAGTTACAGTGGATACAAGGGTTTTCGACGTGGACACTTTGACCACTTCAACAACCACGTGTGTGACATTAATAGGCCAGCAAATAGAGCGTGATGAACACTCTCCGTTAGAAACAGATTTGAAGTCTTTGATATCCGCACCATGTCCTTCGTAGTTTTGAAGCGTAATAAGTTGACCTCCAAAGTAGCCGGTGGAGCCATCAATAATATTGGCTAATTATAATTTTTTATCAACATAATGTCTCGTATTTCTGTTGGTTTATTACCTTGAGGTGCTAAAATTGTACCGGCTATTTTTACATCAGGTGCTCTCACCAAAGTAAAAGTAGAAGAGGGATTACTATCATACGCACCTGATGCATCGACAGGGTAAAAGTTAAAAATAGCCTGACAAGGCGAAATATTTTTGTTCACGTCTAATGTGGTTATAGTGAAAGTGTGGTTGACATAAACAGGAACCTAATAAATACGTCAGCCGCTACTCTGTTACTTTTCAATGTTATCATATTACATTAAAAACGATCATTTCTGTCGGAAGAATGTTTTGGAATGGGGTGTTCAATGCTGAATGTCTACTTTTTAAAATAGCTGTTGTGATCTCTGTGTTTGGGTCAAATGGTTTGCATATGTCATCTGAGCAGGCTGGAAGTTTGAGAATACGATATCCATGAAACGATCGCACATCTGATTTCGATACCAGACCTTTGTTTCTGTTTATAAAAGTATCTGATTCGAAAGATGCCAATTTACGAGATGTCTTTTTGATTGATGATGGGGCAAAAGACCATAAGCTTGAAGACAAATCGTCGGGCTTGGTTACAGAGCGGTCTATAGAATTCATTCCGCATTCGTTTTTCTGATTAGCTGTGTTGATGCTTCCTTCCTCATTAAATATTTCGCCATATACATCTCCATTTACATGGGCTGCTTTAGCCATTAAGCCCAACCTTGAGATACCATTGTAGTCTTCACAATTACTCTTTGAATTCGTATTGTAGTCGTATCCCGTTGAGTTAATATTAAGAGCTGCGATAGGACCGTAGACTGACGCTTTAGATATTTCTTCCGTTTCTTCCGTTTCTTCCGTTTCTTCTGTTTCTTTTGTGGCCGAAAAGGTACCGAAAATACCATTAAAGTGTTGCAACTATAAGATTTTTTTTTAAGTACCAAGGGCTTGGGTTTTAAGACTTAAAGTTTATTTACCAAGTCGACTTGTAAACGACTTAAATCTTCTACACACTGTGGTGATCTGAGTCCGTTAATATTTCCATCGGCCCCATAAACAAGGCCAATGTTGACTAGAGCGATTGCTGCAATGGATCTAACTGATAGACTTTTCATGTATAAAATAACTAGGATAAAGAAAATACATATTATTATCAGTCATTTCAAGACCCTGTAATATATATCGTGATAATTCTTTTTTTTTTATTTTAAAAAGAACATTCTCCTCACATCATCAAGAATGTCCTGGGTACATATAACATAATGAAGCTGTGCATTATTAAATACTCTAGCGTTTATTTTTATAAAAAAAAAATTGCTATTTTTATATAGATCACTGTTTGTGTGGTTCAGTTAATTCAACAAATACCATTCGTGGAATACCGTTAGAATCCAAATCATTGTTGTCAGTAGATGAATTGCCCACGCATGTAATGGCTGCAGTAATTTGTCCATTTCGAGTAATCGTTCTTGCTGCAGCTTCTGCCGACTTTCTACGTTCCAAGCGACGCGCGATTTCTTCGGGATCGATGGAAGTATTATTAAGGGTCTTTTCAAAAAATAAGTCCGGGTTAGTACAAGCCCCCAAAGCACGGCGCATTTTTTTGTTAATCAGATTTAATCCAATTTGGAAAGAAGCATTCATCCATCCAAATCCTTCTCTAGGAACATATTTGAAATCCACACCCACATTGCCATATTCCACTTGCACTTTATGAGTCATGCCGACAATATCAAATTTCTCAGGCACCACACCATTAAAATCTACAAACGACTTTGTAATCCTGGTTTGAAAGCGTTAATGTTATGACAACTATTTGTTTGTTGGGAAAACTTACGTATATAACCAGCGATAAGAAACTCTTTCGGCAATCTCATGCTTTCCGTAATTTTCAAACCCTTGCCATGCCATAATCTGGTGAGGTGCCCAACCAAAGGGGAAGTCCCACTGACGATTAGGTCGATCCAATGAAGTTATACCTCTCGACTTTTCAGTTCCTGATACAAGACCACCAAGAACTTCAAACTTGTATAGTGAATGTTCCACCATATCTTCTGCTTGTTTATCACTGGCACATTTTGCCCACATGGCCCAAAACGTGGTTACTGATTCATAATCTGTTTGTTTTTCTAATACCGTATCATAATCAAAATAAAGATGCTTTTCTTCGTTCCAAAGATATTTATCGATTTTTTCCTTTCGGACCTTAGCTCTATCTCTCCATACATCTGCAGTGTGACGTACCAAATTATCATCTTCTGTAAAGGATAACTCACCGTCATAAAGGTTTTCAATTATATCCGCAATATCTGTTTCATACTTGTAGAGCAGGGAGTTTAAATCAATGGTAGCAAGATTGGCACACACTTTTTCATATCTGTAAGTGGTGTCGTGTCCTGATTCACGTACTGCACGATCGTGTAAGAAATATTCATCCAGTTTAGGCTCCTTGATGGTTCCGTCATTATAAAGTTGCATGTACTCGTTAACACTTAACTCTGCTTTCAGGGCAAAAGGTTCAATCACATGATCGAAATGGGATGCTTCAGTCTCAGGAGGAATGCCTAGACCTTCGGGTCTAAATCGGGAAAGACCGGTTTTTTTATCGTAACGAGGTTCTGACATCCAGACATTGTTGTATTCTTTAATAGCTGTTTGGATCACGTTAGCTAACCAAGACAGTTGTTGCAACTTGAGAGCAGTAGTTGAATGGTCCAGTTTTTTGAATACTCTGATTGCCATATCTGTCAGGAAAGGGGGCTGCGAACGGGAGAGATAATAGGATCTGTTTGCATTCAAGATTTTCCCGTAGTGCTTGATTTGATAAACAAAGTTATCAACCATACCTTGAGCAAGTTTTGTACGACCGTCAATCAATAATCCCAGCGTTTCAAAGTAGGAATCCCAACCATACATTTCATTAAATCTGCCTCCAGGTACAACAAATGGAACACCACGCCATATATACTTTTGTGTAATTTCATCAAATTGTTTTTCCATTGCCAGCGCGAGAATACCAGGCCTATCATTAATACTTTTAACATACTCTGGTGTAATATCTTTGGGTAATCTCTCCACTTCCAAGTTTAAATGTGGTCTTGTTCTAGCAGCTTCCTTGTAGTATTCAAACATGGCATCTTCATTGTAAGGAATATAGATACGGGGGTTATGATTGGCCGATCGATTTTTGGGATCAGCACAAATGATCTCAAGGCCTTCGGCATCGATACGACGAGTTAATCCAGACCAGAAATTATGCTTGATCATACGAGACAACCTGTCCACTGGATTTTCGTTCAACCGTGCTTCATCCAAAACAATATGTTTACGTCCAAGGTCATCTGCCAATGCTAATTCTTGAAGGAGGTTTGATAGCATATAGGTACCTCGTATTTCAATTTTACGATATCCGCCTGAATCTGCCGTACCCACAGAAAACGATTTAGGGCCTAAATCATTGACGGTGATTTGAAAATCACCATCTGTATCTTCTTGTTCAACCAGAATTCGTTGAGTTTCTTTGACATCAATTAGGTATTTTTGCGCCTTGTTCTTATCGTCTAAAAAACAGTGATAAGTATTATTACATAAAACCAGTTTTTTTGGGGGGAAGTGTTACCATGAGAAGCTCTTCTTTTGTGAGGTCTGTCTTCATATTTATCTTTTCTTGCCTGTAATTAAAAGACATAATGTTAGGACTACAAGAAACTGGAATGAGTAAATTGACATACATAGAAATTTTTCAATCGACTGGTGGAACCACCTGCGTTACTACCAGTTGTGTAATATGTTTTTGCGGGGGCGTGAACATCAACGTCTTGATAAGATCCGACATGAATTGTCGATTCCATATATGAATGTTAGATTTTTTTGTCTTGTTTGAAAAGCGGTAAGCCGGAAGAAAAGAAATCCAAACCAATTCAGACATTTATAGAAAAAAAGATAAAACGGGGACAAAAAAGCTGCACGGAGCAAAATTAAATTTACCAGTTTGGATAGCAGGAGTTGGTAATACTACCCTTTCTGAATTTAAAAAAACATCACAAAATATGGGATTTATGAGCATTGTAGCAATGACTTAACAAACTTTACTTTTCTTAAGACTAGGATCGAATTAAGCATTTTCTGATCAACGAAAAGGCCGAGTTTTAAGCTAAATCAACAAATGTCATTGATAGTTTCAAATAATGGCCAGGAGACGTAAAGTGACCTTAGAACTAATCATTCAGAAAGCAGGTTGTCTAAATATGTATTTCGAAGAACATATTTGTACTACATGGTACGCCATCATTACCAGCGGATGTGCTAATTTTTTATACAGGCTCCACACAACAACAAACAAAGCGGGATTATAGTGCATTCTATTTTTAAAGTTTCAAACATTAATGCTGTGTACTTACATCATCTTGCTCAGTCAAAATATCCAGTTTATCCAAAGCGTAACTTCATCAATACTACCGTTGATGCTGTAGTATGTGTGGTACTTTAATAGGCTTTGCTGTAACACGTTACCTCTGAAGATCCTTTTTTTTTCGGGAGCTAACTATAGTGGCCACAAAATAAATTTATTAGGTTTAGAAGCGTCACGAGCACCTTTACAGCTGTTCTCGAACATGTCGTTTGGGTATGAAAAATGAGCTAAGCGTCAAAGGGCGGGTTTTTAAATAAATTAAAGGCATGAATTTGCCGGATTTTATTTTTCCAAAGGGCGCTTTTCACAAGTTTTTTTTTTTTTTTTTTTTTTTTTTTTTTTTTTGTCTATTAACGATATACCTCCTAAATATATGCACTGCTTCAAATTTATTGAGCTTGATCCCACGGAAGTAGAAAAAGAAAACCAAGCGGATTTGTACGAAACTACTGGCTTGGAATGACACGAATGCCAACCAGGTATAGATGAAAAGAAGCCTGTAAAAAAACCTGCACCAGTCTAAAGAGGCTCATGGATTTAGACAGTTGCATAACTTTTTGTAAAACTACACGGAAAACAGCCGTGGCTGTTTAGCAGGAGTCAGAAACTGCAATCTAGGAAGTAAAAAGTGTGTCTAATTCAACAACCAAGATTGCGGCTACTAAAAATATTGGACGTCCATATCGCTCTTATACTTCAGTTCAGATACAAAAGTTGCATGGCTCTTCGCTTTCTCGATATACAATCTATCAGTATTTGAAAGAGAAAGAGAGACGACAATGGGGCACTTGACGTAACAGAGGTAAATGAGAAAATTGGCACGCGAAGCGAACATTTTTCCTGCAATTTATTAGTGATGTTATGGACTTACTTGATGAACATGGAATGAAAGGTCGCCATGTCATACTGGATAATGCCTCTATTTGTAAAGTTTCCGATGTTCAAGATCTACCTGAGAGTTGTGGATATAAGGTTTCTTACTTGTCTCCGTATTTGCCGTTTCTTAATCTAATTGAATTATTTTGGTTAAAAGTCAAAACTGGAGTTACTGACAATCTGACTGCTAGAATCATTGAAGCTGCAAGCCAAGATTGTCAGGGATAGATCAGGCGTTATGTTTCATTGTTAGATAGATATTTGGCCCTTGAGCCAGTGCCTTAGTAGTATTAATAGATTGCAATATGAATAAAGCTTATCCCTCATAAAGAATTTCTTTAGCTTTAGACTTTTTTACAAAAAAAAAAAAAAGATTTATATGAAAGAACTACATATGTAGGATACAATTATTGATAATACTTAAAATGGAATATTACTTTGAACAAATCGAGTATTTACAAACAATTAAGTCAACTGTAACATGATGATAATGAATTCAGAATGATACTGATTTCCTTAGTATAACGATAATGATTTTGACATAGACTATTCATGAACTTGATTTAAAAAACATATACAACCATACTGAAATCAGCGCTAAATTGCTCAAAACAAACAAGCAAATTTTTTACGACGAGGTATTTGATAGCAGCTTAATTATTAACAAAGAATACTTGGAAGCCAGTAAAAAAATAATAGAAATGAGTCAAGATTTTATTGAAGAAGGTGGCCTTAGAGAAGGCTCAACACTAGGTCGCAAGACAGTCAACCGTGATCACGAGCTCGGTTTGAAGCAACTTATGAATGGCTATTTTGTTGAGGACCCCGTTTTAGGATATACCTCGAACTTTTTCTTTGTATCGTTTAAGATATCGAAAAGAAGAACCCCTATTGCCAACAAAGGAAGAACCAGACTGGTAATACTGGCTTTACAGTGCCCCAAAAAGCGGCTGCGGCTATACATCAAATGGCATACGGCCCACGGGCTGATTGTGTAGAGGATTTTCAGGTATGATTGGATCCTTGAAGTGTATGCACTAGACCTGGAAAAAACTGTCCTACTGCTTGGCATGGACAATTTAAAGACAAAGAATCAGAGCCTACTTTGACACTTGAAGATGTGGCCTCATACAAAGTGTAATCCATACAGATGTATGATACTCAAACTTTTGTTTTACTTCAAATAAATAAAAAAGAAAGCATCTTATCGCATATAATGGCATTTTTTAATGAAAAAATTAAAGAATAATACGGAGCTCCGTTAATCTCGCGGGTTTTCAGAGCACCTCGCAAAGATGCTCTTTATCGAATTCTCCGCCAAATTATGCCCATGTTGTAGCTTTTATTAATGCTGTTGGCTGAAAGAAGGAGCGATGGTAATATTTTCTTCCTCTCGAGTTACCAACACAGAAGCTTTTCTCTTTCTTTGGTTCAACAGGTCAAGGTTCATCCTCATCATCTCACGGCCTTTCCACGCGAGCTCCAACAACGAAAGAAAATCCGCACTAAAACTTCTAATCGTGCCAGGGAAGGGGAACTTCTCTGTCCTTGTTACTCGAGTAACGTACTTTCCTTTCGGAACGTCCATTACAACAAGTTCCAAATTTAGTCCTAATTTTTATGAATAAGAATGATGAATTTTTGTTAGTCTAATTAGTCATTGCTCTGGATTAGGCAAAAAAAAAAAATTACCCATCATCAAGTAACCAACTGTTACCAAGGCATTGATCTTGTTTATATTGGTTCGTACTTGTACAGCAACCATATCTTTTGCTGTGGTTCTGAAAGAATAATCTTCTTTATATCGAATTCGAATTCCAGAAACTCCTGCGATTGGGAAATGTCTAGATCTCAGTATTTTTTTCAAACGTATTTTTTTAAAACCACTTACAGGAATTCTGGCCAGAAAACCAGCAGACCAGTATGATTACAACTATTTAAAGTGTAATCCCAGCCATTCACAGTTCATGAGTTCCAAAAAAAACTCAAGAACTCTCTGCCCTAGAAGGTAGCCCTCCTATAGCAAAGACTAGCCGCAGCCGTAATATCGTAATACATCTTTTTCAATTTAATGTCTTTTCAAAGAAACAAGAGTCATTACTAACTAACCTTTTTACATTATTGGTTACTTTCATAAGATAGAAGAAATATGCTGAGAGAAAAGAAAAGGAGAAGAATAAAGTGTGTGAACCAGCTTTATTTATAGGCTGATAAACAAGCTTATGTCAAGATGATTTCATTTGTCTATTTTATCATCCATAATGTTTGAGCCTTTACTTAAAATAGAAACACTTGCAAAAACCTTCCAAGCAAGTCAGAGCTTGTTAATTGTCTATCTGCGTTCCAATAGTAGCTTGTAATGACAGTGAAGCAGATTTTATGGAAAACAGAAATCGATCATCCCATGAAGTTTAGATGATATGGCATGTCAATCGACGTGTATACCATCGCTTGATTCTAAAAAATACGTTTGAAAAAAATACGGAGTTCTAGAAATTGCCGAAAATGACGCATTTATTTAGTGAAAATTTAAGGGAACCGCTGCGGACGCTCTTACTAAGCTTATGTGTTCCCACTCAAATGTCGAAAAGTTTCACATTTCAAGATATTCTTCCATCAAGCTGTTGGAAAAAAATTCAACAGCATGCATTTTAAGATTTGCACATTATCTAGTTAGTCTATAACGGAGGATTTATTAAGGACGCACCCAACTGAGTTCGTCATGCCATACCTATGTGAAGAAAAACATTAAGTATGCAAAGCTTATCAGGGCCTTTAAATTCAACCCTGTTTTTTGATGTTCAATATTATTGAATACGGAAGATTTAAAATTATCATGGGGCTAAAACGTTTCATTGCATCTGTTTACGAGAAACCATATTTTATTTGTTGTTCCTAATACAATCCCAGTTGATTTCACTCCAACATCCAATGTGATACATACTCTCTGAGCCACGCTTTATTTTCCTTTTTATCCCTTTCTTTCTTATGTCTTTCTAAGCCGCGCATCGTGGATTAACTATGGAGAATATCGATCATCAGCAACATAGTGTATCATCGCAAAAACAACAACAATAACCGCAACAACTCAATCAACATCAGCAACAATAATTAGGTCAGCAAACTCAACAGCAGAAACAACAAAAAGAACGCCAAGATCAACAAAAAAGTACAAACAACCACTACGTAATTCAGGAAGGCGGAATTTATCTAGGTGGGCGACTCATCAACGGGTTCCAAGACAAATGGAAGGAGATCACATCTCATCCATGATCATTATCAGTGGTATCCCAAGGTTATCAAATTCAATTTGCAAAGAGAGCGATTCCATAAAAATCTCATCAAACGAGGATGTCGCCGAAAAATCAGCAAGCATTGGATACAGCAGGGAAGAAGTTTCTAACCGCAGGAATTTTGGAGGTGTCACCAACTCAAAACAAACAATTTCTCTCTAACCTATTTACGATTTAAGAACCGAACAAGCACACGGCCAATCCTGGACTGTCAGAAGTTAAATCAATTTACACAATGCAACCATTTCAAGATGGAGGGTGTTCATGCCCTGCAGGATATAAAGAACGATTACATCTGCAAATTGGATCTCGAAGATGCTTATGTAGTGGTTCCAGTCCACCCACAATCCAGACCATAATTGACATTCGAAAACATGAGCGTAGTGTACCAGTACAAATCCCTTGCATTTGAACTAAGCAGCGCACCGAGAGTCTTCTCAAAGTTGATGAAATATGCAATCAAACCGTTAAGAAAACAAGGCTTTCGTCTAGTTTATTATTTGGACGACATTCGTCTACTATCAAAATCAAAAATAGAAGTAGAGGATCTGTGCAAAGCAGTTACCAACCAACCATTTGGAATCATTGGGATTATAATAAATCGAGAAAAGTATACTGATCCGATAGCAATCACGGAAATGTCTAGAACTCCGTATTTTTTTCAAACGTATTTTTTAGAATCACGCGATGGTATACACGTCGATTGACATGCCATATCATCTAAACTTCATGGGATGATCGATTTCTGTTTTCCATAAAATCTGCTTCACTCTCATTACAAGCTACTATTGGAACGCAGATAGACAATTACCAAGCTCTGACTTGCTTGGAAGGTTTTTGCAAGTGTTTCTATTTTAAGTAAAGGCTCAAACATTATGGATGATAAAATAGACAAATGAAATCATCTTGACATAAGCTTGTTTATCAGCCTATTAATAAAGCTGGTTCACACACTTTATTCTTCTCCTTTTCTTTTCTCTCAGCATATTTCTTCTATCTTATGAAAGTAACCAATAATGTAAAAAGGTTAGTTAGTAATGAATCTTGTTTCTTTGAAAAGACACTAAATTGAAAAAGATGTATTACGATATTACGGCTGCGGCTAGTCTTTGCTATAGGAGGGCGACCTCCTATGCAGGATTCTTGAGTTTTTAAAACTCACGGACCGTGAATAGCTGTGATTGCACTGTAAATAGTTGTAATCATACTGGCCTGCTGGTCTTCTGGCTAGAATTTCTGTAAGTGGTATAAAAAAAAAATACGTTTGAAAAAAATACGGAGGTCTAGACATTTCCTCATTTTCCGGTCGGACTAAAAATGTAATGCCTTTTTTTAGCGAGTCCGCGGCGGTCAAAAAATAATTACATTGATTTTCCTCTTTAACTTTTGTAAACATGAATACGCATAACATAATCGCACAATTCCTTGAGGATGAAGAAAAGCAAAGAAAATTGAAATTAGATCGTAATAGAAAAATTTTATTGCACGCAATTAAAAAGAGAAAGACAGAACAGGTTGTCAAAGAGAAAAAGAGACATATTGACTGGGACAGAGAAGCGGAGCACGAAAGACTCTAAGCAATACTTTGCCGAGAATCCTACCTATCCAGACACTTATTTTCGTCGTCGTTTTAGAATGGATAAGGAGTTGTTTTTGAGAATACTTGGGGATTTGGAAAACAAGGATAACTATTTTAAGCAGAAGAATGATGCAACTGGGAGATCAAGCATTTCAGGTCTTCTTAAAATGGCTATATCTGTTCGTCAACTTGCTTACGGTGTTCCACCAGACATGTTGGATGATCAATATGGAATGGCCGAGTCCACCGGTAAAAACGCCTTGCGCCATTTTTGCAAGGCCATTATTCGATTGTACGGGGAGGAATACCTTCGATCACCTACGGATGAAGATGTGGAACGAATCCTGAAAGAAAATTCAGAGAGAGGTTTTCCTGGTATGCTAGGCTCTTTGGACTGCGTGCATTGGGAGTGGAAAAACTGTCCCACTGGCTGGCATGGGATGTGCAAGGACAAGGAAAAGGTCCCTACGATCATCCTTGAAGCTGTCGCTTCCAAGGATCGCTGGATTTGGCATGCCTTTTTTGGTCTTCCTGGGTCTTTGAATGACATCAACGTCCTTGACCGCTCTTACCTTTTCCAAGATGTAGCTAACAGTCAAGGACCTGGTACTAATTTCAGTATAAATGGCCATCAATACAATATGGGGTATTATCTCACTGATGGTATTTACCCTCAATATGCTGCGTTTGTCAAAGGGCATAGAAATTTATCAAACGAAAAAGGACCGGTTCGTATCAACAGCAACTATCATTAAGCAGCTCCCTGATCTGTCTGAAGAGACGAAAGAGATTCTCCAGAAATATGAGTTTGACAATAAAACTGCCTTGGAGTTTTATGAATTTGCTGAAGATGTTAAGGCCCACCCTATCAACGAGTTTGAGAGAGGCGAAAATGGGTGCCATCAATGTATCCAATACAATTACGAAAAAAGTGTTGTTTTTTGATGGTGCAGCTGCGAGATGAAGTCTTTGCTCAAGCACAATGTTATCATTGAAAATGAAGAAGAAGCGGAGGAGATGCACGAACTCTTGAGTGGATTAGAAACGAAACGTGTTCTCAACAGTGGACCTGGCATTCCTAAACTGGACCAGTATCGCGAGTATTTCCTCGAGTGGAATGACGAAAAGTTTGTTAAGATTTGTAGAATGAATAAGGACTCGTTCTTAAAGCACCTTCGCTTGATTGAAGGTCACGCAGTCTTCAACAATCACAGTTTCATTCCTCAAAGGGATGTTCACGTTCAACTTGCAGTAACCTTGAGACGATCAAGTCACGATGGAACTGGTAACAGCAAAGGCTCTGTCACTGATTACACCAGCCGCTGTTTCAAGGCAATTACCGACAACCTTAAACACTTGATGAGTTGGCCTAACAAGGAACAAAGAGAAAGAGCTCAAAGTTTGTTGTCTAGGATAAAAAATGGACAAAGGAGAGTGTCAAGTCCGCATGTGAACTTTTTTTTGAATATGAGGAGCTCGCCATTTATGACTATTCTGAAGCAGACTTACTTCACACCGTTTGGGATTTTGTGTACAAGCTGTATAAACAAAAAAGTATCAAGGCTAAACTGGGTGAAAGGGTTAGTAAGGCTGTCTCATCTGCAAAAAATGCTGGCCGATCCATTGAAGCAATTGAAAGAAGACCAAGAAAAATCATGGGATCAAAACTTGACATATTATTCAAGGCTGGTATATATGAACTTGGATCATGCGAGGTTGGAAAGCATGACGTCGAGGAAACTGATGATAAGTACATCAATGATGGTCTCTTGAAACTACCAAAGACCTTAAAAGATATGCTGTCTTTACAAGTACGAACCAACATAAACAATATCAATGCCTTGGTAACAGTTGGTTACTTGATGATGGGTAATTTTTTTTTTTTTGCCTAATCCAGAGCAATGACTAATTAGACTAACAAAAATTCATCATTCTTATTCATAAAAATTAGGGGCAACAAAAAGAAAGGCGCCTGAGGACAAGTTATCTGTCCCCAAAGGTATTACAGGTGGCCACTATCTTCAGTTTTTAAGCGATACCATGGATATCATGGATGAGTTTGCTGAAATGAAATGTTATTTCATTATTATGGATAATGCTCCAATCCACGTCTCTGGGGAAATTGACCCTGTAATTGTAAAAAGAGGTTATACTCCTGTATACCTCCTCACCAGAACTCAATCCCATCGAACAATCCTGGGCTATTATATAAGAAAAGGTCAAGCGCAATAAGCTGAGTGACGTAATATCCCTAACTATACGCATAACTGAAGCTGGTGAAAGTGTACCAGCTGAACACCTTATAGTATTTATTCAACATTCAGTTAATCAATTCGATAATTGTCTCAAAATAATTCCTATATAGCTCACACCTAACGAAAATAAATAATTTTTAAAAATATGATATCTATAAAAAGTGACCAATGCTTTCACAAAAGTGTCCAATTGAGGGCGGACGCACTGTATTGGATATTTTCGCCAAAAATGCGATGTGGTCAATTTTTAATAAATCTTTCTCAAAATTTTGCGGTGTATGATATCCTCAACAGAGTCCATGTCATAAAAGCTTTCTGGCGCACCACAATAATTCCTATCATTTGGCAACAATTGACTCCATATTGGTCCCACGGCAATCAAAATATTAACCCTATTCTTACAGTTGATATTCACGAATTCATCTCGAGGATCATATCGTTAATCGAGCGGCTTCTTAAACCACAAGTAGTGGAATAATCACACCTCATATCTTAAATTTTTATTACAGTATTAAATTCAAAAAAAAAAAAAAAAAAAAAAAAAAAAAAATTATAATATTTACGATTTATTTTCCCTCCAGACATGTCCCCCGTGTCTGAAAACCCACTGTATGCCAAAAGTAAGATACTTGATAGGATTATTATATTTTATTCCATTGTATTATACATAAAAAAATGCTTTAGTTTTTTTTTAGCCAAAGGGGGATTGGTTGGGAAATATGAAAGGCGTATGATTGAAGAAGAGAAGTAAATTACAAATAAAGGGAAGCAGCGAAAATAATGTCTCTGTGAATTCTGTTGATACCTTCTGAAAACTTGTTTTCTAATTCAGAATTACCAATACTCTTGGCAGCAGCACACATTTGTCTTAAAAGCTCTTCGAGACGTCTGAAGATACGAATAAGAGAACCTTCATAAACCTCGGTCATTTTACAGATTTGATAGAATTTGGCTCCTTGACACCAAGCAAACACAACATCCATCAATTCAGGCTTGAATTTATCCACATAGGTTTGCTCTTCCATGTTCATTTTACACTCATTAGATACCTTCACAATACGACGTGCAGTTTCCTGCATTAACCTAAGTGGCGCAGAAAGTTCTTCTTGAAGCTTGGCTTTTGTCTCGACCTTTTCGTCAAAGACAAAACAACTTAAAAGTGCTACTGCTTGATCCACTGATAAGTCATTAAACACACCTTGGAACATCATTTCTGTTAATAATAATTCATCACCAGTACTGATTTCACAAGCAACACGACCCTTCATTTCAACAACATCTGATGGAGTTGTGAAACCAAGTCTATATTACAAAAAAACAAATGCCCCCCGATTAGTAACTAATAACAATACGAAAACTTGTAATAACATTAGCATACCTTCGCATAACACGTTTTCTATTTTTAAGTTCTTCTAATTGTACAATCGATTGTGCATCGGTAATTCTTCTTTTAAGTGCTTTAATCTTGTTGGTGACTTCCATTTTACTGGTGTACTTATCGTATAAGGCAGGAAGGTCTTCGGATTGAGCTAAAGGATGGGAAAGTAATGTCTTTTCCAAAACAACAATTTTAGATACCAATTTTTGGAAAGCAGGATCCTTGATGCCCATATTCTTGATAGGGTCCAAGAGAGGGATATTATCAGGGAATCTCTTCTTAACTTCTAAAATAGATTTATAAATTGCCTTAAGGGAATCCTTGTTGCGAAGGTTCTTGGGAAGATTGAGACGGATATGGCTCATACATTCAATAGCTTTGAGTGCGACAGGGATGGTCATAAGTTGACCCTCGTTATCACGTGGCGCGGGTTTGATGCCAACAGTATGTCCGGTCGCATCTTTGGAAGCTGAACTATCGTTTGAGCAATATAAAAGGACGTCCATAATATATTCAGGTTCTGCATTAGGATCTTTTTTTCCTTTACCGCTGACTTTGCTGTACGAAACGACTACACCCCAACCGAAATCCATGTTGTCATATTTGATACGAGCTAAACGACCAGGTTGTAAGAATGGTAAAGCATAAGTTGGGTGGTTCATGACATCGCGAACATCTTGTGTATAGGTATCGATTTGTTTACGAATTTCATAGTATCCAGCGATTTCCTCTTCTCTTTCTACGACAATGCTGTCTCTTTCTTCTTCTAACTGGGACATTTCCTTTTCGTACTGAGGAATATTAGCATCGTTTTGGAAAGTGAAGAAACATTTTTCCAGCATGTATTCAGGACTGACACCTTCAACACGCAATAAATTTAAAATCATGTTGTAACTCAAATGGAAAGCAGAGTTCATACGATCAGATTCACCCTTCACCATATCCTTTGCAACTGCAGGCTCCATCTTTTCATCAATCATCATGATAACAACACCACGCTCATCAAGACCACGACGACCAGCACGACCGGACATTTGAATATATTCACCGGATGAGACCCAACGCATGGACTTACCATCGAACTTACGAACACTTGTAAAGACAACAGTTTTGGCAGGCATGTTCAAACCAATGGAGAAAGTCTCGGTTGCAAACAATACCTTCAACAGACCTTCTTGGAAAAGAACTTCGATGGTTTCTTTCATAATAGGTAAAAGACCACCGTGATGTACTCCGATACCACGGCGCAATAAAGGTAAAAGTTGTTGAATTTGAGAAAGTTGACGGTCGTCTTCACTTAAAGAAGAAATAGCGTTGGTGAATACTTGGGAAACCATATCACGTTCACTTTCTGTATAATAGATAATGAGTAACTTTACTTTTCCTCTCAATCTCTTTGTCGTCCTTACCATCGTTGAAATCTAACTTTGACATTTGAAGAGCGTTGGACTCACATTCTTTCTTTGAAAAACTGAACACAATAACGGGGTGATAGTTTTTCATCATGACCATTTTAATGATTCTGTAAATATCCGAAGGTCCGTCTTGTTTACCACCCTTATTAGTTTGACCCTTCTTTCCTTTTCCACGGGCTTGAATAGCACTAGGATCATCGCCCTTATTTTCTGTCAAAGCAGCAATCGATCTCTGGAAATTATCTTCTCTGAATCTACTCTTTTCATCGACAACTAAATGAATACCATCACCACCAGCAGGGAATAAATAATGTTGAAGAGGTGTAGGACGGAAATCGGTGTAAACAATATGACAAGGCTGTTGATGAATTTTACAGATCCATTCGGCAAATTCCATTGCATTGGGGATAGTGGCAGATAAGAAGACAAATCTGACAGCGTCAGGAAGTAAGATGATAGACTCTTCCCAAACAACACCACGCTCTGAATCTCTCATATAATGAATTTCATCGAAAACTACCCAAGCAACTTCACGCATAATTTCGGAACCACGATATAACATGGATCTTAAAATTTCTGTCGTCATTACAAGACACGATGCCTGAGGATTAATCGTTACATCACCAGTCATCAAACCTACATCACCGAATTCTTCTGTAAATTCACGATACTTTTGGTTAGACAAAGCCTGAAAATAAACGGATTAGTATTCCATATATCCCCATTATTCTGAGAGACTAATTACCTTGATAGGAGAAGTATAAATGACACGTTGCTTATTCTTTAAACATTGGGCAATAGCATATTCGGCAACAACAGTTTTACCGGCAGAAGTATGCGCAGAAACAAGAACGGATTCATTTCGTTCAATTGAAGACACAGCGACACGTTGGAAAGGATCTAAGGTGAAAGGATACACACGAGCAGGATCGACAGGAGGTACATGCTGAGAAATAGGCACATAAGGGTAATTAGGTGGTACGGCAACTTGATGTCTAACTTGATGGCTCAAAACAAGCTTCTCTCCTTCTTCGGTTGTTGTAGCTTGGAGACCTGCAATGTTGGCAACAGCTCTTGATGTTTCTTGTTCGAAGGTATCTGCAACAACAGGGTTACAAATGTCGTCTCTTGCTCTTTGTGTTTCTTTGGACTCTAAGGCCAACTTTGGCTTTTTAGGTTCGTTCTCTGCCTCTTCAGATAAAGAGCGTTTAAAAGTATTGATCTTTTCGTCGTCACTGGAGAAATCTTCGTCCATGGCATCATCAAAATTGTCAGCGGGCGCATCACCGCTGAATACTTGGAAAAGTGAATCGGTCTCTGCTTCAAACATTTATGTTAAAGTTTGTCGTGATTGAATCAGTCGAAAAACGAGAAAAAAAAACTTTCAAAAGCATTTTCTCAAAAACTATGCAAGTCACAAGCCCGTCACTTTGGGTTTCGCGTTGATTTTGTTTCTTCCTGCATATAATTAAAGACAAAAGCATACTTGTTTAATGAAAAGCTAACTGAATCTATTTGTACAAACAATTATAGACATGTGGCCTGATCATCTATAATAAGCAGACCAAGAAATTTTAAAGATAGGACCTAACTTTAGATTATCGATGACTCTAATATGAAATGCCACCAATGTATTGAGCCCCACTTGTGGGAAGTTATCTATTTTTAAGGCTTGTTTATGTAATGCCCAGCAATGACATAAGACGCCTTTTTACTATCTACGTAAAACAATTAAGAAAAAATAGTAATAAAACAATTGCGTAGTTTGATTATTTTTATACTCAAATTATACTAGTATTTCTGCTGGCTAGTACATGCTCGACAACCTTACTAGTTGTATTCGAGTATATTCTATTTGTACTTCTTGGTATCTACTCAGCGAGCGCAGTCTTTTGTTGATTTTCTTGGTTTTTTGCAATTGAATATAAAAACAGCCGAGCCTCTGAGGAATTTATCTCTTACAACGCAAATGATATATTCGAAAGTTTTCATACCAATAGCATCATGTAAATAACTTTTAAAATACTTATAAATATCGTAACAGCATTAACATCTACATTTTTGCGTTATGCATAGGCTTACTTAATTTCTTGGCAGAGAAAATCCGGGCAGAAATGATGGATTACAGAGTTGTATCAACCTTAAATAAAACACTCTATTCATCTATGTCTGTTGTAGTCGACGATAGTGTATATCATCTATATCCTAATACAACTTATCCGTTTCTCTTTTCCGGAAAGGCGCCTAAGGCAAAGGTGGGCTATCGGTACGTCAAAATTACCGACAATGCAAGTAATTATCTTTCAGAATCTTTTTTGCGCTCCCCTCAAGATAATACAAGTACATTACACGAGTTTTTCAATCGCACATGGAACAGACACCCTAATGTTCAGCTTCCTAAAATCTATCCATTATCGATTCCAACAAACCGCCTGGTTTCTTTGCTTCATAAAGATGATGAAATTCCTACTATTCACTTTTCTGGTAATCAAACGGAACTTGACCTTATGCACCATAACCCTCCCACAGATCCCACATCTGTAACTACCGTAGTCTCGTATGTTTCACTCGAGGATGCGTTTCAATTCAATAATGTCGAACTATCTTTAGCTGGCCGTAGCAGCGTCATGATGCCGAAATTGTCCTACATATTTAAACTTGATAAAGCCGATTCCTTGTTCGGGTATAGGCGCATAAAACTCCGTGCCTTGGCTTTGGATCCCTCTTATATACGTGAACAAATTGGGTACGATATTCTGTCTTCATCAGGCGTAGCAACTACAAAATTTTCGTATGTGCGTGTATTCATGAATGATCGAGAACTTGGATTGTTTGGTTTAATCGAGGCTTTTCAAAATCCATGGCTGGCTAATGAATTCAACGGGGGTGACGTTTTTTATAAAAATGGCTATCTCTATCAAGGAAATTCAGAGGATCCATACCCAGGGTACACATCTGATTTGGCTTATTACAAAGACAACCTGACCGCTTACGCAGATGGCCAATACAAAATCAAGGAAGAAGAAAAAGGAGGATCTAAAGATAATTTTCAGCCTTTAATGGATTTCACTCGATTTATTGCAGAGGCACCGGTCAACACATCAGATGCGGTAACCATCTGGAATAAAGCTATGGATACCGAAGGATTTCTTCGCTCGTAAGTATATCAACACCAAAGTCAACATCTAGTACTGATTCTCTCTTGATCCCCCCCCCTCTTGTTTTTAGCATGGCCATTGAAGTATTAGGTGGTTATTCAGACGGATATATTGTGAATGCCAATAACTTTTATATTTACCAAAATCTTGAAACAAATCAATATGTTTACATACCAGCTGATCTTGATCTGTGCTTAGGTAATGGTCTTCGTAATGTTTCTCAATTATTATATGTCAACTACACGGATTTTACTGGATGGGGAAACCGACCGCTTTTAAATAGAATCTTGCTTATACGAGACTTTTATGATAGATTTCTTTATCTTCTTCAAGACTTAAATAACAAGCTATTCAATATGGAAGCTGTAGAACCTCGTATCAACGATCTCGTAGATATGATCCGGGAAGACGTGGAATGGGATAAAACATTGCCTGGGGTTGGTAAGGACGTTGTAAAAACATGCCTTTCTATATATTTGCTGATATAAATTTAATCGTTGAATTGGTATGTAGCACAGGATACATTTGACGGATTAGTTCACAACCTCCCACCTTCGTTTAGGAACGATCCCGTTCTCTGGGATATTGTTAAACGCATAATAAGCAATATTTCATTTAACAATGCCATAAACGATTCAACAAGTCAGTTCGTAACCTACATGAGTCTTAAGCCATGGATTTCTCGTATGCATCAGAACACTAATAATTTCTTTTCTCAAAACTCAAGTTGAATAAAATTCCAATAAATTATATTTCATAAGCGCTGCCACTTTTAACAACCGTCTCATTCAAATTTAATATTTATCTATTTCGATTTTTTATTCAACTGGAACTTTTAAAGGTTTACTCATGAAGAATGATTTGAAATCAGTTGCAACAAAATACAATGTGTATGACAAATTAGAAAAACGTAAGTCATTCGACTAAGACCTTAGGGGAATCTTTACTAAATACTACAAATACCCATATAAAAAGTGGAGATCGATTCTTCAAGAGACATTATTTCGAAAAGACCGCTTGATTTGCAAAAAATACTACGCATAAATAGTCAAGCCTCACATGCCCTTTTAAAGGCTGCAGCGAAAGAAGTGTACAACTACAAAACACGTCAGGTTCTAAAGAAAAATATTTTGCAGCCGAATGTGCTGACGACAGGAGATGCAACGATCGACAAACTATTGAACAAAGGTATACCATTACGAAGCATAACTGAAGTGGTCGGAGAAAGGTAACGAAATAATTGGGGATATATTATGGGATTACTGAATCAGTGATATAGTTCTTCTGGAAAGACACAATTCGTACTTCAGCTATGTTTATCAGTACAATTACCAAAGACAAAAGGTGGATTGGAAGGGTCAGCTATATATATTCATAATGAAGGTCCTTTCCCAACAGACAGACTGGCACAACTTGCTCGGCACAATCACCCTAATAATGTAGAAGAAATAATGAATAGTATTCGTACGATGCGTGTGAAGGACGTCGATGATCAATATAATATGCTGGCATATCATTTGCCTGCATTTGTGGAGTCACAGGCAAATACGAGTAAACCTGTCCGTTTGGTTGTGATTGATTCTATAAGTGCAGTGTATCGAGGGGATTCAACTATGAATCGATTTGACAAAATGAAGGAAATTTGTGACCTTAGTACACGATTGAAACAATTAGCAATCAAGTATAATCTAGCTGTAGTGGCTGTGAATCAAGTCTCTGACGTATTTTCAAAGGAAAATGCTCAGAATATGGAACATATTGATAAATGGATGGATTTTCAGTTGATCAATCAAAATGGGAACCAAATGCTTGGTCTGTATATCCAATCCTTATCGAAAAAACCAATTTTGGGATTGGCTTGGTCTAATGCTGTGAACACCCGAATCCGGCTTGCAAGATCGCCCATGCTGGAAGGAATGAAAACAAGGCGCGTCATATTTATTGAGTTTAGTCCAACAGCACCTAGGCTTGGCTGCGAAGTGACCATTGAGGAAGGTGGTGTGAAAAGTTGCTAAACAAAAAAATAAAATAACCTGCGGGGAATGTATTGCACGAGATTAAAGTTGTGAAACAGAATATTTGACAGGAAATTATTATTCACCCTGTCTCGATCTTTGTAACCCAAACTATTATCACTATCCAGCCTCGTGTTGTAAACACAAAACAAAAGAGGCAAAATATTTATGGCCGGTTTTGCTGACCTAAACAAGGCACAAAATCCAGTCCAAATCTGGGATTAAACTTTCCGTGATTTTTATATTTTTGCAACGGCAGGTTCATCTCGTTGCTTATTTACAAATTAAACCATCATGTCATCAAAGTATGTATTTAGTAGATCTGTTACCAAATTTAAAATTGTAGAGTAACGCCCTATAATTTGTATTTTTAGTTTACGTGATTTAGAGTTATTATCGGACGATGAGGCCCTTTTTGAAGAACTCGAAAAAGAAGAAGACAACGATGTTGCTTCCATGAGAGAAAGAAGAATCAAAGAAATTCAAGACGAGTAATGACTGAAAAAGAAAGAGAAAAGAGTAACATACTGAAACTATAGCGAATAGATTAAAAAGACGTCATGGTAGAGCCGAGAACAATCATGGATTATATACCGATATTACTAAAGAAAAAGAATTCATGGATATCACCACGTCTGAAAAGTATGTTGTAGGCCATTTTTACCACAAGGATTTCAGAAGATGCAAAATCATGGATACACATCTTGAGGTAATATATATATATATATATAGATAGATAGATATTGAAATATAAATAAACCATCTCCATATAGACTTTAGCTCAAAAATACTACGATACCCGTTTCATCAAAATCGAAGTACAAAATGCACCCTTTTTGGTAGAAAAACTTCAGGTCAAGGTCTTACCTTGTGTCATGGCTTGGGTGAATGGATATGCTCAGACAAAGTAGGTCGGTAAACAGCATTAATGAACAAATACTCATGTATAAATAGGATGGTTGGGTTTGATGATTTGGGTTGCACTGATAGTTTTGCTACAGCTGCCTTGGAATTAAAATTAATTCATGCTGGTGTCTTAAAAAAGAAGGAGGAAACCATTCAAAACGTCCAAAAGTCTATTTTCCAATCCAATGATACAGATTCCGATTTAGATGATGAATAATAAAAAAAGTGTTTTATTAAAATTAAGTGTGTTATTACAGGGAATATCATGACTAGATTGATATTCTTTCCAAGTCTATTTCTTGGTCATTGTGGCAAGTACAACTAGTGTTGTTTGGCTCTTCCGTGACGTTTCTTTTCTCGCTGGTTTCTTCTTGTAAAAGCTTGGCGTTAGCCTCTGAACGTAACATACGGCCTCTGAATCCAAAGGACAGTATCATCATCAAACCTGCAAGTCCAGCTTGAAAGATTAAAGCATGATACATATTGTTCTTAGGTGAACCATTAGGATCTCGTAACATATCCATTGCAAGCACAAACAAAAATCCAAAAGTTTGGCATCCTTGCCACATAATTGAGTTCGTAGTGGCATCATGAACAGGATATGATGCTATATTTAGATATCGGTCAGTTTTGAAAAACTCGGTTAAAATTTTGTGGAGTCTTACTTTCACTACTTAATTCGATCACTACAGGAACTAAAAATGACAAAAAGAACTGATTCATCGACAATACAAATAAAATGGCCGCATATGAATCTTTTTGAACTACAAAAAGACAAAATCAGGAACAGAATCATAATGGCGTGTGATAGTATGAACATACTCATAAAAATAAACCCAATATCTGTGATGAATACCATCGGAGCGATCAATCTAAGAAACAACTTATGTTGTTTTGTTGAATCTAAAACCGGTCCTGCAACAGCTAGTAATGATCATGCGTTAGTTATGAAAGATCATCACTGGTAATTTAACTTACAGCATCCTAAAGTACCAGCAAAGAATGCTACTGCGTTCATTTGACCAGCCTGTGCATCCGTATAACCATAAGGTGAGATGACTTGAGTGAAAATGGAACCAAATGCAATGCTAAGCCCGACATTTAAACCATGCACCAAGAACAATATCCAGAAATTGTAATTTTTCGCAAGCATGCGGATGCCAGAAAAAAACGATGGTGTCGATCCCTCTGTAACTGCTCTGGAAGGTGGGGTCGGTGGTTTGGATGGCATAATGAGCAATGGGATGAAAGCGGCCACCGAGATACCAGATGTGATATGCACCACCATAGGCAATTTATCAAGACCAGTAACCAGATTTGGAATCATGAACATACCCAAAATTGCACCATAATTGGATGCTATACAACACAACATTTCATGATTAATGTGTTTACTTTCAATATGCTAAAGTTTATACGTACCGACAAACATGCCAGCTGTTGCTCTCATGTTATCTGTAAACCACGTTCCGGCAAACTATTATGCACATATATAAAAATTAAACTTTGCTTGTACTCAAAATGATACACTTACTGTAGTCATAATATTCAAAGCTAAAGGAGCCGATGCAGAACCTACAATTTGACCAATCATTGTAACAATATATGAAGGTGGGTTTAACTTGATTGCAACAGAACGTATTGCGGCCCCTGAAGAATTTAAAACACCTGCAAGTATAAGCTAAATACAGTCATTATTTAATAATGTATCGTCATGCATAATCAGAAGTTGTACTGTACCGATTTTTTGACACCTAGTCTTTGAAAGATCCAGCCCGTAAAGAAACTCATAAAGACGTACATCACACCTTGAATATTAGCAAGCCAATTGACAGCTGATAACGAAACGTTGAATATTTCACCAGTAAGCGTAGGCACAACACTAAATGTAAACTGGAATACAGATATGGCAGTTCTTAAAAGAACAAGCAAGAAGAGAGCAAACCATGCTTGTGGATATGTTTTTAATGGGAAAACATATGGATCAACTACAGTGGTACGTCCTGATTCTGAATAATCATCGTCAATGATATCCTGGTTTTTTTTCTTTTGGAAAAACTTCATTTGCCTTGTTGAATGGAAAAGAAAGAGAAAATAAAATGAAAGAAAAGGACAACTATGTCTTATTTATGGAATCGAGATTTATGCACCGTACCCCACAAAAATACCTTAGTTAATATTTATTTATTTTTTGCAATTAAAATAAACCATTATATAACGTACAATGAGCTTCAATTATACGGTTTTTTACCGGGTACAATGAAAAATTACAAGTGACTAAGGGGTACAAATGGTGGAATAAATGACAATCACCAATTAGAAAGTATCATCATGCTAAACATAGTTGTAAATTCCAATGGTAACTGTACAAAGATACAAATTAGTGGCTATTTAGTAAGCACGAGAGAAAGCCATGATATAATAAACTAACGTGATTCTAATTATAACTACGAGGATATTTTATAACGACGAATTGATGTTCTAAGTTTTGTTTTAAAGGTTGCATTCCTAAAATTTTAATATCATCTTAAGCCCGTCCAAGTAACCGGGTAAAATGTGGGGAAAGGCTGCATAAAAACGCGTACTATGAATGGTGATTTATTTAATTAGCCTTGGCTTTAGTGGCCTTGATAGAACTCTTTCCCCAGGTGGATAACCAAACAGCGCTGAATAAAAGGAAACCAGCAATCATAGAACCAGTGGATGCATAATAAGGATAAGCGGCAGTTAAGAAACGAGGGTATTCATTGTGTCTGAGAGGTCTAATAGAGACTTGGTCTTCAGCCAAGATATAGGTGAGACCCGAACGTTTGTAGTTAACCTTAAAAGTGAAAACACCGTAATGATCAGGTAGACGTAAGTTGGCTTCAAATCTTCCAAAGGATTCTCCGGGAACGGTAACTTGCTTCAATGTGGTACGAATATAAGGATCTAACATAATCACTTCGAGTTGAACATCGTTTGCCTTGAAAGGGACCCATTCATCATCCTTATACTCTGAAATATCGACGTCATATACCTATTTATATATCCTCTTAGTTTTCGGCCCGTTCATATATAACCTTTTTTTCTTCCACAGTGAACTTACGATATCATCTTTAACACGGTACCAGTCAAGTTGTTCAGTATCGTTTTGCTTGTGATGAGAATGTCCAACAACTTTTAAAACAGCCTTCTCCTGGAAAGTCCACTGAGACAATTGAGCGATAAATTCCTCGTTACCAGATTTACCGTAACTGCAGAGACAGTAAATAATCAATCTATTTTTAATCAACACAAAAATACTTACGTTTGCTCGGAGTCTCCATTGATAGAAGCACTAATGAGTTTGTCAGAGAAGACATCAAGAGAACCAACAAATGTAACACGAGCATTGTTGCGAGATTGCATAGCACCAGCTAAGGTGATAGTTCCAGTAGCAGTGGTACGCTTGTTGTACGAGTCAGAAATGAAAGCATCAGATTCGGCAGCTAAAATAGCAGTAGAGAGAGGAAGTTGACCGACACTTAATCCAGTGCCGGTATAAAGTACAGGTGCTTCGATTGCTTTGGAATCGATAATAGCAGCAGGTGCCACGAATTCGCTAGTAGTGATAAGACTGTGGTCATCGTTGTCAAAATGAGTGTGATCGTAAACAGTTTCTGAATCTAACTCGATATCAAATTCGGCTGCGAGTGCACGAACATTATCACTGGGATCGACGCCTGTAGCAGCGAGAATATTGCCACCGTTTTTAACAAAATTGACAAGTTGAACATTGTTCAATGCTTGATGTTGTGCAAGTTCTAGCAGGAGTAATGTTAGCCTTTTACTGTATCATCCACTTGTGAAAACTTACTGGTTGTTTTAGGTGCAAAATGAATAATATGGTTAAAAAGTGATTCACCAAAGTAAAGTAGGGCAGTGGATGGGTCATCTGCTTTCTTGAATACGAGTTGAAACTCACGTTCTATAAGAATTGTTTAGTATAAATGTCATTAATTCTACGCGTGATTTCGTACCTTCCAACTGATGCCAAAATTGTGTATAAGAATCTTTTTCGGTTAAAGAGTCTAATAAAACCAAGACACGGTTACCAGTTGAAGATTTTCCCTCGACGACAGAGGACAAAAGTGTCACACAAGAAACCACAAGAGCTGTTAATGAATATAAACCTCTCATCTATTTGTTCTTGGTAAAAAAAGAGAGCAAAGTCAATATCAACGCACATTTTTTGTTTACCGCGATTAAATGTAATCAAATGAAAAGCCAGCAAGTATATCCGGAGAGTGAAATATAACTGGTAGTTGATGTACTTTGTGACACATGCAAAGTTTTTAAAAGTTTATCAAATTACTTCAAACCGCTTTTATCATATGTCTCCCATGCAATTAAATAATTTATAAATAAGGGCAGTTTCTCTGTTTTTCAGTGTACTCACTCTTTTGTTGGTACTCAGGGAATGCGCTCTGGCACAGTTTGTTTGGCTATCTATTTTTAAGAGTTATCATTAGTGTAGCCCATCTTATACTCCATATCCACAAGAGTCAGATACCTAGCACAACTTTTTAAACATAACCATAAAACCGAAGATTTTCTCTTCAAGCTAAAATTGACAAATTGATTATATTATGATCAACCAAAATAAAATATGTGTATCAGCAGGAGTGTACTATTCATTGATTATAACAATAAAGTAATTGTCGCATCACTCCAAGGATAGATACTCGTATGAAAGATATCGTATCAAATGGTTACGCGATGCTTTATAAAAATAACAGGTACACCTGATTTCTGCTTTTACATATTTTGACGTCCTTTCCAAAAAACGGATGCAGTTTGAGATTTAAGACGTAAGTACGCATACATCAAGTGTTAATGTACGATATGCCAATATGGCTATTATCAATCATACTTATAATCAATACAGGGGGGGGGGGGGTAATGCTCACATCCAAACGCTGCATTCAGAATGTAAACTTCGGGTGTTTTATCAGAGATAAAGTAATTACATCTATTGTAAGTATCTAATTTTTGAATCTAGATATCAAAATACATTACAAAAAAAACTGTTTGACATCTTTATCATCATCAATAACGCTGACTAACTAAACGCCGAATCAGCGGCTACAAGGAATGATTATCAGAATATATGCAGCCTATTTAAAAAGCTGATATTTTATTTAAATAAACAAAGTACTTCCGGAGCTGCTGCTGCTTCCCGAACAACTTGATGAGACACAAGAAACCATACATGAATTTTGATTTAGTAGGTAATAGGCTATTATATATGTATAATTTAGATAGGCCAATTACACTGACAACTATTACAGGCTCTTTAGTTAGTAGTGGTAATTATATTTACAGCCAATCAATTTAGACTATAGACATAGTCGAGTATTTCGCACTTATTGTACAATGATAAATCAAATAAGACATAATCTACGTAAAAGAGATTTATTAATTTCAGGAAGTGATTTGTGGCAACTAATTTTTTATTGACTAGTACACTTTTGAGTCATACTATAAAATGAAATAATGAGTTAACAGATAAAGATGCCATTATTATTACTAGTATCGACTGATCAAGTAGTAAAGTTACCGTTGTTAGTTGGATAAACCAAAAATGCTCACCCATAAATGAAAAGACTACCACCAAACCTTGGATGTACCACTAGAGCTAAAGCTACTAGCACTAGATGAACCACAACAACCCATGTTCGAATATTAAAACAATTAGTGATACTATATAAAAACCTGGAGAGCTGCGTTATTTATAAATGTTCTACCTTTTCTGGTCATTGTAATAAAAGACAATTGAGCATTGACGCGTAAATAAAATGACGTAGACAAATTAATGATATTCTTTTATGGTTCATTGTTGAATTATTTAAATTAAGAATCTGCCCTCCACAGAACCATACAACCCGTCAGTCTTAATGCAGCATATATATGTATTATATGCCGAGATAAATAAGAATAAAAAAATCATGTCTAAGCTGGAAGAGGTAACGTAACAGCTGGAATGTATAATGTCTAACTTAACTATGTCTTCATAATCTTTTTATCCATCCATCATAACTCTTTTCTGCTGTTCTCAACAAAATTTTGACCAGTTTTAACTGTGCAAATTTAGGTAGGAGGTTTTCGACGCATATTTATTAAGAATATCATTCGTGAAGTTGTCAATTTCTATCCTTCTAAACGTCGACTGATATACAACAGCATTAGGTCAAAAAATATTTTGCATAATCTTCCCATCCAGTATCATGTAACGTCTTGTAACGACTCTTACCCAAATATTATTTTTCAATTTCTTTACGTCTTGATCTATTTTATATTCATGCAGCAATATACATATTATTTATCTTTAAGAAACCCGTAATTTAGACTGAAAGCATCTTATTAACAACCTTTAAAGGTACATACATGATTGAGGGATAAATAATATAAATCAGCATTGCTAACTACATACACGCAGCAGCCTTTACTTTTTTGCTGCATGATTTCCAATTTAACATGTCAACTTGAAGCAATCTAATTGGCTTAAAAAGTGCTCGCGTCAGCGGTGGCTGAAACGGGATATAAAATCCCATTGATTTTATTTCTCTACTTGGTGCTCAAAGGTTATTGTACAATCTGATGTATACTACACAATTACCAGTAGAACGACCTCGTTGTTAATTGAGAAAACTTAGAGAAGTAGATGACGTAAACATTGAAGCTTCTCGAATCCGTTTTAGTAGTTTAAGTCAATGACTTTCTTCCTTTTCTTGTGTTGGTAACGGATGACTGGTTTTACACTAATCTCAATCGCAAGAGGAGAAGGTTATATTCTAACTGGTTGATATGGGAAGCTCTACCGATACGATATCTTTACAGACAAAAACGTGCTCTTGTCAATAGTAAAGAGTTGCAAGCAAGAGAGCACAAGATCTTTTTACTCGCTATTATTGATAATAATCTCCGTTACTATCTCAAAAAGTGCATGTAAACACCTCATAATTTTTGGGACCAGGCATGTTTTTATCATCTCGTGGCTGTTTTTCCTGTTAATGATTGTAATTTTTATTGAAATTTTGCTTTGAGAACTTAGAGAATCGTACCTTATTTCTTTTTTGAAAAATAAATAAAACTATGCAAACAAAAGTATAAAATACTAGTCTCTTTATGTCCCCCAAGTTATAACGGAATGTGGTTTTATAGCATCAGATTGCAAAGCTTTTTTTTTATGATTCTGCATAATTCCTTGTTTTAAAACAAATCGCTTATTTCTTTGGGAGTTACCTTGGTGATTTGAATCAACATTCTACTTGCCGGTCGCACACTCCTTAGTTTGGAAGAAACGGTTCAGTCGATTATTTGTTTGGGTATAAGTGAAGCTCTAAAGAGTGGAACGATCACAAATAGAGAACATGGTATTTCAATCTCTTTGTAAGGATTTACAAGAGTCCCTTTTGAGAGCCATCAAAACTTAAAGAAAGCGGGTGAGTGCAAACAAAGACTGACTTCCTTGCCGTTGCACTTGGGCAATTTTCTTTACTGATACTGGCTAGAGAGCCTCCATTTACTTATATTAATAAAAATCCTAATGCCTTTTTTTTATCTTTATCTTTTGTTTTGTTCTATGTAAAGTGAATGTCTCGTATTTCGTGTGAAGGGTTAGATAGTTTCATTGCCTTCAAACTTTTTTGAGAGATCATCTTAGCCTGTAATTTGAATGTATTGCCAGCATGCCCACCTATAATGCTGCTTAAACCGAAAACAATCTGATGTTATCTTTGTTTGAAGTCAACAGCTTGTAAATACAATTGAAACGACTTTTATAAGATTATTAAAGAGTTATAAATTTTTGTGTCTCAATTTCTTCTAACAACTATACACAGTGTGGATAATGTTGGACAGTATTTGATTTAATGTGATGGAAAGCGAACGGTATTATCCGATAAAGCACCTGTAAGACTGGTGCATTGCTGTACAGATCAACCTATATCATATATCTCGAACTGCCACGCGAATACTAGTCTTCCAAACCCGTTTTCATTTTAGTGGAGATTTACTTTAGTTTCGATTAAGTAGAAAAAGGTGGTTCATTAGACATAGGTTTTTGTAAGCAGAGGTTGGGTGGTATACTTTTTTTCTCGGTAGAATAAATGGTTATATTATTTTTAAATACAAGTACTGCTCATAAAAGCTACATTTAAATATGAAGCTGGTGGGTAAACCCAATCAAAAGCTCATTGCTTACTCCCAAAACGAGCGGGTAGTTTACTTTATATTCAAAGGAGGTACTTTTGTTTATTATTATATTTCTGTGTCAATCAAATAAAGGCCAATGATGATGGATACATTTTTGGTTATGCTATAAAAAAATTAAATGTGTCGGATTAGTATGTTCTATAATCATACATACATAAATCAAAAATGATATTAAGAACTCTTACCACTGAATGCTGAGCCGGCTGCATTTAAAAAATGTTAGTACATGAAATGTCAACAGAAAAAAAAATACTTACACCAAACACTTGGCGTATTACCAGAACTACAACTACTACTACTACTAGAAGAACCACAGCAACCCATATTGAATTTTTGATATTTGTATGGTAAAATCGAAAAGAACATCCGTATTTAAAAACCGGAATTATATATAAAAGACAATTTCCTATTGTTCATTGTACCAAAAGATGTCAAGACTTTGACAATCATCCTGCACCGATAAATATTAGTTTTTTGGCTGTATATATAAAAATAAGACATTGACAACCTATCGTTTTAAATTAATAAAGACCCGATATAACTGCAACACTGACATCCAAGATAATTAGTCGATTTGAAGTTTATCAAATTTAAATGCATCTCGTTTGATCTTTTAAAACTTCAGGGTATGACTGATATTCCCTCTTTTATTTGTATATATGTCAAGATGGCTTCTTTCCAGTTGTGCCTCTTCATCCAGACCCATTAGTAGATATACTGTTAAGTTATATCTTCTGCATTGTGGAATCCCTCCTTGTATGTCAAAGGAAAGTTTATGCAAACCTACGCTCTACATTGTTACACATGATATTGCCGCATGAATATTTTATCAGTGTAAAGCACTAAAGAGCCTAAATAACAAAGACTCCTTTTTTTAAGACAACTCTTCTGTCACATTTCTCTATTGAACACCCTGTAATTTTTAATGTTCGGTTAAGTTTCCATATATATTTCCAGACTTTTTGTGGTATACTATCAAGTATAACTACAATGATGGTAAAATATAAGAAAAAGACTGATAAAATAAATAGATAATATATGTCGTAATGGATGTAATAGGTTTAAACTGGCACTCTTTTATAGTTTTTGAGAGCGATTTACAAATATCTACCATGTTTATAGTATTACAAGTGGATCCTCTATTTATAAGTAAGGAGTCACGTCTTTTTAAAAGAATAAGTCCCCCACGTAAAGTTTTGTCACAAAGTACCTTGGACTAGATAATTTGATCATATCTCCTTTTTTTTTCGATGTTTGATTGAGCAGTTGTTTAAACTTTCGGGAATGATGGTATTATGAAAGCATCATTCTCTGTCTTTTTAAACGCTTGTACAAGTTTCCTCGGAGCCAAGTTATAAAGCAATCTCTTAAGATCAGAATCTGAAGGTTGTACTCTCTTTACGGCACAAACTTTTTAGATAAGGGTTTTGTGCGGAGTGGTAATCCTTATTTCTCATGCTGTGAGTATAAAGTCGGCGTTTTCCAGATTTTATTTTTTCTTCACCCCTCCTTTTTTTATTTCTTCAAATGTACAAAAAGGATTCGTCTACTCGACCTTTACTTTCCCATGATGTTCGACGTAACAATAACAAGGCTAGACTTGCCTTAACTGCTTCAGCACTTGCCTTCTTTGGTACAACATGTGTTTATCTTTCTAACCATTTACCTGCCATTGGGGTTACCAACGTGAATACGCAAGGATTATCATGGCACGAAACGAATAAGGTAGTTTCACCCGGCATCTCCATCGCCTCTTTTGAACAAGGAATTGAAAAATGCCAATATTCTATCGAAAGAAGTGAAGCTGAAACAAATACTACCCGTACCAGACATCGTAATCCTCGTAGCGCTGCCGCTTCCGATATTTTGATCCGCAATGGTCATATCTGGCTTGGCGATCAATACTTGGAAGGCGGCGATGTTTATCTCAAGGATGGTCTTATTGCTGCGATTGGTAAAGATCTCCAAGTCGATAAGCATGTTCGCGTTTTAAATGCTGGTGGACGTGTGGTTACACCTGGTATTATCGATATGCATTCTCATATGATGGTGGATAGTTTGAATGGGTTAAGGGGCTCTGATGATACAAACGAAATGACTTCTCCTACTACTCCCTATGTAAGTTTAAGTGGTGTAAGTCCAACATCATTGACTCAATTATCTTTTTAACCTTTTAGGTCCGTGTGATTGACGCCATGAGTCCTACTGATCCCGGGTTAAAGATTGTCGCTAGTGGTGGTATTACCACATCCTTGATTCTCCCTGGGTCTGGTAATCTTATGGGCGGTGAAGCTGCTGTAATTAAGCTTCGTCCTGTATCCACACTTTCCAATCAAGAAATGTTGATTGGGGCAGGTGTTTCGGATGAAGATCAGGAGGTTGTTTGGCGTTATATGAAAATGGCCTGTGGCGAAAACCCCAAGGGTTATTATGGTGCTGAATTAAACCAAATGCCCATGACTCGTAAGATCACTAAAGAAAGAGCAATATATTTCCCATAAATAGCTCATCAATTTTAAAAAACCTTTAGGTCTTGGTGAAAACTATTTATTCCGTCGTCGTTTCGAGGAAGCACGAAAATTGTTGGAGAAGCAAGATAATTGGTGTGACGCCGCAGCTCGGATCAAAAAGACTTTTCCCACCAACGCTAAGTTTGATGAAGATTCAGTAACAAGACTCACCGACAGTTACCCAGAAGATCTGAGCTTGGAGAGTTTAGTAGCTCTTTTACGTAAGCAAGTCAATTTGAATATTCATTGCTATTTACCCCAAGATATTGAAGCCATGGTGCATCATTCTCTTGAATTTGATTTTGAAATTGGTGCTTTTCATCATGCCCTCAGTGCATGGCAAGTCCCTGAAATTATCAAGCGTGCGAAAACCAATATTACAATTGCTACTTTTGCAGGTATATTTCTCTAGACTAATTATTTATTTATAAATCTATACTAATGTCCCCTTTTGTTTTGATAAATAGATATGTGGGGTTACAAGGTAATATACAAACAGATGTTATCATATATAATAGGACTAATATCGTTTATTAGGCCGAAGCCTGGGATCAAAATGTACATGCACCTAAAATTCTGGATGAAGCCGGTATCCCAGTTGCATTCAAGAGTGATCATCCCGTAACAAATGCTGTAAGTTATACTTTTTTTAATAAAATATAGAAAGAATAGAGTTTAACTTTTTAATTTGTATTAGCGTGATTTGATGCATGAAGCACAAAAGGCATATCATTACGGATTTAATGAACACAAAGCACTTCAATCACTGACCACTGTTCCTGCAAACTCTTTGAAGTTAGGACATCGTATCGGTAGCATTGATGTTGGTAAAGATGCAGATATCGTTATTTGGGAACGTCATCCTCTTCGTTTAGGTGCTCGTCCCAAGCATGTTATTATTGACGGTGCCGAAATGGATTTCCAAAAATCATGGACCAAGACCGTCACCGAACAAGATTTAGTTTTACAAAATGTCATGAAGGCTGAGACCACCAGAGAGTTTGATACAGATGAAGAGAGACATTACTTACCTCCATTTTCAGAGAGCTCAATGCATCTTGAAGATCATGGTTTAGATAATCCTAATACTTTTACGGATGCTTGCTCACAAGGCGTCGATTCTTTCGTATTACGTAATATTAGTCAAATCTATATGAACTCTAGCAACACTTTGGATGCCAATGTTTCTGGCCAAGGATTATATATGGTTGTGAAAGATGGTCAAGTTTCTTGTATGGGTACTGATTGTGATCGTGATCACATTGAATGGCCTCTTTCAAGTCCTGTCTTTGAAATGGGTGGCGCTGTTATTATTCCTGTAAGTTTTTTCTGTTGTATCTGAGGGCATTGATTTAAATATGATATTATATAGGGTATTGTATCTATGGGTGTGCCCCTTGGATTAATGGAGATCCAAGCTGAAGAAACAACACAGGATGGATATGCAAAGAATGATGTTACAGATGCTGATATTTCCAAGAATATTGTCCGTGCTGTGGATGGTCTTAAATTAAACGGCTTACATCTTCAAAAAGCATATAAAGCAGGTAAAGAAAAAAAAAACTTGGCATATCTGATTTGTAACTGAAAAAAAAATGTAGGTGTGACAACATCCGTATCTCAACCAATGGTCGGATCCGATGTCCTTGCTGGTATCTCTGTTGCATTCCGCACGGGTGTTGAAAACACCATTTTGGACACTGTGGATGCATTAGTCAAAGAGGAAGCTGCATTGAATTTCGTGATTCAACATTCATCTGCTATGACTGTTTCAAAGCAAATTGCTAGTATTCGTGATTTATTGGTTGATAACATTAAGAAAGATCCCAGCCGTAACGTGTTTGCTCGCGCAGTTCATGGTGAAATCCCAGTTGTAGTACAAGTTGATGATAAGGACGAAATTGCATCCATTTTGTTGATAAAGCAATCTATTGCAAAGGAACACAAACTGGATGTCAAGTTTGTTATTCTTGGAGGAGCTGAATCACATCTTGTAGCCGAACATTTATACCGATTGGACGTTCCAGTGGTATTGATGCCTGCACGTTGTTATCCCACCTCATGGCAATCGAGATTCTGCTTGACAGGGCCTCCCGTCACCCCCAGCACTGTTTTAGATGTTTTATTAAAGAATGGAGTCCGTGTTGGTTTAGGAAGTACTGACATGGATAATGGTGATGCTCGTAACTTGATTTGGGAAGCAGGCTGGAATCTTGCTCATAACCCACATTTATCTACACAAGATGCTGTTGGTTTAGTGACTTGGAATTTGGCCGAGATTTTCGGATTGATTGACCAAGCCGATGGACCTGGTGTTTTAAAACAGGGTCGTAAGGCAGATTTTGTTGCTTATAATAGCAATCCTTTTGAATTTGGGGCTCGTGTTTTAATGGTCAATGGCGGAGGACATGTTGGACCCACTTGTTTCCCCAAGCAGGTTTAAATAATAAAATTATATTAAATCTTTTGGTGTGTGATTATAAATTGTCACGTTTAGTTTTTCATAGGGCGACTGTTATCACCTTTTTATCGTTGTACCAACGTAACCTGTCGCTCGTTCAATAGTAATTTTGCTTACTGGGCTAGTTTCGGCGGGATCTTTTGAGCCAGATCATCATAGGCTGACATAATGATCGGTGCAACACACTTTTATAGTCTGTTGGTTTTTTTATTATCGCCTACACTCATGGATGAGCTCATTTTAGCACAACTGACGTTCAAGTGAGTATGACATGTAGCCGAATATAGCATTCATTGTTTACTTTTGGGTATGCAAAGATGGGTTTACTTTTGTTCAGTTAAACCTAATCGGTTTTGCAAGTTTTTCTTTTGTGTTCCATCCAAACTTGATAACTCGTGTGATCACTAGAATAAAAGACGTATCTCATCTTCCGGTAAAAAGTATTACATGATTATATTTTATTTTATTTTTTAGAAAAACAAGAAAACAAACAAACTGGTGCTTCTCAAACAAGATTATAATTTAAGATTCATTGATTTGGTGACAAGACGTACTTGATAAATTGTTACCGTAAAAAAAACCACTAACTTGACTACGCTACTAAATAAATATAATAATCATAAAGGTTCCTTCTTCTTGTGAGTGACCCGAATCCGACAGCTCTCAAATTTAAAACAGGGAATAATTTATTTGTTTTTTTTTTTTACAAACCGGGACCGGGAGATACCAATTTGGTTTAAAAGTTTAAGAGAAAATGCCATACAGCTTGACAGAATAAATAGACTGTCATGATTGGGTTATAAAATATTGGAAATTGCGGGCAAAAAATTGTTTCAAAAAAAAAAAAAAAAAAAGTTTAATATGGCAGGTGGGACCAATGAATCAAATCAGTTGATGATTAACTTTATATACCGCGGATTGCTATTGTCAAAGAAAGAAATGGTAAGAATGCTATGAAGATGCGGGGGGAAATATAACAATAGAAGCTTGGCACTAGGCATATCCATTTGCCATAAAATTTAAAGCACAGAGTCGGACGGCCACACACGTTCTCTCGGTTTGACCTTAAGCTCGGGAATTTTAGGTTCGGTTCCTCTTGTTCTGAACTCCGGTGTCCAGGAGAAAGCCCAGTTTGCTATTTGAAAATGCGGGGAAAAAGGAACGTCAACCAGATAAGAAAGGTTCAATTCATATTAATGCCTAAATGCGTTAAATGTAAAACCGGGTCATTTCATTTAGAAAAGTAGCCCATGTGGTTTTCATTTATGCAATTTGCACGCTATAACAGTGGTGACTCATCGAATGACTTTTTTTATGCTGTTGCCAGGGATGGATCCATGTGTGTTTCTCAGGCAACATAGTGTGGGGTATCTATGGATACGAAAGAAAAATATAGAAGGCCAGGTTTCATTTTCCCCGCATTGAAATATCGGTGATTGGTTTAGCTATGGCTAATTGTTTATTCGATTTTGAATAGAGATATTCCATTTTATGGATATACGTTTAAACTTGCTTTTTTTTTTATTCATCCCAGTATATTCTCAGGTTATTTCGCAATAAAAAAAAAGAAAAAAAGAATAACTGATTACACACACACACACACTACCACGCATGTGTTATTTTGGTAGATACAATATTTTTTCATTTAAAATCACATGAGTTTTCATCACACAAGCGGGGAGCTTAATTGGCAAAATGCGGCAAATGATGGGTAAAAGTCCAAACAATAAATTCAAACTCAAAAATTGAGGGTTTGTCAGGGCAAATGTGAAAAAGTTTTCTGAGTCACCCCATGTGACGGAATTAAAGGCATGATGAAAATGAATAGAATAAAGACAAATACAATTATGAAGATAGAGAATTCATAAGGTAAAGAATGGATTGTTAACTGTGCACTACATTGGGAGACTTGTCGAAATCCTTATTTTTTATATATTTTTTTCATGGAAACTCCGGGTTTTTGTTGTTACAAGACAGACAGGCAAATAAAAAGGAGGGGGTCAAAGGAAAAAAAAAGTTTTTTCTCTTTTTCATCCTTTTTTCCTTTTCCCTCATCTTCCTTACACTATGACTGAACATCATTATAAAACTGACTCTTATTTCTCATCTTTTAATAACAAAATGCCTTCGATCCATGAATCAACAAATACGCCACTCTACGATTTACAAGAAGTCATCCAACAGTATCAATCTCAGCCTGAACTTTTAAAGCTGATTTTGACCAGCAAAGTGGAGGAAGACAAACGCAGGGCCGAAGAGGCCAAACTACGTGCAAAAGAACTCGACATGTACCTTCAACATAATCAAACGCCTAATTCACCTCCAACTACGCCTCGGTTATCGGTTTCCGATGTCGCTGAGTCACCTAAAAAATTAAATACTACTGGTAAAATATTACCATCATTATCATTGCCCTCATCTGTATCATCTTCATCGTCATTAAAAAAGAATCATCGTGGATCACCTTATGTCATCCCTAATAGCACCACCTTCCGCAGTTATCATTCGTCTATTTCCTCTGCTTCATCCATATCTTCCCTGTCTGACGAAGACATTGATGAGGATGACGAGGAGTTACCTAATGTCGATCATCACCAACAACGCCGTCACTCTGCCGCTGCTGCCATGCTGGCCATGGGAAAGAGCCTTGCGCAAGAGGAAAAGAGGTACTTGTACAAATACTGTCAGTATTTTTCATGACTAACGAATAATAAATATTAGTGAGCCCATCACAAGCGCATATCCTTCACCAATCGCAGATCATTATAATGACGAACAAGAAGATTTTGCTGGAAATAAGCCACGCCGCAGAAGAGAAATGCAAGCCATCACAAAAATTGTTGAAACTAGAGAATTTCCCTATGTTGATAACTACTTTTGGAAGAATAATGGCAATACTGTTCAAAAAAAGACGGGTTGCAAAAGTATCTATTACAAATGTTCAAATAGCAATAAGGTAATTTTTTTTTTTTGGGAGTATAACGGGATTTGGCGGGCTGATGAAGCGAGTTTGCCCGATTTATAATTGGTTTCTGACATATGAAATTCATGCTTATATTTCACACGACATTTGATTGGTTGTTTACTAACATCTTATTTTTTTCGTCTTTAGGGCTGTTCTGTCAATAAAACTGTTACTGCTAGGCCAAATGGAGAATACCTTATCAAATATAGAGGCTGCCATTTACCAGAATGTGGAAGAGTTGAAAGAATTCGTGATTTATAAAAAGAAAAAAAAAAAAACTTTTTTTTTTCTTATGTACTTTTATGTTTTTAAAAATCACCAATTTTTGATGATAACCATATACCACTTTTTTCTATGTTTCTTTATTTATGATTCCACACTTTACAACTTATTAATTATATAAAAATCTTTTTTTTTCCAACTTTTTGTCACTTTATTAAACGGATGATAAAATCTATCATCTGCATCTAATATTAGATCCATCATCAACTCCTTTTTTTCAAACCGCTTGATCTGTTGAAAAAAGATGACATAAGTTATTACATTTTATTTTTTCGCACGGCAGGCCACGCCACATCACAGTCTACAGTATGGCCCTTTATACTATGCAGTATCACCGGAGGACCGGCATAGTGTACGCGGGTCCCTTTTGTTTGCGTCCTTGGCCGAATCTTGAAAGGGCTGGATTGTTGCGTAGATCAGCTTGCGTAACCTTCCATAAAAAACCTGTTATGGCAACTCCGTTAATCGCCTTGTATGACCCTCCTCTGAACATTTTCAAATGTAATGTCTACTGCTCTATAAAACTTGGTTTTGTATAGAATGCAAACATACTTAAGATAAAAAAAAAATTGTGTTTAATAACAACCATTTAAGGAAAGCTTTTCTTTTTTTTAATAAGCATAAAAATAAAATGACGTTCTCCCAAGCTCTGTCGTTCATGAGAACCCCCTCACATTTCTTGCACTAGAATTACTTGTCTTCAGGGATGCTAAAATGTGTTTGAATATAAAAGTTTTTTTTTCGACCGTTTGAGATATCCAATTTTTCCTCATCAACTTCTATATCTATAATAAATATCAAACGAGAAAAAAATGCGCTCGGTTACGATTTTACTCATCACACTCGGTGTCCTTTTGAGTTTCGCACAAGCTAAACTATCAACTGATGTAAAGCGTGCAAGATTTAATCGGCTGAATAAAAAAAGAGCATTGATAGGAGATATCCTTAACTTTCAAGGCGGTGATCTTATTTCGTTATTCGGTAGCAGGTATGATCTTGGTTCCAGCTACGGCCAGCGCAATAATAATGATTATACAATTAATAGTCATAACAATGAAATGCCATCTATGGACCCAGATTTTCCATTTGATGGGTTCTTTGATGACAAGGACTTTCTTGACGATCCTGAGGTACCTGGTGATGGGGACATAGTTGACGATGGCGACAGAGATTTTCTTGATGATGATGACAGGGACTTTCTTGATGATCCTGTTTTCCCTGGGGATGATACTGATTTGCCTAGCGATGGCGAATTTATTGGAGGCCAAGCTGGGATCAATGGCAACCGTATCAATCAACTGAACAATGCAGATGATGATGAGGATGACGAAGACGAAGACGAAGACGATGAAGAAGAGGATGATGATGAAGACAATGATTGCAATGAATCTGATCTTCAAGATGAAGCAACATAATTATACATAATACATTTTACCAGCATTTCCGTCATACTTTTTTCTCAATTAATAAAATACCGCATCTTGATTCATATATTTTTTATTTATTTACTGTTTTGGTCATTATTACAGTTTTGGTCATTATTACAGTCTTGAATCATTATACTAATGAAAAGCCTATTAATCATTTAGTATGCGATAACATTAGACACACTAGTTTATTCAGTACATCTATTAATAAACTTAGCCATAGCCTTTGCATAAAAATTCCACGCCTTTATTTGGAGATATGCATTTAGTCTCCACAATCTATTTTTATGTCATAACAATGGATATTTAATCTAAAATGCATTGGAAACATACTAAAATTTAGACAGCATAGAAAACAGATGAATTAAATCGTGTTCCTATCATAGCAGTTTCAGTCAAAATGTTGGCAGGTGACCGATGCGTCTCTCTATTGACTGTTGTAGTACCTTTTTTTTTATATATAAATCCATGAAAAATCGCTACAGTAACATTTGCAGTAATGTATGAAAATCCTTCAAAGTGTCTCAGAAATACAGTTGCTGCGATACAATTGTAAAGCCTAATGCAATACTAGTGCATTTTCTGTTCTGGAACTTTTTTTCTCTTTCTTAGGCCAGATTGCAATTTCTGATTACTTTGAGTTTTCATACTGAAATGTCAGATGATCTGCCCTTTAGCAAGTTTTAAACACAGACACAACTTGCTACATTAAAAACGTAGCAATCAGCCTATTTGAAATTTATATAGTTATATTAACCATCTACAGACAACAATGTCAGAGTTGTAAAAATGATTGTCTTACCTGCGCCCAAATTTAATATGCAATATAGTCTTAACTTTTATCTGTCTGTCTACTTACTATTTACAACATATTTTATTTTGACCTGCCCAACTTGTATAAATATGACCATGATTTTCTGTATTTTTTCTTTTCTTTACTTAACTCTTCATTTATATTTATTTTATATACAATGCGCGCTACCTTGACATTGCTGATCACTCTTACTCTATTATTGGTTCTTAGTACTGAAGCACGTGTTACTTTCGATGGTCAAAAAAGAGATGGTCTTTTAGGTGATGGCTTAGGTGATGGCTTAGGTGATGTCTTGGATGATGGCTTATTAGATGATGGCTTACTAGACAACTAAATATTGGTCCGAGTACCCTGTAAATAAATTATCTACAAGTATTTTATAATAAAAAGAAGTCATCTTTTTGTTTGACAATTTCATTTCACATTAATTACTTAATAATCGCTTATTACTGTTGACTATATATTTGACATATCCAATAACACTTTCTTCTCTAATCAATGTTTGTCGCCTTCAGTTTTATAAATTGGCGTGATTTATATGTTAAAGTTCTCCGGAATAAGTCTCTTCCCCCCATCAACTTCATTATTATAAATATTCGTATCGAAATAAATCGAAACAGAAATAAACCCAATAAATGTGATATTATAATAACGGTCGTAATGCATGTATATTTGTAAATCAAACCCAGACAATGCATCATCTAACCTGTCAATGTGACCAGAACGAACATCAATTATTCCCTTTCAAAGAAAATCAGAACTTTATATTTAGTCCATTTATTGATCGAAATCTCTTTGTAAATGTGTGGCCCAAATTAACCGTACTATCTAGCACGAGGAACGCTCTTTAAAGAGTTATGTCAGCTTGTCTGCCTTTATCGGTGACTATGAGCAGACCCCACCAAAGCTTCAATTGTTCAGAAAACGTTTCTAATAGAAGGAACCAAGCTGCAATACAGCTTGTGCCAACAATTTAAAATGCATTCTGGAATTTACTTCAGGGCAACTGTCAACTATTTACCCCGTAAAATTCAAAAAATACATATTGTGAAAACAGATATGTACATGTCTCGCTTTTGAGAATACCCAGTAATTCGTATGAAAGTCACTTAACTATTCATGCCATCTCAAATGAATAGTCATGTAGTACAGACGATAAATCCATGGAATTAAAATAACGTAGTTATATTCAACCGTAGCGATGCATATTGTTAGTATGAGTCTGTTAGATTATTATCCCAATTCTACAACATGTAAACAAAGCAAGTTCATCTGTTTTTTTAAAAAAAAAGAAAAATATCGTCTTAGGATGGCAAGCATAAGAATATACTTGTTTAAACAAAATACGATCACTAGAAGCCAAAAAGCCAGATACCTAAAACAGAGGTGGCAAGTCCATTTTTTTTAACTATGACTTACAATTCGTATCGGATTGATACTTTATAGCACGAGATCCATAAGTGTACAACTACATCTGACACATTATCTAATAATATATTGGATTGGCATCACTTCGATGTCTATCTTTCATATACTTTTTACATTCACTAATTTTATTGGGAACAAATAACAATGAATCTAACAGTTCAAATAGACTAAATAACGAAAGTAAATCGAATGGAATTCCTTTACGCGTTTATAAACAGTCGTGGAGATCATAGGCAAAGCTCTTGCTTGATAAACCACGAATGTGTAACTCGATGTAGTGAACTTTGCACATAAAAAAGACACCCGAGTCGGCACTGTAATAGGCCATTGTTTTAGCTTTATTTCCAGTACTCTAAGGATGTGCTACATCAGTTTGAGACCACTAAGAGACACAACTTTATATGGAAAATACCAAGTGTATTCATATAACTATAGAAATACATGGAAAAGTGTGTTTATGGCTATTTTCATCTTCTTCCTTAATAATCTGAGCAAGCTTAAGCCAGTGAATCGTTTGCAGGAAGAGAATTCGACAATGAGGATGAGGGATGCATGCGGCGGGGGTGCTTAACCATCAGTGAACATCAGGGATTTTGTAAATATTGCGATAATAAATTTGATGATTGTCTAAATGGTAAAATATGATTTTCTTTCTGGTCATTTTGTTCGTACAATATGCATTGGAAAATTATTAGACTTTTTGAGCAAAACTTTATTCTGGCCCTGATCGAAAAATTTACTTTTAAAACGAACGAATTTATTTTCGAGAGTGCACGAATAATTTGTAAGAATATTCTATAAGTTGGTATTATTGGGATGGTGTGGTGGTATTTAAAGGAGATTGTTGCTGATGATAATGTTTACTTGAATATCTTTCTGATGGTTGTTGTTGATAGGAATGAAAACTTTCATGACTATCCATTCTACGTGGCGGTGCTTGCTGATGGTATCGCATGTTTAACTGCTGAGGGAAATAGTCCGATGATGGATGATTATTGGTATAAGGTAAAAACTGTTGTTGTGCGTAAATAGATGTAGGTGGGTGTTGGCGACCATCCGTTACTGTACCATCGAATAATTTCACCCCTTCCTGCTGCGTTGAATGCATACTAGACTTGGATGAACCAGGACTCTTGTGCTTGACTGTTTGTTCAACTCGTTTCAAAAATTCCTTAGGTGATATATCCACGTCGCTTAAATTAGGATCTTGTAAAAAGATTTCTAAATCGTCAGGAACCATGCAAAATTCTTCGTATGACTCTAGTAAAACCTCAACAACTCGAATAGACGCAAATGAATCATCCTTGAGTGGATCTTTGGAATTGGCTGTCAAAATATTTGGTGCAATCACACGTGCCAGATTTGGAATATCCATACGACTACCCACATCGGATGTAACATGAGAAAATGAAGCAACCCATCTAAAGAATACAAATAAAACCTCCATGGTTGCTCTATTGCATACGGGCAACATACAGCAAGCTAAATGTAAGGCTCTTTTACGTTCTAACGGATTTTCAATTCCTACATGCAAAGAAAAAAAAAATGTAAGTAAAAAAAAATAAAAAATACAAATAAATAACTTACTCTCTGCACAAATAAACAAAGGATGTAATCGATGGGTTAATAAAGGATCAGGCAATTCACGCAAAAACTTCTTTAGTAAGGCAGCAACCTGTATCACATTTTCTTGGGTAAGATCCACGTCATTTGGATTTCTATCCATCATATCCGTCAATTCCTTCAGTCTTCTGATATTACCATTTTTTCTGAAGACGCCTTCGACGGTCATATCCATTTGTCTCATGGCAGTAATGGAATCATCAATAAAAGCAGCTAATTTTACTGGTGAATGGCCGGATCCCAGATTGGATTCAACACCTGTACGTTCGGTCAAGAGATCGAGTGGTACACCAAACGTGCCTTCCTCTTTTGCTTTTGGCAAGTGACTCTTTTTGTTTTTAAATGGAAAGAATTTCCCCCAGATTGAAGATTTTTTTGTTTCAATCAAGTTGAGTAGTTCACTGGAAGAAAAGAAGGATTTGACATACTGTTCTACTTGTACTACGGCAACATATCGAATAATCATGTATTGCAATGCAGACAATTCAGACAAATATACACGAGGACGGCCTGATGCGCCGGTGGTGATACGAATATTTTGGTCGGCACGAACAGACTGTTTTACAGCAGCAGCAGCCATTTGCGGTAAATCGTCTAAACCTACACTACGTGTTGCTTTATGACGCGTGACACTACGTGCTGGAGGTAATTCGGGTAAATCTTTATGTTGGTCTAATCGTCGTAAACTATCCATCCGCGTTGGTGTGGTCTGAGTTTTAAGTGAGGCTGTAAGATCCGCATTACCTAGTATTGTAGAACGTTTATTGGCGGTTTTAAATGATCGTGATACTTTTCTATCCAGATGAGTGTTCTTGGCATCAGGAATTTCAGTTGGATAAAAATCATTACCGTCGTTCATCATCGTCAATTGCTTTTCGGCTGATGGCGACAATTGAATGTTATTGGCATCTTTTAAAAGTTGATTTGTGGCTGGTTTTAATTTCGATGAATAATCCACTGAAGAAAGTTGGTTATCTGTGTAAGGAATCAACATTTTTTCATAAAAAGAAAGAAAAAAGAAAAAAGAAGAAGAAAAAAAATGCTAATATTAGTATAAAAAAAAAAAATCGTGTTATATAAATAATTCGTACCTGTAATTTGCAACAAGTTACAAAGGCGGCTAAGAGCAACTCTTAGCAAAAAACTATACTGAGACAATTTGGAGATATATTCAAATGGCGTAGCCTCTCTTTTTGTAAGACCGGAACATCCAATACATTGGATTGTGCAAGAAGCCGAATTAAAGACAGCATCGTTGTCAGGGACGGACAATTGACGACTACATTGTCTGCACTTGAAACAAGCCATATGCCAACGATAATCACCATATTTTACACATTGGTCTTCAATTGTATTTCTACATACATGGCAGAAATCTGTATTTTTAGCCTTGATTAATCGTTGACAATCCCGGCTATGTCTTTCCTTTCCTGGAATTTCCATCAATTTGGCTAACAAACGAGACACGACGACAGGTTTGCCAACAATGATTTCCTATTAATAGCCAAGTTCGGGTTGAGTTTATATTTATGGGAATTTCCTGGTCGATTCGTTCTTTTTTCTTACCAGACGGAGAGCGGAAGTTAATGCTAATCGAATCAGAATTTTTAAATAATGAGCTAAACCAGTAACTAATGATAATAATTCTTGCGTGATTCCCAATTTCTTCATTTCCATATCGCCTGTTCTTGATAATAATGAAAAGAAATTGATGATTTTTTTACAAAGCATTTTAGCTTCCCGCGTGTATTTGAATTCTATAAATCCTTAATTTTAAATATCTTTTTTTTCTTTCTATCCCGTCTTATATTATTTTACCTGTTTGGTTATATTCCAGATATATACTATGAATCTTATCTATGCCAGCAAATAATGCCTCAACATGAACCAGAAATCTCTCTGACAAACAAATACTTTCTATATAAGCACCATTGGATACATGCAAAAGCATTTCCGAAATACATACTGCAGATGATTCTAAAGGATTTTTCTATTTTTTAGTTTCTGGACTGCACATCACATACATCCTTTATTGTTACCTTCAAATGCTGATAAAACGGACCAAATGCTAATCACTTTCTCTTCCATTTCGCGTTGTACCTTGAGTAATTCCAAAGCGTTCTGTGGTTTATATTCTGCTCATCCATATGATTAGCACACGCCCAAGCCCAAAAATAAAAATAAAATAAAAAATTCATACCACGCGCAATCATTGGATCACTATCTTTTAAAACAGGATGCGCAATTTTGACACTCCAAAACTACGGTAAAAAAAAGTTAAAAATAACTCTAAGCCCATAAATAGGTATAACCATATTTTTATTTTTACCTTTTGAATCATATAACATTCTGGATGCCAGTGGTCCACAACATCGTTTCTTTCAATCTCGACATATTGTTTTAAAATAGACATATCACAACCGGCACAAGAAACAGCAAATCGGGTTGAATAATGGAAATGACAATATACTTTTGCATCGTGTTCATAGTACGAATCCTCAGGACCGAATACAACAGAACAATCATTACAGGTGAAATGATTGGTGTGATATTTTTTATCCAATGCGATAATATAGGTGCCTCGTAAAGGCTCGTCGCAAGTAGCACAGACAAGCCCGAGTCTTTTAAAGTAATCTCGTTCACATAGTGGTTGACCGGGCTCAGTTGGGTGTGGTAAATATCTAGAAGCAACAGGTGCATTGCAATCCTTTTAAAAAAAAATTAGACATGATGAGTGTTTTAGACCTTGGACATTTACCCAGCAAGTAAAGCATTCAGGATGAAATGCACCATCTAAAGCTCTCACAAGTTGATCGCCTAGAGGTGTTATACATTTTGAACAGGTTGGTGCGATATTAGAGTCTTGGCTCATGGTTATTGTATTGTTTATATCGAGTCTAATGTTTTCTAAAACTTGTGGTGATTTTTGTTTATATAATAATTAATGTGCTTGTTCTCATATACAAACAAAATAAAGAAATAATAAAAGAAAAAAAAAAAAAAAAGAAAGGAGAAAGAAAAAACCAAATAATTGCAATATTTCAAAAAAAAATTATATATATTAGCTAGCAGGGAAAAAGGAACGCAAGTTATCCAAATTAGGTGTATTAACTCGAGTGTGTAGGCGGATATTATAAAAAAAATAATTTACTGGCTTTCAAGAATAACTTGAGCAATAGCATAATCCCCATCATGCGATAGTGACACATGCGTTTTGGAAATACCATATAATTTACCGTTCACAATATCCAAATCAGGTTTGCCTGTGAATGTAACATTTTATTTTAGCTCAGTTAGTTTATATTATACAAATTTAAACGTACCCGCTTGTTTGATCACTGATACTTGTTTCCATTCCAACTTATGTATAGGATATAATGCTTTATAAACTGCCTCCTTTATACACCATCTATATTTTAAATATACTTTCTTTTTTAAATATTTTACTATCACTCAAGACCCCGACCTTAGTTACCTAGATCCCAAGTAAACTAATTGCTGTCTTTCATCTGTAAACGTTTCAAACTCTTTGTGTTCGCGACTACTTAGAATACGTTTTGCTAATACTTTAGATCCTCTTCTTGTGATTAAGGAAGCGATGCGAGGTAAATGAACAATGTCAACACCAATGCCCAAGATCATTTAAAAATTAAAATAAAGCGGAAATTATAAAAGTATGTCAAATTTTTTATTGTACAAGTTTGTGTCACTTTTTTTCAACATCTCGCAATGAATTGAGGGTCAATACGTGCATAAAAACATGTATCACATACTCGAGACCATTCACCACGTTCTTCACCATTGGATATAAATAAGGGAAGCCGATTTGAGCAATGGGTTTGACAAAATAGATGACCACAGCTATTATTATTAAATGGTTAAATGTGAACACATATATAATTATATTATTATTACCTTCTACAGTGATGACGACGATGAAATACATTAAATTCAATATTACAATTTAGTCCATTTACATGAAACTCACAAGCCTTAACACTTGTATCCTTTTTCCACTCATCATTATTTAATAAAGAAAATAATGTTAATCGTTTTTGACGATCGAGATGAACAAGATATTTATGACAAACAAGTTGACCACGATTTGGATAATATTTTTGTAAATTCTAGGTAAAAAGTTGTTTAAGCCTTACTTCCAGGGACGTTCCAACATATCAATCATTACCTTTGGAAGTAATCCAGGTTCCGTTGTGACACAGACGCCAGAAATAACTACAGTCTTAGTATATCCTAGTGTATCAAATTCTTGCTCTTCTATTTGTCCATCGCCAACAAGTGTACCAAACCACTGACTAATATTCCATTTAAATCTTGTCAGGCGATATTCAAATTGTGTTTGCCAACTTGCGATAGGCAATGGCCTTTCTTGTTCATTCTCATCTACTACAGGTAATGGTGTTGTGACCAATTGAGGTACCGGCAACGATGACAAGAGTAAAAGTGATTCGAACCTTTTAAGTAATTCCACTTGTGTTTCCAATATTAATGTTTCATCACCTGGAGTATATTCTACACTAGATAGCATCATCATATTATCTGAATCCATATTAACAAATTCTATTATCTTTTGCTGTTGAATCAATAGTTCATTCCATTTCTCTTTGTTATTCTCATAATTCATCAATTCATCTAGTCTTCGTCCACTTGATCTTCGAGTGGGAATAGGTGAGGTTGGGCTATTAGACCTGGTTCTTACCATCACCATAATATCTTCACTACTGCTAGGGCTTGTATTGATCTCCCTTTTATGGATCGAAGATTTCTGACTAGCGCTACTAACACTAACACTACTACTGCTATCACTTATTTTCACATTACGGTTACATGCAGCACATATGGGACGACGCATGTAACCAGGCAAGTCATCTTCTTCATGATTATGGGTTTCTGAAACCTTAATAGGTGACACAAAATGAGTTACATGTAAACAGTTGTTTTCTTTTATTCCATTTTACCTCTTCTTCCGGTACAACAACAGAAGTTTCAAGGGGATCTTCATGATTAACTTGTTTTTGTTGATTATCTTCTGCATGCGGTAATGCATTGTCGTTGTCTTTGTCGTTTTTATATAACCCAGGTTTAGTTACCATAGTATCTTTTTTGGAACAAGATGAGTGTACTCGTGTACTAACTGAGGATGAACTGCTATTACTACTACTAATAGTGGAGCCATTTACAATAGGTCGGTCAGGTGTGGTCTTTTTTAATGGTGAAGATATTTCTAACAAAGTTGAGCTGGGCATTCTTTCCAATGTAGACCATGAACTTCTTCTTTGTGAAATAACACTATTCGAAGTACTTGCGGCCAAAAGTAAGCGATTGGTCTCCATGTGTGTTAATGATTGATTTCTTACTCTTACTGATAATCTCCGTTGCTGGATGTTATTATTCTCTACAATCACGACTGGCTTCACTGCTTTTGCTCGACTAGACGCAGTGCCTCTTGTAATCGACTGCTGCCGTAATAGCTTTCGTTGAGTGCTGGTACTTTTGTCCGTAGCAATTTTCTGAGGTGGTTTGGCTGTCTCCATATCTTTTGTTTTTTTGTGCTTTTTAGTTAATTGATAAAAGAAAGAAAAAGAACGATTACACAAAAACTGTCTCTTTTTCTTTCCTTTTATGAATGCAGCCTTTTTTTCCCCCCTTAACCGATTTTCATTCCGTCATTTATATTTTATTTGTAATAGGGCGTCAAAACAAAAAAGCTTACAACAAGAAAAATAAACAAGCACATGGAAATCGTCCTTGTTTGATGCAATGACTGTACTTTAATTTGCAGATATTAGTTTCAAAACAGCCCTTTAAAAAAACGGAGGAAGGAATTGCACTGTTTCTATTTATCATTGTTTGATATGATGAATCAATTGAGCGTGTATTTATCAAACATTTCATTTGTTTGTTGTATAAGTTTGATGTTTTTCCATCCCCATTTTCATATGAGATGATGGGTCCATAGAAAACGTAAGTTTAGCCATTCCCCTTATCAAAAAAATTAGTTACACTCTTCTCAATTTGGTTGTATTATCTTTTGGACCTATGCATGTCTTGTATGCAGTCCCTTTAGGTTACCAGAAGGAATTACTTCAAGTCACAGATGATAAAAATCTGCCGCAGTGCTCGAGTCATCTGCCAGCCAACCAGTAATCGGAGTTGATTTCAGAAAAGCAAAGTTAGAATAAAGTATTCTTTTTTGCTTCCTTCCATATGCCAAGCAAAAGAAAAATTAGTTGCTTACCTTGTCGAATCAAAAAGGTAAAATGCGATGGAGATAAGCCCTGTCAACGTTGTATTTTAAAAAAGGCAGATTGCATCTACCAAAGACCCGGAGCAGTGGGGAGACCCCCTAAAAATGCTGTTGTCAATAAACTGGTTCTTACAAAAAGCAACCAAACCAACTTTTGCAGAGAATTCATTATCGAAAATGTTTCAATCTCGCCTGTTTTGACTTGTTCACGCTATTTACGAGATTCAAAATCAATTGATCTTTCCCATTATTTAGACAACATCTTTTGTGCTCATTTTAAAAGGGCTGCGACCATTGATCCTTCTATTCAACAACTCGAGTATTCAAATGTATCTCCAAAGATCCAAGTTTATGACATGACTCACTATTATACTTGGATGGGTGCAGACACAGCCAACATTCTCATGCGGCGCATGTCCCGAATGAAGTTAACCTATTATACAGAGCTCGAATTCACAACAACGGCCATGGCATACGACTCCACGGCAAGTTTCTTTGAAAGTCCGGCTGATAACAGCTTGGTGATTAATCCACTCAACTCGCTGCCACCACAGCAGGCAGTTCGACTCATCGAAAGTTTCTTTTGTATTCACTCTCATTGTTGCATGTTTAGTAAGACGATGCTTTTACAATCATATTGGACCGATACAGCAGACCCATTATTGCTAAGCGTCATTTACGGTACAACTCTCTTTAAAAGTCAATTACTCGACGGAAAACCACTGATACTATGGGACGCACTGAATAAAAAGAAGCGGAATCCGTTCTTGGATTATGCGTATTTGCTTCTTTCAAAATATACAGCTGAAGCTACCGTCAGTCGCTACCAGGCCTTAGTTTTGTTAGCATTGTTTGAGGTCACATTTGGTTTTCCGAAAAGAGGAATTTCTCTGTTTCATGTCTCCAATTTGATTGCTGCAAGACTGGGTCTATTTGATAATTCAATGCCTGCGGGTCTAACTGAAGTAGAGAAGGAATTACTATTGATGACTTTCTGGTCCGCTTATCAATGTACAATTCGTGGCTGTGTAGAATGTAAGTCTATATATAAACATTGGTATGACAACATAATTAATATAATACCCATTTCAGTGGAAAAAATTCCCCGTGAAGCTTTGGCTCGTCATCAGCATCCATACCCCCCAGTAAATATCAAAAAATCAAAATCATATCAATACGACAGCGAAAACAACAATACTAAGCCGGTTAAAACGTATTATTACATGATTGAAACATTTTACATCAAATCTGTCATTTCAAGGTTCAGCTGCAAGTTAATACTTCAACTACCACAGCATAATAAAGATGCGATAGACAAAGACACACGACCCTCCAACAAGAAATGGTTCAACACAAAAGCTGGCATCGATGCCATCCTACAGGAATTTAAGGAATTCAATCAGAAAAACCATCACACTTTCTCTATATTACAAGATTATACCCTAGAAATGTATAGGTTATTTTACACAATCTGCCTTGGATTTAAGAGAACAATGCTTGACAACAAGAATTTCACGCTGCATCAACGCCATATACCCGAACCACTGGATTTAACTGATGTGGAAAACATACTTGCTATCAGCCACGTGGTGCCGGATGCAATCACCGTCATCCAAAGGACATTTGTTTATCTTAGTGACCCGTCTTGTTTGCATGAAGAAAACTGCATGTTTCTACCTCGTGGTATCATGGTATCTGCCATTGATGCATCTGTACAAGTATTAATGTATTCATACCGACTGGAAAGAAGTGAACAAATACGGTATTATTTAGACATGGCATTGACCTTATTAGGTGTGGACATCATCTGGGGTGATTGGGGAACTGCAGAGTTATTGAAACGGGCCATACAAAAGTTTTTGTTCCAAAATCCGCCTACTGTTGTTGTGCCCGAGAACATATTCTCCTCGTCCTTTGATTGGATGACATCGTTGTTACAGCCTCAACAGAATTACATGGACAGTCCGTGGTTACCTGCAGACGAGCCTTGGATACAAGACATAAATAATATATTGTTCCCTCCCTCTCCAATTTCTGCCTCTAGTTGCATTGGTCCACCCGATATACAGGATGATAATACACAAAATGATTTAGATGCCCTGTTTAACAATCTATTTTAACGCGGGATGTTTTCCCCGATTGAAACATGAAATAAAAAAGATGCATAATTTGCACGTAATTTGACGTATGAAGTATTTCATTTTCTTTTCTCTTTCACATTTTTATAAAAAAAAATGTATCAACCACCACCACCTAATCCGGGGGATCCGCACAGTAATTATTATCCACCTCCACCAACAGGAAATTATTATACACAGCCAAATCAAACTAATTTGGAATACGGTCAAACACCTCCAGCCCAACCACCACCTAATTATGATGGACCAGCGAATACAAACGGACAACCTCTGAAACCTTACACCGAAGGTCAAGATAAAATAAAACCAGGATCAGGATGGAACGATAAATGGGCCATCGGTTTATGGCTATGTAATATTGGCGCATTTATTGGATTATCAGTGGTCGGTTTAAGAACGTATCGAGGAAATGAAGGAGCATACAACGGGGTACAATCTGATAATGCGTACCCGGGTTTAACTTTTGACAGAGCTACGTTCAAGATTTTTGGACTTTCTGCAGTGGTTGGTTTTGGGTTAAGCATTTTGTACTTGTTCTTAGCACAGACGCAAGTATACTTTTTCCTTTAAAATAGATTGCAAACCAATAACGATTTTTTTTAGGTTTCCGAAACCTTTGATTATTCTCACGTTTATTGGATCTATCATCGTTTATTTTGGTGTCACAATCTATTATTTTGTCATGCATTATTATTCTGCTGCTATTGTTTTCCTGATATTTTCCTGTCTCTATCTGGCCTGTCTTTTTTGGTGGAGAAGCCGAATTCCATTTGCCACGGGTATGTTTTACAGTAACTTTTCAAGGGATTTTATACTAACAATATACCTGCAGTTATGTTAGAAACCGTGGTTGGTATAACAAGAAAGCATCCAAGCACTATTGCCATTGGTATCATTACTTTAATTGTTCAAACTGCATTTAATTTCTGGTTCATGTTCACCGTCATTGGTGTTTATCAGGCATGGTACAGTTCAGCGAGTAACAATTCTAAACTAAACTGCGCCATGGTATTCTTGGTATTCTCATTTTACTGGACTTCACAAGTCATAACCTATGTTGCACATGTTACCATAGCCGGTGTTTTTGCTACCGTTTATTTTTTGAATGATGGTGTGAAGCATCCTGTGTGGGGAAGTGCCAGACGCGCGTTGACTACGAGTTTTGGTTCTATTTGTTTTGGAGCTCTTCTGATTGCTTTTGTCAACATGATTCGATATTTCTTGCAAATTGCTAGAGCAAACTCAGATAATCCAGTATTATCATTCTTGATTTGTATTATCCAATGTATTGTCAACTGTGCCGCCGGTTTGTTTGTAATGCTAAATAGATACAAAATTAATGTGATTTTTGCGTGTTTATTTATTTGTTTGTTATCTAGGAATGGTTCACTTATTATGCTTTCAGTGGAGTCGCCATATATGGCGAACCCTTTATTCCAACCGCAAGAAAGACTTGGACTATGGTCAAAGATCGTGGCATTGACGCCTTGATCAATACCAATTTGATTGGAAATGTCCTTTTTATGGGTATATCTTGACGTATGCATGAATATGTGTATTGTTGTCTAACAAAATTCTTACATAGGTGGCCTGCTGGTCGGTGTTCTTTGTGGTTTATTAGGTTTTATTTACCTGAAAGCATCTAACCCCGCATACAACACCAATGGTGAAATGACACCTGTTGTTGTCATGATGTGCTTTTTAATTGGTTCGTCCATGTTCTCTACAGTTGCAACAGTTATTTCAAGCGGTGTTGCTACAACATTTGTTTGTCTAGCTGAAGATCCCGAGGCATTGCGAAGATCGAAGCCACAGTTATACGAAAAGGTGAGTGCTCTTCATAGTATAATAATGTTAACTTTGGACTAAGTAAATTCCAATAGATTCGTGAGACATGGCCTCAAATTGCTCAAGGCATTTAAATTACAATTATTCTTTATTTTTTTTTATTTTTTCGCACTGCTCTAATTACAATGTGCAGTTAATAAATTTTTTCCCTTCAATTATCTACGTCTGTTTTAAGCTTCTTTTCCACAGGCTCTTCCGCTTCCTTTTCAGGGGATTCCTCTCTATCTCTTTTAGTTGTCATAGAAGTCTCATTTTCAGCTGGATCCGAAGCCTCGATACGGGCCCGATGTTCAGCCATTGTCTTTTTGTGATACTCTGTTAACCCGAAAATTTCGCTATAAATCATTGGGATTAAAATTGATTCTCTTCATTATCGTGTAGTCATACGTACTATAACTGTTCTAATGTTTTAGTTCTTTGAGTGCTTGAATATAAGAGTGATCGGGTATGGTTTGAATCATCGGTACTCATACAAAGCACACAGTACTTGGTGTTTTGAAAGAGATTATCGACATCAATGCACTATTGCATTATTTCAGTACACTCATATGCTAGGTCTTATACCATTTTCCTGACATACCTTTTTGAGAAATGCTTGAATTGTAACATCAAATGGCAATAAGCCTTCCTTTCTAAAGGCAGATGGATTTAATTGAGCTCCTCTAGCAATCATAACAGAATCGGCGTCTATTTATCAACTCAGTTTTTCTATGTTGGTGGTAAATTACGAAACACTTACGGGTGATCTTCTTGACTTCATCAATATCTGAATACTTGAACACATCACCATTGACAATTACAGGAACATCACTGATAGATTTCACAAAATCTACAATCTCTGCAAGTCTTTCCCACTTTGCCTTTTCGGAGGGTCTTTGATCTCGAGTACTAATATTCTTCATTTTAATAATTCATATCTTCCCATTAATATTTGTGTTTTTTAGCTTACCGACAATGTACAGTGAGTGCTTTGACACCAGTTGAAATAATCATTCTCACAAGATTAATTGTTTCCTCTTGCGTATCCAGCAATCTAATTTTGCAGGAAACAGGCATCCCAGAATGATCTACCAATTTGGTCAAGATCTTTTTCAGATTCTCAGGATTAGTCAAAAGCGCAGCGCCCATGCCGCCCTGTACCGAGAATTTCTTGGGACAGCCACAATTGACATCAATACCCGCCACATCCTGTTTTACAGTTAAAGCGGCCTCCAAAGCTAAATCAGCATCTGCAGTACCTAATTGAAGAATGACTTTTCCTTTTTCTTTCTCACAAGTGCTGAATGTTAATGCTTTCGCCTGTCCTTTGCGGTAATCCACAGTTTTGGTGGCAGCTTTTGTGTGTATGTATATGTCGGCATTTAGTGATCGATGGTGGCAATTATAAACGTAAACTTACGATTGTATTGTCGAATCGAACCGATAATTCGTTTGTCCACTAATTCCTCGGACCACACAAGATCTGTTTTCGTTATATTAATATCCAACTCTATTCATGTTGCCAATGCTGCTTACCTGCTCCATATTCAAGTGCAAGCAAACGTGTAGGCAAAGTACCAATACGTACCTAAATTTATTTGTTAAGTGCCATAGCTTAATTATTTCCAGTTTTTAAATTTTACCATAGGTGCAAGGACTGCCTTGTTAATATAATCAATATCAGGATGTGTTGCCATGTCAGTGTTAAGAGTGAAAAAAAATCAGAAAAACAACCTTTTTGAATAAAATAAAAATGGCAGTCCTGCTGGTTTTCTGATTTGATTGTTTAAGAGGCGATTAGATCTGAACAACGTTTGTTGCTGCGCGAGGTTAGCTTATAACCTATTTCCCCCCTCAGGACCTGTTGAGCTTTTATTTTATGCTCATATTGCTTGAGCAAAGCAATTAAGACACAATTATAGCTGGTTTATGTCAAGGTGTAGAGATTAAGGCTTTGATTGAGAAATCCTGCGGTAAGATTAACTTTTTACCACAACAGTTGAACAATTCGAGTTTCCGACGAGTCTGAAGAATGTCAATCCTCCAAACAATGTTAGCCATTCATGATCACTGCTGACTTATGGTCTTATGTTAATATGGGGAAGTGCTAGTAAACATGAAAAGGCGAATAATAAACATGCATACATGTGTTATTATTTGAAGCTATGGTCATACAGTGGATATACACGCACACACAGGAACTTACATCAAGAAACAAATTGGAAATGTATGACTAAAAGCAGTAGCTTATTAGTTTTTATTAAAATCTTTTTGGAGTGGCATTAGACATAAATATACATGGAAAAAAAAGAGAAGCTAAAAACGGAAAAGAGGAAGGGAACGATCTAGCGACGTCTTTCTTTGTTGGAGCTACTTCTGTCCCGATCATAACGATCATAATGGCTACTTTTCCTATCTCGACGATGGTAATCATCGCTCTTGTAAGAAGAGGAAGATGATCTTCTTCGTCTGCTGTCATCTCGTCTCGAACTACTTCTTTCACTGTGATGATAATTACTACTTCTTCTAGAAGACGAAGACTTAGTATCGCCTCGATCTCTCCTGCTGCTTGACGATGAATGATTGCTACTGCGATGATGATGATGTGAGGAGGATGAGCTTTGTTTTGTTGTCGAAGCATCATTTGATCCAGCAGCAGCTACTAATCTTTCATATACATTGATCAGATCACTGTATGTTACATTAAGACCTGGCCAGAATTTGGTGGTGTAGAGCCAAAGATCGCGTTTTAAATTGGTATCTCGTCTGTGATCAGCTACTTCCTTGTCAATATGTTGGCCGATGGGCGCTAAACAGTCTTTGATAATTTGTGCCTTTTGGGAGCCTTCTACTTTTGCAGAGTCATCTCGAAGGCGTACCAAGAAATGCTTTACAGGTCGCATGGATGAGTAACAAGAATCTTCGTCATAACTATCATAAGACCTTTCGGGTATCTTATTTTCCTTCTCAGATCTCTTTGTGGAAGGACGGGGCAAATCATCTTGTGTGCGAGAAGGTCGTTTTCTAGGTGTTGAAGATGGCTCCGGTAAAGAAGAAGTATTCGAGAAGGAGGGTGATCTTGAATTGATGGTATGAGATGGCTTAGTAAGATTTTGTTGTTGCTGCTGTTGCTGTTGCTGCTGCTTGGATCGAGGACCCTTTTTGATGGTAGATTTGGTATTTGATTTACCAGAAGAAAGTTCATTGCGATGTTTGTCTTCTTCGGCAAGAATCTTCATCATTTGTTCAGCTCTCCTTACTAAATGGATGGCTTTGGGTGTCTTTTTATCATCGTCTTCGTTGCCTCCGATAAAGAATTTATCCGACAATCCTAGTGGTATATCGGCCTGGATAAGTGGCCAAGATCCAAATCCATGCTCATGAACACCGACCAGCAGCATTGCATCTTCTTTGGCTCCCCAAGCACATGACCATCCTTGAACTCGTTTGGCGCCAAGTGACACACGGAATTTGTATTTGTCGCTGACGGAACGAAGCCTACGTGATAGTATCTTCATGTCATGGTGACGTTGGAAGATCTGACCAGCATTGACACTTTGAATATCATGCCATGTGAATAAAATAGCCTTTTGTTTCGTATGACGGAGTTCACGGAGTAGGATCTCTTCAGAGACGTGCATTCCTTTCAGTGAACTATCGTTGGCTTCGGCTTGTTCGCGCACCTTGTTCCTGCATTCTTGGATAAGATCCTTGTACAGATCCAAAATGACATCTTTTTGCTTTTGTTCAAGGTCGAAGTCAGATACAGCGTCTGAATATCTCTCTTCCAGGTCACCGTATTTCAACACAGCACGTACTATGGCACGACGATCACGTTCTGATAATTCATCGGATTTTCCAGAGGTAGAATGTCGCTTTCGGCTTCCTTGGCCTTGGATGGCAGCCTTCCTTCGCTTCTTACCCACAGTTGCACCCTCCTCCTCTTCTTCGTTGATGTGCTCGTTATAAGTGATACGATTCTTTTTGGCAGCACGATCATACAACGCAGCTTGGTCATCTAATTTCTGTTGCTCCTCGACTTTTTCAAGTTCACTGGAAGGAATGATATCGTCCCAACTCAAATCATTTGCTGTACCTCCATAATCCGTGATTTTGAACTGGGCCAAGAAATCTTCAGATCCTAAAGCACTGTCATCACCTTCTGCCGTCTCAGTTTGTTCAGCACGAGCTAAAATATCGTCCAGATCCATGTCGTTCAATTTTTCATTATTCTCGGATGTCTGAAACATATTTTGTGCCCCGAATTTGAGGATGGCCGAAAGCTCATCTTTACTGAAAGGTAATTCACGGTTTTTACCGGTAGCGGTCTTTAAGGATTGTTCAGCAACTAAATTCTGTTCTTGCTCTGTGAGCTGGCCTGAGGTATCCATGCGTTTAATGATACAGTATTCAAGCACCATCTTTCGTTTCGCACGTTCAATAATGTCCTCTTCCATCGTGCCTTTGGTGACGAATCGATAGACATTAACCGATTTAGTTTGTCCGATACGATGCGCGCGTGACATGGCTTGCAAGTCATTCTGAGGATTCCAGTCTGAATCAAAGATAATGACGGTATCAGCCGTGGTGAGATTGATACCCATACCGCCTGCACGTGTTGAAAGAATGAAGGCAAAATCAGGACTTTCAGGTGCATTGAAATGTTCGATAGCCTTGTTACGATCCTCGGGCTTCATAGAACCATCCAATCGCTGGAATGTGTGACCACGTAAAGTCATGTAATCCGAAAGGATATCCAACATCATGACTAACTGAGAAAAGATCAAGACGCGGTGACCATCTGATTTCAACCGAGTCAATAGCTTATCCAGCAAGACCATCTTTCCACTATTTTCGATCAGGCCTTTTAACTGTGTGACCCTACTGGTAGAGACCTCTTCTACTTCGGGGAATAAGAAGGGATGATTACTGGCCTTCTTTAATTCTATGGCGATATTCAACCATTGTTTCTTGTTATCTGCACTGCCAGCTAATAAACCAAAGTTCTTTGCGAGAATATGTTTATAGTAAGTCTTTTGAAGCTCGCTCATTTCTACTCGTAAAATACGTTCGGACTTGTTGGGTAGTGATTTCTCTACATCCTTCTTCAAACGACGCAACATGATATTCTTAATGCTGTTGTGTAAAGCAGAAATTTTTCCTTCTTGGTTGATATCTTCTACATCAATATCTGCATAGTCTGTAACATCCATGTTAGGATTCAAGAACCGCACTAAGGCTAAAAGTTCCTTGACATTATTTTGTAATGGTGTACCAGTGATCAAGAGTCTGTTGGTTGTTTGAAAACTGGAAAGAGCTTCATAAAGTTGTGAAGCAGCATTCTTTAAACGATGAGCCTCATCCACTGCAAGATATTGCCATCGAATACCGCTCATGAAATCCTTGTCTTTCAATACGATTTCATAGGTCGTGATCACCACATTAAATTTGAAGCGCTTAGTACCATTGACATAAAATTCATGATTACGGATGACTTCACGTGCTTGGGGATTACCGAGGTAACACAAGACATTCATTTGGGGAGCCCATTGTTTGAATTCTTGCATCCAATTATCAGATGTAGACAAAGGCACAACAACCAGGAAGGGTCCATACAGGTTACGGGTGTTGTAAAGGGCATTTAAGAAACTGATGGTTTGAACAGTTTTACCTAGACCCATTTCATCGGCAAGGATACCATTTTCATTATGACACCAAAGCCAATACATCCAATTTACACCGTGTAGTTGATAGTCACGCAATTCGCCGCCATTAATATAAGAAGGCTGCGTTTTAAAGGCCTTAAATTCAGGACGTTGCCCTCTTGGGTATGTCATGGAACGATGCGGTATATGAGTGTTTTGCTCTCTTTCCATAAACTCGTCGATTTCATTCTGATAGTCTGCGGATATTAAATCTTCCTCTTCCCATGTACATTCATCATAATGAAGACGCTTCCATTTGACAAAGTATTCAACGTTGGGAGGTGAGCCACGCATTGATATCACACGTTCTACTGTACGCCAATCATTAATTTCATCTCGACGACGAGATATGTTGATGTCCTGTTGCTCAATTTCCTCTTTGGTTGTTTCGGCATGACGTCTAAAGTACTGCTCTTCAATGATTCGGTTACGGATATAGTTTTCCAACTTTCGAAATCCTTTGAAGGAATGTAAGTAGTCGAATGTGTCCCAAGTGTCATGAAGATGTGACCACGATTTCCATTTGATTAAGTATTCGATATTCGTCTCTGGATCATCTGGGCCTTCTATAATTATGCATGTTGTATCAGTACAAAAATAAATGGGATCGCTAATTTACATAAAAACATACCAGTGCTGGTGTCTTTTCTGCGGTGATCAAGAACACTTTCAATTACTTCCCCATCATCTTCTTCGGGTGGAGGTGCGGCATAAGGGTCTTTTGTTTCGTCGTCAGACACACCCCACATCTCACCATTATCCTCATTATAGTTGGTTACTTTACGACTACGGGTGGAGTGACGTGCATAATCGCTTGGTGAAATCGCACCTAATTGATTCATATATATAAAAAATGAAAGTTTATAAACTCTTTCTAATAAAAGGAAGACTACATGTATTCATTATTAATATCGAATAAAATAGTAATTACCTGCACTCTGCTGTCTGTTTTGACGACGATGATTACGTTTGGGTTTTGTCTTTTTTGGCATCCCCCAGTTATCATCAGAGCTAGAATCGTTGTTATCTTCAGAATTGATGTTTTCATCATTAGAAACATCACTAACATATGCGATTACTAAATAAAGAAAAGTCAGTTAGTTTAAAGAGAGACAAGGCGTAATAAAACTATGTGGTATAAAAAGCTGACCTCGCTTAGAAAGTCGATTATTTTTTCTTCTCGGTTGTGATAAGTTGCCATAATCATCATCCGAGCTACTATCTAATGCTTCCTCATCTGTTGTAAACGTGACTTCCTCAGAATCACCTTCAGGCTGTTCATGGTGCCAGGAATAATTTAAGTTATGGAGTTTCAAAATTAAGGAAAAAAAAAACTTACTGTTAAACTTGACTTGTCTTTTTGTCGATTGGAACGACGTAAACAGTATAAATCTGGGTCAAGATAGTTTTCTTCTTCTTCCTGATTTTGTTCATTACTACTTAGTTCTTCTCCAGAAGAACCAAAGGGAGAAGGAGAACTTTGAGGTGATAAAAGGTGGTTCTCATCGTCTGTAGTGACTTGGTGTTGATCGGAATGAACAGATCGCTGTCTGTTATTTAAGTTATTGGTGATGCCGTCGTCTGAGTATCCTTCTGAGTCACTGTCAGAGAAAATATTATTACTATGGGAACTGTTCATGTTCCTATCTGTAGTCGAAATACACTGTATTAGCACGCGTTATTTGCATGTTGTGTCTTTGTTTTTACCAATCATGTACAATTAATGTGTGAACTGTCTTTTTTTTTTGTTGGCAATGGAATAAGAGTAGATAAATAGTGTCTTGTCTTTCTTTTTTTTTATGCGAAAAAAAAACAAGCAGTAAACTAAATTTAAACAGAATGGTTTAAAGATAAAGCAATGTACAGTAGAAGAAAAAAAAATGGAAGAAAAAAATCTCTGGCAAAAAGAAAATATTTTTTTTTTTTTTATTTAAACAAAACTCAGAACTTTATTCTTAATTTATATCGTCTCCACATTATCCAAGGTAATATCATGACACTGAGCATATACAAAACATTGACAAGGCTAGAAATGAAATCGTCGGCATAAATGGTCCTCATGCTCAAGTTAATACTGCCTGTCAAGATATTTGCCTGTAATAAATCATTGTGATTAGATAACCTGGAAAAAAATAAAATAAAAAGAGACTGCCATAAGGGTTATTTACCAATAAAAATGTAAATAGTCCATTGATATTGACGGCTTCCAGCATGGGTGGCCCTCTCCCACTAACACCGTTTTTTGATTCTACCAATACGAGGCAAGAAATCAAAGACGTATTGAAGGCAATGACCCAGAGTATATAAGGTAAATTAGCCTATGGAACAATTAGCACAAGCATACACATTCAAAGAAAAGAAAGCAAAATTTACCATTCTACGTGACACATAATAATCCGGATACATGTACACCCAACTATAAAATAATACCCACATGAGGGCACTGAATGAGAACAAGTGTACTGTCGTTTGCTTGATCTCTGGCTTTTCATTAATTCCTAGCCAGCGAGACAATCTACTTTGAGATATATCATTTCTGAATATAGTGACCCCACAATCAAGACCTAACAAAAAGATACTCAGATACCCGAAAAAACTAAAAATGCCTTCCTTATTAGCGCTGATTAAATCTACTCGAGGTGCGTTTAAGATCCATTCCTGGAGCCCTTGACATAGACTAACTTGATATATCACAGCCGTCAGTAATCCTAATATAGAAAATGGCACCATCTTTCTACAAAATCCAAGTAAGGTAACAAATGGTGGTAAGAATCCCAATGTAAAGAAAAAATTCCAATGGAGTCCATATTCTGAGTTGTGTTCTTGATAATTTACACTTTTCGTAAGAAACAATCTAGCAAACCCTAAAGCTAAGATAGGAAATGCTGATCGGATTGATTTTATCATTTGTGTCAATACACTTTGATTGTTCTGGTTGATGTAACCTCGAGCCGCAACAACACCCGATGAAAACACAAACGACCCTACACCTGCATCCATCTATCGACTTCGTTTTAGGATCTTTACTACTTTTTTGTATACAAAAAGCAATAATTACCAATGATGTACCAAACGTCTCTACTTTGGCGAAACGACGCGGAAAGAATTGAAAATCCACCGCTAATATAGCAATACACGTCGAAATCATTGTGCCTGCACGATATACAGTCAAAAAAGGTTTATAGTTGGAAGGCGTTACTTTGCTGTCTTCTGCATCAGAAATCGACCACGAAATGATTAACGAGATTGTTCCCATGCCAATCGTAACCCAGCTTGCATAATCGGATGCCAATGTCAAACATGAGAGTACGGGTAAGACATAGATTATAAACTGAGGTAAAAAGGAATCTGTGTTTATCCATTTCGAGCGAGCCAAGGCTATCCATAACATGTGGGAGCTCTAACTCATGACTTTAGGCTATTTGGCTACATTTAAAAAGTGAGACAGTAATGACTTACTACAATCGAGCCACACACCATGCTAACTTCATTGATAGTTCCACCCGTGCAATTCGCGACATGAGCTTCCTTAGCTAGTTTGTAAGCTTCCTCTGTCATCTCCATTCTTTTCACCGGCCCAGAAAAATAAAAGTCTTTATTTATTTTTTATACTTTAGAATGATAAATTTAAACTTCAGACAACGTGCATTAAAGGTTACTCAGGATTAAAAATATTCATTCTGCTTTCTTCTAAGCATTGTCAGGAATACCCACTTAAGCATTTGTATTCCTCATGTATGACGAATCTTTGTCAAACTTGAGATGCCTTTAGATAGCACTATGACCTATCCTTATTTCTTGTAAGCCTGCCTGACCTACCGAGAAGTTTCGAACTGTAGATCATTCAAATATAAAAGTGTTGAATCAAATAGTTTGCGGTAGTTATTGACAATTAAATTCAACAATTATACGCAGCTCAAAATTCTCTTGCTGTAGCTTGTAACAATGACGAACATCCAAGAAGAATCACAAATAAATCCATAGCTATTAGCAGTGACTTTAATGGAGCTAAAAATATTGCTTTGTTGACTGAATTTTTTACCACTATTTAAGTCGACGAAGAATCAATACATCCCTTTAGACGTGAGAAAATAAGATAGATAAGTATGACAGTAAATGGACAAGTAACCCTACAACTCATAACAAGCTTTCATGTGCCAGGATTATTAGAAAGTCAGCTTGGTTAAGTTAGATCCAGTAACTCGACTTAAACAGGGTCTGTTTTCCCGCAGACATGCCGTTTACACCAAACATTTGACCAAACCAGTCTCATTTTTCTGGGCGATTTATCCTGACGCGAATGTCCAAAAGCATAAAAAAAAAGTGGGGAGAGTATTTATAAAAGCCGGGTAAATTAAGAGTGGAAGCACCCTGCCCCCAAACATTGTTAAAAGGCTTGGTAAAGTCACACAAGCGACTAAAACCTGTTTTTTTGTTGGTCCAGCTTACGTGCAATTGTCTGCGACGCGTATATAAAACCTAAAACTTTTAAAAAAGTATTTCGTAGTACACAACAACCAAAAAAGATTCAAGTCAAATGGAATTGTGCGACTAAAAGTTATTTTAAGGAAGTAATAATCCCTGAACTTTAACGCTGCACGAACCAGTTTCGAGGCGTACAAATAGTCCACAACTCAAATAGTGTTAAGATGATAAAAGTTCTGGACTACAAAAAAAGGGTTCTCGTTCAACTCAAGATTTTACGCCATTACACTAAAGTACAATTGAAGTAAATGTTACACGCGAATGGCTCGGTTTTAGGAAATAATCTTGCTTAATAAAATATAGCTGTCTTGCATGTAAAGTTTTGAAGCCGTGTTTAAGTAAACTTAGTCACCTTCCAGTTCACTATGTTTGCAATCGTCTTCAAAATTATTTTCGAATCTATGTCAATTTCTGCGCTTAACTAACAATCACATTTCATACTGATTGTTACGTCATGAAAATAGTTAAAACAACTTGTTTCTTTGTAGATAATTAGTTGAATCCACGGATTGTTAATTCACTGTTTGTAAAAAGTGAGTCGAACGTTTAGTGAGGACATTTTGATTGGGCAATTTTTGAATTGCTTTAAAAAAAAAGAGCACGTTATAAAAAAAACGCTTGTGAAAATTAGCAAATATATAAAGCTTATTCAGTGGGCACAAATGTAGAACACGTTTATACACTTCAAATCATGTTGGTCATTTATTAAATTTTATGATGAATCACAGCCAGACGAAATGTTATGAAAATGGATAGCATACAACCAATCATGATAAGTCATTGTCATGGTTAGGAATACATGCGGTTCCATTGACAAATCAAAACATTTTTTTTTTTTTTTGCTAACATCATATGCTAATTTGGTAAAAGAAATATACACATCTGCCTAAAAGATGATGGTCAGAAAAAAAAATTGTCAATATCATATGATTTTCGCTGCATTTATAAACAGTTACATCTCATTGTGATAAACAAGTGTTTCAGTCCAGAGTCGAAAAAAAAAGGTCGGTGTAAAACATGTAACTATAAACATTAATTAAATATAAAGTAAACTTCCTTTCTTTCGTTACTTTTTTTTTTTCGTTTTTTTTATTTTTTATTTTATTCTTTATTAAAAGTTATAGTTATGAGTACAGTCACAAGCCAACAAGAAGAAGAGTATCATTTAAGTCTTCAATCAGGTATAAAGTTTTATTAAAATCCATTTGAACTTTATATTTAATAACGAGTTCGCTTGCTTAGATGATGACTCTTATAGCACTGGTGGTGATTCTGGATTTAGTATGGGTCAAGATGAAGATGAAAAGTCTGCAATAAAAAAGGAAGAACAAGAACCATCCATTCTAATTGTTGATGAGAGTACCTCAACCAGTTTCTTTTCACGTCTTGTGTCCATTCCTATTATTCAAGACAGTTTCACAGGCGCCCAAAATATTGTGCGACAGAACTCTGTTGGTAAACGAGCACTTGATTATGCTGAAACAAAATTACAAAATATGGTCATCTCGGCCCAGCCTTACTTGGAAGAAAAAAACACAACAGGAGGTCGTTTTCTTTCACAAGCAAATTGCCTAGGAAACAAATCTCTCGATATACTAGAGCGACAATTTCCCTCCATCTCTTCTCCCACTGATCAGCTTGTTCAACCTATTACAGGCCGTATCGAGTCGGCTGTATCCCATCTCCGAGAGAAGAAATCTACTATGGTTGATCCACGTATTGATTCGCTTGCAACCAACTTTGAATCCTTAATCCAACAATATTTTCCTGCTGTAGAGGGAGAAAAAGAAATTCAAAAAGATGACAAAAATGCTGTTAACCGTTTGATGAACGCGGTCAATCTTTTGTCCGCCAGAGCCTCTAAAAGAATCTCCACAAAGGTTTCAGCAACCGTTGACGAGGAGAGGCAAATAAAGCAAATGATTCGTACGTGGGTTCTGGAGCAGGCTAACACGATGACACAACAACCTCAAGTTGAATCTCTCAAAGCAAAATTTTTTCATGAAAGCTCGCCGATACAGGTCATGTACAGCTTTACGCAAACAGAGTTTGATAAAGTGCGTCAAGAATTGACTAACCCAAACATCAGTCACATGGACAGAATTCGTAATATTTTGGTTTTATCTCAAACAGACATCTTGTTACCCTTGTATCGCTCCATCTGGTCTCGTCAACAAAACCACAAAGAAATGCCTGTAGTTTTAAATTAAAATGTGTAATATTCTATTCGTATTAAATATTCCTCCCCTTTTGTGTCACACATTTGTTACAAATAAAGTCTTTTCATCATTACTCTTTAGATCATGTAGGAGCTTTTTTGGTGCATCATCTTTTTTTTTTTTTGTTTGTATCAACTTCATAAAAAAAAAATACATCTTCCAAAAGGTCTAAAATATGCCAAAGCAGGCTTTTAAACAAACATTATGTATGCAAAATTAAAATGAATGTTATCTTTTATTTAAGCATAGTTTAATCGGATTCTTCCGTTATAGCTGGTCAAAGAGATTGAGTTCTTGACTTGAGCATCATCTCCATAATATCCTGTGGTTGGTCCCCATCGAGAAGTTTTGCTGTGGATGTCCTCCGGAACAGAGGATTCGACAATGCGGCGTCCGTTCATAGCAGTTAAGGAAAATGTACTTTTGAAAGTTGTGGGGACTTCAAGATCAATGTGACCATTCGAAGCTTTAAAAACGATGGGAATATCAACGGATGTATCAATTTCCTTAATCTTGACATCAGCACGTCCATTTGACATAGATAAATGAAGCTCATCGGATAAAGTATCGATGACGCCGGAAACATGACCATTAGCAAGCGCAAAACCAGTTTTGGCGGTACTGATACCCTACATACTGAAGTCAATAATCTGAACTCGTAAAGAGTAGTTTTTTCTATAAAATATTACCTCTCCGAATTCGACATGACCATTTGCGACGGAAATAGCAAGCTCTTTAAATGTTAACCCTTTGCGAAGGTTAACATTGGCATTATGTACAGAAAGGGAGAAATTATCCAAAGCAGCAACGGTTGGTACACCCACATTAATGTCGATAGTTACACAGCCACTGACTCTTTGATCGTTATTCTAAAAAGGTAATATTTTCTTTAGAAAATGATTCACAAGTGTATAAAAAAAAGTGGGGGAGTGGGTGGTTACCTTGAGTTTAAGTTCATAGAGTCCACTTTCAGTATGCTCAATTTTTTCAATATAATACAAATCTTGTAATTCATCGCGGTTAAATTTCAAGATGAACTCGACAGTAACTTTAGAGAGACTCTTATCTTCATAAACATTAGCTTTACCGCCCTAAATAAACCAAGGTTTAATATGATGTCGACTTATTTAAACAGGCAAAACTTACAACGACGGAGACTGACTGTCCTCTATAATATTTAGTGTTTTCTGAAACTGACAATTTTGGGAAATCTTCAGAGTCAAATTCAAATATGGAAGGACCGTTATAGGGAATCTGAGGCTTTTCTCTACAGTATTCCAATTCATCCACCTATATCTATGTTAGTAAAGTTTTCTTTGTGACAACAAATGCTTTTAAATATTACAAACCTGATCTTCAAAAACGAGTCCGGAAAATGTGTCAAGGGTAGATAAGTCTTGGGCGGAATTAATAGTATTGTAAGTGCCTGAAGTCTCTACATTCTTGTTACCGCGTGCACTGTTGAGCAAGCTTTCGTGATAGCCATTGTAAAAAGAGTAGAAAATAATGAACAAGACCACCATGATAGTTTGATTCTTGTATTTACGCTTGTACAACTTGTTTTTGTAGCAGTCTAATCTTTGACATTCTTCTTCGCTGTTTAAAGGAAGCAAAGGAGCCTTTTCTTGAGTATAGATAGGAGAAGACATGATTGATGAGGATACAGATTTTTTTTTTCGTCTTCAGCGCTTGCTCCTTTTATATTATTATTTTTTCTGCTTGTGTTCAAGTTTGAATGTGTAACTTGAGACCTTGGCCCTTGATTCTTGGCAAGGCCAAGGCCTTTTTTGGACAAATATGCTGCGCAACATTTGCATTATTAATACATAAATGACTTTTTGACGTGAAATATCATGACTCTCAAACATAGTAATTTAGATTATCAACTGTCACTTTAAAAACAAAACATGGAAATTTTTTCAACAAAACCTAGAAAAATCTTCAGCAAAACCAAGATATTATTTTCCTTATGAATTACATACATGGTTAACTAGTGTTAACTGTCATATGATTACACAACAACGATCGAGAGTTTGTCGGCGCACTTAACCGGGGGAGTTTTTTTTTCAATGAAGATGGGGTCAAACTAATCCCTAAGAAGTAGGTTTCGGGACATGATCCGTATAAACACTTACATCACATTACGGTAGATATAAAAATATCAGACTACGTATCTAGGTGATACTAATAGTTCAAGTTTAATAGGTCTATAAAATAAATAACACGCATAAAAAAAACAAATTAAAGTCATAGTTACCAAATCTCAAGCCTACATTGTTTATTAAAAGATCGCCTAAAAATGTGTACACTATAATTCTCGAATACGGTAGATGATGCAAACAACAAAAACAATTTCCATTTCTCTTTTGAAAAAATTGCCTGTTACTCCATCATCAAAACGCTTTCCCAACTGCATTGCAGACCGTTCTATTTAATTATACATGTTTACAATAAGTGCAACTGCCACAAGCTGCATTTTTATTTTATAACCGCTGTGATCGTCAATTACTTTTTTTGTAACTGTGCACAAATAAGATGATTTTTATTGAGTTGGAACACGTTTTTTTTTTTTAAAAAAAAAAGAAAAAAGAAAAAGACTGCCCCTTTTTCGGTAAATCAGTTTGTCTTTCTTTTTTACATATATACCATGGAAGAAACTCTTTCTTCAGCAGAGCATTCACACTATTCAACTTCAAGTACACATTCGGCCCATGGTGGCCCTGAGCCAACATTGAGTACAGAAGTTGATGATCCTAGTCATCCACTTTATCATCATCGTCGCATTGTAACTGATTTCGACTATGGAGACATTCTTGGTGAAGGCTCCTATTCAACAGTAAAGACAGCCTTCTTTTCTTGTTCAAATATAGTGTCTTAATTGGACTAAATCAAACTTTTTTTTTTTTAGGTACTTATTGGCAGGGACAAAAGATCAGGAAAACAGTATGCAATAAAGAGACTTGATAAAGCACACATTGTGAAAAACAACAAGGTAAAATATGTAATGATTGAGCGTGATGCCCTGAGTCGAATGAACCACCCTGGCATTGTGAAATTATACTGGACATACAAAGATAATCGTAGTTTGTGTACGAATCATATACGTTGAATGAAAAATAGTATATTTTGCTCAAACAATGACATGATAGATTTCGTATTGGATATGGCTAGAAATGGTGAATTATACACTTATATTAGAAGAGTAAGTTACGCTTTCTTGTCCTCGACACTCCTTTTTTAAGAAAAAAAAAAATGCTTATTTTGTAGCTCGCGCCGTTTGATTTTGAAACTACACGATTTTATGCCGCCGAGATCTTGTTGGCAATAGAACATATTCATGAAAGAGGTGTTATTCACAGAGATATCAAACCCGAAAAGTAAGGAGCGAGAAGAAAAACCAAAAAAAAAAGAGGTGTGGAATTGACATTTATTGGAATTGTTATTAGTATTCTACTTGATGATGCAATGCATATCAAAATAACCGATTTTGGATCTGCAAAAATAATAGACGAAACCGATGCAGACGATTCATCCGCCGATGATGCAGCGGCTGCACGATCATTTGTAGGTACTGCAGAATACGTCTCACCCGAGTTACTCAAGAGTGATCCAGTATCCAAAGAAGCAGATATGTGGGCATTTGGTTGTGTGATTTACCAAATGCTTTCTGGGAAATCACCATTTAAAGCACCAACCGATTACTTGATTTTCCAAAAGATAAAAAACTTAGAATATACCATGCCTGATGACTTCCCACAGACGGCTAAAGATATCATTCAAAGATTGTTAACCGCAGATCCACAACAACGACTTGGATCCCAGGCATTGGGTGGGATTCAAGCCATCAAAGACCATCCGTTCTTTGACGGCGTGGACTGGGAAAATATTTTCACTTCAACAGCTCCACCATTAAAGGAAAGATTAGAAGAGGAAGCAAAAAAGCATCCTGCGGTATCTCCCAAATTTGATTTTGACCAGGCAAATGAGGATGAGGAAGAGGATATCTGGTTCAGTAAACATAATACAGCTCACAATGATCCTTTCAGAGATCGCTCACCTGTCACTACGCAAATACATAATCCACCTGCAGTAGAACCTATGCTGTCAGCGTCGGAAAATGATCCAACCAGCAATCGATCATCCTTCATGAATCACGGTGTACAAGCCGAAGGGAGTGCAAAGGTCGATAGTCAAACAAGTGGTGCATCATCCGAGAGTGTTCCAGAAAGATTAGGATTGCATCCAGCATGGTAAAAAAAAAAGGATTTGTGTACTGGGTTTTGTGTATATTTATTTGAAATAAAGTAATATTTACAAATATTATATAAGGATTCCTCACTTGTATCCAAATGAATCTGTTATCAAGGCTGGTAGAGTGACACGCCGCAGAGGGTTTATTTCCAAGAAACGGAATTTGGTATTGACGAACCGACCAAGGTTGTTGTATTTGGACCAGGGAACAGAAAAGGAAAAATTCGATGGACATTTACGATGTGAAATACCTTGGACTTCAAAGTTACTATCAGAACTGAAAGGAAAAGCTACATTTTGTATCCATACGCCTGAAAAAACGTATACCTTTGAAGATCGTAAACATGCTCAAGAATGGGTGAATACGATCAATTCAATGCTTGTAGATGCATTTGGAGTTGCAGCATAAATTATTCCAAACTGAAATAAAAAAGTCGAGATTTGTATAGAGATCCAATATTTATATTATTATTATTTTTTGTAGGGAACAAAAAAAAATAAAAAGTCAAAGGGTGTGTGGTAGGGCAATTATATATGTATACGTTGAGGGGTGTTGCTGTTTTTCTATATAGTTATTAAGTCTAAAATAAAGGGATTATATATATAACAAGAGTATCAAATCTTTTTTTTTTTTTTTTGGGGTTTGTTATTTTCATTTTTTTTTTTTTGTAATGTTTTCTGAGTGTGTGTGTCTGTGTGTGTGTGTTTTTTTTTTGTTTTTTTATGGCCAATCCGTATATGTATATATCTTTTTTTTTTAGTGTTTTTTGTCTGCTTCCCCTATTTCACTTAAATATCTATTCCTGGAGGAGGTCTTGATCCTTTACTGTCCTGATCCGAAGGAGGTTGACGACGAGGATCGTAACCTGACGAACCTGATGGGAAATTATCCAATATACTATGTACAACTAATAAAATGGTATGAGTTAAATATGCCCCATGACGACCCCTTTTCTTTTCTTGTGTATTTACCATTCATTTCATCATTGATTGGATAAAATTGATGCGTTTGTTGGTTATGTTCAGGAGGTGAATTATGATTATTATTAACAAAACCACCACCAGGGTTAGATTGTCTACTAAAATTTCCAAGATTCAATTGAGCAAATTGTTGATGGTGTTGAAACGAGTTTGGCGACGCTTGAAAGGGTGCCATATTCGTCGCCGCCCCATTGAAATGTGACTCAAGCATAGGCTCAGGCATCGATTGACTGGATTTCAGTGGTGCTGTATCGTTGTAGGGATTGAAATCATTTTTGGTTTGCATCCTTCCCGGGTAAAAGCTAGGATTACTACCTTCATTAAACATCTACAATAGTATGTTAATAAAATTATTCGTACATAGTATATATATATAAAAATTATCTTTTTGAACCCTTACCCTCATTTGCATGGCATCGTTCGCTGTGTTGGAATAGTTTCCAGTAGTTCGGCGTGGGTTTGAAGGGGGACTTGCCATATTTGCTGAAGTGAATCCGGTAGATCTACGGTTACTGCTGGGGATCTGAGAGGGCGTAGACCAAATATCATTAATAGGAGCTGTGGGAACAGTCTGAGGGAATCCAAAGTTTGTGGTAGGAGGCATACTCATTCTTTGGTAGCGATAATTTGAAAGTACGGCCCGTTCTTGCTCTGTCAACTCCATGGGGGCATCAAATATAGCCCGGAGATTATCGCCATTTTTACTACTACTGCCATTTGACTGGCCCGAAGTAGAGACAGATGGTATAGGTCCTCCTCCTCCTTGTTGATGCATATAGGGTGGTGTCCAGCCGCTGCCGTCAAGAGGGTTATTATTAGGTGTATTATGTGTATTAGTATGGTTAAGATGGGGATTATTATGGTGTTGAATATTAGTATCATTTTGGAAATTGAAGAATTGATATGCCTGAGTTGGACTAGGGTTATTGGTGGTGTTGATATTATTGCCGTTATAGATTGCATCGTTTGAAGAACGCATCATTGAAACTGAAGATTGATTACCAACAAGCGATTGTGTTTGTTGTTTCAACATTGCGGCTGCATCCAAGAGATGATGGCTATTGTTACCAGACGATAAAGCTTGACTCTTATTCACTTGAGCAAAGAGTTCATCTGCTGTGGTATTCTCATAAAAGTCCACATTTTGGCCTCCCAAGTAATCGATGACAACACTTAAAGCTGCGTGCAAAGCAGAATTGATTTTGTCCTTGGTCATACTAAGACGAATCAATCCATCTTCATCCCCAGAAGATTGTTCAGCAAAGGATATTGCTTCAACTACGATATCGTATTCTTGATGAAGGTATTCCACTACGTTATCATTGAAGTGACTGGACCTGATGGCAGCATGAAGTTCGGTACTAAGGGGAAGATGTAAGTCATATGCTTCTGGTACAATACTCTCCATCATTTTGAAAGCAAGTGGCATGTGTGCTTCTGGACCAAGTAACTCGACATTACTATTTGCAAGTTCAGCGTCGGGCCAAAGAACATGGGTATTGGTCTTTTTGATCAGCTCTTCGGCAATAAAGTTATCTTGGTATTCATGAATCATGTCGCGATGGAAGCCAAAGGGGATACGAATGGTTTCAATGATGTAGTCACGATCTTTAGGATGAATCAATTCCATGACAGCATGACGTAGGTTATCTAGATTAATTTGGTTCTTCATAGGAGTACGAGCAACGACGTTGTCTTGATTGTTATAGTAGCCACCGAGGGAAGCAAATTCTTCAGTGTTGGAGAATTTGACGTAAACACCGTACTTTTTCATGATGCGTTGAATATTCTTACCCCCGACACCGATGATGCGTTTATGATACGATTCTGGGACATAGAAAGAAATTTCGGCCGGTAATTCTTCTTGGAGTAAAGTGAGACCATCCAAGGCCTTTGTGAAACTGGTGCTTTCGACCTCGATAATAAAATTATAATCGTTGATGAAGGGCATAAATCTAATTTTGGCCCCGGAAGTTTTCATAATCTTGTTGATTTTGCCATTCTTTTTTCCAGAGATGAAGTCTCGCTGTTCGTTTGAAGATTCAACACGGAATATAGTGTATTGGTGGAATATCTGGAGGAACTGCATTTCTTGAAGACGTTGATAGACATTTCGAATGGCACGTTCGGCACCTAATACCTCTATACAACCTGGGTCGCTCTTGTAAACGACTTCTGATCCAGAAACCTGGGAGAGTTGTGATACAAGGCTTGATAAGTTCGAGGTAGAATCGAAAAATGTGTGTCCACCAGTAGCGTCATAGATAGCACCATCACGATTATTAAAGTAGAAGCAGGCTTCGTATATATTACATGCTTGGAAATTAAGCGCTCTTAATGTACGTTCAGCGTTCACACGATTTTCAGCATAGACAGTGACACGATTGTCCCCTGATCCGATGGGAGGAAATTCAATAAAGGCACCTAAGAATGATAGTTAAGTAAAATAGAAATAAAAAGTAAAAGAAAAAACAAAGTTATTACCATTATCGTGCATGATTTTACGTAATTCATCACGACGATGTAATAAAAGCCAATCCATTTTTCTTGCATAAAGTGCAGTGTCTTTGTGGTACATTGATTTTGCCTGTCAAAAAAAAAAAGAAGGTTAATAAAAAACAAGGTTCATGATTTGTGTACATACTTTTTGAACAGCCAATTTATTCAACATGTCTTTGACTCTTGAGACATTACTGGGTTCTCCAGTAATATAAATTGCAGGTTGGCATTCGTCCTCGAGGTCTTTTTCGTCGGTTGTACTTGATTGCGTGTTTGTGTCTGCAAAAGGCGAAGGAAAGTAGATATTGGTGGAAGTTTCTTCAATAATGGGTAATAGCCCGGCTCTCTTTCTTCCGCAGATAAGATATTGCAGCTTTAATGGTAATCGAACAATTTCAGTCTTGAATGATTTCTACACAGAAAAAAAAAATGTGTTATTTACGGGGATTTTTTTTTTAATCGGGAGCCCAATTAGCGAGGAGATTGTGTGTGTGTGTGTGTGTATGTGTGTGTGTGGGTTTCCTTCTTATTTTCTTTTTTTGTATTTTTTTTTTTTTTTTTTTTTTTTTTTTTTGCTTACCATTTCGTCAAGGAGCACGAGAACACGCACGCGGCATTGCTCAACTTGTGTAGGATTACCCACGATCTCGATTGTCACTGGATTATCAGAGATGAGTGAAGAGTGGTGCAGCTTTTCAGGCAGCAAGGTAATCTTTGTGTGTAATTCCTGTTGTAGTTTTTCGAAATGATCAGACATTACTGGTAATTTGGAGGTAGGTGGAATCTGGAGAGACAATTTGATCTAAAGACATAAAAAGTCAGTGTTGAAAAAGTAAATATAATAAAAAAAAACATAATAATCGAACCTCGAGTGGACAGTTTCGAAGCAAATCACCACGGGCGTCCATTAAAGCTTGAGCTGAGCCAGTAAGCGACAGATTATAGTCAGTGTGTTGAGATAATTGAGGATTTTTAGATTTTGTAGTCAGAACTGATATTTGACAACCTGTAGAAGTCATGATATTTTGACATGTTTCTTGAAGAAGGGATAATATAGACTCTTCATCCTCAGCGACATACTGGGTGTACTGACCCGATAAAGGTGGTGCGTAGCAAAATGACAGCGCAGCCATATATTTAATTTTTATTCGTATGGTGGTGGTATCGCGCGTTGAAAAATAATTAGAAAAAAAAAAAAAAAAAAAATGTGCAAAAGGGAAAAAAGAAAATTTTAAAACATGCGAAGGAGAGTTTAACTGAGAAAAAAAAAATAAAAAAAAATAAAAAAAAAAAAAAAATTAAAAAAAAAAAGAGGCTCGGTAGTGAGAAACATGGTGAATGAGAGCCATCAAATTCTCTTACTGTAAATCACTGTTTAGGGACGTTCTTTGAATTTTTATGGTACATGTCCAATCAAAGAAATGGCTAATCTATTTCCGACTTGAAAATAATTGCCTTTTATTTTTTTTTGTAGTAGTATCTTTAGGTTTATGTAGAACCACTTGATATCATTAGAAATATGCCTTTTTCATACCCGCACTTTTATTTTATTATTGTTACGACTTGCAATTACAAATTCAATCTCTTTTCATAACAATAGCTTCCATTGGCCAAGTTTGAGACGACGTCACCTTGCGGGTGAGGCATCAAATGTTAGTCTCCCCGGACCTCCGGTTCTTCCATAACAACCGAGACACAAGCTGCTCTTTATTAAAAAAAAGCTTAATTTACGTATCCGGAACAAACAATACATTGATACAAATCTCTATAAAAAAAATCTCCTTTTTACTATCTAAACTTTCTTTTTATTTTTAATTTCAAAAAGCGCTCGTAAGCCAAAAATTAAAAAAGTTTGTCATTGTTATCATCCAACGTACTGGATTAAGTCAACATGACCCTAAACTAACCTTACGTGGCAACTTGTTTTACTCGATCACATCATAACTCTATCACTTCTTTGAGCCGATCTATAATGGCGGACCTCTTATGAGTCCCTGCAGGACTAGCTTGGTGCTCCCTATATACCTTTTTAAGCATACTCCAAAAACATTTCGGTCTTTCTATCCATAATGGGATTATTTTTTGGCGGAGCCATTTTCTATGGTATACACCTTATAACTTTTTGTATTGGTTCCATAACCTGCTTGTGTTCTTGGCACCCTATCATACTCAGACTGGCTTAAAATGGAAGCTTATGCATTAATGTGGCTGACAGTTTATTTCTTTTGTACCATCCTGGGTTTAACGGAGAGGGAGAGATTGAATTTTTTTTTGTTATGATGCTCATTTGTTTTCGGCTTTATTGTTGACAAGATTAGTTTTTTCTTGTGCTCCAGTTTATCATTGTTCCAAAGTGTCACAACAGCCTTTTTGTACCACCGATACGTAATGCGCATTACCGGCAATGAAAATCTTTTTGTATTCTTTTTTGGTCTGCTTCACCGACACACCACACACTAATTATTGCGCATTTTAAATTTCTTATTTTTTATTTTTTATTTTTTTACTTCACGTAACTTTGCCATGTATGTATATGATCCCTGATAGAATATATGTGCAAATATATTTCTCAGTAGTTTTCAGTATGACTAAAGGCATAAGGAGGCTAATTTACACATAATCTACCATACACTTTTAATTCAAAAGCTTGTAAATTGTGAATTCATGCAAAAATTGAATACTTTTTATATTATAATCAAGTATTACTGTTACTCAAGTAGTCTGTTTTAGTATAACACAGAATATATCTGGATAATTTATCATAGTCATGTCAGGGTATTCTCCTGTGTATTCTAATAATACTCTCTGTCAAAGAGTTCCTAAACAATGCACGCATTACATGTACATATTCCGCAGCAAGAACCTTATCGTTGTTAAAGACTAAAAAGGATTATTGTATCTTTTTTTTTTTTCGGTGTCAGATTGCTCTTTGTTGAATAACATGCTGCCTTTTTAATCTCCAATCAGGCACATAGCGAGTTCTGTTTCTAGATATTATTTACATGATAATATTGAATTCTAAATACAATTAACAGTTTTTTTTATATCACTTTACTAGCCGTCTATAATATCGCTGTGATTACAGTCGCTTAAAAATTTGAGCTTTTGGGCTATGTTGGTGATGAAACGTTACATTAGCCCGGAGTTTCTCTCCAAGTTGCTACACCTGTAAATAGCGCCCATACTTTAAATTAAGCGTAGTGTATCTCGGAGAGGATTACTCTATAAGCTAACGGAAACAGGAATACGAAGTAGCCAAGATGACAGACGCCTCCGATCATATGGTAAACGGCTAATTTGATAAAATTAGGCCATCCAATGATAAACAAAGAAGACTCCTTGAAGGAATGTAGCTTTTTTTTTGTATGCCCAAAAGCATATGGACCATATACACAAGTAAAAGATACGTAAGTAGCAATTATAAAACGTAATATGCTGTTATATATTATTCGTCTATATACAAATTACAATAACGCCAACTGAGTATTTGTAGCTTTTGAACAGCAAACGATAAAATGTTGATATGCCTATGTCCGGAAATGATCATTTATAGAGTTTAATCTTATTTTCTCTATAGTTCTTGAGCCTACAATGAGTCTTCACTTACAGCTTTTTATAGCATAATAATGATAAATGTATACAAATAATGAAAACTCATGTGTTTACGAATTTAGGAAATTTAAGTAAAAACTTTTTTAATGGTTATGTTTCGATTTACTTTGTTTCAAATTACTACATATCATGTCAAATAGTTTTACCATATTGATATAAAACCTCGTCCGACTGTTGAAAGGTAAAACATTTAGACTTTCCTCTTGTAATTCCTTCATAAATGACAGCTTTCGAAACATAAATTCGTCTCACAACCAGGTCTTATGTATTTTATTTTTTTGGGCGCACAAAATTACTAAATGTTTTGTATTTCACCTTGTCACAGAGATATACAACGTGATCATCTGCAGATAGTGTCGGTTTTGAGAATGACAGGCTATATACAGTTGCGGGGTTGTACAGACATAATAAGCGCTGTGACACGCAAAATATTGTCGTACAGCATTTTAGGAATAAACAAGTTCATTTGACTGGCACAGATTGTATTGGTAGCTCATACAAGAGTTGTTTGATTTTAAAAGAGCTCAGAGTTCTCTAGTGATATTAAATACACGTTCAATTAAGCCATTGAGAATCGTGTCTACTCGCAAGCATAGTGCCACTGTATGTGTTTAGCATGAACGGGAGCCCAAACCTCAAGTGTAACCTAAAAAAGCAGGCTTTGGGGATTAGGCGGGGATAAACAGTTTTTTTTTTTTAAGAAAGGAACATAAGACAGGCTCTGTTTCTCGATCATTTAAATCAAACAAATGAAAAATGGTTGGAACCCACTGGAATAAAAAGAAAACATGGCTTTATCAAATCAATGAGTAAATCGATAGATTATGAAATTTTCGATTTTTTTTTTTCGAATTGAGCCAATCATTGCCTCTGTACCTATTGAAGAATCTTGTGGAAAGAAAAAAATTTTATTTTAATAATCCGCAGACCTAAAATAAAAAGTCTCCTTTTTTCTGGAATCTTTTTTCTTCTTCATCTTAATTACACATTTAAAAATGGTTAGAGAAACAAAGTTTTACGACGTCTTGGGCGTTAGTCCTGATGCTTCTGAAAGCGAACTTAAGAAGAGTTACAGAAAGTTAGCTTTAAAGTATCATCCTGATAAGGTAAAATAAAAAAAGACAAAGTGTATATTTTATATATATTTAAATGACTAATAATTATTGTATTATAGAACCCTGATGCCGGAGACAAGTTCAAGGAAATTTCTCATGCATACGAGATTCTCTCTGATCCTGAGAGACGTCAAATGTATGATCAATATGGTGAAGAAGGCTTAAATGGCGGACCCGGTGGCATGGGTGGTATGGATGCTGAAGATCTCTTCTCTCAACTCTTTGGAGGTGGAGGTGGTATGTTTGGTGGAGGAGGTGGACGTAGAGGACCTCAAGGACCCCGTCGTGGAAAGGATATGGTTCATGCTTTAAAGGTTAGCCTTGAAGACCTTTACAACGGTAAAACTAGTAAGCTTGCACTCCAAAAGCACATTCTCTGTACCAAGTGCGAAGGTAAGGGTGGCAAGGAAGGTTCCGTTCATAAGTGTAAGACCTGTAATGGTCAAGGTATCCGTCTCATTACCCGTCAAATGGGTCCTATGGTTCAACAAATGCAACAACCCTGTGGAGATTGTCAAGCAACTGGTGAAATCATTGATGAGAAGGATCGTTGTCAAGGATGTCGCGGAAAGAAGGTTGTTGGTGAAAAGAAGATTCTTGAGGTTCATATTGACAAGGGAATGCGTGATGGACAAAAGATTACTTTTGCTGGTGAAGGTGATCAAGCACCCAATATTATTCCCGGTGACATCATTATTGTTATTGATGAAAAGCCTCACCAACATTTCAAGCGTCAAGGTGATGATTTGATTTTCGAAGCTCATATTGACCTCTTAACCGCTCTTGCTGGTGGCAAGTTTGCTATACCCCATCTTGATGATCGTGTCCTCATGGTTAATATTCTCCCTGGTGAGGCCATCAAGCCCAACGAATTAAAGGTTATCCCTAACGAAGGTATGCCTGCTTATCGTACCCACACTCATGGTCATCTCTTTGTCAAATTCACTGTTGAATTCCCTAAGCCTAACTGGACCACACCTGAAAACATTGCTCTTCTCGAAAACATTTTACCTCCTCGTCCTGCTGTCCCTACTTTCAAAGACAAGCATATTGAAGATGTTGTTATGGCTGATGCCGATGCCTATCAATCTAGCTCTAGACATGGTGGTGGCGCTCATATGCACGATGGTTATGAAGATGAGGATGATCACCAAGGTGCTGGACCTGGTGTTCAGTGTGCTCAACAGTAAAATTTTGTTATTAGACTTTTATTTTATATTATTTCAAAAAAGTGTTGTAAATCTCTCCCTCTTCTTTTTTTTTTTTTAACCATCATTCCCTTTCCATTTCTGCATGAAAAATATACATAAAGACCGCGTATTTTCTTTATTTTTTTTAATAAATACCACTTTTTTTGTAAATGCTTAAATTACGCATATTTTATAATTTTTTTTTTTTTTAATATGTATAATGTATTTGTGTAATGTGTGTGTGTGAGTGTGTGTGTGTGAGTGTATGTAGGGTTTTTTATTCAATTTTAAGAAAGCTTAGCAGCCTATGATCACAAAATATGTTAGTACATGAACTCTTGCCATACCCGGTTAAAATCATTTACCTTTTGATACAAACTAGAAACAACCTTATCAACTTGCTTCAATGTCTCAACAGCAGTCTCATAAGTCTTATCTTCCTCAGGTTCATCAAAAACAATCAAACAACCAGCACCTTGATCAAGGATACCATGGAACTTTTTGTCCAAAATCATTTGAGATAACTTGGCTTCGACTTGTTGTGTGGGAAGTTTAACCATGTCTGCAATATGAGAGATTTCGACACGAGAGAATGGCTCAATAATACGAACCAAATTTTGTTCCAAAAGAGTATCATACAATGCTGCAAGTTGAGTACGAATAATAGGATCATTATTCAATTCATTAGTATATGTGGCTAATGTTGTTTCAAATTCTTGAAGGTTTCTATTTTTGTGAGCATGTGCAACAGCCTTCATGGCTTCAATTTCGACACCGGCATATTTTAATGCAATTTTACCACCAATGATAGAGTGAACATCTTCAGTCTATTTCACAATAATTAAAAATCTCTTCTCATTTCGTACGCTTTTTTTTTTTTGCATTCTTACCAAATTCAACATGATCTTACACAACAACATATACTTTAAGGCAAGGATAGCATTAGAATCCTCTTGGCTAGAATAGCCTTCAAATGTCTCGTAAAAGTAAGAATAAGCGGTCTTGTAATCTTTTTCCTCGGCATGAAGGATACCAGATTGCATATCCAAGGCAGCTTGTAACAAGGGAGGGCAATAGATGGAGTTGGCAGAAGTACGAGCAGAGGTTAAAGCAGCTCTTGCCTTGGGAAGATTTCTAAGAGCGTGACAGACGCGACTTTCAAGTAATTGAACTTCTACAAGTACCATCTTATCATCCAAACGCTTCAACTCCTTTAATAAATATGAAATCAAGTTTAAAGATTCGTGATACATCTTATTGTCCAAGTAAAGTGCAACTAAACGTGTCTCAAGTGCTTGCTTTAAAAAGAGTCGCTTTTCTTGAACACACCATTCGATATTCTCCTTGCACAGTTCAATTTGAAGAGGAAGACAGTTGGGAATATCACCAAAGTAATCGATAAGTGAGCGAGCTTATTGAGAAGGTTAGCCAGCCTTCTTTAACACTTCTTTTACATATAGTTGACTTACTCAATTTAGCAGTCTTTGCTTTGGCCATGGTCAACATAAAGGGACGAGATGAACGAATTAACTCTGCGAGTTCTTGAGGAAGGCTAGTAGAGACGATAAGTATGATATATAGGTATTGGATAACTAGAATATTTACTGAAGATCTCGGTAAAGTTGACCAAGTTTAGAGAGGGCATATTCTTGCTCTTTCAACAATTCTTCCGTGCTGGCAGGTTCAGCCAAGATGGCTCTATACGTGCTGATGGCCTGTTCGACCTTCTTGGCCTCCTTCAAGTCATCGGCTTGTTGTAATCTGTTGCTGGGAGCAGTTTTAGTTGTGGCTGTAACCATTTTTTGTTGTTGTTATATGTTTGAATAAAAAAAATAAAGCAAACTCAGATTTCATTTGTTTGAAAGGGCACCTTTACAAGCCAAAAAATGATTACGCGTACACAGTCACGCAACTAGCATTTGAATGACGCTGGTGAGGTCAGTGGAAAAATCAAAGTTAATGCTGGCTGTAAAAAAATAATAATAATAGTACACGCGTGCACTTTTAATTTTTTCTAATCTCTCTTTTTTTTTTTTTCATTTAATAAAACATACTATATAAAAAATGTCGGCTCCCATTGATGACAATCAGGTCCCAAAGATCCCTGATCTTTCCCTTGCTGTAAATATGCTCGCTTACTTGGACAATATACATTATCCTGACATTGTTTATATATAGCACCATCGTTTCATTATCAGCCAAGGTCCCGTCGACTTGAAAGAGGAGGCCAAGAACAAACTCTTTGTCACCATTAAAGAAAAGAGTAAATAGATCTGCCATCGTCAGTTAATAAGACTATACTAATTTTTTTTTTGCATATTCAGATATGGCACCTTTTTACAAAATTATGGTAGAGGAACTTCAAGCTCCTTTCGATCAAGCATTATATGACGCTATGGTTACAAAGAACGAGGAAGAGTTGAAAAAGTTTGATGAAAAGGCAACCGATGCCGAACAAAATCAAGGTGAAACTGAAGTTAACGAAGCCTTCTTATCAAAGGCTGATTACTATGCCGAAATTGGTGACAAAGTAAGCGTTATCCTATTCTTGTTTTTTTTTTGTCGAAATTTAACCAAACGATCGCTGTTAGGAAAATGCTCTTATTGCTTACGAGAATTTGTTGAAGAGATCAATCACTTTAGGTACTCGTATCGATATTGTCTTCACCTTTGTTCGCATTGGTTTCTTTTTTGGTGATAACAGCTTAGTTCGCCCCAACATTGAAAAGCTTAGAGAATTAATTGATCAAGGTGGTGATTGGGATCGTCGTAATAGATTGAAGGTATACGAAGGTGTTTATCTCATGTCTATTCGTGACTTCAAGGGTGCTGCTGCTTTATTCTTGGACACATTGAGTACTTTCACCAGTACCGAAATTATGTCTTACCAAGATTTTGTCAAATATGCAGTTTTGACCAGTTTGATCAGTATGAAGCGTGTAGATATTAAAAAGAGAGTAAGCTACTGGTAGAGTTTGATCAAAGACATGGGGCGAGTACTCATGTGTGTAATAATTTTTTGTAGGTTTTGGATTCCCCCGAGATTTTAGAGGTTATTTCTGATATCCCTCACCTTGAAGATTTTATGACAAGTTTGTACAACTGCAAATATGCCCAATTTTTCCGCTCATTGGCTGCTATTGAACAAGCTCATTTACGTACATCGCGTTACCTTTTACCTCACATGCGTTTCTATACCCGCGAAATGCGTATTTCTGCTTATGCTCAACTGCTAGAAAGTTACAGATCCTTGACTGTCACAAGTATGGCACAAGCATTCGGTATGAGTGAAGAATACATTGACCAGTAAGTTTTATACGTTTTCTTTGTCATTTCTTTCTAGTATGCTTACATGTCACCTTTAAAATTTAGGGATCTCTATAAATTTATTGCTGCTGGACGTCTCAACTGTGTTATTGATAAAGTAAACGGTATCATTGAAACTAACAGACCCGATGCAAAGAATGCTCAATACCAATCTGTAATCAAGCAAGGTGATCTTTTGTTGAATAGAGTTCAAAAGTTGAGCAGAGTTATTGATGTTTAAAGGATTAAAAAAAATTACGGAAATATAATAAAAAAAAAATGTTGAAATCAATGAAGCAATGGAAAGGCTGCCCCTCTACCGACTTGCATTTTTTTAAAGGGTTGATCTATTGTGGATGTCTAGTTAGTTAGATTGACATATGTAGGACTACAGGCCTTATTCTTTTGAACCAACCTATTTGGATACACAACTGTAGGAAACTGTCTTATCACTCGATCTCTATTTTTCTACATCTGCTGGATTAAGAACAATGCATATAGAAAAGATAAGCAACACTATCAAAATAGCGATATTCATATAAAATAGACAACAAAGGAAAATGAGAACTACAATAGATACCATAAATAAAATGGAATGAATCATTTGGCACCTTTGTGAAAGACAACTCACTATTTCCATAAACAGATTCGAACAAAAATATACAACCTGCCTTTGTTAAATTAACACTAACAATTAAATATAGTTAATATCGTTCAATTTCTAAACATTTACAATCAAAATTATTTTATGACAATGTATAAAAGCACTACCTACATTTTATATTCAATAGACATTCACTCATACCAGCTAGTAATTAAAACTGCTCTTAATAAATGTCTTCTCAAACCGATAGTGATCAATCTTTTGTTCCCTTTAACACAATCCGTGTACCAGAGGAATATCCCACCGTAAGTTTTATTGTTCCACTGTTCTAATTCTAGGTATTTACTTTTTAAAAAATAGAAAACCTTGTGTGTAAACAGTACACGTAGAATAGTTCAATTCACTGGTATATCTATCGGTATTGGAGCCCATATGAATGCTACTCAACCAGTCCAAAGTGCTTGTAAATACCAGGTAAAGTGATTCAGTTTTTACCATATTTTTTTGTAAATTGACAAGCAGGCTAATAATCTTCTTTAGTGCCCTCCTCAACCTGAGCCATCTCAAAGCACTAGCATCAGAAAAGAAGCGCGTGACGTACGCCGTCTTGCTGAATCTCAATATAGATTAGACAAGGACTCTTTTAATAGACAGAGAATTTCTCGTAGCATGGAAAATACTAAATTGAAGCAGGGTGATATTTTATATACGAAGCAAAATTCTATTTAAGCCAACATCATTTTTTTTTGACTCACTTAGTATTTGTGGGCCAAAACATTGAATAATAATAAAGACCTATTTCATCATCATTTTGTTTGGTCTTTACTCTAGTGGCTTCATTTATCTACACGTCAAAAGTCTGGGAAGGGGGGAGGGGGGGGAGGGTGGAAGTTGAACATTAAAAATGCCTTATATAAAATATTTTATTAACTATTTACAAATTTTTCTTAGAATAAGCCTCCTTTACGCTCAAATGACTACTGTATCTTTTGAACAGTCCTTTATCCTTTCCCTTGTCATAGCATAACGCCCATTTAAACCGTCCGGAGGAGTTTTCCCTTTCTTTTTCAACAAACAGAAGATCGGCACTTGGCTTCTCTGGGCTGCTTCCTCCAGTTTTTAAGTTTTGCCGCTTGAACCTTCTCACAAAGACGACTCCATCATCAGCGTATTGGCGGATCCTTTTGCTTGAACTATCGGAAGGGCCATCTACGTACTTGAGGATTTTTTTCAAACTGGTTTGAAACAGCATTACAAAAAGATGCTTATGTCAGTATGACAATGTTTTTCTTCTTTGCAGGGTGTTTCAGTAAAAATAGGCCATCTCAAGATATGCATATAATATCATATAGATCAATCATTTAAATCTAATCTCAAGAAGGAAACAAAAAAATAATGAAAGAAACTCCAAATGCGTAAAAAAAATAATGGTAAAGGACCACGCCCTTTTTTAAAAATATATCTTTTACGTGTTGCATCAAATCACGTAATCGCTATTTTTCAAATACCATGTGGCCTGTCTACGTATCCTCTTTTTTGGTTTCTATGGGAATTCACCTATTGAAAGAAACATATCTCATTTAACTTGATGTAACACATATAGTGGCCATAAAAGCGAAGGACAATTCTTGACGCACCTACTCATTGCACGCAAATAAATAAATTATGCAAAAGTTGTATTTTAAAGCCCGGATTTGGTGCGTCCTTTTCTTGAGCAAATTCATTGGCTGAATATGTAACAAATAAACTTCAGATATAAGATCCTCTCAAGTTGGTGTGATCTTAAATTATCTTTTTTTACGTATTTGGAGTTTTTTTCACGAGAACTTTCCTCTCATCTTTGTTCACTAAGGAATTTCAAGACAAGGTCCAAGAAAAGTTATACGAATTCATGAAGGAACAACTCTACACCATGGACTCCTCAATGGCTAGCAAGTACGCAACTCATAACGAAACACAATTTTATGAGTTCTACAGCAACTTTGGTCGTTTGGGTGAAGCTTTGAATCACTATCTTGGCAATCTTGAATCTACCCTCAAGGAAATTCAAGTCAAGAATAGTTCCTCTGTCAAGTCCTCCTCATCATCTTCTTCCTCCTCTTCTGTCTCTTCTTCATCTTCTTCCAACTCCAGCTCTAGGGAATCTAACAAGAAAAGAAGAATGGATGACAAGTCCGAATCTTCAAAGTCGTCTATCAACTTTGAACGATTATTCGATCCCACTTATGTACTCAACGATCAAGAACGTACTCATATGCGTAAACAGCTCAAGTATCTCTCTTGTCGTGTGGCTCGCTTTACTCCTGATCATTTGAAGGAATGTATGGAAAGAAAGAAATTTCTTGCCAACAAAGTAAGTAATCACATCGATGAACCTCTTACTGTTCTTTCAACTTCTATCCATCAAATTAATACTAACTCATCTTCCAATTGTAGAACCGACAATGATCATGAAGAACAGCTAAATGTCCCTCTCCCCATCCTCGACGATGACAATGAGTTTCAAGCAGCACTTCTGGAGTTAGATAATTTCATTATCCATGATAATGATGAATTAAACAATACTTTAAATAAAAATATTTTCTCTATTCTAATTAATTCTTCTTCTACAAATTGTTTTAATAATAATGTCTCCATTTTCAGTAATTCCGTCGGCGATATCTACAAACAATCCGTTCCAAACAAACGATGTTGCTTATTCTCCTGTTACTCCCATTATTATTGATTCAGTGAAGACATACGCTACTTTGGATACTGTAGCATAAGTATCGGTCATGAATAAACAATTTGCTATTGATTTTAATTTCGAATTTAATAAGATTGAAGGTTCTCTTGTTAGCCAACGGTACTCAAATTCCTCGTTATCAAACTTCTGAATGTCTTACAATTGACTTTGATGGTGTTGAAAAACAAGTATTGCATAAGATTGATATCATCGATAATTCGATCTTATCTCTCTCTAACAAAATACTAATCGGTGTGGATTTAATGCTCAAGCTTTCTCTCCATATGGTTAATGTTGCTTACAAGTTTAAAGACACTGTAAAGAAGTTGATGATTCCATTGATGATCATGCCTACGAGCCTAACATAACACCATTCGGATCGGAAAAGGAATAAATTGCATTTAATTTAGCTCTTACGCCATACATTGAGGCTAACAAGGCGCTTAATAAAAATTAATTTTGTAATATTCCTGAAAGTGTTCTTCACCTTCCGACTCCTCCTAATTATCATGTTCATGTTCGTCAATATCATATCGCTTACAAATCGCAACCTAAAGTAATTGAAGTAATTGACGATTGGGTAGCTGATGGAATTATCACAAGAACCCATGCTTCTGCATGGAATCTTCCTATTAAAGTAGCTCTGAAGAAAAATCATAAATCTGGTATAAAATCATCAGAGGATAATGTTACCAAAGACGATATCAGAGTTGTACTGGATACAAGATTATTAAATAAAGCTCTTCTCACTATTAAAGAAACGCAACCATTGATCAATGATATCTTTTTCACTTCAATGGAAGGTTGCGTAGTATTCTCCACTATTGATCTCAAGTCCGCATTTTTACAATTCTTAGTTAATCCAGATGATCAAATCAAAACCAGTTTAACCGGTCCAGACAGCTTGAAATATATGCATGTAGGATCACCATTCGGTGTGTCTACTATAAGTCGATTGTTTAGCCGTGTAGTACTTTCATTATTCAAAGACCTCTCATATGTCCGTACTTTTATTGACGACATATGTATCATGTCTCGTTCCCTTGATTCCCATTTTCAACATGTGAAACATATAATCTCCATATTGACAAATTCCAACTCGCGTATCAACTTTAAGAAATCACACTTTGCTAAATCCGAAGTATATCTTTTAGGTTTTTTATTCTCTGCTACATAGAGGGCGAAGAATTGATACTCGCAAACTTTCCAATTTGGAATTGTTACCTCGCCCGGTTACATCCAAACAGTGCCAGTCTTTCCTAGGTTTAGTTAAATAATTTAGACAGCACAATCCAAATGCGGCTATGCTAATGGCACCCATTGATTTTCTCCGATCACACGATGAAAAGAATAAAGGAAAAAGATTCGAATGGTCATCCATTCATGATATGCACTTTAGTACTCTTGAACGTATCCTCGTCTCTGACATTGTACAAAGCCACCCTGACCTAAATCATCCCTTCTTTATTGCAACAGATGCCTCTGATTTTGCGATTGGCCGTTCTTTATTCCAAGAATATAAGAATACAACAGCGGATGGAGATCCAAAGACTATTATTGAACATATTGGGTTCTTTTCACGAAAATTGAGTTCTAGTGAAGTTAGATATAGTTGCACCATGCGAGAAATGATTGCCTGTGTTTTTGCGCTAAAACAATTTCACAAGTTCGTCTGGGGTACACTTATCTCCATACCCAAAAGCATTCCAATTCTATGATAATCAAATGGCTAGGCATAATATTGGATTATGGATTCAAAGTCATCTATATTATATGTGTAGATAATATCTTACCTGATGCTTTATCCGTTTATATCCCCCTGCTGTAGACCCTTCTACAGGTCATAGTAGACCATTACACATTACTTCATCTGGTAATTACCGCGCAATCTTTAGTCGTATCAACCTAAAAAAGAAAGAGTTAAGTGTTCGAACAGTACAAATTCACGAGTCTTTTACCAGAAATCTTTAGAGTCATCTGCCGTCATTCATTCAGAATGAACTTTACAAACGCGATCGTCAAGATTCCACTGTAAGTGCAGACGTCACTCATGTCAGTGCTGTTTCTGTATGCGACAATAGGTCCCTAAATTCTTTTTATAATATATTCTTCATTCAAAGTGGGCAAAGTATACACGCTGATTATTTAGTTGCACCCGAATCTGAAAGAAAATCACAATAAATTCGGTCATTATAAGGCGCTGAACAAATGGATAAACGTCTTCACTAAGAAGGTATTCACTGGCCTAAGCTGATTGATAATTGTATTGAGTTCATACGTAAATGTCACTGAATGTCAGAAACACAAATTCATTATTACTAACCTTTCCAAAGGACTTTAATGTGCTGCCGTAAAAAAAAAAAGAGGAAAAAAAAAGCGATAAAGTTGTTACAGTTTATATAAAAAAAGAACAAGAACTGGCTTCTGTCAGGATGACATAATTTTGCCTAACAATTTAAAACACAAATTTTATCAGGATTACTTTTTTGTATAACGAGACTAAACCTCTATTGCATAATGTGAACAGTATAGAACACACATTTTATCAGAATTAATTATAAACTACACGTTGTAAACTAAACAGGCTCATCAGACTCGCTACGTAGTGAGTATTATGTTGAAAGGTTGCAATTCCAGTGTATCACTAAAAGTCAATCTTTACAAAAAAAAAAAAAAACGGGATGTAGTTTATGGTACATTGCTTTTGTATCACTCCAAAATAAGAGCATACGTTTCGTGTAGGTGCATGGTAGATGCATTGTGAAACAACTAAATCTAAATTGGTGTCTCTTTCATTGTTTGTTTGTTATAAAATATAATTGAACAAATCCAATTCTTTTATATTTTTATTGGAAACAATCAATATCTGATCCACAACGTATAAAAAAGAAAAGGAATGTCGATACTTTTACTTGTTATCTTCTTTTTCTTTTACGCATTATATATATATATATATATAAAGACTGCTATAAAGGCGGATTATACCTATGTGTAGCGTACCAAGAACTTGTACTATCTATCGCAATTGTTCATTTCTTTACTTTTGGGCAGCAGAGAAGTTATTAAGCCACGTAATAAGACTTTTACTGTATTTTATGTACAACTCCGGTGATATAAAAGGATGCTCTCGACTTGGAGACAATAGGATGTGTTTACACCTGGTAGCATAATCGCTAAGTTTATATGAAGAACAGCTTGTTTGTGGATTAATCAGGGTGCTTTATTTATATATAATAAACTGTCATATTTCTATAACTCTACATTAACCTTTAGCATCTTAACAAAATAAACCATTATACTTTATAAAAGAAAAAAAAAACAAATTGTTTGACTGAACAAAGTTTATAAAGAAGATGAACGGAGAATGTGAGATAATTGAACTGTTATTTATTTAGTTGAATACATATTACGTACGATGGTGTACCTTTGTAATGTTGCATGTATCAGTGACTTATAGAGAGCAGCTATTCTGTATCGAAATTTCGGCGGCGGCTGTTTGGGTCCGTAGGCCTGTTATCCAATTTTTGACGGTTTTTAATGTAGCGAACGGGAACTTAAAATGATTGGACATTATGAGTTCAATTCGGAAGAAGCGTTGAGCCGAAAACTTAAATATAGATATTTTGAAAACCTTGGTAATTTTCTTCCCTCTTTTCTTTTTCTATATTCTGAAAAAAAAAAGAAAAAATGTCAGAGAACGCTTTTGCTCAACACGTATTATCTTCAATTCGTAACGAATTGAATTTGTTAAAATCACATAACTATATTCAACCTGGTGCTTATGATGAAATTTTAAGATTGTTGCCTTCCAATATCAGCAAGGGCAACCAGTCCAATCACGCTCATGGCGCAATGCCTACTAACACGGGTATGTCCAATGGAGGTATGCCTGGTATGCCTGGTATGAATGTATCATCTCCAGCCAATGCTCCCCTTCCTCCTCCTTCTTATAACAGCTCAGAGAACAAACTCGGTACAGCTGAAGCCTTGTACGACTACACTGGTGACAACATGAATACCGATTTGAGCTTCCGTAGAGGGGACATTATCCAATTAACCGAACTAGGTAAAGTAACCCCACTGTTAAATGGTCGGCCCTGTTGTTAATGTGTTTTGTTTCTAATAGTGAACGATGATTGGTGGAAAGGAACACTGCACGGAAAAAACGGTATTTTCCCTCGCTCGTATGTTAAAAAAATTGAGTAAGTGTGTCCATATATGCCAAGATTTTATTGTTTATAAGAGTGTACTTATTTTATTGTTAAAGGCCCGCTGTTAGTGAAAAGAAGCCTCCTCCACCTCCACAACGCGACAGTTATCCTCCTCCTCCTCCATCACAACAGCGTGATAGTTACGGCTATTCACCAGTACCACCCAAGCAGGAGTCCTATAACTATCCTCCTCCTCCTCAAAATTCAAGTTACGCTGCACCTCCTTCTCAGTCATATGCTGCTCCTCCTCCTGCTAGTAACAATTACGCATCACAATATCCTCCTCCCCAACAACAAGTTTCAAATTATAGCGTCCCTCCTCCTTTAGCCAGCACAGCTTCCGCACCAGCTGTAGTTGAGTCGCATCATGAAGAGAGTAAAATGTCAGGTTTTGGAAAGAAAATTGCTGGTAATGTAGCCAATGCAGCTACCTGGGGCTTCGGTGCAACTAGTAAGTATATCAGATATATTAAAAACAAGGGGGGAACGAATTAATTTACTAATAACTCTTTTTATAGTTGGTGGTAATGTTGCAAATTCAATCTTTTAAAATAGAATATATACATTTAAATAAAAGAGGATATCCTTCGTTTTATAACATTTTTATTCTGGGGTTTATAGTGTTCAACATATTTAAGGCGTAGTGCTTAAAGCAGTGATACGTTGGATTAAATCGGTCATTCTATCATCAATGACCTTGATGTTGTTGTTAATAGATTCGTCATTTTCTTGTAAGCTCTTGTTTAGCTATTATTATTATTATTATTTTAAAAAAAAAGAATGGTTAAACAATGGAAAAGATTTGAAGAGCTGAAAAGTAACTTACTAAATCACAGGTGGTTGTTAAACTTTTCAATTCGTCAGTCATTCTGGTTTGTTCCTCCGAAATGACCTTGACAGATTGTCCAAAGGCAGCAGCTTCGGTATGTAAACCTTGTAAGGCCTTAAGCCTTGTTAATAGAGCAGGCGTCAGATTTAAAAGAGGATCAACCTTTTCCAGCGTGGCAAATAATTGATTGACTTTGGCTTCAGCGTCATTGGAAAGACCATCAGGAGCATGCTCTGCTGTAGTAGCTTGGTTTAACGAGTTGGATACAGCATAACCTAAAACCTTGGTATCTTTACGGCCTGATTTCAATTCATTTAATCGATCCAGATCACTGTTTAAACCCTTTACTCTTCTTGCTACCATTTCCAATTGTCTGGGTTGGGCAAGGACTACCACTTGTTGTTCCAATTTTGCGAGTGAATTGATGAGTGAAGAAGAAGCAAGGTTCGAGGACTAAAAAAAATGCGACATGTCAAACACAACCCTTTGATTCAAATGCAAGAGACTTACGAAATCATCTAAAGCTTGTCCTGCACTAGATCCGACAAGTTTCTCTATTTTGGCTATACGTTCATCGATGTCTGATAATTTATTCTCTTTGTGCATTTTGGCAGTCTCAGGGGTATAAAAAAGCTCATAAGTAACCATCTTATTTGAAGGTGTTAGTATATACTTGATTAACTTGTAGTTTTACAAATCTTACATCGTTTTTGGGGCTGTTATCCAAATCAGCAGGCATAGGAGGTTCAGCTTCAGCGGAGGAGTTATCAACAGTGGGGGCTGTGTGCTTGAAGGCTTCCAGCTGTTTAATTAAGGCTTTTGCCTCATCCACCGATCTACCATAGTTTGATTTCTGACCAACCTCTTCTCCATCTCCTACTTGTTGGTTCATGCGAACTAAATCTGATTGAAGATATGAAATCTGTGAAAGAATATCTGACTGAGAAATAGTTTCTTTTGCATCAGCTGGTTCCTATAACAAAGAAGAAGAAAAAAAAAGGGCGCATTAACACCTTTTTGCTTAACTACTGAAGATAAGTGTTTTACTTTGGCCTTTTCCATTTCATCGTTTAATTCTTGCACTTCAAACATGAGACGGCGTAACTTTTGTAAAGGAGTTTCGTCGAGAGACAGGTCCTTGGGCAAAATTTCATATTCACTGGTTTCCATGGCAGGAGGACGTCTAACATAGGTGCGGTACATGGCCTTCTTTCTTCGAGTTAAACGATCCGAAAAGTCTGTTTATCGTGTTAGTGTACTCAGTTATGTACCATGTGTATATATAGTACCAATATCAGTAGAGTCAACAATGCTGCTTTTGAATCTGTTTGCTGCATCTTTTACAGAAACACGAGATTTAACTACACTCTCATTATCGTCATCATCACTCGACTACAAACTTACATTGTAAGCATTACTTTATAAAAAAACACGTATGAGTTTTCTATAAAAAAAAAAGTTGGTACCTGGTTTTCAAAAGACACAATGGGAGCATTCTCGTTCGAATCAGGTGTTTCGTAAACATCTGGTTGATCATCCTAAGTATTATGTAATAAATGTGCCATTAGATAAAAAAATTTCAAGCGTATCAAGAGTAACAAGCTTACAATATCAGGTAAAGTCGAATATTTGGAAGCCATTGTTTACAATAAAAGGAACAACAACAAAAAAAAGAAAACAAATTTTATTATTTTTAGTGTTTGTGCACAAACAGAGAAATAGTTAATTTCCAGCTCCACGTGATCTGATTTTGGATTTTAGGTACTCATTCTCCTGTCTTAAACGATGTATCTCTCGTTTATACTCTGTGACTAGGCTTAATTCATGTTTGACTTGGTTTAGTATCTCCTTTTGTTTGGCTAATTTGGATCTTAGGACCCCAACGAGTCGTGTCAGGCATGATAATTGAAACTATGTTTATATCCGTCAATTAAAAAAACGTCAGTTTTTTTCGGTATTTGTACTAGGAGACTTATTACATTGACGATATTTTCAGAATCATTCATCAAGGTCTTTACTGGTTTCAAAAATCCCGCTCCATTGTAAGGTGTCTTTTATACGAAACAGATATAAGCATACTTCTTAAGGGAGTAGCAAACCTTTACCTGATCACCTATTAATGCAAATTTGCAAGGCTTTTTGCAGATTGGACAGACGCGGTTATGTCGATGATAACATGGTCCGCAAATGACATGACCACATTCTGTCATATAATCCCATTCTGTCAGCCCATTTCCACAATAATCACATATATCGTCCATTCTTTTTTTTGTTTACAACCTTTATTTTATAAAGAAAGCTAAAAAAAAAAAAGAAGTAATCCATTCTAATAAGAAATATAAAAAAAAAAAGAGGTGAGTTTTGTTGAAGGAGGGACGGGCAAATTTACATAAAGAGGAGAGGGATAATCTAGTTGTTGACAGAGTATTTGTAACTAATGAAAGATTGTTAGTATGAACGATGATACTCCCTTACTTGTGGACTTACCCGCATTTTTTACAGTTATAAAAGACAGTTTGACCTTCATCAGCAGAACGCAATTGCATGGTGTGATATTCCATCTCATGATGTCCACAGTTAGGACACTTTTCTTGAATCTAAATAGATATCTTAGAAACCCGTGTACTCTCTCTCTCTCTCTCTCTCTCTCTATCTCTTACCATGGCTCTTGCTTGGACGTTTTCTTTGCTTTGTTGCACTGTGTGACGTTTAGACTTTAATTTGGATTGGAAAGAACGCTCTGAAGAAGTGGTGATAACTTCTGTTGCCTCAACACCTAATATTATCTCTTTAAGCTAAAGTTTCGAAAAAATATATGCGTCCGTTCTTACCGGCAGTTCTGAAAGCACAGCTACATTGGTTACATAATAAGATATCGTCCTCATTGCCAGCCATGTCTAAAAGGTTGCCACATTCGGGGCAAAAGGTAAGGGAACCAATGATATTATCTGCGGTCGACATTATGTATTTTTATTTTATGAATTGTTGTGAAAGAAGAAGAAAAAAAAAACGCTGTACCTTCCATATTAAAAAAAAAAATAGACGTGGTGGCTTAATTTTGTAAAATGGTCACAATTAGGTAACCTGTTTTTTTTATTCTTCATCACTCTCATCAGAGTCTTCTTCGGATTCTTCCTCAGCTTCCTGTAACCATTCAATAAATTTGGCAGCCTTCTCTCTCACCTTTAATTCGGCAGCGTTAGCCTTGGAAAGATCGGAAGAGAACCATTTCTGGATAGCGTCTTCTTCAAGCACGTCGGTATTATAAAGTAATTGTAAAGCACCCGAGAAAATCTTGCTTAAATGTTCGTGTGCGGCAGAATGCTTTTGAAGCAATTGTAACACATGTAATTGATCCTCTGCGGAATGGGTCATCTTTCCGATCAAAGGGGCCCATTTTGTCAAAACTGTCTTCATGCTGGAGATAGAGTTATTACGATCAATATGATCAAAGATGATGGGGATCATCACCTCTCTAATATCTGTATAAGATCCATTACTGGACATACGTAAACCAGTGACTTCTAATGCAGCTGTGTAAACCGTATGGTTCTCATCAATAGATCTTTCAATCGTTTGAGAAATTTCCTTTTTAAATTCGTCCGTCTTTTTAGCCATGCTAGTTTCAAGTGCCCATGATCCATTGATTGATCCAATATCATCATCATCACTATCTGATTCTCCTACTTCACTAGCACTGTCTGTAACATCTCCATCATCGAGAACAAGATCAGCCATATCGAAAGCTACATTGATACATTAATTAGTAATATTACTATCGCGCTTAATAATGCATGCTTACATAATGATCCCAACTTTATATTACGAACATCAACTTCATCATCATCAGAGCGAATTGTCCAAGAGTAAACAGGTTCATGATCTCCTGTGAGTACGTGTTGACGCTCCTCTTCATCATCTTCCTCGTCACTGCTTTCATCGAATGTGCTATTCTTGGGTTGAGGTAAGAGACTTAATCTAGAGTATTTAGGAATAGTAGCATTAGGACCAATTGTCACATTGAGAGAGATCAAACAGCCTTGAGCAATCTTGGTATTTTCCAAGATGTTGGCATGATGAGCAATGATACTCTTTTTGACAGTACAATTGTCAGAAATGGTGACATTATCCCAAAGGAAAGCTCCCTCCAATACGACATTATCACCGATGGTACAATTGTTACCGATAATGGAGTTACCGATACGTGTATTTTCACCAATCACGGTGTTTGATCCAATTTGAACATTTTCATCAATGATACAAGACCTTGAAAGGACAACGTTCATGGATTTATAAATGTTTCCTCTGGTGAATTCGTAATCGTCGCCAGATTTCAAGTTGGTCTCGGGTACGATGGGGAAAGCCCAACGGTTCAACATGTGGTTACTGATGGTACTATAGAGTTGCTCGTTTTGAACACGAGCTACATATGGCTCAGCTACAAGCTTGGTGTAGATGGTTTTACCCAAAATATCCGAGGTCAAGATACCGTGCACGAAATCTGCACGCAAACGCTGCCAATCGAAATTCTCGGTGAAAAGTGCTGGAACTTCGACAGAACAAATGTCAAGGTAGGGATCGACGAGGTCGTTACGGAATTCAATTTGAGGTCTATTTTCAAAAATTTCGGGTGAAATCTCCATACGATGCTTGCGGGGTAGCGAAACAACAGATTCGTAATACACACATTGTTGGGTGATGGGATCCATTACAAACACACTATTGGCATCCTTTGCTCTTTTTTTTTTGTATAAACATGTCAGATCCTTATTATGATTACTCTAATATGTCTATCTTACCTGGCAGTATGAGTACGAGAAGCCTCCTTGAGAACCATAGTCATGATCGAATTCTTGTCGGTCTTCTTGCGTGCACGATGTTCTTCAAGCACCTTGTCCAATTTGATGTTTGAAATTAATTCACCAGAGGTTAAAATAAAGTCGCTTGAAATCAATTGACGAGCGTCCAGTTCACGAATAGCGTCACCCACAGACATGCACTCGGGTGTAGGTACAATTTTTACTGAAAGTCTAGAGGTAGGCTTCATCCAATCCGAATTTCTATTCAATTGAATTAATTTTTTGTTTGTAAGTTCATTTAATACTTCGTATGATACAAAAAAAAAAAAGACTTACTCAAAGTAACTCTTAATGGCATCAATGTGAGTTGTACAAACAATCAAAACTTCAAAAATATCAACAGTTGCCAATAATTCTAATGTATATTCAATCAAGGGAATGTTACAAAGAGGCATAAGACACTACAAAAAAAATCTGTCAATGAATACACACAAGGACACTGGAAGGTTTCTTACTCTGGGTAATTCATGAGAAATAGGAAGAAATTGATCTTCAAATGAGTCAGTCAAGATAACAGCTTGGAAAGGCTCTTCTGCCTCTTCATTCTCATTATTCACTTTCTTTTGTTTAGGTGGCATTTTTTTTTTATATGTATGTTCAATAAAGTGTCTGGTTCGCGAAACAGCTGGCTCCAACTTCTCTTAAAAGGCACCAAGAAAAAAAAAAAAAAAAGTGACTGCTCACTCACAATATGATCTTGATACATGGTCAAAGACTGCATGATTGTGCACCTTTGCTTTTCAAGGATAGTTAAACTTGTGAGCTTTTACCGCAAGAAAAAAGTATGATAATATAAAAGGTAGTTGCTTGGTATCTCCAATGGGCATTGTAGCGTTCCGACGAAAGTTTAAAGTGGTGGGTAGACCCAGAGCAAATAATCATGAGGGTTTAATGTAGGCAGTGTTTTCCCTTTCGCAATTAAAGAATGGAAACATTATATTCACAATGGCTTGAAAATTCCATTTGTTTATTATTAAACTTCTTGTTAGTAAATGATTAATTGAATATGTATAAATAAAAATGGCTATCCTAGTATACAATCGGATGTGTATAATTCAACAGGATTCCGGTCACAGCCAAATATAGCAGAACGATTCCATTGCGATACACAGAGTTCAATAGAAGGGATAATGTTTGTTTGTTTCCACCTGATATATCCTCTATTTTCTATCGAAAAGGCAGGTGAAAACTCTTGGATAGATCCCATGGCATCAGCTGCATTCTGTAGGGAGCATCGAGGACACTTTGTTTGACAGGTGAAAAACTCTTTTTGTGCTAACTCATAAGAAGTTGTGTTCATCTCTGTCATAAAGTTAAACAATGTCTTTCGATATCCTTGGCAGGCATCAGCACATTCTTTTATTTGACGCGCAACATCTGCTGGCATCAGCTCGTCGGTATCGTCAGCCCATACGGTGTTTAATTTGAAGAATAAAATGAGGATAATAAACCTGCTGGAAGGTAGCATAAGTGCTAAAAGAGAATGATTATAACTATCTACGAAATAATGTTATTACAACTTTCAATAAGGCCTATATATATATATAAATATATACACGTATTTATTAGTAATAAGAAAGAAATATATATTTTTGTGAAAAAGTACAATCAAAAGTAAGTATTTATGTACTACAACGCATAAAAAGTTAAATTGTGATATTTATCCCTTGTTTCCTCTGTTTCCAGCACCCTTTGGATTGGCCTCAACAAATTCATCCCATTGTCTCTTCTTCATTGTGTCAGCATCATGAGCTTCATAATCATTATCATCCATTGGTGGTTTTTCGGGTTGTTCACCACTATGATAATGAAATTGTTACACAAAGAATTCGTTTTCATTATGTCAGATAACTTACCCTCCCTCAATGATATTTCCTCTTGCCTTTTCCTGCTCCAAATATTCATCAATCGACATTGTTGGTAAATTATGTCCATAGCCAAACACTTGACTCTTCATTTGTTCTCGTTTGTTCATGATCACAAATGGTTGTAAAGGTCTACCTTCTTTACTCAACATGGGCTTATCCTTGCCCCAAGTAGGTCTATTTAACACAGGTTCACGGTTATCAAGTGCGGTCGAAGTACCTGTCTTTTCCATCATTTCACGCATAATTTCCATTTCTTTCACCATGACAAATTCTTGTTCTATGGCATGCCAATTCTCCAAGGCTCTCAAGGTTTCCAACTCGATCAAAGCTTCCACCCATTCACGCTCTACCTCTTCCACATCACGATCCTCGTCATCTTTTTTACCAGCCACACCATCAAGTTGGGCACGTAACTGTTGGATCTGGCTTTTGACAGCTCTTTCACGCTTGAAACGTGCAATCTTTTGATCACGCTGTTGAGCAGCAGGAACAGAAGGTGACTTGCCCTTGTTATGGCTCAACTGCTCGATAATGACTGAATCTTCTTTGCGAATCAAGCCGTGATCTTGACATGTACTTATGAAGCGCTGAATATATTCCTATAAGAAGACAGTAGTTAATAACACTTTTTTTTTTTTGAATGCCAACTGACTAATCCATCTTTACTCTTGACTTTTCGAGAATCTTGCTGCGATCGATGTCTTTGCCAGACACCTTCAGGGTCAAGTCACCCAGGTAAGCTGGTATTAACAAAAACTTTAAGTCGTTTGTGTTGATTTCATCAAAGATTTCATTGTCACTAAAGATGTTGAGTTGAGCAACAAGTGCATCCGCGCGACTAAGACGTTGAATAGCATCAGCTACTTTGGCTTGGTATTCAGGATCGATGCTAGATAAAGAAGTATCTTCCAACTCGGTGAGAATAGTCTGTCCTGTACTGAATAATTTTCCAAGCGATAAACCGTCTAAAGCACTCATTTGTTATAAAGGAAAAAAGAAAAGAAGGTGTGCGAGCAAAATAAAAATAAAATCCACATTTTATATAAAAAGTCTTGTACACCACAAATGAGAAATATTTGAATATCTTACAAATATCTAGTTTTTCCGGGAAGGAAGGATTGCACACTGGAAATGGCCACCTTTGCGCTTCTTAGCAGAGGTAACCCAAGACCTGCAAAAGTTGTAAGCTATTTTTAAATGGAGGTTTCATCCTCAGATAGCAACAAGCTATCATGTTTTAGAATACTGTTTCAATACCAATATGAATAGTCCAAATACCAAACATAATGTGCGTTTTGTAACAACTTATTGACATCCTGACATGAAAGAAGTCACGTTATTGGGGATAAGAAACTTATAACTCTGCGTGTTTTTTTATTTTTTATTTATTTTTTCTTCTTGTTTTTCAAAGCTTTACCAATGGATCCTTTGTCACTTCTTCGTGAGTCGACTATTAACAACAAACCAGTGGTTCTTCTTGATGCTGACGGTGCGTCCGTTCCCAACATCTCTGATGCCAAGAATATCCAGTTTAATGGCGATACCATCTTTCCTCGTGACACGCCAACGAATTTCAAAAAGACCACCGCGGCCGAGAACGAGACATACGCTTTGGAGACCTTAATTTTCTTGGTACAAAACGCACAACTTGATAACTCAGCCTATTTCAAAGAATGCCGTAACCGTCAAATTGAACATGTTTCCATTGTCGATAGAAGAAAAATTCTTGATTACCTAACGGGTAAAGTCGACCAATCTCCAAACGTCATTCAAGCCAACAACACTGGTAAGTTTTCATTAAAAAACTCACCTGTCGGCATTTGTTTTAAATATTTGTATATAAACTTACAGAAAAGCGACCAAGAGACGACGTCACTTCAACCGAATCATCCATCAAAAAAGCTAAAGTCACACCTTTGAAATCAGACGATTCCATTTTTATTGTGAAGCAAGTAGTTTCGCGTGAACGTGAGATCTTGACTCTCTCTTCCGTCTTAAGAGGCAACAAGAACTTTACCCACGCTATTAATTTAGCCCAACAATTAGTATTAAAGAAGGAAGTACCTGTCGCTCGCCTCAATACGCAAAAATCTGGTCTTCCTGCAGCCCACAAACCTAGTTCGGCTGTACCTGCTAAATCTGCAGCAGCTGTAAAGAGCCAGAAGCTATCCAGCAAGGATAAGATTCCTCTCATCATTGTACCCGCTGCACCCACCGCCAAATTTACATTATATAATATTAAGCAATTCTTGGAGGATCAAAAGTAATGTTATAATTTAGTGTGAACATAGTGCGCTAGAGAAACTTACTTTTTTTACTTTGTCGGTAGATATGAGGACTCGCAGGCATTAAGAGATGAAGGTCGTAAAAAGCCAGAGAGAGTCACAGTTGAACGCAAGAAGCCCAACGGTCAATCTGTACCTTATCATGTAGTGGATTCGGTTGCTCACTTTAAACAAAGTGATTGGGATCGTGTTTGCTGTGTATTTGTTGCAGGTCAATTATGGCAATTTAAGGGTTGGAAATGGGAAAAACCTGTGGAATTATTTAGTAATGGTAAATTTGCGGAAGAAAAAAAACATCTGTGGAAAATATCTATCTTTTACTGAATATACTTTTTTTTTTTTTTCAGTCAAGGGATTTTATCCAAAATGGACTAGTGATAAAATCACGGCACCTGCTTCAGAATGGGCAGTATCCGAAATGAATGTAAGTGTTTTTAATGAATTAGGATTAGGTAAAACATTATTAAAGAAACATGTGGATATAGATTCATCGACACAAAAGACATATGGACAAAGCAGCTGTTTCACAGTTCTGGGATGCCTTGGACAGTTACAATGCTACCCACAAACAGTATCTCAATTTCTAATTCCATTTTATTTATCTCTTTCTTCCTCTCTTTTGTCAAAAAAAAATACATTTATATCACCATCACATAATAAAATGCGTATTATGTCGACTTTAATAAGCACTGAACAACGATCTATCAAATCTGAGCATTTACTGTTCATTGAATAGTTAAAGGAGAGAACCAAGAATAAGTCTGCTATTCTGTCAGTTTGATAAAGAATTGTATAATACTTAGTTTGTAGTTGTCACTTGTTTTCGACTTTCGCTCTGAAGGCTGTTGTGATACCAATGACTTAAGTTTGCATTCATGAGTGCGACACTATATGTTTAAGCTTCAAATAGAAATGCGAAAAAAAGACTTGTTGGAAATAGCCGATGGCGCACGTAATCGGCGTGAGGTTTACAGAAAACTCAGAAAGGTGAATAAAATACGAGGGGATTCATCTCAACACAAAACTCTGCTTGTCACTATTTTATTTTTCATTTAGTATAGGTAAAACTTACCAGAAGAAGAGACTGAAGTTTATCGATGGTGTAATAAGACTTGTTTATACTATATTTTGCATTCTATCCCGGAGAAGTGAGAGTGTGGCACCATTTACTTCTTAAAATATTCTGTCTCGCTTGCTCACAATCCATTCAAAGATTGATAGATTAATTAAAGTCAAATTTCTTATTACCGAATATTCTATTATGGCTCATAAAATTTAACATAATGACCGTAGTTACGCTATAAAGAAACAGAGCAATCGTAATTGGTGCTCGAGAAACAATGCAGTATAGTTCTTACTTTGATCGCTGCTATAATTCCGGGAATGCGACAGAGACCAAGTGATACCATTGTTACTCATATTCAAGTAACCTTCAAGTTGTTTTTTTTTGGCGAGCTTTGTTTCGGTGAGCGTGGCATATATAAAAAACTAAGCACCATATAGACCTCCTTCTCTTTAAAGCATTGCTTTCCCCTATCCAAGTTCAAAAAAGTAAGGGAATGCGCAGATACGACTAATCTTGTATGCGAAGATATTTGTCGGGGTTAAGAAAGACAAGGTTGCTCAGACTGTTTGGCAAAAAAAAAAGGGCAACTCTCTTTCTTTCCAACTTAAAAATGGCAGCTCGCTTACCCAATTTAATACCTCCCTTCCGATTTACAATTGTAGAAGAAAACCTCTTTCGAGGGGGATATCCTAAACCACGCAACATTCGTTTTTTAAAGAGGTAAAGAAAAAGCAATGACACGATGAGGCGCCCTTTTTTTGACAAGATCATTAACTATGGTTATAGATTAAGACTAAAGACCATACTTTCCTTGATTCCAGATAAAATTATGCCAGAAATGCAACACTTTTGTGACGAGAATAATATCCAGCTACTTCATTTAAATGTAGACAAGATGAAGGAAGACAATATCCCATTAACGTACAACAAGACCATTATGGCACTGGAAGTATGTCCCTTATAAAATTTATCAGCCTTCTGGTATACTAATCTGACAACACAGCTCATGATAGATCCTGCTAATCATCCATTGTACATTCACTGTTTGGATGGTGCCGATGTCACTGGGTTAGTGATCGCCTGTTTGCGTAAGTTACAAATGTGGAGCAATTCAAGTGCTATGAGTGAGTTTGCACGTAGCTTAAACTCGAGCGTTGTCACTAGTGAGGAATTCGAATTCATTGAGAACTTCAAGAACTTTGATGTTACGATCCCCATGACACTACCCTCCTGGTTATGGACGGGCCAAGTGAGTTTTAGAAAGCACGCGACACTCAGGCTGAAATTTTTAAATCCGGAAATGATGACAGAGGAAGAACGAGAGTTAAAGGATCTAAAAGAGAAGAAAGAAAAGGAGAAGGAAGATTATTATAAAAAGAGAAAGAATGGTAAGACACTACTCAAAGGTGTTATATACACATCTAACATGTCACTGTGTATGTATATAGATCTTTTGGATAATCTATTTGATCCCAATACACCTAGACATCGTGCAAGTCCAACCACGGCAAATACCAACAATAACAACACACCTCTGCCCTCCACGCCTGGAACGGATGATGAGTTTACAACGAATGCGTCATCGACACATGTAACCGAGAAACACAAGGTAGATTCGGATGCCAAAGATCCTTATCTAGTGGATGTGGATGTGGATGTGGATGGGGTGATGATGGATGGTCTTGATCAAGTAGAATATATGAATCGTAATGCAGGCAATTCATCGAACAGTAGGTTTTACGCTGGTGATGATGATGATATAATGGAAGATGGGGATGAATATGAAGGTACAAGGTTTACTACAGAACCCATCAGTCGAACATTAGAAGCTTTAGCCTTAGAAGGTCTGACTGAATTTTAAAAAAAATATAAATGCTTTTTTATTTTATTTTTTTGCATGATTTTTTGCTGATAAAAAAAACTTCAGTTTCTCGGGTGGGGAATGTGAATAATGAAACTTGGTGAGTATTATAAATAAATGTAAAGGGGATGTGTGCAAGTGTGTGTAAAAGTGTGAGTATTTAGTGAAAAAAAAATTATCCACTGCACATGAGACAAGCATCTTCATTATCTATAGAACATTGTAATTGTGCCAATCTCTTTTGTTCTGCTGCATCCACAGTGATTTCGTTCTCTTCCAATGACATGGTTTTAAGAGCCAATTGATCAACCGTAAACTAATTATAGAAATGAGTACAAAGGGATTAAATATGAATAAACCTTTTTTTTTTTTTTACCTTGATAGCATCAACAGCAGGTCTTGATCGTAAATAGTACATGCCTGTCTTCAGTCCCTTCTTCCAAGCATAGAAATGCATTGAGGTCAATTTACCATAATTGGGTTCAGCTGAGAACAAGTTCATGGATTGCGATTGATCAATGAAAGCTGCTCTATCTGCAGCCATATCAATAATGGTTCTTTGTGAGATTTCCCAGACAGTCTTGTAAAGCTTCTTTAAATCATCAGGAATATTGGGGATTTCTTGGATACTACCACCATGGGCAATCATCATGTTTTTCACATTCTCGTTCCACAAACCAAGCTTAACAAGATCTGTTAATAAATGTTGGTTTACCACTTGGAATTCACCACTTTGGACACGACGGGTATAGATATTACTGGTGTAGGGCTCGAAACATTCATTGTTGCCCAAGATTTGACTGGTACTGGCAGTAGGCATAGGAGCCAACAAAAGTGAGTTACGCACACCATATTTTTTGATATTCGCTCTTAAGGTGGTCCAGTCGAAACGATCTGAGCCCTCTACTTTCCACATGTCGTGTTGAAGGATACCTTGGCTGATGGGAGAGCCAGGGTAGGTCTCATAGGGACCATTTTCTCTGGCCATTTCACAAGAGGCCGTTAAGGAAGCAAAATAGATTGCTTCGAAGATATCCTTGTTTAATTGAGCAGCTTCGGCAGAATCAAAGGGATATCCCATCAAGATGAAAGCGTCTGCAAGACCTTGGACACCGAGACCAATGGGACGGTGACGCATATTACTGTTACGTGCTTCCTCCACAGGGTAATAATTAACATCAATGACCTTATTTAAGTTACGTGTCACAACCTTTGCAACCTCATGAAGCTTTTCGAAATCAAATGTCTGTGTTTCCACATTGACAAACTTTGGTAACGCAAGTGAGGCTAAATTACATACTGCAACTTCATCAGGAGAAGTGAACTCCATAATTTCTAAATGAAGTATGTCTCAGCAACTACATTTTACCCCCGTTACACATATAAAAAAGCCTTATTACCTGTACATAAGTTGGATGAAGTGATGGTTCCCAAGTTCTTTTGATTGGACTTTTCATTACAAGCATCTAAAAATCCAAGTATTAGTAGTCACATCCAAGAAAAAAAAAGATTTTTTTTTCTAGTTTACCTTTATAACACATGTAAGGCATACCAGTTTCGATTTGAGCTTCCATGATAGCAAACCAAAGCTTTTGAGCATCAATAGTCTTTCTGGCTTTTCCTTCTTGCTCATAACGCGTATAGAGGGCATTGAATTTTTCGCCATAAGTATCACACAAACCAGGGGCTTCATTAGGACAGAATAAGGACCAAGATCCATTTTCTTCCACCCGTTGCATGAACAAATCAGGCACCCAGAGGCCTAAGAACAAATCACGTGCACGCATCTCCTCGGCACCACTATTCTTTCTTAACTCTAAGAAATCAAAGACATCAACGTGCCAAGGTTCCAGGTACATGGCGAAGTTACCGTTACGTTTACCTCCACCTTGTGTCACAAAACGAGCAGTGTCGTTAAAGACACGCAACATGGGAACGATACCGTTGGAAGTACCATTGGTGCCCGCAATATATGAGCCTGAGGCACGTACCTTTTGGAAGGAAACACCTACACCGCCTGCGGCTTTGGAGATACGAGCACATGTACTCAAAGTATCATAAATACCTTCAATACTATCTTCACGCATTTGCACCAGGAAACAACTGGATAATTGGGGCTTGGGTGTACCTGCATTGAATAAGGTAGGTGTGGCATGTGTGAAGTACTTGGAAGACATGAGCTCATAGGTCTTGAAAGCGCTGACGAGATCGTTACCATGGATACCAATAGCAACACGCATAATCATATATTGAGGACGTTCGACGATCTTGCCGTTGATCTTGAAAAGGTAACTACGTTCCAAAGTTTTGAAACCAAAGAAATTGAAATCATAATCTCTGTCACTGACAATGACCGAATCGATTTTATCAGCGTTGGCCATGACAGTGTCATAGAGGGCTTTGGAGATGAGAGGATTGGGTTGCTTCAAGATAGGATGTTCGTGGTGATAGAGCTTGTGGATGACCGTGCTGAACTTGGGGTCTGTTTCTTTCTGGAGGTTGGAAATAACAATACGAGCAGCGAGGACAGCAAAATCAGGATGACCGGTGGTCATATAAGCTGCTGTTTCTGCAGCAAGATTATCCAATTCCACGGTAGTGATGCCTTGATACACGCCAGACACTACTTTTTGAGAAATCTCTGCGGCACTAACAAATTCTTCATTTAATCCATAACATAACTTGGCGATACGTGAAGTAATCTTGTCAAATAAGACTCGTTCTTTGCTTCCGTCTATATTGTCATATCATTATTTAGCAGTATGTCTATTTATTCCTTCATTTTCGTATATTACCTCTTTTAACCACGAACATAATCTTTGTAAAGAAAAGTACTTTATAGAAGAAAGAAAAAGAGGAGAGAAAAAAAAAGGAAAACGATCACGTCGCGGTTTTATAAAAAAAAATAGTAGATTGAAAAAAAAACAATTAGCGACGCGCTTTTTGACGTCACGTCTTTCAATACATGCGTGTTCTCAGGGCGCAACAAGCTGGAATTAAATGGTAAAGTAGTGGCATTTCAATTGATTCATCCCTTGCCCTCCTTTCAGGGTTACGTATAATTTGAAAATGTGGGCTAAATAGACTGTATTTGCAAAGAGTTGACTAAGGTATGTTGTCAGATATATAACAAATGCCGGTGGATGGATTATCTAATTATACGCTCCAAGGCTGTTTGTCCAACTGGCTTGTTTGTAATGTTGTCTCTCTGTAACCTCCCCCTCTCTCTCCTTACTAAGACTACAGGTCCTATGTCTCTTTTCTCGTCCTTGTTCCCATATCAACCGAATTGATTTACTCACTTTTTTTCTATGGAAATAAAATACGCAAATAAGAACTTGTGTAACGATGTCCAATAAATGTGATGTGTTTGCATGACAATGACATAAGAAAAGTAGTTTAAATTGCTTAATGGATTGGATATAGGTTATTTATAATTGGTGTTAGCGCTAAAACCACAAGGATCCATCTTAAGATAACTTAAACAATGGATGTGTGTCTTCAAAAAGAAGAAGAATTGAGTAAAGTATGACATGTCTATAGATGTGTTTGGTGGTACAAGTTTTAGAAGTATAGGATTTTCCAACCATTTACTCATTTAAGATGATCTGTAAAAAAAGGTATGGTTTTGCTTACAATAAAACTATGAGCGAGCTCTTTACACCAATTGTTTTTTTCCAAATAACTGAATATTTTGATCATTTTAATTACGGATTTTGTTGCCAGCTGCCTCTATTTAGTTTACCTTTATTATACAAATTGCTAAAGACAAGAGGTTTCCTTATCAAGACACAAGGAACAAAAATGGCATATTTGTTCAAAAAAAGAGAGAAACGTACCACAATGATTTCCACCTTAAAATTAATTGATCAATTTAGCACAATGGTTACCAACTCAAGCGCTCGAATTGATCGTGTTTCCATCGCACACAGTAATAAGAGATACATGATAGGAGGTATATTTCATTTTGCATGGTATTACACATTTATTTGATATGCCAGCTATCTTTTTTGATAAAAGAAAAACGTGTTTTTTAAAAAGAATTATTGTAGAAGTAGAGATAAGTATGAATCTGTCCTTATCAAGTCTTTATCATAAATCCAACTATTTGGTAAGAGTAATAGGACGGTAACAAACATTGGAACCCTTATAGATGCCTTGCTCAAGGAACAAATCACTTGAGCTGAAACCTACAGTAATATGAGGCCAGAAGGACTTAAAAAATAAAAGCATTAGATACGTTTTTGTCTACACTGCAATAAAAAACAATGATGTGTTACCTGAGGGTCAAAGAGAGCAGTATTACCACCTTTTTTGGCGTACAATTGAAAGATTTTTTCACGGATCTTGATAAGTTCTGGAGCCTTAACAAGAATTTGATAGACAACCTTTTGAACACCCCCAAAGAGTACGTCTTCTTTACCGAGACAGATGGGAGTGACTTTACTGTCCTGGATCTTACTTTGACGAGCAAAGGTATTGATCTGATCAAAAGTCACACCGGCGGTAGCAAGTACAGCGAATTCGGGAGGAGAGATAACGGTTACATGAGATTCACCTCTAGTGATCAAAGGGATCTCTGTTGAGTTGAACGTGTCAAAGACAGGCTTGATATATTGAAAATCGAAGTTCATTCCCAACCAAGATGCGTTTCCTACACAAATGTTAATTTTTTGTATTTGTTTATGTTTGGAATAGTGTACCTGCAGGATGTTCAATAAAAGGCACATTCTTAGGCGAAAAGAGCTTTCGAGATACTTGGATGGGTAATCCTAAACATGTAATGAGTTTTAAAGAAAAAAAAGGTACGCCCCCTTGTTCCTATGTTTACCCTTCCAGTCAACGCCTAAAGGAGTCTTGTGGTGGACTTGGTAAGAAGAAAGATCCACAGCAGAGGCTAACCCGCAAGCAGCAGCAAAAACAAGAGCAATCTTCATAATGTGATGTGTGTTAAAAATTAAAAGGTAATTAAGAAAGATACAAAAAGGAAAAGTAAACCGTACTTATACACAGTGGATGTTTTCTAAATGGTAAAATGTGACAGTAATTTGTCCGCTGACCAATCAAACTAGCAAGCAACTCAAACAATGCCTTTTGTGAAAGCTTTTGGTGATCAGCTGAGCGAAAAAGAAAGCCCGCCCTTTTTTTTCTTTCTTTCTTTACAATGCGAATTCTACTCTACATTGCAACCTTCATTAGTCTGGTTTTTGCTTCGAGCGACTACTTTGATATTTTGGATAGTGAGTTTGAGCAGACAGTAAAGGGAAAGACTCGAACGTTTTACATTACTGCGGAAGAAGAGATTTGGGATTATGCCAGTCAAAGTGCTTCTGCAGCCAACGTGCCAGGTATAAATAACTTAAATAGATAGTTTGTATTATAGCTGGTATTAAATATAACCAGATAAGCATATTATTGGTACAAGGTACTACAAGGCCCTTTATCATGAATACGATGCTAGCTTTCGAGAGAGAAAAGCACGATTTCATTGGCAAGGAAATATGGGTCCTATATTAAGAGCACAAGTGGGTGACACCATCCAAATTCATTTCTGGAATCGGGCCAAACAAAATTATACAATGCATCCACATGTAAATAAACACAAAGTTGGTATACATTTTGAATAATTAGTAACTCTGTTTTCTAGGGAGTATTTTACCAATTTGAAATGGAAGGTGCCATATTCAAAGGTTCTTATGAAAGTGCAGTTGTGCTTCCAAATCACAACTATACATATACATGGCAGGTCTTACCGAGAGCAGGACCAGGACCTGCAGACGGTGACTCGATAGCGTGGGGGTATCATTCTCATGTGAAAGAAACCGATTTGTAAGTAGATATTTTTAACTGATATGAAGTAGGGATGCTAATTCGTATTATAAGATATGCTGGGTTGTATGGTGCTATCGTTATTTACAAGCCTGGTAAATTGTCGCACGATGATATCGTGACATCTGTATTTGGTAAGGCACAAAAAAAAAAAAAAAAAAAAAAATAGGGAAAGAGGATTACCTAACCTTGAGTAGTGGCGGATGAAAACTTGTCGCCTTATTTGAGTCGTACAATGTCAAGCTTATACCCGCAATTTGACCACAACAAATTTGACAAGAACCAGGTATACGGAGCCAATCAGTTTGATACAATCAACGGGCTGGTAAGATCCAACCCCAGTGATTTAAGGATTAAGGGCGAAGTGGATTGGCATTTGCTTGGATGGGGAACCTATTGGGATGTGCAGTACATACGATGGGAACATGGACAAGTATGGTGGGGGGAGCCTGTGACAGAGATGCGATTAATGCCTGCCTCTTTCTATACGGTGACAGTTCAAGTTGACACACCAGGCACCTATGATTTTGGGTCATCTTCCATGAATATGGAATACACTGTTCTCGAGTAAAGTAGGCGCTAAACTTATTAAACTCGTACCCTTGCGCGAGACCGGTTTTTTTTATATCATTCAGAACGGTTGCTTTTACGAAAATTTTATACCCCTTGACCAAGACATAAATCATACTTTTTAAAAAAACGAATAGCACAAAGCCGAAAACGATTGATCCTTCATGTCTAGAAATTTTTGCCTTTTTGAAATAAGAGAAATGGCACAATAAAGTATCTTGTTGATTTTTTTAAAAAAAAAAACTCATTTTCAAGCCATCGATAGGAATAGCAAGGAAAGTAGTAGAGAACACCTGGGTTGGATTTATAAATGGGGAAAAACTAACGCATATTTCATATTAACTAATTTAAAATGTAGTACGGCGCGGCCAAATATAAGGCTGCTCACCACCTTGAAAATAACAACGAGCTGTGTTTGGCATTATTTAGTATAGTTCTGCTCACAATCGCCATGTAATAACCTCAATCGGCCCATGGTTCTCATATACAGCCTTTTGAAACAGTCCAAATTATCAGCAAGTATAAATATGGGACTTTATAAAAAAAGAGATGAAACCCTACTTTTTATACCAGACTCGCAAGTTCAAATAAATAAGTCCCAGGTTTATACTTCAACTACAACATTGTTCACTGATGGAATAGCAGGTTGGTGAGGGAGGGTTTCAGAAAACGTATCGTTCCATGCTGTCCGTGCTGTCCGTGCTGTCCGTGCTATACGTGCTATACGTGCTATACGTGCTATACGTGCTATACGTGCTATCCGTGCTAAACGTGCTAAACGTGCCATCAGTGCTATCCGTGCTATACGTGCTATACGTGCTATCCGTTCTATCCGTTCTATCCGTGCTATACGTGCTATACGTGCTATACGTGCTATCATACGTGCTATCATACGTGCTGTCATACGTGCTATCATACGTGCTATCCGTAGTATCCGTAGTATCCGTAGTGTTATCCATATTTTTTTTTCTTTACATTTTGATCGAATATTCTCTGGAAATAGTGTAATGCATGCTGTTGCTAAAACATTGATTGGTTGCTTGTATGTAAGCCAAAGGCTATGCAGATGGTTTTATAATAAGTAAAAGCTCTGGCATTATGGGTGATTAAATAAACCCTGATCTAAACCAGCTCTTATTTATCAGTTGATATAAAAAACTCGATTCACACTCTTTTCCCTTCGCACATTAAGATCCTTTCTTTTGTGCGAGGGAAAGTTAATACATAATGTTTTTTGTTACATGCAAGAAACACTAAAACATTTTGTCTTTTTTTAAAAAAACAGAGACATATTCCAATTTTTGCGATACTACGGCTGAGGCCGATCTTCTTTATATAATGAAGACCTCTCTGTTACCCGTTGTAGGCATTGTAAGCCTCCATCAATCTCCACTGTGATAAGGCAAAAAATGGAAATGTCTAGAACTCCGTATTTTTTTCAAAGTATATTTTCAACATTATTCTTTAACATTACGTGATGTTTTACACATACGTTTTTACGTTGATTGATATGCCATATCGTCTAATCGATTTCTGTTTGCTACTACTGGAACGCAGATATACAACTACCAAGTTCCGATTTGTTTGGGGGGTTTTTGCCAGTGTTTCTATTTTAAGTAAAGGCCCAAACATTATGGATGATAAAATAGACAAATGAAATCATCTTGACATAAGCTTGTTTATCAGCCTATAAATAAAGCTGGTTCACACACTTTATTCTTCTCCTTTTTCTTTTCCCTTGACATATTTTTTTTCTATCGTAAATGAAAGTAACGGATAACGTAAAAAGGTTAGTTAGTAATTGACTCTTGTTTCTTTCAAAAGACGCTAAATTGAAAAGATATACTACGATATTGTGGCTGCGGCTAGTCTTTGCTATAGGAGGGCGACCTCCTAGGCAGGGTTCTTGGGTTTTCGGAACTCACGGACTGTGAATAGCTGGGATTGGACTGCAAATAGTTGTAATCATACCGGCCTGCTGGTCTTAACAAGAGTTTCTGGGTAAATCAAAATACGTAAGATAACAAATGATCGCGTGACTAAAAAAAAAAGATTTAAAAAAATTAGGGAGAACGTTTACACCTACGTCTCTTTTTTTTTTTTTTTTTCACCGTACTTTTTTTAAGCACGTCTTGTCTTAATACCATGACTAAAGAAATAGAAAGTGCTGAAGAAAGTAGTAGTAAGTAAAAACATTTGTAACGTCTTTTTTTCTTCTTCTTTTCTTTAACTGGTTCTGTTTTGTAGTGTTTAATGATGTACTTACGTTTAAATTACACAACAATCAATTACCAGGCAAAGACCAATTTAGCAAAGAAATGTTAAAAACACAAGAGGTGATGGATATTGTTGTCGGTGGGCTGTTAAATGTCCCAAAAGGAACTTATACGTCGGCTGAAACAGAATGGCACAACAGTTCAAAAAGCGATATCCTCTACAAACCTCGGTTGGCAGCCCAAAGCTCACTTCCCCCCGTACTTGTAGAGGTACAACTGACGGTGAACGAACCGTTTATGCAACGTGTGGTTAGCTACGCCCAAAATGCCATGAACACATACAAGCTTTATCCCATAGTGCTCATTTTCTGCATTGATCGCGTTTCTCCGGCCCAGCTCGCTACCAAGTTCAAAACGAGTGACCAAAAGCCTTGGATGGCATCGCTCGAGACAACTGATTTCTGGGCTAAAAGCTGTTACATCGTGTCCAAACTAACTTTAGAAAGTGACAGTTCCACAAGCCAGCTCACACCACTCCAAGCTTTAGCATCGTTCTTGATCGAAGGCTCCCCGACCTTACATGCACATTCACACGCAGATAATGATACTATCAAACAGCTGTATCAGATTGCCATGACCGTCTCAAAAAGTCAAGTTCAAAGCGATAATGATTTATCAAATGTGGTAGACATCATTTGCTTCAACAACGAAAAATTGCTCAAGAAAGCCCATGATGCATTATTTGGTGTAACTGGAACTTCCAAGGCAAAACTGGCCATTGAAAGGGCACTAGTTTTTAATGCAGCGGCAAAGAGAAAGTATTGCCAAAACCTAAACTCGGATTCAGACTCATCCTTGGAACCATTACCAAAATTGAAGGGAAAGACAAGTGAAATTCGTGGTAACCGAAAACAAGATGATCTCGAATTTGTGATTGGTTACAAAAGGGATTTAATAGGAAAGATGGACTGGAAGAAATGCCTGTCAATTGGCCATGAAAAAAAACTATGCCAAACTTACTCCACCGGTGAATCACTGAGACGATTCTTTTATAATGCTACCAAAAAATGATTTCTTTCATGTTGCTTTTGCAGCCAATCTAATATTGGTATCACGCATGTTAATACATCTCCTACAAATACCCTTAATTTTTTCTTAAATATTGCTTGATTTGACAACTTCATATTTGGTGCTCATTATAATATCTAACACGGATAGCACGGTTAGCACAGTCGGTGTTGTAGCCAATAATAATTCGGCTTGCTGTTACACAGGATAGGATCTTTCATATAAATACTTTCTCATTTTCAATAAATATTTTTTAGTTCTGTCTTTACCTAAATTTGGGATTTATCTTCTAATTGATACCTTTAAACTATTACCTGCAGTTTACGAAAAGTTGAAGGATTTATCTACGGTATGTCTACTCCACCTAATACGTTGGTGGCTTTGTATATCTCTTCTTCAGATAGCTTTTCCTGGGGCTTTACTCAGTGATATATCATTTAAAATTTCTTTCCAGACGTATGCCTCCTAGACTTCACGGTTTCTATTTTAAGTAAAGACACTTTTTTCTTCCCTTTTCTTTTCTTTAGTGTATATATATATAAATGGTGAGTGTATACCCATTCACGTATAGCATTATCTTTACGAAAAAAAACTTGGGATTTTGAAGCGTAACTTTATCGTTCTTGGTACGGTTCATTGCCTGCTTTAAAGAAAAAAACTAAAATTATTTCCCAGTTGTATGATATAAAGATCAGCAGATAGCAAAATGCCTGTTTAAACATTTGTTCTAGAATGCTTCGTGATTTATACACACTATATATCCAGTCTACGATCTACTCGATACTTGATAGCAACCCAGCACTGAAACATAGACCATTACATTAATGTCTAGTTCTAATCTACGCTCCCATTTGATCCTCCCAGGTAACAATATATTTTAATCCTTTCATATAAAAAGGAACCCCTTTTCCATTTAATAAAAAGATATCTGTAGTTTTAGTCTCAAATAATTTAACTGTTTATTTCTTATAATCTTTCACTTAAGGGTAATGAGTATTATTTCTGGATGAATCATGCTTAGCAAAAAAGTTCTCTAATGGATCTGGTTAGATTATATGGTAATTTTTAAATAATATGGGTCTCATTATTTTATTTCAGCAAATGGATAAAGCATTAAAAAAAATATAATGCGATAGGTATGATTGAACTAAGGCTCAAAATGGAGAGAGCACTCGCGATGATAACTTTTAGTTCCTTTAGTAACATCGAGTAAATCAACGACGACAATCTCCATGACATCTGTGGTTTTTAGAGCATCCGCAGCGGTGCACTTAAATTTCCACGGATAAAATGGGTCATTTTCAGGTTGGACTACAAGTGTAGTCCCTTTTTTTAGTGAATCCACAGCGGTCAAAAATAAACTACAATGTCCTCAGCTTTAAAGATTTTTTTTTTACTCTTTAACAAGTGCTCCAGGACGTTCTCATGATGACCATCATCATGACTTTCCTTATCACCATTGCATTTGGGATGGGTTTACGGTTAGAAATAGCAGTTTGGGTGTTCATTTGGTTTGAAAACTTTAGAAAAAGAAACGAAAAGAAAAGAACGAAAAAGAAGTTTTAATGAAATTTTCACACTACTTCTAGTGATTTTCCGACATTTAATCTGGAAAGGTTTTTAGCATTCAGATAGAAAAAAGAGAGATCATTGAAAGATTGTTTCAGCAACTTCTGGCAGATAAAGTAATTCCGTCTTCCTGGAATTTCAAATCGGTTGGAAAACGTTTTGAACGCCAACTCGCAAAGTATCGCGATACAGAAAGAGATATGAACTCTATCGGTTTTGGCTTGACTGCAGATGACATTAAACGTGGACTGACCTTTATCGAGATCAAGTTTGAACATTTGTGTATTGGATTTTCTCGTTTGGCTGCTCTGCATGGTGTTAGACCAAACATAACTCCTTATTCGTGGTGCAAATACGGTGGTAATTCTTGGTGGTGAGTCAATTACCTTCGAATGTTATTAAGAATGTAACTTCCATTTCGGAAAACGAGCTCTTTAACACATACTTTGATCCTATTCTCTCTTCAATAATTTCTGTAACTGAAATTGCAACTTTTCTAAGCTTGAAAACATAAAGACATTAGTCTTTGTTTGTTAATTTGTTTGGAGCTTCTGTAGCCCTGATTCGGCAGCGGAAGTCGTAAAAAGCGGTTACCACCCAGCCCTGAAGACCCTTATGAGCAGATCGATGGAACCTATTCGACGACGGACACAAAATGAGCAAATCGATTAAGAAGCGATATCATATACAAGCCTCACTTGGCAACGCGAAGCTCCTCCTCCCGTACTTGTAGAGGTACAGCTGACGGTGAACGAGTCATTCATGCAACGTCTGTTTAGCTACACTCAAAACGCTATGAATACATACAAGACGTATCCCATGGCGCTTATCGTTATATACAAGGAGCTAGGTGACCCATATCCGGTACTCGTCAGGGTATTACCGTTTATACATTAATGACGAGGTCTTTGAATAAATTTATTCAAGACTAGAAGCTTCAGCAGCTAGTCGACCTTTCCGGGAACGATTTGAAATCTGATCTTGGTTTGACATACAAGGGTAGCTAGTGTTGAACCAATAGGAGTGTATTTGGTTTAACAATGAAAAAATCCTCAAGAAGACTAAAGATGCCTTATTTAATGTCCAAAGCTAAGCAATACATTCAACGGGCATTAAATTTTAATACATCGGTCTAAATGACAAGTATTGTCGTGATTCGGATTCGGACTCATCGTTGGAGCCTTTATTTAAGCTGAAAGGAAAGAAAAGGAATACCAGTGCAGAGCGAAAGCAAGATGACCTTGAGTTTGTGACGGACTTCAAGAAAAGCTTGATAGGAAGGATGAACTGGAGAAAATGCCTTTCTGCCGGCCATGAAAAAAAAAACCTGTGCCAAGGATACTCCACCGCTGAATCGTTGAGGCAATCATATTATAATGCCACAAAAAAACAATTTTCTCATGCTTGATTTATACCATTTTTAAAAAATAAATTATCATTCCTATTTCTGTAAACACAATTGTTACACATAACGGTACCAAGGATGGTACAGAATATTACATTTGTTGAAATTTTGGCTCACTTCATCAATGAAAGGCAGTATAAAATTATCATGGGCTGCTTGAGGTCACTACTCATGGCGATTTTGAGAAAGATAAATAATGACCAATTTTTTTTTTTTTTTTTTTTGGTGTCATTGACCATTGTGATGTCGGATATTTGTAAGATTATGACTTCATTTAAATGTACGATATTCCTTTATTCACCAAATATTAATTGCTCTGTAGACACTTGGATGATCTCGTGCTGTTCGTCGTGAGTGTTACATACTATTAAGTAGAGACATGATGAGTGGGCATCTAAGAGCTATGATAAGTGAGACTGTGATCAAAAAAGCTAAGCAGAGACCTGCCAGTTCGGCTAAATCCCGTACCAGGTTTTTTGTACTCGAGTATAATCCAGTCTTTTGGCAATTAGACTATGTCTTTGCTCCAGGCTATTGATTTCTAGGCGCAAAGCTGTTTTATTGTGACAAAGCTGACTCTATCGAATGCTACGAGTTCATACTTTTAAAAGATTCGCATGATTGGCTGAACTGGTATTCTTACCTTTGTAAATACTAGTAAGTGCGTCATAAAGTCGTCCGAGATGACGGAATGGTTCCCATCGATGCATTGAAGAATAGCTTTAATGCTATCCCTTATTTATGACCTGTTCCAAAAAAATTATCGTGCTGTTCTACCCTATTTTTGCAGCAGCGGTCTAATAGCAGCTGCTGAAGTTCTATACAACTTTGCCAGATATTCTAAACAACGAATCACTATATAAAGCTCCGTTCCAAGTGTACGTCAAAAAAAAAGAAAAAAAAAAAAAGAAAAGCTTGCTAGGTCAAGGTGATAAGTTGGTTCTATATATACTGGTGTGAAAGTGACAAGATTTATGGCTCTTACTGTATTTGTGTAAAAATGTCGATAAGGTTATACAAGATCGTTGTGAGATGTGAAGGATGGAAATAAATTATTTTCTATCCAGTTACGGGATAACCCCTGGGGCAAATATAATAAGCAGCGAACTCCGATTTGTGGGGGTCATTGAATGATTGGTTTAAGGCACATTCTTCCGACATGCCCACTTTTATTGAGGGAAAGGAAAAAGATATGAAAAAATAGATAAGATAACCAAAAGTAAATAAATAAACAGATTAAACGAAAATAAAAAAAATTCATGCTAAAAATTAAGATGTAATAATTACTCACACACACACACACACACGAAAATCAGGGATTATAAAATGTTTCCTTTTTAGGAAAGTGAATGAGGTGAGTCACGATGTCTAGGTTGGGCTCAACCGACGCCATTTTTAGTACGACCATTCAAAGCCAATATTTTTTTGGCATGTAAAAAAAAAAAAAAGGACCTTGTGTAGATCAAAGTGCTCCAGAAGAGAGCTTTCTCATTAAACTCTTCCTTTTTTTTTATATATATGGTGAGGACTGGGTGTGTATTTGAGAAGACGGTTAGGAAAAGACTAGCACCCATCTTTGTTTTTATTTGTGCCCTGTTTAAAAGTCAGCAATCAAATAAATTATAAAGTAAAAACATTTTTTTTTCCTCTTTTTTTCTTCTTTTTCCAAATTATATAATTTCTTATTAATAATGTGTGGTATTTTCGCCGTATATAACTACCAAGGTGATATCGAAGCCTACCGTCAACGTGCCTTGTATCTCTCCAAGAAGTAAGCAATCAATCAATATTAGTTACAAACTATCATACTAACTTTATTTCAATCAATCTAGGATCAGACATCGTGGTCCCGATTGGTCTGGTTGTTATACCACCAAGAACCACATCTTGTGTCATGAGCGTCTTGCTATTGTCGGTGTTGGTAAGTGATAATTAATGATATGTGTATTATAACAAATATTAACGAAGCTCTGTAGGTTCCGGTGCTCAACCCATTGTCAGTGATGATGAAGACCTTATCCTCAGTGTCAACGGTGAAATTTATAACCACAAGCAATTAAGAAACGACTTGAAGGGTGATTATCACTTCAAGACCGAATCTGATTGTGAAGTCATCATGCACTTGGTAAGTTATTTAGAAGGAAAAGGTATGAGTATGGAGTGTGCTAACTTTAGATTTAGTACAAGGAACATGGTACCGATCTCGTTAACCATTTGGACGGGTTCTTCTCATTTGTTCTTTTGGACAAGAAGAGAAACAGACTTATTGCTGCTCGTGATGCTATTGGTATCTCCACCCTTTACTACGGTTGGAACTCCAAGATGCCCGAAGCCATCTATTTCGCCTCTGAATTAAAGTCTCTTAACGAAGACTGTGACAAGATCTTGGCCTTCCCTCCCGGTCATTTCTATGACTCTGAGACCAAGGAAACTGCTCGTTGGTTCAACCCTACCTGGTGGGATGAGAGCAAGATCCCTACTAACCCCATTGATTACACTCAATTGAGAGAGTCTCTCGAAAAGGCTGTCCGTAAGAGATTAATGGCTGAGGTTCCCTATGGTGTCTTATTATCCGGTGGTCTTGACTCTTCCTTGATCGCTGCTATCGCTGCTCGTGAAACTGAAAAGATTGCTTCTGGTCTTAAGGGTTCCGAAAGTGGTGATGATAACTTTGATGAGAGTGGCCCTGCTTTGTGGCCCAAGCTCCATTCTTTCTCTGTCGGTCTTCCCGGTTCTCCCGATTTGATTGCTGCTCGTGAGGTTGCCAAGCACTTGAACACTGTTCATCACGAATATACCTTTACCATCCAAGAAGCTCTTGATGCTGTCAGCGATGTCATCTATCATCTCGAAACCTATGATGTTACTACCATTCGTGCTTCTACTCCCATGTACCTCTTGACCAGAAAGATCAAGGCTATGGGTGTCAAGATGGTCTTGTCTGGTGAAGGTGCTGATGAGGTCTTTGGTGGTTATCTCTACTTCCACAACGCTCCTAACAAGGAAGCTTTCCATACCGAAACCGTCAGCCGTGTCAAGAACTTGCATACATCCGATTGTCTTCGTGCCAACAAGTCTACCATGGCCTGGGGTGTTGAGGCTCGTGTTCCTTTCCTTGATAAGTCCTTCTTGGAGATTGCTATGAACATTGATCCTACCGAAAAGATGCCCGATAGATCCATTGGTAAGATGGAAAAGTATATTGTGCGTAAGGCTTTCGATACCTCAGATGATCCTTCCGCCAAACCTTATTTACCCAAGGAAATCCTCTGGCGTCAAAAGGAACAATTCTCTGACGGTGTTGGTTACAGCTGGATTGATACCCTCAAGCAAGTCAGTGAAAACAAGATCTCTGATGACGACTTTGCTCAAGCTTCTTCCAAGTGGGCCAAGGATGCTCCTACCACCAAGGAAGCTTATATGTACCGTGTCATGTTTGATCAATGGTATCCTCAAGAAGCATGTGCTGCTTCCGTTGTCAGATGGATTCCCAGAGGTGATTGGGGTTGTCCCGAAGATCCTTCTGGTCGTGCACAAAACGTCCATGAAGCTGCTTATGAACCCAAGAAATAGATTTTTACATAACTTACATAAAAAAAACCCATTGTATCATAGATTTTTTTTTTTATAACTAATAAATATTATTTATTTATGAAAAAATGCTGGAATGAAAATGTGTGTATTTTTTTTAAGGTAAGAATGAAGGTGTAGCAGGTCTAGTAGGTGCTGTGCAGAATGATATAGGTGGTAAACGGTTTAGATAAGGGGGCGGTGAATGAGCCAATGAAAGTAAAGACCTTGCCACCTGATGTTCCTGAGGAATAATGCTGTCTGTGATTGTTGCGCATGCCTTGCATGCATGAGGAGGACTTGGATTTGCTATTGCTTGATCGACATTTTGTAGCATAGCAACCGTGTTAGATAGCAACGCCGATAATCTAGATACTTCTCGTTGTAGATCATTTCGGCGCTCCTTTTGAGCCTCTGCTATTGTATTAGAGCATACATGATCTATTGTAATTGGTGCAGCTCGATAAGCCGGTGGTGATAATGGAGGGAAAATGGGAGGCAAAAGTAAGTGAGGAGCCGAAGGTGATTTTCGCCTGCGTTCATAGTCTTCTTCTTCTTCCTCAGGGCTTTGACAGCCCGACCTTTCTGCATTGCTATCGGCAACAGCAGCAGCAGCGGCCATGGCTTTTTCGTTTGCAGAACAACGTTTTCTTCGTTTGATGACGGTTCTCATCATGGTGGCGGGTCTATGAACCAAGTGTAGTTTATAGTACAAGCCACAGGCGTTACAAATAGTTCGACCGCTGGCGTCTCGTCTCCAGAGGGGAGTTGTTGTGGTTTCGCAGTTGGCACACATGACTTCGCATTTCTTGCCTTCTTCATCACTCCAGGGCGACATGACTCTTTCCACTTTCTCCACCATGAGTCGAAAGATGGGAAAGAAAGAGAGGGTTGGAAATTTTTTAATTTTTTTCATTGGATAAAACAATTTCTCACGAGTAATTTTTTAAGGTTTTTTTTTTTTTTTGGTTGGCCTGTGTAAAGTTACCCTTTTTAATAAACAGCAGTTTTTATCTTTATTTTTATTACCTAATTATCTATCTATTTTTATCTTATGTGTATACGTCATGCATATGTCTATGAATGGCGAAAACTGTGCGATCTATGTACTCATGGGAGGCCATATTGACTACACAGAGAGTAGATCTTTAAAAGAACAAAAAAAATTAATCTGGCGGATCTTTAAACTGATAAGATTCTTCCCGGCAAACCACGGCCCAGTAAAAGATCGCTAATCAGCATCATCCTTGTTATTATAAAAAGCGTATAGATACAGTTTTCACACTTTAAGAAAATTAGTTTTCGGACAATATGATAATTTACTGTGATGTTTACTTGTAGAATCTGTAAACCTTGCCCTCACTTGAGTGAGACGAGGTAACCACATTGGAGGTGGCGTTTAGTCTTTTGAAGACAGTTGGTCGGCCTTGGCCATCCCAAAGGGATCGAGAATTAACAAGCATATTTTTTGCGGCCATCACATCACGATTCCAAAAAATATTGCATCGTTTACAAGTCAATATTTGATAAGTGTGTAAGGATTTTCCGTAAGCTCCGCACCTCATGTTTTTTAAGTCAGTATGAAAACATGAATTGCATGTCTATAAAACTATTACTTCAGTCACATGTATTGATATACATTAATATACTAACCTTTGATGTTTAAAACTCGTTGACATCTACAAGAAGTAATTCTCCAAGCTTCTTTCTTATTTTCAATTGGCGGTAAAGTTTGTCCGTTACACCGAAGCGCAAACCCTTAAACCTTGTCTGGCTTCTGATCTTAAGCCCATCGCCAAAGATGATCAAAGTCATTTTATAACGATCCCCCTCTTCAAATTTTCCTTTATGTTCTCTTCATGCAAGTTTCATTGTTAAAATACGATGTTTTATCAGGTTTTACTGACACCTTTACCTTTTGATGATTTTTGGTTTGGATCTTGAAGAGTCACCTATTTTAGATTTCCTTCGCTTCTTACTCTTCTTCTTATTTTTGCTATTTTTCTTGTTGTACTTTGTAGATCCGTTTAAAAGGATATTGACGACATCCTCTGGACTCTTTTTTGATGCGATTTAATTGCACCATCTACTATTGGTAGTATTAAACCCGTAGAAATCAAAAAGTGTATTAATATGTTGGAGAATATACGTAATATGTAGGATATAATTACCATGAGACGTGGTTTTAGGTGAGGGGATATGGGTCTCGGTTTGATTAATACCCAACCTTTCTTTGAGTTCCTGTTTATGCTGTTGCGTAACACCGCCCATACGGTAGTATTATTTTGAGGAAAGACGTCTTAAATCATTGTCTCCATGGTAGGATACGAACACATCTTTACTTCAGGGACCAACTGTACATGGCCTAAAATGCGTATTTACCTCTTCAGTGTTAAAGTCATCGAGTTCTAGGGCAATGCTTCTAATAAGCGAAGATGACTAAGTACAGCGACAGAATAGCACGTGGCAAGTATAGCCATCGGTGTACATCCTATTCAAAAAAGTTTGCCATTAATTGCAGGCATCTCCTTCAGATCTTTAAGGCTAATAATAGACAAAATGTTTATTATAATTATTATATAGAGAAGGTTCTCAATGATCTTTCTTTTGTATGTACCTTCTAATTTTCAACTTGGCAAAATTAAAACAATCATAAAAATACCTTTGTGTGAAGCTAAAAAAAGTCTCATCCTTTTCTTTCTTTAAATATGATCCAGGGAATATACTAGTGACATTTTGACTATCTATTTTGATAAAGCGCCACTGCAAACCTGTATCGGGAAACAGGCTAAATATTTTAGGCGGCACAAAACGCTTTGCATTATCATCTTTCTCTTTTTTTCCACCAGGTTGAATTATATCTTGAGATTTCTCTGGCTCTAAGTTACGCTTCTGTGAAATAGGGGTTTCCGCAACTATAGATTCATACTTGGATAGAATGTGTCTTAATGCCGGTAAAATACCAAAAGGGGCAGTGAGAATAATGGCAAGCGGTTCCTGAGCTCCACAATTAAAGGGTTTATATATGCTTTTAAACCATTTTTTGTCTCTTGGATTGAGGGTGTGAGGATGTCATCACCTAGGACGGCAACAGGATTGGATAATAGTACTTGATCTAAAACATGTTCATATACAAGTTTTTTTATGACAGATGTTTTAACGTCCTAAGCTAAGTTTGTTTTAACAGCTTGTAAATTAGTGCTTTCTGCTAGTAACTTGCAGGATGCTCTTTACGAATAATAAAAATGAAGTAGTTGCAGATAATGTTCTGAAAATTCTCCGTGTAATAGTTATTATAACACGTTGCAGTTGCAAGCACTTGACCTTAATTTTTCATTTCATTTTTTTCTATGTATAAGCTTACACCCTCTAGATTGTTAAGCTCCGTCCATACGTCTTCCAAGTGGTGAATATCGGCATATTTTAACTGAAAGTCTTTGATCGATAGTTGTTTACAAACTTACCTACACAATGAATACCCGTATGTTTTTTGAAAAAATTCATTGGGTTAATTATGAGGGTATTGTAAAATGTAGTCATTGACAAAGATTTGAGCATTAAACAGAACAAGGCGTAAGAAACTACATAGATATTTGATCATGTTTCAGCCTTCTGTAGTCGGTTTCTATCATACATATTATTCAAAAAGCCCTCTAATGGAAGATATAGTATACCTTTGATATTTAGCACCAATGTCCTTTTCATTCAATTCTTGCAACGTATAGTTATGGTTGGGACACAATTTACTTTTCGCAGAAGAGTGACCACTTGTATTACAAGACTTGCAAAGCAGGATGGATGAGCTTGAAGACATTATAGTTCTGTTTATTTTAACCACACTCTTTTCTTTTTTCGCTTCAAATATTTCCTTTCTCTTTAGGCCTGATTTATTTTATGAGTTATTGTGTTTGGATATATGCTTGTGAACATATACAGTGCATTTAAACCTTTACTTCTACCAGCAGGTTGATTAATTGTGCTGGTACTTGTTTCGTCTTGCATCTTATAGCAAATTAAGATTTTATTTTGGCATTTATAAACTCTTCCGTGTCTGGGTAAATACGAGGTCTCGTATTTTTTTTGTGAAAGAAGCACTGTTTGATTTATTGTCAATTAAATCAAGTTACATTATTATGCTCCAAGTCTACGTCATTTTTAGTGATTGAAATTCCGTTTCTCTTCTTTTTCCACTGTTATGAAATATCAAGATCGATTGAGGACTTCTATAAAAAGAGCGAAATTACACTCATAAAGATACACATTTAAATGATTAACTGTCAATGCGGAATATGAAAACTGTAAAATTTATAGGATACATCCTTCAATAGCCTTTGTCTGGAAACCTTTTTTTATTCTTTCTGTATATATGTAAATACACATAATTTTTTTTTTTTACTGCTGTATGAAATATATTTCAAGTTCATTTGAAATCAAGTTCTCCTTGTCTGAATTTAAAGTACTAATGCTGTACGCAGGAAACGCATTTTCGGATTTTGTGTTCACCCAAACAAAAACAAGCCTCCTTAATAAATGGGGGAGGAGGGGTTCGATTTTTGTTTATCTTTTTTTCTCTTGTTTACATATCTTTTTCACACACACAAAATGAATGAAGAATACTTCCAGGAATTAAATAGGCTGAAGGGTCTATGTCATTTACCCTCCGTCCAAAAAGCCCTGGATGCCTTGATCAATGAAGGTCGCCAAGTGCGTGAACCAATTAAACGAACAAAGGTTGCTTATTTTACATTGGTCGGATGCATATTTACTTCTTTTTCTAACATGTGTGCTTTATTAGGCACTACTTCAAACAAGATACATCACCACTGGTTACGCTTGGTGTCAAAGTGCGGCCTCTGTAACGTAATAAACGAAAACAGAAACGAAAACAGAAACGAAAAAAAAAAATGCATATTGATCCCGATTCCGTTTAGATTATACGTCAATTTTGACAATGCAGATGAAATACCAAAGACAAAGTACAGTCTAGATGTGTTGGACAGAAGCATCGAGCTAAACATTGTAGGTATCTCTTTTCGTTATTAAATAATTACTTTTGCTGATATGATACAAGTTTGATTACAAGGGAGTAAACCATAACTTCAAGATCAATCAATTATGTGATTTTGTAAAGCCAGAAAACTCCACCATCAAGGTAAGAGGAGACTATGCACTCTGATTTATCTCACTAAAGTCAATTTTTTGCTTATAGTTCAAACAAGACAAGATTGTCATTATTCTGAAGAAACGAAACGCTGGTTCTGACTGGCCAGACTTGCGAATGAAATCCACACATAAAACCTTCCATGAATTGGAACGTCATGAAAAGAGCTATACACCTAAACTAAATACCAATTACACTACACCCTTTACAAACGGAATACACTGTCATCATGATGAACTAAATAAAAAAAATTCAACAGGGGGTTTCATTTCCTAAAGATAGGCCCTGATCGTAACCTTAATCACGCAAAAACTGATCGTCCTACCAATCCCCATAGCCGCTTTTTCTGTGTCACACACACGCGCAGAAAATAACAGTTGACCAAAAAAAGACATTGTCCGTCATTTTTTGTGGGATTGTTTTTCCTTTTGACATTCTACAGTGCTCACGATGCCGATTTCCGTGATTTTTTATTGTTTTTATGCGATTGTAAACATCCATATGCGTAAATTTAATTGGCCAATTTGCGTCAACTCGGACGCCAAATTGCTCTTTCCTAACTTTTTATTTTGCATCGTCCTCAACTCACTTTATTTTGCTTTGTTATTCATGTGGGAAACTCTTTTAAATACTCAAACAGAATGGCGTGCAAAATTATGCAGACGATTTCTAAGAATCACACCGCATGCCTCACCAATTCTAGTTTCAAAGTCCTCTGTATTCCCATACTTGCTCTGTCTTACTTTTTCTGTTACACTTGCCCGGAACTGTCGAAGAGTATTAAGTTCAGGATACTACGGATGAAAGTGAACATACTTGTACTCTTATTATTCACAATCAGTCAGCTAATCTTAAGAGTATTTTCCCTTGGACAGTGGAATATATCATAATCATGTAAACCCCTATAAACTTGGAATACTTGTCCATTTTATTCATAGCTTATTTTATGAAACTGGTATAATAATCTGCATTAAGGATTATTTTGAATTCCTGAACGGTCAAGTTGGCATCTGGGGAAAATTTGCTATATGCAGCATTATTGACTTGGCTTCTTTTTTAAACGTCCCCCTCGGCATACTCGCTAATATAAGTTGACTGGAACGTTTGAAGTCATTCCGAATTTCAAGATTGGCTAATAGTCCGGAAAGGGAATTGCCAGCCATTACCATGGTAAGAAAGGTAGTATTATCACCAACATTGATTGATACCTCGGTTTTCTTTTGGTCATTATAACTCCCCTTGTCACAAACATAAATAAATCGCGTTTAATTCTTATTTTAGCATTTTTTCTTCTGAAAAACCAAAAGTCATTATTAACGGGCCTTTTACGATACTTTACATTTTCTTGAACAAGCATGTAAGAAAAAAGAAAAATGGTATGTAAGTGGGAGAGGTTCAAAAAAATAAGAGCTAATTTAAATGTCAGGATCATTGAAAATCTTGGGCTTTTACTTAAAATAGAAGTGCCCTGTAAATAACCACTTAAGGATATTGTTGATAGACTCAGATAATAATTGCGTCAAGCTTACATACCACATGTAATGCTTAAGTTACAAGTTATCTATCAGTGATTTAGTAGTAAGTTTTACCAATGATAAAGCACAAAATTTAAAGGGGAGAAAATGGCGTATTATGTAGCTTCCAAATTTGTTCTGTCTACTTCTGAGTAGAGTATAATTCTAGGTATAGAAATTGAACCTCTAGCTGTTTCCGACAGCTTTAGTTACTATTGGTTATCGATGTATTAATGTAGTCTGTTACTAACAATGGGATTCTTTAACAGATCAGAATCCGGTTGACGTTATTCCATTGCCAGTGTCAAAACAAGTTGACCATTGTTATTGACATTCACGTGTTCCACAACACTAACTGGTGTAGTGTTTTATTGGCTAAGACTGTCAAACACCTAAAAAAATTGCAATGCCATTCGACTGGTGAGTAATCAGCCAACTGTTTTAGAAAAATAGTTCATCTTTGTATTATCATCTTCTAGGTCAATGATAGTGTCCAATATTCTACGAGATATGGACTTTACCTTGCGTGTGACATGATCTAGTTTTTTTTTTGGTTATGTAGGCAAATCCTAAAAGGTTTCTTCGTGATACAGGTGTGTCAAGGATTATTTGGGCTATCATACTCCTAGCGAATAACATTTGGTTTTACGGGAATTATTTAGGCAAGTTTTAAGTGATATTCGTCCGGGGCGCTCGTGAGCAACATACGTACCATTAGTATAGTGGCAATAGTTGAATAACATACCAAATGGCCGTGCATCCTTAATATGGGTATTTCCGCCAAGAAAAAGTATGCACCCGTGTGGCATATGGTGTATCAGCTTTAGCTGACTGGTAGGTATCTATAACCTCATTCCCCTTGTCTAAAGTAGGCTTCGATTTCATTTTACTAAACCCTTCAATGCTACAAAAAATTTATACCTTTTCCAACATGCTTTTACATATTTAACATTTCCGTAAACCAGTTATCAACCTGTCTTAAACAAAGATATACACTGTGTTACTTTATAAACTTAATTACGATCCAAATACCTGACGATATATGCACGGTCCCATGTTCTCTCTCTATACATCTAAAAATAAAAACTATTAGATGTAATTGGGATGAAACGAGATCTTCCGTCGATCCTTCTAAACACTTAACCCACACGCCTGATAAGAACGAACGAGAAATATGACAATTTTTTTAAAACCCAGCGAACCATATTTAAAAAGATCTTACTCTTGTTTCTAGACTTGCTTTTTATCTCTCTCTCTCTCTTCCTTTTTTCCTATATGATGAATAGACGATTTTATATATTAACCTCAATTACAGCTTTATGCTGCTTACTTCTATTCACAATATACCCCACATTTAAAATAACAAAATCAATGGCGCCAAACCGCCCTCAAGTATCGTTCCAAAACAAGGCGTTTGCCACAGTACTTTCCGATCCAAGAGAGGTATTATAAATTCGAAAATTAAATCAATATAAAAATGTTGCTCACAGCCATTTTCAGTTGGAAGCTGCTTTAGTGTCTATTTATTCTTTAAATTATGCAAGCAAAACCGATATCATTGTGTTACTTGCGTCTGTACAGTTTGGTTCTAGCCATATAGATCAATTAGAGAAAGTGGGAGCCAAAGTGATCAAAGTAATAACATACACGACTTATATAAAACATCTGACTGACAAACATACGGATAGACAAACGATACGGCAGATAAGGCGGCGACTAACCTATGGGCCTTGTTTGATTACCAAAACATTATTTATTTCACTCCTGACGTTGTGTTTGAAAAAGTATGTCATAATGCGATAATGATTCATTTTTTAAAACTAAGATTTTTATTTTTTTAAAAATAGAAAGTCGATGAATTGTTAGCTTTGCCTGTGGGCGCTGCTGATAAGGATGTATCCATTCTTGTATTAGAGCCTAGTCCACGAACCTTTACAATGTTGTCGCGCAATCCCAGTTCATCATTTGTTGCCATGTTACGACAAGCGTCTCTCATTGACGACAAACAATCATTGACAACTCTCGACGAGGTATAAAAATAAAACTGTAGTATTAGGTAAACATTATTCTGATGGGGCCAGTTATTTTTAGATTGCTCTTGTTTATAGGGGACCAATGAAACCATGGAACTTTCATGCGTACAATGACTCTGATTGGAAGAAACATTACGACCCTGTTGCATTTTATAAGTGGCGTCGAATTCAGCAGAACGTGCAACACCTATTGAGACGTACGTAAATACAAGTATATAAATATTTGTGTAATCTAATCATAAAAATAAAACAGTAGATGACGACTGGAATAATAAGGCTAGACAACGCACTATCTGTGACAACTATTTGGATACAACCACAAACATCACTCATTTCCCTGTCCAAGATCAATTCTCGGTCATGATCAGTACTTATAACCCTGAACGTATCCAGCATTTATCTTTGATTATTAGACACCTGTTAAAATCTGAAAAGATACACACTGTCTTTGTTACTTGGCACAATCCTCATTTAGACGTTCCCCGTTCCTTGTTTCAAAAGATCAGAAAGGCTGATTACAGTCGAGTCAAGGTCCTGAAGCAGTCGTTTGATTCTTTAAATAATCGTTTCAATCCAAGCAGTGAATTGCAGACTGATTCTGTTTATATTATGGATGATGACATTTATGTTGATATCAATGATTTAGAATTCACATTTACTGTAAGAAAAAAAAAATGAATGATGGAACTGTCAGGTACTAACTAAATGTACACATTGTAGGCTTGGCAATCTTACAAAGATAGCGTGGTGGGGCATTTTCCTCGTATGCACACTTATGATCCCGAAACAGAATTGGCAACGTACAAAGTAGTTGGAAATGCGCCTTATTCAATTATCTTGACCAAGAGTATGTTTATCCGGTCAGACTACTTATTTAGTTACACATGGTAAAAAAAAAAAGGACAACTCAAAAGTAGGCCAATATTAAATGTTTTCATCTATTCATATAGCCTTTTAGAACCCCAATTGCATGCTTCTGTAGACAGTCAATTAAACTGTGAAGATCTAGGATTTGCAATGATGGCCTCTGGACTAAGCGGAGCCCCACCTACAGTTGTGCGCACCGCGAAAAGCATGGAGGATTTCGGTCTTCGAAAGGGAATTAGCACGAATGCAGCCCATATGCCCGCTCGCTCACAATGTATTTCAGACTTCATCAGCGATTACTGGCACAAGGTGGACCCTTTGAAATCTTCCTATATATCCATTGCTCCCTTTACCAGACCCAGGATTCGAACAGGGAATTGGAGCCGTATTGAAAAAACCATCATGTCACAAAAAAAGAGATAACGTCATTGGATTTTAACCTAAAAAACCATGCGCTGTTTTAAAAATTCATGTTTCTTTTCGCTTCTTTTTTTTTTTGTGAAGGGGGGTAGACTATAATTTAAAAATACCCTTTTATTATTTTCTTATTCTCTTCTTTCTTTTTTTTTTCTCTTTTGAATAATAATAAAAAATGGCACCTGCTAGCAGTAAAGTAGTTGAAGTGAACACAACCGATAAGCTCAAGAAGTTCTTTGAGGACAAAGACTGGAAGTTTTATTGCGCTGTTGCAGCCGGTTTGACCCTTGCAGGTGCAAGTGCCTATTATATCGCTGGTGGTAACAGTAAAAAGGGAAAGAAGAAGCCCGAAGGCACCAAGAAAGAAGTTGGTAATGCTCACCCCAAACAACCACTACATACATATCTCTCGTGATTGTCGACTAACTCTTTAATATCATACGTAGTTCCTAAAAAGCCTGTTGAGACCACAACCGAGACCCCTGTTGAACCTACAGAAACAACCACTGTTGTGCCTGACTATGCTACTTTGACAGAAGTTGAAATTGCTGCCTTGACTGACGAGGTAAATACATTACACAATTGCGTTTTTTTAAAGATATAGTAGACTCACACTAGCTCTCTTAAAGCAACGTGCCGATGCCGCTCAATCCCTCAAAGGAAAGGGTAATGCCAAGTTCAGTGCCAAAAGTTATGAAGAGGCTGCCGAATTATACACTTTAGCACTTCAATACAAGGCCGATCCCATCTTTTATTCCAACCGTGCTGCATGTTTTGCCAATTTGGGTCACAACGATCGTGTCATTGAGGATTGTAATGAAGCTCTCAAGTTGGATCCCGTGTATGTGAAGGCATTGAACAGACGTGCTCATGCTTTGGAAAAGAAGGGTGATTTAGAAAACTCCCTTTATGGTAAATATTTCTTTTTGTTTTATTTTTCCTTTCTATATTGACAATTGAGATGATAGATTTCACTTGTGTGTGTATTCTTGATGCTTTCAAGAATGATGCCGCCAGTAAGGCTATGGAACGTGTTTTAAAGCTTGTTTCCGAGAACAGAGCAAAGGAAATTATGAAGGTTAGTTTTTAATAAAGGGCGCAAGGGAAAATCAACTAAAATGGCAAACTTTGGTTTAAATAGACAAAGAAGCCTCGTTTGCCTTCTCCTACTTTTGTCAATGCTTACCTTGACTCATTCAGACCTGGTAAAGTATGCGCAAGAAAAAAAAAGGGAAGGTTTAAATTAACACTATTAAAAAAAAAACAGTTGTTCAAGATTTGTCTGGTATCCCCGATGAGGAAACCGGTGATGCCTATTATGCCAAGGCATATCGCTTCATTGCCGAAAAGAAGTATAGTGAGGCATTGGAGGCTTGTGAAAAGGCTGTTGAATTGGGCTGCTCTCGTGCTTACCAAGCTTATGCCTTAAACTTGATGGGTACTTTTGCTTTCTTGAAGGGTAACACTGCCGAAGCTTTAGATTATTTCAACAAGGCCATTGAAGCTGATCCTAAGTATGTTCAAAGTTATATCAAGCGTTCTAGTATTTATATGGAAAGAGGTATTGTAAAATCATGTGTGTGTGTGTGTGTGTGTGTGTGTTTATGGTGACTAAGTAAGTGTAATTAGGCGATGTTGAGACTACTTATAAGCAATTTGAAGATGCCGTTGCCATCAACCCCAGCGATCCCGACATTTACTATCACCGTGGCCAAGTCAACTACATCAGTGGAAACTATGATGCAGCAGCCAAGGATTATACCGAGAGTATTAAGTTGGACGACTCATTTGTATATGCCCATATTCAATTAGGTGTTGTTCAATACAAGTTGGGATCTATCTCTTCCTCCATGTCTACTTTCAACAACACATTAAAGAAATTCGCCAACAGCACTGATGTGCATAATTATTACGGTGAGCTTTTGGTGGATCAACAAAAATTGCCCGAGGCCATCGAGATGTTTGGTAAGGCCATGCAATTGGATCCCAAGAATCCTTTGCCTTATATCAACAAGGCCATGTTGATGTACCAAGTTTTGGGTAACACAGAAGAAGCTACACAATTATGTGAAAGTGCTTTAGAGGTCGATCCTGCTTGTGATGCCGCTGTTGCTTCGCTCGCTCAAATTTTGCTTGAACAAGGTAAACCCGAGGAGGCACTTAAATACTATGAAATGGCCATCAATTTAGCAAGAACCGAAGCTGAGCTTGAGCATGCTATTTCTTATGTCGAGGCAACAAAGACCCAAACTCGTTTTGCCAAGGATTTCCCTGATGCTGCTGCCAAGTTGAAGGCCTTGAGAGGTTAGAAAATAGGAAATTTCACTGTACATTAATAAAAGAAAAAGAAGCACAAACATATATAAATGGTATTTTCTTTTTTCTTTAAAGAAATATGATTTTTTATTAAGGAATGATTTAAACCTTGAAACCACGAGAAGCACGCTTACCACGAGCCTTTTCGAACTTTCTACCCTTGGAACGAACGAAGGGCTTCTTGTTCTTATGAGGACCCATACCGAAATGCTTAACGGACTCACGAGAGTTCTTAGCACCACGGACGAGGACGGTGTTAGCACCAGTGGGGGCACGGAGGGCCAATTGATCCAAAGTCAAAACTTCACCACCGGCCTTCAAGATACGAGCTCTGGCAGTCTTGGTGAAATGAAGAGCAGCAACAGAGAGCTTGGGCAAGTCCAAAAGACGGGAATCGTCAGTGACGGTACCGACAACAACAACGGTGTTGTTACCCTTAGCGTTCTTGACAATGCGAGAAACGGTGACAGGGGGACGGTTGACACGAGACATAAAGAGACGCTTCAAGACAACCTTGTTGAAGTTGGCATCAGTACGACGAGCAAGGAAACGGTACAACTAAAAGGGTATTTACATTAGATTCATTCAGTCTCCATTCCAATGTATCTTTATTACCTTGACGAGCAAGGCCAAGTAGACGTTCTCGGACTTGGGAGAAGTACGGTTGGTGTTCTTGACGTGATGGTTCTTAAGATCGATACCCTATAACCATTTTCCACATGTTAGTTTCACCTTTGGTTTTATCCACTTTTTATATCTCTCTCCCATCCATCCTATCCATTCTCTATTATTTTTTTTTCTATTTTTTTTTTTTTTTGGAGGGGTCTGTCTGCTGTATATCCATTCTTTTCAATCTTTACCATTTTTTAAATATCTAGCAACCGGTCGTTTAGGCTGTGTCCAAGAAGAGAGAATCTTTAAATGGATGCTTGCAAATGCGATGTTTCTGCTGAAAAACAGCCTCCCCGCTCCGTTTACAGTGTCCGATCCGAACCTTTTTCATTTCCGGTCCGAGCCCGCTTTATCGGGCCTTTAATATTTTTGTCTGCTCGGCATTTATGTCAATGCTCTACCCTGAATGACAAGAGAACAGGCATTGTGCCTGAGATTTTGTGAGGAATGCAATAAAAACAGTGTATCTCTTTGTAAATATGCGAAGATTTTTCTATAATTGCAACCCATTATAGCCAATGACACTTTTTTATATTAGAATCTGTTCGTATCCTTTTCGATGTAAGTATCTGCCAAAGTAAATTAAGCATGTGTCAAGAAAAAATGACGCTACAGCCATTGTATGCGCCAGAATAAGTCTACAGATCAGAAACATCAGTAAGTGAGTGTAGATTGGATTTAAAATTTGTAAGTCAAGTTGCTTGTAGATAGAATATTTGTCACTATACGAGCAAACGATGCAATTATAACCCGCGACATCAATGGTCAAAAAATATACCTAATTAATGCTTTTGAACCAAGTGCAAGATTATACACGTATGATACCCTTTAAAGATGATATCGCATTGACCTTGTTGAGGGTATCATACCCAAGGAGTGTTTGAGAGAATTGCTGAAGACTTATCGACAAATTAGAGCTTGAGTACTTTTCGCATAAAAAAAAGTGAAGGGAAGTTTCTCTTATAAAAAGTAGCGTGTGCGCTGAGGATATCATTATAAATTGATACCATCGTAAGCTTTGTGTATTTCATCGTATAAATATATGTACTTTCTTGATGGTGTGCTTCTTTTGAATGAGAATCAATCAAAGGATGAGGCTATCAAATAAACAAATTGTAGAATATACTAGGCTGTAAAAAAAATGCACTGGACCTTTTTTTTTTTTTTTTTTTTTTTTTTTTACGGGGAGGAATATCAGTAAAATATAAAAGAGTGCTATTGCTTAGATCGAATAAATATAATAATCTACGATATAGACCAGCGCACAGTAAAGACATGAATGAAACCCAAACATGTTCCTGATTAGAAATATATGCCCTTTTTAAAAATAGACTTGAGAATCTTTTTGTAGTGATGGAGTTTACAGAAAAAAAATACAAATGATGAATAATCTTCCAACCCGAAGAAGCCTACTATTCAAGTTGCCATACCAACCGCTGATAGATCCTACTATAAAACCTAATGTCTGTTCTGATATCACAAACTGTAGAAGCACGGACGTTGAAACGTGACTCTGGTTTTGGGTTTCCGGATGTAAGCCATGGTCCTCACTCTCTCTTTTTTTTTTCTCTCTCTTAATTATTATTGGAATCATTTTAAAGATGGCATTGAGAGCAGTCTTGTTAAACCTTTCCAACCGATTCACAACACCTGGTGCACCCATGCATTGGATGCATCAAATATCTACCAGCAATGTGATGAGACAAATTGTAGGCGGCATGAAAGAGGAAAGCACCCCTGCTATGCCTGGTGTATTGGCTGCCGAACTTCGTGCTCCCAACGAACTCTCCACTTCACTTGATAAGTGCAGCCTTCTTTCCAATCATGGCACCGAATAATTTACGGTTACGTTCGATATTCTTTCTTCTCCTTGTGACGTGTGGCTTTCCAAAGTATCTGTTGGCGCGTAACTCTTTACAAACATTGTTTTGGGTCAAGATGGAGTTTAAACGTCTGTAAGCAGTGTTGGGGTTGGAAACGGAACCAATCGATCTAGCGCCGTAAGGATCAAGCCAACGCACAGCAGGAATCGAACCACCTTCTCGAATATACAATAGCTTCATATTCCATTCATCTGCTATAGCATTTGCAACCGCCTTAAAGTATTTACTCTTCAAATCTCCTAGCCAATATTCGGCTGCACTCTCGATGGTAATTGAGATTCGATTATCCGAGTTACATTGAGCAAACACATTTTTGACATATTGCTCAAACTGGGCGCAAATATCTGTGATAGCCTGGTCAGGAGCAACACGCATACTCACGGCTGCCTTTGCGTTACGTGGGATAAGGGTGGGGTTGTTGATAGATACATCAATCTTGTGTACTGTCAAGGTCGAATATCTCCATCGTGCCATCAATTGCTGCTTTAACTTGTCTGCATCCAGCATTTCATTGTCTGAGGCCAATATCTTGAACTGGGTTTCGTTACCACAATCAGGTGAGCATGTATTGGGTGAGGCAATGGTTGAGTGATGGGCTCATGTACTGGATCGTGCTGTTTCCGATGTTTGCGTCCATTCAACAATAGGATCATACAATTTCTCTTCAGCTTCCGTCATAGGACTTACGTTATCATAAAAACCTGATGGGAACATATAATTTGTAAATATCAAAGAAACAAGCATACAATATACTCATGTTACCTGGAATGAGAACCTTTTTGTTATTGTCTACTAGTTTTCCTAATACGTGGATCAGGTCTATCAAGGGTTCAGAAACAGCCCCTCCCTCTATACCAGAATGAAGATCGGCACGCTTGTTACTAATGGAAACTGTTGCGTGAATAACACCTCTTAGGCCATATGTAATACAAGGTACATCTTCGCCAAGCCAGTAAGAATTACTATACACACATATATATACATACATGAGTGGACATAACAAAAGTATAACCTATAATCAGCTTACCTTAATAAAACCATATCCACATCCTAAAAAGAGTTCCTTGTTTTGGTTTACTGCTTCATAAAATCCAACTCTGCCACTTTCCTCTTCACTTTCAATTAAAAAGATGGCATTGACATCCAAAAGACCTTCCTTTAACAACTCGTTCACAGCAAAAATCGATGCAAGGATTGGTCCCTACAATATATAAGTTATGATTTGTTTTAAATAAAAAAAAAAAATAGATGTTGGGATATTTTACCTTGTTATCACTTGTACCGCGACCATACAGATAACCATTTCTACCTGTCATGTTGAATGGATCTGTACCCCACAAATTATTTTCATTTTCCGCTGCAATTACATCATAGTGGTCATAGATCCAAACTCTGACAGTACCATCACCTTTGTATAAAAATAGTATTAGCATAAATATTTAGAACAGTGTAAAAAAATCCCCCACACACACACACACACAGATACCAGAACTACTGAATAATTTATGTTCGTCTTCGGAAAAATTTAAACCTAAAACACTACCGCGATAACCTTTGAAAATAGTGACCAAAGTAAAAGTTAAAAGATCCCAAACCTTTTTTTAAATACAAAATGTTTAATTAAGGTTGTTGTTTTAACTTGAAGCAATGAGGGGGGGGGGGTGTCTTATGTGGATCTGAGAGCTCTAACTTCCACTGAACAAATAGCGTTTACTGGCTACAAGGGATAAGATAGAGCTTCTGTCTTCTTGTGAAATCGTGTGAATGCATCGTGTTGGGTGAAGTGGTCTCGAGTTGGTTAATTGTGATAAATTGACTAATTTTTTAATGGTCAAATCTCGCTAACTTTCTTATCGTCGCTCTTTCTCTGTTTCTTACTTAAAGGTGTTGGACTTTCAGTTCTTAAAAAAGGTGGATTCATGAATTTAGAAATAAAAAAAAAAGAAAAGGTTCTTTTATTAAAAAAGAGGGGAATATCAAGCGTGCATTATTAAAAAAAAAAAGTCGTTTTTTTTTTATTCTATCACTCTATCATTCCTAGGCCGTTGGGCCTTCGGCTATTCCTAGGCCGTTGGGCCTTCGGCTATTCCTAGGCCGTTGGGCCTTCGGCTTGCCCATGCCCCTATGCGGCTATGAGCTCACTCAATCAGCGCCGCAGCTGGAAACGGCGCTGACAAGCTTACTTTATCTAAATATTTTTTTTTCTTAATAGGACAGCAAAAATTATACAGAGCTCAACTTGTGGTTACAAAAATAAAAACTTTTTCTCCGTCTATTTTTTTTTTTTTTTTTTGCTCTTTTCTTATTAAAGTTTAAACAAAACATATATTAAAAGATCATAATACTCAGAAAGATGGTTTACAGCTGATTTTTGTATAATATTTTTATCTTTTCTTTTTGCTTAAGAAGCTTCAATGTACAGTGCCTGAACAAAAAGAAAAGAGAGCATGAAAACGGACCTATAAAAGCGGGGATAGATTTTTTTTTTTTTTTTTGAAAAGCAGCTTTTCTTTCGTGTGATTTAAAATGCCATTCTTCATACAAACAATAGCACGTAATGGCCAAGAAAGATCAAGCAACACATCTCTACACTTTATACAACACACAACTATAAACTATTTGTGTCCACTTTATGCAAACTATATTTGACTCAAGGAAAGCCATTATAGCTTTTATTGACGCATTCTTTTAGCCCAAGACAGTGAGTGCTTTAGCCTACTTGCTTGTAACATGGACTAAAGTCAACCTGAAAAGTAAAGGTTAAAATTGTCTTGCTAACAATTCCTTTTTTCTCTAAGGAGCGATTCTTCCAAGCCAGAGCTTTTTCATGATTACCGTAACAATTTAAAGGTGAATGCTTCTTCCAAAGAATTACTGTACAAAAAAAAAAAAAAAAAGGATCTGCAGCAAGACAACCATTCCTTGTAACAGTAATGCCATCAGCACATGGGTCCAATAGCGTTTCGACTATACTGCATAAAGCGTGTACAGTAATGGCCAAGGGGATACTTGATTCTAGCTATATTAATGGCATTGCCGTGTAGTCTTATTGTAATACGTCTGTACATTTTTAAAAAGAACTGCCCAGTAGCAGATCTGTCAACTAATGGCAGCAGACACTGACGCTGAGCCCTGCTTTTCTGTTATGAATAATATTTATTGGACTCATGCAGTAAAAGGGTTGCCTAGAGACACTCGCCATAGAATTGCGTTTTCTGCCAGGATACTCTCTTTATTAAACCATATCAAATTGTCTTTCAAAATTAAAAGCATTGGCTAGAAAAAATCCTGTATTACCCTTTCTGAGTTTTCTATGCCGGTTAAAGATGCCCCGCAAATGACTGTAAGCGTGCGTATGACAGGTAGGATGAAACAGGGCATAAAACCCATTGTACTCATGATTTTATACAAACAATTGAATGACCTCGCGCATTTTTGGCAACTGGCAGTCACCCCTCACAATTTGAGAAAAAAATAGTTTTCATTTGTTGCCCTTCCTTTTTCTTTTTTTTTTTTTTTTTTCAGCATTAACAAATGTCTAGAGTTGCACGTTGTATACCTATTGTTTCTCGACTTGCTCGACCTTCAGTACCAACCCGTCGCTTCATTTCCACGTAATTATCTATTTTGACGGCAGCATGCACATGACCAAGCATATTAAATAAAATAAAAATAGTCCTGCTGCCAATGAACAAGACCCTCGTATTGAAATGTTGAATGCTACCATGCCATTTGTTGCTCAATCGGGCTGGACCATGCACAGTTTAATGCAAGGTGCAAAATCACTTGGCTATCCCTCTGTTGCACATGGCATGTTTCCTGGTGGGGAATCAGGGCTTATTGATGCTCATTTAGCTTACCAACGTGACGTTTTCGTTCAAGCTGTGCAAGAAAAGAAAGCCGAATTAGACTTGTATGCCTTTTTTCACGCTCAACAATAACAACTTTTACTCAACTTCTAATTAGGTTACCCATGAATGAAAGAGTCAAGGTGTTGACCTTACTTCGTTTGGATATGAACAAACCTTATATTCATAAATGGCCAGAGGTACTAAACGAACAAGGGTTACTTTAATAGTTTTCTAACTCCACTCTATGTAGGCACTTGCCATTATGGGTCGCCCTTCCAATGTGGCCATGTCCTTGAAACACTTGGGCGATATTGCTGATGATATTTGGTATTATGCAGGCGACCGAAGCCCAGATGTAAGTGAAAGGTATCTGTGTAAAATCAAATTACTAATACGAGTGTGCAATAAAAAAAAAGATGAACTGGTATACAAAGCGTGCTTCATTAGCCGCGGTTTACAGTGCAGCTGATGTATTTATGACACAAGATTTATCCCCTAATTATACCGAAACGGAAAGATTCTTGACGTCCAGATTAGATCAGGCCGCTTGGATTGGGTCCTCCACACGTCAGGTAAGAATAATTTGTGCTTTTTTTTTTTTTTGGTTTGTACTAATTAAAAATAAAAACTGATAGTTGGGTACCATGTTGACATTCGGTGCCAAAAGTTTGGTCAGTGTTCTCGCCAACGTAAGTAAAACAAGAAGAGATAAAAAATTATGGAAAAATTAACCTTTATTTTTATTATTTATAGCGTGGTGGTCGATTTTAAATAAAAAACATGTATTTACAATCTAATATATACAAACAAGTATGCAAAAAAAAAAAAAAAAAAAAAAAAAAAAAAAAAAATTAAGGGGGTTGTAGAAGTGAAAGTTATGTATAAAGGGTGAGGGGTATAATTTAAACTACAGTGTCGTAACCATGGCCTGCAAGTTGGGTTTTTGATAATAACCAGTCTGATGTTTCATCCAAAGTGTTATCAATAAATGACCTAGTGGTGGATTGCTGAATGCCAGCCCAGCTTATCAATCGACACAATGTTTCAATTTCTCGCCGTTGTTTGGTTGATTTGACTAGTCTCCTGACGAGATATTCTGAAGAAGTAGAGAATAGGCCTGACCAAGTCTTGTCTTGATTATACCATAGTTGCCATACAGTTTGAATGACAAGAAGTAGACTGGTGGCAAGACTATGAGCGATCAGATTCATTCCATTTTCAATGGCATACCAGAACTTGGATTGGATTTGTGTCACAGTTTCTCGCAGCAGATTATCATAACATTGCTCTTCTTTTCTAATCAAGTCATGGGTTGGTTTAATGATGCACAGTACTTTTCGTCCTCCCTCAATAGTCATGACAGTAAAATCAGACCATTGATAGTCTTCATGACGAAGAATACGTAATTGAAGTGTATTGATTGTGTTATTTTTGCCTGATTGACTGAGTGCCGAACAAAATAGCTGGACATCATCTGAATGAATATAACGCATGATAGGTTGACCGACAGCTAATAAGGGTAAAGAAGGGCTTTTGAATGCGGCTTCTATGGTACCATACATGGTAAGCCGAGTAATTGAAATGTTGGCGTCTTGTCGCTTAGAATACATTTGATTCAGATCGGTGATGTCTGTACAAATCAAGACCCGCTTATTATTTTGGATATGCGTACAAATGCATAAAGTACGTAATGATTGGAAGGTCGAAACAACCAGATAACTTTGATCAGATTCAATAGCTTTCCAAACACTGTCCAAATATTGATTTGTAGGGTCATACTCTAACAACTGTATCATGTCTGGTGTTACGCTAATAATTTGTTCATTTTCATTTAATGTCATCCATGCCATTGATCTTTGTGGGCAGACTGTCGTTGTATGTTGTAAGCTCATAAAATAATAAAGAAAAATCGGAATATATGAAAAAGTAGGAGAAAAAAAAAAAAAAAGAAGAAAAAAGGATTTACATGAATTATCCTTTTTATATAATTCAATTAAAACAAGTGGGGGGGAGGGGGACTATAAAAAAAAAAAAAGGTGGGGAAGCCCCGTGATTACCGCTTTTTTATTTTAGGCTGTGTGAAATGTTACACCATGCTTAATAAATAGGTAATTTTCATCTCTTTAATTTTTACTACCTTTATTGGTTCCCATCCTTATAATAAGGGTAATAAACCATGTCACCAGAGATATAATAAGGTGGCGCATTCATGTCTATATAAGGCTTAGTTTCATACTTATGACGTTTTTTTTTTTTTTTTTTTTTTTTTTTTTTTACCTTTGTAAAATGTTCCACCTACAGTCATGTTATTACCCAATGATTCATTGACCTGTAAATAACAGTGACTTACTTAGGGGACTTTCTTTAATTACTAATGTTTCATAATTACCATGTAATAGGGATCATATGCACTATTATAGTACGGTACCATCATGATGGGCTTGACGTTCTTATTTTGATAATGACCGTATGCACAAGTATTATGGTAGTATTCACGATAGTTTACACGTAGTATTCTTTCATTCCAAATATTTCCATTCTAAAATCATATATAAGAAATTTATTGAAATAATTTAAATCATGTTTTACCTCGGAATGAATAGCTTTCAAGGCAGCTTCTTCTTCTTTGAAGCGGATAAAGGCAAATACCCTTCTAGGATTTTTACGAATTACGTGAGTATGAACAATTGTACCATATAATTTAAACTTGATAGAAAGATCTGCGTCTGATGTAGACTCATGCAAGTTGCCAATAAAAATGCTAAATCTATCCAAACAACGTGTCGCATATTGATATACGCCACTGTACATGGATGTTTCCACATTCGAAGTCCATTCAACGAACCAATGATTGGCATTATTACATTTTAAAGCCTTACATTTGATAGATGAATTTTTACTATCTATGTGTATGTGATATATATGACTTTCCTTACCAAGTAAGATTTGATGGCATCCTTTCTGTACATGTACTTGACATAAACATAATGAAAATTACCCTGCGGCTGTAGCAAAGTGATGTCTTCGATCTCACCAAACATGGAAAGTTTGGATTGAAGGAACTGCACGAAGAAGTAGATATTAATTAAAATAAAATTCTTTTTGTCAATATTTATTAATTGTACCTGTCTATTGAATGGTTGATTGAAAGAAATCAAACAAATAGAGCGATTGACTCTAGCAGGCTCACAGCGAATACTTCTACCATTAATAATGGTACCAGGTGCCTCTTTTAATGCTGTTTTGCAGTCATCTTCAAACTAATGATTTATTCAGTGATAAAGAGATGATGAAAAGTTTCTTTTTTCTTACCTCGAACTGGACAAAGGCATAAGGTCTCTTGAGAGAGTCCCTAAGTACTTTGACACCTAATAAGGAACCCCATTGATTGAAATGAACAAAGACACTGTCATTCAAGTCTTCATCGCTAATGTTCTTATTCAAGCTAAATACGAATTTGTTAAATGACAAAACGCATAAAATACCCCTTACTAACAAGTACCTTGCTACAAATATGCATGCAGCTGGATTTTCTTTAGCGTCTATCATTTTGCATAAGTCCTCTTTAATCTTTCCTTGCTGTTGCATTATTCTTTTTTTAGGTACCTGTAGAAGATTCTTGAATATCTTTCTTGGCAAATCTCTCCATTTGCTTTTTAGACGACATATTTTGTGGTTCTAACACAGACATACACACACACGCTAAAAAAAAAAAGAGTACAGATTTACCACTTTTTGTATAAATCTTAATTTTATTTAAAATCAGCAAAAGTCACGCGTCGTAATGAAGGGATATACAGAAATAAAATAATGTCAGAAATAAGTATGTTCACAAATACTTTCAAGAATAGTATAAAAAAATAGAAATATTGATATGAAAACGTGGATACACTAGATAAAGCCTCCAAGGCTTGAGTATATGTAGCTAGGATAGAGAAATAAGGAATCCAGTTTTGATTGTTGGGTATTAGTAGCCGTAGAGTAAAAAGAAGAAACAGGCTAGATTAAATATTGTACTTATTGATGACGAAGGAACACGAGAATTAGTTATTGTTTGTTTGGATATTGATGGGAAGTTGAATTAAGCTTAAGTTGAATCCTCATTCTAATAAGCCGGTAACTGAGTTGTCGTACAAGCCAAAGGTATAAACTTTTGATAGAGCTACCCTCCAATCCGTTTTTTCAACAGGGCGATTTTAATTTCCTTTTATAGTAGATGAAGAATTCTCTTCATGTTGACTCGCTATCAAAACTTGACATCTTTTACCCATACTGGACAAGTAGGTTAAATATCTTATTTTAAATTTAGGCAACATATCCTTCGTCTAACTATTTTTAGGGATGATACTGTATGTGACAGCTGTAAAAAACGTTGGTCACTTATTCAAGCTGGACTTGAGATTGGTGATGATGCAAGATGAACAATTGCTCGATGATGATACTGGAGAAATGACAAGAAAAGCAACAGTCAAAAAAGGTTTATAGAGACAAGCTAAAATCTACCATCGTGTCAAAGGCTCATCTTGACACTTATGCGCAAGTAAAGGCGTATTACAAAGTGTGTTGAATCCAAAGTGTCATGGTGAAGGCTAATTAAGTGGATTGTCAAGCTATTTCTCCGGTTATCATGCGATCAGAAAGGCTTTTATAAAGGAGATGCCATCTATCTACGCCCGAGATACTCCTCTTACTGAGATACCGATACTCCAATTAGCTGGTTAATCCAGTGAAAGACTCTCACTCATGAGCTTACCAAAGAAAAAGGAATACAAGCTAGAAGATGCTTGCTCTTCTTGTTTTCTTAAGCCGTTCAATCAAATTGAGATACATAAGATCTAAAGAAAGCTTGATGGACTTCCTTTCCACTGTTGATGTAAGACGACGGACAAGACAACCAATATTTGCACTATCTCACATTATTTTGTTTTCTTTTTTTAGAGTATGTTGAATGATCCACAAAAGTTCGACCGTGATAACATTTTCAGTGACGAAGATGATGTTGAATTCATCCTTGACAAAGCTAGTCGAAAGAAATTTTAAGCTATGATTTTTGAACAACTAAAGCAACTATGGAAAAAGAGGGCGTTGGTGAGGACGATGATACTGATTATGACAAGGATGATGAAGATTAGTTTTCTTCGATCATATATAATTAAAATCGCATCTGTGCTATAAATACAATGAGCTTATTTTGTATTCTCTATTAAACGTGTTGGAGTTGCGTTACTTTTGATTTGGACCATCATCATAGGTATTTTTTTTCCACCCGATAAAATTATAAAAGTGTATACTCATAAACTCGACCAGAAGCACATACTGGCAACTTGTCCTTTAAAATAACAGTAAGACCTTGATGCTTGTTTAAATATGATATGGAACTTTTTTCAATGCTCTTAAAAATAACATCATTTAAAGATTTCATAAATCTAGCAACCATACTGGTCTAGTTTATTACCAACTAGACACGTGGATTTTCTATAGACACAAAAACTTGAGGGTAATGGCAAGATTTTTCACTAAAACTATGAGCAATTTTTTTTTTCAAGAATCGAAGATATTGCTATCAATAGTAATATCATGTAATTTATGACATCCTTGCAAGATAAATGAAGCAGCTGCTATTCAACGAACGCATTATGGGTGATAGAGGACTTAAAATAAATTACAATTAAAATTGACTTTATATGTCCTTTTTCTCGCCTAAATGGCTTTTTCATAGAAGATGCCGTACTGTCTGTATACTATTATTCCATTGTTTGGCACGCATTTGGAGCCACCTCGATGGAAACTAACCCTCAAAATCGGGGACAACTCAAGCAACCCAAGCAACCCAAGCAACTCAGGCAACTCTGAAATAAATCCATTTATAAATCTTATTTCTATCAATGGCTTGAAAAACGAGTTTTTTTTTTTTTTTTTTTTTTTTTTTTTCAACAAGATACTTTATTGTGCTTTCTCTTATTTGAAAAGGGCAAAAATTTCTAGACATGAAGGATCAATTGTTTTCGGCTTTGGGAAGTGTCATTTATGTCTTGGTCAAAGGATATACAATATTCTTAAAAGCAACCGTTCTGAGTGATATAAAAAGAAAACGGTCTCGCGCAAGGGTACGAGTAATAAGTTTAGCGTCTAATTTACCCGAGAACAGTGTATTCCATATTCATGGCAGATGACCCAAAATCATAGGTGCTTGGTGTGTCAATGATCGGAGTGTCCCCCCAGACTTGTCAGTCAGCCAAAATTTTATTGATTTTCATGTTTTTTTTGTTTAAAATTATCATGGAAAAGAGGGAATTACCAACTAGACATAATTTTTTAACAGAGGCTGTAAAGAATCTACTTGAACCAAGTAAACATGAAGTATTACACAAGTGAATCTTTGAAGACTAATGTTTGATTTTTCGCTCATTGTAGAAGTAACTTCACAGGAACCTTTGATCGATTCTAATTCCATTATCAAAGTCACCTCTAATCTCGATATCCTAAAGGAATATGAACATTACCCAGCCCCCGTGGCGCAAACTCCCTTACTGATTGATCATTTCCCTCAAGTCCAACGCATTACACCCATCGCAAAGAAAGCAAAACGACGATCATCAGACACATCAGACACGTTGCTTTCAGACGACTATTATTTGAAACGACATCGACGCCATGAAAAGGAAGAAAAGACACAAAAGAATCGCGAAAAAGAACGGTTGAAGCATGGTTATTATCAACAAAAGCAATTAGTCGAACGTATCAAAACCATGGATAAAAGCTTATTGCAATCCATTGTGTCGTCGATACGTCATCGCACCTTGCATCAGCAAGAAGGTGAAGATGACGAGGAAGAAGAGTATTTGGATGATTTACATTGTCGATTGCTGAACGATGCCCTTGATCATTTAAGACGTTATGAACTGTTGGGTTTGAATAATAATAAGCAAGAAGTAGACGACCATGAGTGGCTGGATCCTTCACCCGTACCTACTCCTACCACCAGTAGCACCAACACTAAATTTCAGCAGGCTCTTCAGTCAGAAGCTGTCAAACAAAGAAGCAGACAACTAAAGTCCTTTTCAAACCAACCCATCTTTGCTGGCGATTCTTTAAATCGTGGTGCTAGAAGGTCAACTCGTCATGTCTTTGCATTTGGCCAAAAGCTGCCTGAATTTGACGTTGAAGAGTTTAGTTTACCTTATTACATTCTCGACTGGAAAAATAATATATGAAAAGCACGCAGTAGTCAAACCGTTGATGAAAAGCCACTGCCGAATCTATGTAATTAGGGCACCAATTTTTTTAGGGTACGTTTCACACCGTGAAACAAGATTTTTTTTTTCCTGCTTTATAATAATAATAAAAAAGACCTTAATGTAAAAGGTTCCTTTTATCTGCGTTTTGTATTTATGAAAGCACTATATAGATGCTGACTGTGTTAATGTGTAGCTTCTGGTATAATCACATTAAGTTGTTTATTTAGTTGGGATCGTTAAATGATCAATATTCTCAATTGAGAAAGTACGCTCTCAAGCGTATTAAACTGAACTGCTCTTTTGTGTAAACCGTGTCACAGCTGATTTTCAACGGATAGTATGCAGTTTCCGAAACATGGTTCGAAGAAAACGTATATGTGCAGATCTCGGAATACACGAGAGAAAATATCCCGACGGAGTGATGCATACAACAGAACATACTAGATCGTTTGTAAATGCCTTATAAAAATTAATATTGATAAAGAATATAATAATTAGAGTAGTGTTTTTTTGAGAGTTTTTTTTAATGCGGGATATGATGTATACTAAAGTGAAGAAAAAAAAATAGGATTTTGCTTTAGGATAAGAGAGGTGTGGATTCACCTACGATTGTCGACTTGACGCTTTTGAAGACGCCATTAAAGATAAAGACGCCCACAACTAGTATCGAAAAGCCGGCCATTTCTAACCAAGAGAAAGAGTCCCATCCAAAATGGATAGCAAACACCCAAGTTAAAAGGGTTCTATATCATAAAGAACAGGTTTAGTTTCCCATTTTCCTCTCCATAACAGTTTTAAATTTTGTTCTTACCTGAGGGAATCAATCATGCTACGACCAGGAACACCAATGGAAGTACTTACAGCCAAACCGAAAAAGTTAAAGATTGCTACCATAAATGCTAATAAGAGCGCACTTTGCCAGAGAGCAGAAGCACCAAACAAATCATGAAAGCCTCTGGAGATATCAAATTCGCCCTGTCCAACAAAAGCAGCAACAGAAAGAGAGACACCCAAAAGAAGAGTACCAAAGATACCTTCAATACCCATTGCTCTGACAGGATCGAGATGATAACGATCCATTAGATATTCTTCCAGAATAAATTGACCGGCCACAAACAATTGCGCAACCAATAAAAGCACGGGTCCCAAATAATTTACTTCCACTTTATAAATAACTGACCATATAATTGTTGCTGTACCTAGTAAAATTGCCATAATTGAGAACCATTCTCTGTGAAGAAATTTACGTGATAAAAAGATGCAGCTGAAAATTGCAGAGAATCCAACAATACTACTTTTCAGCATTTGGTATGCAGAAGGTGTCGTATAGATCAGACCCAAATTTAAAAGCTACTAAAAGCGTGAGTAAAAAAAATAACAATAATATGTATGTAGTTGTACGTACTGTGGTTGCAATGAGATCACATGCACTAGGCAGAATAAACCAAGCAGCAGGCCAAGACCAAGTCGAAGTACGAGGTATAGTCCAGTCATTATAATCGGTATAGTTGTTACTATGCGGTTGTACTGCCTCAAGCATAGATCGATCAAGTAACGATGGTGTCTTGGTTACTAAATGGATAACGAGAATACAGATGATTTCGCCCAGGAAAATCATAGACGTCTGGATTAAAGGCTGGCTAAACTTGTAGAAACTATCATCCCGTTCATCTCTAATCTTTTGGTTGTCTTGGAAAGTCAAAATCAAAGGAATACTTACGCCTATTTGCATACTCAGTAAGTTGTACATTTCTATTTCTATTTGCTTTATTTCTTACCTGATATTAACAATCCTATTGTTAAAAACACGGTATAGACCGTAGACATTTTTTTTTTCTTTTTTTTGAAAAAAAGTTGAGTTTAAAGAAATGAAAAATAAAAAAGAGAAAGAAAGAAACAACAAATAAATTTATAAAGAAATGGTCTCCCTGCGTTCCTTGTACCACAACTCCGTTTTTTATTTTATTTTTATTGTTTTATTTATTATTTCTAAACTACACGCCACATCCAACGGCACGACACATTAATTAATAATGACCCATACGTAATCTATGGTTTACAGTATGTCGCGTTTAAATATCCAAAAATGAAGGTGTTTATAAGTTATTATTTGTCACCTTTTGAATTGATGTCTGCCACATTTATACTATTTTTCATTAACTATTGGTGCAGGAAAATTACACAGAGTTATTTTTAGATTTCCCAATCCCTGAGTTTTATATTAATCCGTGCTGAAGTTAGATAGCACACTCTTTGCAAACGTAATTTACATTTACTTTAATTACATCCTTTCAAAATTGAAAATGAGCTTATATTTTATTTATGAGAATGAGAAGCTGCGAACAAAAGTATAAACAAGCACTTTGCAATAGACTTTGATATTAAATCACAACCATGAAAGACATGGCCAACTACACTGAGCATTTAGATTGCAAACATCCCCTGGAAAAACTAAAAGAAAAATCGCACCTTACACGGCAAATAAAAAAAAAAAGCATAAAAGACACCTGTTTAGAATTCGTAGTGACAGTCCATATAGTTTACATATTTGAGGCAGATATAAAGAGGATCATTTATTTTATCAACAAATCAATGTAAATATGGCGATATGACAATGAACGGAAAAGGATCACAATTGCTGTTCAAACATATAATATATGAAAGGAAGAAAATGTAAAACATTGTCTGCTATCTGTGCTGGTGGTACTTGGCTGTAAATTTCATGGTATCTTTGACATTTTTAGTAGCCTCGAAAAAAAAAAAAAAAAAAAAAAAAATGGATTAGACTTCGAAATTTGGCAGCTCTGACATAATTGCAAACGGGATATTCGCAATGATTTGATTCTGCAAAATTGTATTCGTTGACCCATCATCGAAACTAAGCTTGCTTAAGACATACTCTTTCTTCTAATCAGAGCCAAGGGCATGTCAAAGTGCTCCAAATGACTTTATAAAGAAGCAATCCCGACATTTGTATTATGCTTTCACGGACCAATTTAATTCTTAGTATGAAGAATATGTAAAGCACGTTCTTTTGTGTTTATGTATTGCTTAATGATCTTTTAAATCACGTACTGTCTATAGAAAAAAAAAGTCACTACTATAATCACCAAGCTTGTTTCTTATAGGGTTTACTTTGCAAATGATATCTCCTTTCCAATATCTTTACTACCTTCAATATTGTAGCCCTCACCCGTCAATTTTAAATAGTGGCTTATCGCTTCCCAAGATTCAATACCTATCAGCTTTTATGAATGCAGCTTCTCGAGAATTACCGGGAACCTTTAATCTATATTTAGCAATATATGGAATCGAGGTAATGCTTGAGCCTTATACTGCTTTCTTTACAAAATAAGCAAGAAGTGGTTATCGCATCAAAAATTATCACTGAGACTGCAAGACATATCAATGTTTAGGAAGATGGAGCACTATGATTTTGCGTACTGGTCTTATTCGATAATTGTGGGACATTGTTCATCTGCGGATACTGATAGTTAACTACACTGTCTTGCTTAACGATATGATATGTACATAGAAGGTAAAGCCCAACGAAGGACATGATAATTCGTAAATGATTTTCTTCCCATGGTCATCTATTACACGGGCTAATACATTTTTCAAGTAATTCAAACAACATACAAACCATTGAGCTTAAATTACTTTAATCATGTTCCTAGATGCCCGTAGCGACTGCCCACTTAAAACCCTCAAGCAAGTTTTATGTGTTTAAGATTGATAATTTAAAAAGCCAAGGTTAGGTTTATTCATTGCATTTTTCTCTCTTTAGTTTTGTATTTTCAAAACACTAAATGTTAGGGAGATATGATTGAATATGGTAATAACATTGTACAACCATGTCACGTAATTTTTAAACATAATAAATAAGCAAGAAGCTTTCTGATATGTATCGTTCTGTACTACAAAACAGGGCATTTTTGTATTTTTTTGTTTTAAAAAAATAGGATTGCATAAATAAAAAGAGTGATTACCATGCCCATATTCTCGGGCAAAAAAACAAGTAGGTTTCTTATAGGGCTGCATGTTGTTTGCTTAGTCATTCGTTAAGATTTTCATAACTATCATCCCAAACTATTGAAACAGCCGGTACTTTTTCAACATTGTCTGACCAACTCAATCAGTTTTCCTAGCCCCTCCCCCTCAGTCACCTGTCAATGAGCATTATAAGCCATTACTGACATTGGATGATACAAAATAAAACAAAAAATGAACCGAATTTGAATATATGAAATTATGCATTTTTTTTAATGGTTTATTTAAAAAAATACAATTTAGATGTTGGAAGGATAAAGCATCTATAAGTTAAAAAAAAAAAAGAGAGAATTAGACAACAAATTTTAGGCTTACAACAGAAGAACTACTTACAATACGGACAGAAGCACCGAAGACCTTAGGGGGCAAGTTCTTGCGGAAACGAGCCTTAACAACACCGTTGGTACCGTGGGTACGGGCAATACGACCCCAGATAACACGGATCTTGGAACCGTTGATCTCACGTTGAGCACGGTAGACATAGGCGATACGCTTACCGAGGTAGAATTGAGCATCCTTGGTGGTTTGGACACCTTCAACTTGGATCAAGGAGACATTAGGGTTTTGAGTACGCATGGCACGCTCGAAGCCCAAAACACGGCCCTTACTGTAAAGACTATTGTACAAGAAAAAAAAAGTTTTAGTATCGCAATCAAAACTACATGTTTACAGAATAAAGGTCAAAGTCAAAATGAAGAGGTAGGGTACGTTTCTTATGTGTTGATATCGACTGTTTCTCATTCCACAATTGCTAATCGAATCATTTTGCCATGGAGTGTGAATTGTTGCTGTGCGCTGGTTTTGTTTTCCTTTCATTGATTTTTTTTTCTTTTGGCAAGACACCACCATCGCATCCATAAAAATCCATCCATCCATTCATTTCACATCTTCTCATGATTTTCCTTTGACCCTTATTCTATATCCATACATGATGGACAAAAAAAAATTATTCTAACTTTACCGGTCAGATGACATATTGGATAAAAGAGGAGGTTCTTCAAGCTTTGGTAATGAAATCCATCACAAAAGTGCCTTTCTCGCTTAATCCTCTCAACAAAAAATTACTTGCCGGACAGTCACATGATTTACCGGACCGTAGCCGGAGCGTTAATTTATGAATTTTATCTCCGTCAAACTTCATGTTGTGACGGGATTCTAATTACCAATTGGCTTGATAAATCAAACTATCTGAGCACCTTCTTGACTATAATCTACTCTCCAACTAACAAGGAAAGTATAAAGAAAACGTAAAAGTTGGAGTGTAAGAGGGCTTATGGTTTATTTATTTTGAACTTCGTTAATGTATATTTGATTTTCTAAAACTATTTGTATGATTGTATTTTAATATGAGGATGGTGTGGTTTGATTGGTAGAGGCTCTTCTGCGCTTTGTTACTGGCTGTGATACCCATTGGATGGCCTGAGTTACACATATCATTCAACGCCACCTCACCGCATTTACATGTTGTGACGAGATTCAAACTGCCCTTAGACTTAACAAGTAACTATACACTATTTTCAGAAAATTTTAGATCAAAATTTAAAGAGAAATTGTTCACAAATAAAAAAAAAAATTCGTTCACAACGTAAAAAAAAATACGTTCATCTTCTGAAAAAAGATTGGTTCCAAGACCGTAAAGAAAAAATTGAGCTTACCGCTTAAGTGCCTCTATGGTTGGCGACGTTGACAAATATTTCTAATGTTTGCTGGATCATTATTTGGGTCCTTGATCTTCTCTGTTGGTCCTAGGGAGCCGCTTCACTTCAAAATCTTGGAGGAAGGCCATTTCCAGCACGAAGTGAACGAGCAATATCAACCATGTTCAAGTAAGCAGCCATATCACGATTCCATAGACGAGGAACAATCCTATTTGTGTTATTGTTCATGGCCCTACAATTTTGATTTGTACATCTGTCACAGGAACAAAAAAAAACTTATTAGATAAAAAAATTATTAACAAGTGAAATCAACATGCCTTACAGAGACCATTTCAAATTACACGAGAATTTGCCCTTCGTCTATGAGGGCGCGGGTTATCGACCATCCGAAACGTTTCAAGACTTCTACGTTCACAGGCTGGACAGCACTGACTTGTTCTAACTTCATCAATCAAGTAAAACCTTTTATCAGCATTTTGAAGCAACCGATGGAATCCAAGACGCAAGCTCAGGCAGGTTAGTCTTTTGGATAAAGCGAGGCTTTAAAATAAGAGTTACATTATGCTACACTTAATAATAACCTTCTACTCTTTCTTGCTCCTTTTTTTTTGCTTAATACGCTGTTTTGAATTGAATTTGTCATATAGTAAACAGGCTAGAGGATGTTTGTTCGTTTTCTTTCCCCAAGTCATTATAGAACATCAAGGCAGATCATTGTAAAGCTTGATCAACTTCCTCTCCACTGTGTAAGATAACGGACAAAACAATCCATATTTTGTATTATATAACATTAATTTGTTTTCTTTTTTTAGGACATGCTGGACAATCTATGTACATTTTATCATGATAGCATTTTCAGCGACGAAAATGATATTGAAGTCATCCTAAATAAAGCAAAGCTGGTCGGAAGAACAAGTCCGGTTATGATGCTTTGATGACAGAAGCCACAATAGGGAAAGAAGAAGCAAAACGATAAGGAAGATTATTTTCACTTCATTCACTTACGATCGAGTTAAAATCATATCTGTGTGCTGAACATAATACACTTATCTTTTATTTTACTATTAACCGCTTACACTCTTATTTATATACATCATTATCACTTTAGAAGTGTGATTATAATTCTTTATCAAGGAATTCATCCTAGTAAATTTTAGAGCGTCTATCTAATCCAACCAATGCAATCCTCTGTGATGATAACCTACATTAATCTCTTGATACCAGCCAAAACGTGTCCGGTCCCACATTACGACTACGCGCACCTTGTATTTCCGGAAGAAAGCAATTCCCATGCTCCATACACTATGACTAAATGCACATCGATACCATATTCACGATGCTTAAGTCGATGATTTGTTTTTTCATAGAATAAAAAAGAAAAACAAACATTATTGACATACCACAAATTAGAAGTGGGGGATTGGGCTAGTAGTTCTTCTACAATTAGAAGCAAAAGGCCCATCTGGTGTAACATACTAACACTTTCTTCCTCCCGTAAACCGGATATGTCAAAATAAAAAATCCTTCTCCCGCTACACTCACGTGAGTTGCCTTGATTTATTTTATTTTAAAAATTGTTAAACCCCAACCCCTTTTCTTTATTTCAATCATGGAAGGTTTACACAATAGAAAGACCAAAGTCAGTGAAGAAGATGAAGCCGAGTTTCTAGACGAGCAAGGTAGTTTTTATGCATATCTCACAAAATAATGTCCAACTCATTTCGTTCTTAGAGCAAGAAGAGTTACTGCAGGTACTTCGTGACCAAAATAATAAAGCCAATCTGGCCATCCAAGTAAGTTCAACCATCTTCAATCTTGTTACTGGCTAACATTTACTTTCTATAGCGAGGACTCATAATCATTGGATGCATCACTTCAGCTTTGTAAGTTCCCTTCTTCATAGTTTTATCTCGTGAATCGTAGCTCATGAAAGCATCGTTATATACAGCTTCTTTAGTATATTATTGCAGAAGGGTACACCCATTATACCCATATCCCAAGTATTTGCAACGCCCACCGAAACAGTTTTGAAGTGGTCTACATTTGCTGCTTTCACTAGTATCGCTTCCATCGGTACATCCATTTTTGCTCTTGTCATCAAATGTAAAATGAATATTTTAGGATTATTGGATAGTTTATGCCTCAGCGATCAATATACCTCGGGTGTTGTACTTGCATCCATTATCACAGGCGCCATTGCTCCTTTGATGGCCCTATTCCATGCAAGCGCATGGATTGAACTTGTTTATTGGACTATCCCCCTTTTTGTCTTGGGTATGTATTATACCGCGCTTCATATGATGAATGGAGTGCAAGCAAGTTTAGACGAGCTGGAAAAATCAAAATACAAGTACAAAGGTGCTTAAATAATAATAATAATAATAAAAAAAATAGTGTTTATGTATATGTACAATAAATATTTCTAATCGGAAAAGGGTAGACGTAAAGGCACGCGTCCTATCATAGATTTCAATGTCTTGACCCATTCTTCACTTTCATCCAGATCGTCACTCACACAATCCAAATGATAATCTGGGAAGGCTAATCTGAAGAAGCCTTTATGGTTTTCAGCATGGATAGACTCATGACCAAATACTTTATCTTCCTCACTATCTCCCAGTAGCGTCACAATCACTTTGTCGGCTGCTGCACTAAGTCGTATCACATCAGACATGTTGTAATGATCCCACACTTGTCGATCCCCACCATCCGATGTGTATCCAATAAGTTGGCTACCTATTAATCTGTAATAATGGCGCTCCCAAATCTAATTTTTATGTTAAGCGGTGTAAATACATGGATATTTACATTTACTTACTTTTAATCCTTGTCGCCGTGTGGATAAGAAGCCACTTTGCCAGCATGTATCATGCCACTGTCGAATCTTTAAGGTCAGATCACACTCTCTTAAACTTCGTGGCACTTGTACAGATGGATTCGAGACGGGTAAGTACAACATTTCGACATTCAATTTTCCAACAATTTTCAAAAAGTCTTCGTCATCACCAAACTGTTCTCGTCGAGCTCTTTCGCGTGTAGTTCTAGCATACCACGAATTGAAACAATCAAAATGCGCCTCATATGTCTTTTTATAACATCCCGGCACCATATGATCAACAGCAAATCGAGTCTGTCCGATGGCTCCATCTTCGGGATGGACATAGCCGGATAAATGCTCTTTTTGTTTTCGAATTGATGTGAACCATCGACTCCAGCCAGTGCGAGGTTTCACATGATAGTCAGGTCGTACATGCAATGAGACAGTAATGATCATACCGGGACGCGTATCGATCACGCATTCGTAATCCATCAAGATTTGATGACCCAAAACTTCGTAACGCGACATGTATTCATACTCACCATCACTAATTACACATCTCACATATGTAATTTCCTTGGGCAAGGGCAGTAACATATTATGTGCTCCACTTACACCAATATACATCTTTCCAAAACTTGATGCTTCCAAGGATGACATACTGATCTTCCGGTCATCTTGGCTCGGTCTTTTCTCTACTGCCGCAGCTAAAAATTCACTATTGATTTCATGTGCATTGGGAATTCCACGACTTTGCTCTACGGGTTGTCCGGGTATTTGTGTTGTAGAGATAGCACGTTTCATCACAACAGACTCGTTTTCCAATCCTCCTTCTACCGCCGATGTGTCAAAAGCAGATCCGCCACGAACAGCAGATTCGCTATTATGTTTTTCAAACGCTGGCAATTTATTCATGTAATGCGAAATGTCTTCCACGCGGGGATTATTAGGATCGTGAGGCACATCCTCTTGTTTACTGCCCACTTCAGCAATGGCAACAGTTCTTGAAGGCACCTTGATTAAAGAAATCTCGTCATCGTCTCTTTGATTAACCGACAAGGTGGATGCAGAAAAATTCGTTAACGGTTTATTGGAGTTGTAATACGAAGCATCATGTTCCCTTTCTACTGCAGGAGACGGCGTAGAGAACTGATCCATAAATACCACAATCTCACCTTCTTCTTGTTCGTTATCTGACTGGCCTCCATGGTAGTAACTACTTTCTCCTCTCGTTTTATTGGGAGCGACATGAAGGTTGGTGGAATAATAATCATCTTCTTCCTCCTCAATTACATCGTGTTGTAGTGTGCGATGTTCTTGCACAACTGCTTCTTGATAAGGCTCATAATGCTTGCGTTCATCTTCTTCATCTTCATCCAGGTTTGTGTTCTCTGTCGAATTTGAGTTTTTGTAAGAATATGTTTCCGAATTAGTATTGATGGACGAATCACTATGTCGATTGTAGTCTTCCCGTTCTCCGTTGTAATAGTAATCTGTTGTGTAATCATCCTCTTTGGTGGGTGGAGCAATATGAAACCCTGTTACTAGTAAAGATTGTCTACGCATTTCTTCTTGTTCATTCCATTCATCATCAGGATCATACCACTGATCACTGGAGGCCTCACTTGCTGCTACACTCTCGCCGCCTTTGCTTAGCATAGACTCTCGTTTCATAGCATCCTGAATACCTATCGACCAATGGTTTCTTTGGCTGCCACTCTGTCGTTTATTTGTCCATTTACTTAGACGTTGTTCATTCTGGATCGACAAGGTTTGTAAAATACTTGTTTCATCTAAATCGGAAGAAATTGAGACTCGGCTTGGATCAAGCGTCTTATGATGTTGCTCCAAAATATCTTCTTCAAATTCAATCTCTTGTTGATCTGTCATAAGCCCTTTATACACAGTATTCCATTCTGTCCTACTTTCTTCATCGTCACTGCTTTCGATAGCCCGTGTCTTTTTAAAAGTCGCTAGAGTTGGTGTTGAAGCTTCATCTTCATCGCTTTCTTCTTCAATCATCATCCGACTTTTATTTGTGCTGATTTCAAGACATATAACATGGTTGGCCTCTTCTGGTGGTGCGTTGGTGTCTATAGAAGGGATATTTGTCATATCATCCTCGTCATCAGATATATCTACTTTCGTAAAGTTTTATTAGTTGGCTGCCTAATGTTAAAACATCTTTGTTTTTTGTTTTACCGTGCTCAATATGTATCGTAGGCTCATTGTTGTTAGATGGCATAGGGGAAGTATTTGCCACTATATCATCTTCAAAAGTCAAATCATCTAAAAATGACGAAGCATCGTATTCATAATCAGACTGGTATTCAGATTGTGTGTCCGGCTGATCCAATGTTGTATTAAATGGTGGTACACTATTCAAGGATTGCTTTTCCGCAACTTGCGTTTGGCTAAAGTACTCATCACTAGAATCATCATCGTCGTCTGAGAAGAACTGACTGCTAGCGAAAGAATCCGTTTTTCTCGGAATATTTGAACTTGATTGAGATGCCACAAAAGTGTCGTCAGTATTTCCAGGAGCGGGTGCTTTGTTGAAGTTAGGTGATACAGCATATGTATCAGCAACTTTATCAAATGTTTCTGCTTCATGGTTAGTAGATAACATAATTGGGGTTGGGCTGTCGTCTACGGATACATCTGAATCAGATGTTTCTTCTATCAGCTCAGTTGTTTTGCTTGGTAAAATAGGTGTGATACTCATGTTTGCTTTGTTGAATACTTGGGTGTTACTTTCTTCAGCATCTCTAAGTGAAGTTTTATTATCGTCATTACATTCTACAATAGCTGGCGTTATTTCGGTCTTATTAACTACAGTAGGAATTACACTTCCGGGCATATTGTTATAGCCATCCACTTTATCAAAAGCCGCCTTTTCTATTGTTTCACTCGGCAATGCATCTTTTGAATTTTCTGCATATTGATCTTTGAATGCAGAATTAACAGATGCCTGTGTTTTGATATCGGGACACAAGTTGTTTAAAAGAGTGTGATCTTTGTCTAAATTTTGACCATTTACAGATAAATTGGTTGCTAGAATTTCTAATTGGTTGCTGGGCTTGTTATCTTCCATAGACCGGACCACATTATATGTTCTATCGTCCGATTGTAGTAATGATGGGGATAACAGTGTAGTCGGCTTGATTTTATTTTGATTCTTTACTGCTGTAGGCATATCAATACATGGCTCTTTATCTTCCATAGTCGACTGGGGTTGATGTAAAGGCTGTGTTATGGTAATAGATTTATCGTTTGGTATGATTACTGAAGTAGGAATATTTCTTTCTATCGAGGATTGTGTCGATGCCACTTGATCCAGCTTGTCTGAAGAATTATTTTTATACGCATAACTCACCTCCGTCTTTTCTTTGTTGGCGACGGCTGCATTTTTTTCATTGGTGGCCAAAATTTCATTCACTATCTGTACTTTATCCTTGACAGCGACAGAAAAGGAGTCTGGAATTTTGACATCCTTTTTAACTGTGACAGAATCGGATTTGGTTTTAACCGGTAATGACCTTTCTTTGTTTCGATTTTCATTGTCTATGCTTGTTAATAAAGACTTTTCTATATGATCTACTACAGCAAAAGTTTCTTCTGGTAGTGGAAGTGTCTGGGGAGAAGAAAGAAGTTCTTGACTAGAGGAAGGCGATATATCAACCGTTTTTTTGACTAAGTATAGATAAAACTATTAGTAAAAACCGAACCAAACTTATTTTGTCTTAATGTACCTGTGGCAGTTTTTTGTATATCAATTTCTTCTTCTGATACCTCCTTTTTCCAAACTTCGAACTTTTTTCCTACCGTGTAAATCTCACGCTCGTCCTCATCGTTTAGATGTTCGTGAACATTGACAATGTCTTTGACTTTGCTGGATGCGATTTCGATTTCTTTTTTAGTCGGTTTTAAATTGGATGAAATATCACGATTTCCTAGACGACCAACCGAGAGTGCTTCTAATTCGTCTTCTGTTACATCACGCTTATCATCGGTGCTTATTCTTTGTTTAAGGGAAGTATCGCTCTCTTTGGGGATCTCGTTTTTAACTACGCTATCATTGATGCTGGTTTCTGTAATCACGATTTTCACTTCAGGTTCAATTAAATCCTCGTCTTTTTTTTTTAGTTCGTTTTTTTCCAAATTATCCGTCTGTAAATCTTTCTCTTCTTCATTGTCACTGGCAACGGGACTTGCTATGGGGCTTGCGATGGGACTTGCGATAGGACTTGTAATGGGTGATCCACGCAACTTGGCTAAGGTAGGTACGTGCAACGACTTGCCACTCCGAACACTATTAGCCGCGGCTTCCGCTTCTTGAGCTTGACGAAATACACTCGAAGAAACATAGGATCGATCTTTTAGCGAATTGATGACCCGCGAAGTACGGCGAATCTGATCTGCAGCACCTAGCAACTTCTTTCGGTCCCTGACAGCAGAGGCAGCGGTAAGAGAAGGCGTTCTCTTTGCATCCAATTCTTTTTGTTGTTTTTGTTCTTCGAACTTTTTAAATAATGGATTGTTTTTTACTGCAGATCGTTGAGCCAACTGATCAACTTCCTTTTGACGTATAAAGATCTTTTTTTCTAATTCTGCTTCTTCTTCTTCACTCAATACTCGACGCTTTCTTTCTTCCAAATGTCCAGGTCTAAAATAACGACGCGTGGAATTTTGTCGCTCTGTAGATGTGGGTTTATTTACGTTGGGAGATTCTGCCAGTTCGCGAAGCCGTTTAAATCTATCCGATGCGTTTGTGGATAGCGCTTTATCTTTGGCGACAACAGGCTTCGTTTTTAAAAGCTTGACTTGGGGTTGAGCATCCGGGATGGTGGGTAAAAGCCCGTTTTTATTAGGAATTGTAGTTACAGCACCATAGTCTTTCAACTGTTGTATTAATTCGTCTTGTTGTAAGAAGTAAGCTAAATGTATCACGGTGTTTTCCTCTGTACCCCAGAAACAAGTATTCAATTCATTATCTTTTGTATTCTAGATTATTATTTTTTTGAGTCAGTGTAACCAGTCATTGAAAAAAGGGAAAAAAAAAAATTAATACCTTTAAAATATATTCTACAAGCTCAATTCTCTCTGGTGCCCATTCATCATCAGGGACACCATAGTCAAACAAGATATGGTGAAGGGCGTATAAAGGACGTATAGAAGTCCCTAATAATTTATAATCCTTCAAGCGTTGAATAAAGTGTGAAAAGTCTGTTTCGAGATGAGCCAGAGGTAAAAGTGGAGTCCACAATAAACTGGGTCGAATGTCAAACAGCTCTTTAATATTTTCAGAGTCAAGTGCTTCTACGGCAGTGGTCCATTCTAAAACAAGTGTTTCTTCTATTGTTGCACCTTCCTCCATTACTAAGTATTATTATTTTTATTTTCAATTATTAAAAAAAGAAAGAAAAAGAAAGGAAGGGGGCCGAAGACGGAGTGAGTGGTTGTTGTATGTGTGTGATTTAAAAAAACTGGCGGCAAGATAACTTGCCATTTTAGGCTCCTGAGCGTACAGAAACCCACAAAAGACTCTTACCGAAGTCCGACACAGCTCGATCGACCTAAAAGGTTGTTTTAATAAACATTTTCCAGTGTCACAGTTCCAAATTTTAGATTAAAAATACTAGGAACTGTTCTAAAAAAATAATTTATATATGAATAACCCACCCACACATAGACAAAAATAGTCAATGCTTTTGTAATTCCTGTCAAAGAAGTCAAAGAAATCATTATTTTGGGTGTTAATTTCCTATTTTCACTATGGCAATATCGGCAATGGCATGGTTAATATGACAGTAACATGCGGTCTCAGCACAAAAAAAAATGGAAGATTACATCAAACTGCATAACTACTATTCTACTTTGGAAAATGGGGAGTATGTGTCACAAACTAGTTATTTAATATAATATCTGTATGCTACTAGTCACTATAAACAGCGACAATGAAAAACCCGTCGAGCTCTTCAAGGTAGCCTCCTGAACATGTGTTTATTACTCTCGGAAAAGCACGCATCATGTACAGGTTCTGGGTGGAAAATCAAGCAAACAGTGTAATTCCTGTTTGTAGGAACCCAAATTGTATTTTAGTGCCACACACAGCCATTTTTGTGCAAAAAAAAAAAAAAAAAAAAAAAAAAACCTTAAGCTTGGCACGATTTGGAAATAGAAACTGGGATATACGATAACGCCCAGAAGTATTTATTGTTCTACCTTTGTTATCACTAAAAGCAACATTATGCTCCTTTTTCCTCAAGAATTGTTATAGTTACCAGCCATTAGTTGTATTGCTTAGTCTTTTATGTATGCCTTAAATAGAATACCAGTAGCCGTATGTGTTAATTTAAGCAGTGTTATTCACAGGAAAAAAAAAACCAGTAAAATTTTACAACTTTTAATATCATTATCATTTCAGTAATCCATCTTGGGAGGCGTCCTCAGTCTGATGGCATCATAATTAATGCCTTCAGACAAAATGAGTCTTTCTAAAAGGCGTCACAGTGTGACGGTGAACAATTGGGAAAGAGAAAAAATTAAAACCTGCTTTCTCGGACGTGTCAAGCATTTTTTTAAACACCATGAGTGATCTTACTTCTGAAAAGATTGCTAAAGCTCTTAAGGGAGCTGGACTTTCCTCCAAACAAAGAATAGAAAAAGCTAATGAAGCATGGAATAATAACGCCATTTTCTTTCCCAACAAGGATGACTTTTTGCTCGAGTGGATCTGTTCTGCTTTTGCTAAACCAAACATGAAAAAGTAGTATAAATAAGCGGCATATGTGATAATAATGTCAACTAACCAAGATATATTATTAATATAGACTCGAAGATTGCTGTTTGCTTCAATTGTCGTACTGGAGTCTTTTAGCAGATCTCTTGGAACATTATAAACAAAGGGCAATTTTAGATCCCAAACGATCTGTACCCATTATTCATGTCAACCTTGTGTCGTCCGTCTCAGCACTTTTACAACAACTATATAAAACCGAAGATGAAAGCAAAGTTAAATTTCTGGCCGCTGCCTACCGCTGTCTTCAAATTTTGTTTTCTGACAGCTTCTCGCTGTCATATAGACCCGCTTTCGAACATATTTCATCAGCAGTCGATCAAGTTTTGTCAGCTTTAAGTGTTCAAATTACCTTATGTAGCGAAAACGAAGCCGAGGAACTCAATGCATTGCACCAACTTTCTCTTGTTGCCCAAGTTTTGTTAAAGAAATTCGATTCGCAACTTATCATGGCTGCCAACCAAAAAAAAGTAACCCCGTTTTACCCACATTAACGTCACATCATGCTAAATTAAATTTAATAGATTTTTTCCGCTATCGTCGAAAAATCTTTAACCAAGTTATTGAATGTTCGCCGTAGAATCAATGCGTTTGAAGATACTATCGATTCACCCCATATATCTCAAATTATCACGGATATTGTCTGTCACGCACTTTTTCACGCTGATACAGTTTTGGAATTCACCTCAGTTTTAAAGGACGTTAAAACCGATAATAAATCAAGCGGGAATGTGAAGCAAACCAATTATGTTGTTAGACTCTTTGAGACGCTTGAAAATATGGTAAATTCGGAAGATAAAGATCAAATCTTGGATGGTATGTGTATAGTTTATGTCACGGAAAAGAGATATCTCATTTTTATACGATAGCTCTCGATATTACACCCATTTTATTTTCTGCTTTTCTCAAGGCCTTTAGACAAAAACGTAACACTAGCACTAGCGCAATGCAAGATATTAGTAGAATGGCCGAATTCGGTATCTTTGTCTATTTATCAAATATCGTTTCAAACATCAAGGAAAAGGAAGTGTCAGAATACCTCAAAACACTCGGTGGACTTTTAAAGGAGCTCCTCCAGTGGAACGTTTATAGTGCTCGTAATGATGAAATCGCGAAATCTCAGAAAGACGTTTTAAATGTGATTGCTGACACAGTAGTTGTTTATCTTGGTGACACTAAGAGTATGTACAGTTTATTGAGATTGTAAGCATGCTAATCAATTTATCAAATTTAGGATACAACCAAGGCCTTGTCTTTGATTTGGCTGATACATTGCTTCAAATAGATTTTTCTTTGATCGAATCACGTATTTACTCTTTATGGCCCTCCATGTTGGACGTAAGTAAAAAAAAAAAAAAAAATTAAAGTGGAAATTATCTGGTTATTGAACCCAATATGTTTTAATTAGTCAGAGGATAATGCTCAAGAGTCCTGTCTTAAGTTTGCCAAATCTGTTTTAAATACATACTCTGCATCCAGACAAATTGACGTATTCATTCAAGATCTCATGAAGTATATTGTCCAAATTGGATCTGTTGATGTATATGCAATGTTGAAAAAGCCTATGTTCTCTAGAACATTCATGAATGAGTAGGTTAAATTACTTCTTTATTTGTAAGGACTTGCACTTATTGTTTTGATCAGATTCTCTTCTTTAGTAACTAAGTCCATGCCTGCAGCCCAAGCTCATGGAATTTTTAAAAACTTTGAGGAAAGTTTGGTTTCTAATGTCGTAAAATCAACTGGCGAGCCATCGACGAAAAAACCAAAGACGACAACAAACAACAATAACACTCAAATTGCTGCAACCCTGATCGTTGTTTATTTTGTCGAGTTTACTAATGGATTAAGACTCAATCAACATCAACTTCGTGCTTTTGAGGAGTCCAGCATGTCTGTTTACACGAATTTTGTTAAACCTAGTGTTTCTGGATGGACCAAATCAAATATCGAGAGTACGATTCTGCCAGCCATGCAGATCCACTCTGCGTTGACCAGCGTCTTTTTTGATGTTTACTTTTCCAAGATTGACAGCAAAGATCATGAGTGGTTAGCGAAATCATACACGCAAGTATTCAAAGATAACGTCAAAAGTGATACTTTGGGTTCTAGAATTGTCGTGGCAACTAGCGTATGTATTTGTTTGTAAAAGTAAAGCCTTACATACTGACATTTTCTATTCATATTATTTGCAGGCTAATATCATGCTTCAACATGTTTATTACACATCTCTCTTACATGAATCTTCGACTAGTCAAACAGCTGATCTGGTAAACATCGTCGTAGATTTCGTTACGGAAAAGGAAAAAAACAAATCATGGTACGAGACAACTCAATGGGACGGATCTATACTCGGTCTCGAGACTAAGAATACTGTCAAATTAGCCTGTTGGAAGCTTTTAACGGATGAATGGTTTGAATCTGTCATGTAAGTAAAACAGCTTCTTATTTGCGTCAACGTGTATTGATTTTTTTTTGTAGTCGATTCATCGATAATGACAGAGCCGAAAAACTAGCATCTATTATCTACATGTCATTAACAACTGATACTCCATCGCATACACATGTATCTGCGCAATTTTTGAATATGACCCTGTTAAGATCTGCTAACTTCTATGAAGCTAAATGTTTCAAAGGTAAGTTTCATCTTCTTTTTTTTTTATTCAACAAACCACTGACAGTTCTTTTAGACTGCAATATTCAAACTATTTTAGGTGCATTTGTTGAACTTTTTAAGACTAAATTGTTAAAGAGTAGCATAAGTATGGTGTCGAAATCTTCCGCAAGTATGATCGCAGCCATTCAGCTCAACAAAAATGTTGCGGTTGACCAAAATACTATTGAACCATTGTCAAAAGCCTTAAGCTTAGAGCAAGATAGTATGGATGAAGATGCCGATTCGATTAGTACAGACAATGTTGACAAGATTTCTACACTGCTGAAGCTCTTGTTGCTTTTCCCTAATGAATATTATGAAAAGAATGAACGTCCCCAGGCCTTATATCTGGTCACTTTGTTAGATATTTGGTCTGTTTCTTGTAAAAATGCGGACTTGTTAGCTCGTATGAAAGTGTGCTTAATGTGTAGGAGCCTGCAATTAAGATTCATTGGATATTTCAAGCTTAACAGTATTCTGGTAGGATTTTTTTAATTTCTTTTCGATCTATTTTCTAACAAGTTCTTCTTAAAAGGGTGTTGATTCTGTAGTGTTAAATTGGTTGGTTTCCTCAAATCAAATCTGGCCCGTTGAAGGAAGTAAAGAATTAGAAAATGTTAGAAATTCTCTTGAGCAAATTACCAACGAACTGGATTTCAGTATTTTGCGAAAAATCATCATGAGTGCTAGTACCAAAGTACCTGATGTGCAATCGATTTCTTATCTCCAAACCGCCATGACTCAACGTGTGAAAGAACTTGCTAAAGACGTCCCCAAAATAGCGCTGGGAAAAATTATCAATCTTATAAAAGCTATCAACAACGTTTTAATTAACAGGTAAGAATGGGACATTTTTAGAAGTTTGCAGTTACTTAATAATATTTTAGAAAATCTAATGAAGTTGATCTTACTGATGTGATTTATGCCACCGATACAATCTCAGAAGTCAGCAAATTTATCACATTGTCTCTCCAAGATGCCAAGTCTTCAATTTCGACCATTCTATCTGAATTTAAAGATGAACCTAGCAAGAAAGCAGATGTTATCGCGGAGCATAAGTCTAAATTCGATAGTATTAAACATATTTTCCATATCACTCGATTGTTACAGGATTATGCTCGCATTGTTGGTCCTGATGTTGATGAAGGTAATACATTTTTAGATCCCTGTTTGAAACTGTGTTGTATTAATATTCGGCTTTTGTATAGTTATCTCTGCTGAAAGTCTTTCTAAGACATTAACTGAATTAGCCTCGCCTTTTATCCAGTTCTTACAATCTGCACTCCTTTTAAATAATTCAGAGAACATCACTGTGCTTAACATGACAACGGAGTTTATTGCGGCTTTCTGTTCAATCTTGTCTCGCTATCAACAAGTGGAAACAACCAAACGTGTGTTAGCTGCAATTTGGTTCGTCTATTCTTTGGTTCTCAATACAGGTAATTACGAATCGGAACTGGTCCGGATTATAATTTACTTAATCATTTGACTGTCAATTAGGTGACCAAGATTCAATTGAAATTCTTTCGAACGCTTTTATTTCATGGATTCAATCCTTATCTAAAGACCAATATATAATTGTAATCGATGGATTTGTGGAGCAAGCTGAGGAAGAAGCTATTAATCGTGGAGTCATCACAAAAGAAAATCATCACTTAGTTTTCTTGTCTCTCCTGTCAATTTTATTGAAGAATTGTAATAACAGTAAGTTCATACCTTTCATCGGGGTTGTTATCATATCTTAACAAGAATTGTCTCTAGGTGAAAAGGGCCGTTTAAGAAAGAATATTCCCACATTCATCCTTAAATTATCTCTCATTGCTGGTAAAACTACATCGCTCAAGTACTTGCAACAGATGTTACAATTACTCATTCAATTAACTGGTGATCAGGTATGTCAGCGTAATATTTAATGATGAGGAAATTACTAAAACTTGTTTTAAATTGTTTAGTCATACCACTTCAGTGACTACGATGCTTCTCTTGTATTGTCATGTCTTCTCCAAGTTGCACATCCTACTGCTATCGAAAGATTCAAGGGCCAAGTGAATAGAGAAAGTGCTCATATCGTATTTGATAACGTATGTACAGTACTTTCTAACCTTGTCAGTCAGCATAAGGAACAAGTTGTTTACATGATGCCCCCATTTATCGCCTTTATCCAATCTCTTTTCCATTGTTTCAAATCTACACATGTTTCTTTGGTCAGTGGAACTAACGCACCCACTAGAAAGAGAAAGCTTAATGCCGAACAAAAGAACAACGGCAAGGCTTTTGCTGGCCGAACTATTCCTTTATTATACGAATTCGCACCTTTAGACGATGCGTCAGCTCAAAAACTTGCTCGTGTGCTAACAACAATACCACAAAAACAACATTCTACATCGACAGCCAAGAATGCAAAGAGTACACAAACTCTGCACAAAATCATCGCTAAGCATACATCTTCTATTTTAATTGAATACTTTACCATCCAATCCAACCCTACAATGAGCATCGTTCGCCCTAGCACAAAATCCGTCTTGACACAGGCATTGTATGAAATTTTAGACATGTGCTCAGAGTCAGATCACACTTTTATTTTGTCTTGTTTAGACGGCCCCGGTAAATCGCTATTTAAGAGCTTTTACACCAACTGGAAAGATACGCATAAGTATACTGGCCAATAGATTAATAAATCCCTCTCTTTTTTTTTCTCCCCACTTTCCATTATTCATACTTGTGACAAATAGTCCAACAATCAATCTATTATTAACTATATTGGTGGAATTGTACAAGCAAATAAAAATTTATTATAAAGAAAATAATACACCGAATTGATACAGGAACCTGAACACATTCGATTTTTTTTTTAACGAAATCTTTCCATCCTTCCTACGTAGAAAATACCCATGTTTATAGTTGCGACTAAAGCAGCGATTCGAAACATACAAATGGCGCCCATGTATTCATATAAATAGCCACCCGTGAGTGCACCCAAACCAGTACCAAGGCCAAAATGAAGCGCACCAAGCATACCCTGTGCCACGGATCTTTGTTCAGGAGGGAAAAAGCCATCCATTTCGCTTACAGCTGTAGCCCAAAAGATACCAAAGCCGACGCCTAAGCATAAACAAAATATAAATATGGACCCCATAAATAAAAAATAAAATCATATTACCGTGTAATGTTTGGAGTAACAGGGCACTGACATTTGTTATAAATGAATCAGGGGTAAGTATAGTATAGATCAAACAACGAACAATCGTAGCAACGTGTGCGATAATAATCATATTTGTAACACCAAATATCTCTGTCAGCTGTTGAAACAATAACAAATAAATAAAGTTTTTTAATTATTACCGTTAGTTGTACTTACTTGTTTCGAAAAGCAAAAGCAAAGTAACTCTGTTATACCTGTCGTAGGGCCAGTCCAGCCAATCCAGCTTGCGGGCATCTGTAAATCACGACCCAGAAATAAGAATAAGAAATTGACGATAATGGATAATACGAAACCAAATAAAAGTGTTGTTATGAGAAATGTAAGGACTCGTACGGATTTGAATACGCTGCTCGGTGATGGGATATCCTCGGATGTAACGTTAACAAGACCTACCATCGATTGGTCAATCGATGCAATTCTTGAAATAGCCAAACCCAAATCTACCCCGCCAATAACACCCAAAGTTTCATCAGCCTCTTCCCGAATAGTATGTGCCGATGTAACACTGTCTGACTTGAATAACTCTACGTAATGACTGTTGCTATTATTGATACTGTTATAGTTGATTGGGTGACGATTGCCAGATGACGATTTCTCGGAATTTTCCGTTTGACCTGATTCTAATAATCGTTCACGACTTGAAATGCGCTCCAAACCTTCTTCTACATGGTCCATCATTTCTGGAATGAGTTGATATTCTGAGCTATTCACATTGACCATCAAGGAACATATAATAAATAGTAGTGTTGAAGCCCCAAATACCCAGAATAAACCATCAAGACTCCCAGTTATAGATATAAGCTGTCCAACCAATAAAATTGTTAAGCCAGCTGAAACAGAGCCCCATAATCTTTGTTCGCCTATATTTAAAATGTTATTTCTTATAAACAGATTGTTCGCGATCCTTCTTGGTATTACCATATAAAATTTTATTTGGTCCAAGCATCTTCATGACAGCACTATCTACTAATGAAAGATTAGGCAACGTGAAGAAGGCAAAGGCTAGAGCTAAAGTGGACGTCATTAAAACCAACGTTCTATTTGACAGTTCCAGCTGTAGCATGTTGGTGAAACCTGTAGGGACTACAACTTCGGATGAAACAGAGTGTCCCACAAACATGATAGTCATAACAGCAGATCCACCAAGCAAACTTGTGATTGCCATAGTGGTGCCGTGTAACTTTGGCTTTTTGTCAACAGTATAAGTCCAAAGGGGACAGGCAATAGACTGGATAAATGGAGCAATGGCAAGAACAAACCCTATTTGGTCTGAAGAGAAACCGAGGACATCATGATAGTATAATGGTAAATAAGGTGGTGCAGCCGACAAAACTGCAAATATAGCAATGTATAGGAGTTTACAGATAAGATACATTATACAAGGAAAAGAAAAAGGACTTTAGATTAAAATTGACATATTTATAAAGAAAATTTTATAAAGGGGAAGCAAAGTTTCAAACAAACAAGTTGGGTTGTTTCATAAGGAAAAATATAAACTATAATTTTTTATTTTCCCATTACATCTCTTATCAAATCTATCAAAGTACAACAGGTCATGACCAGATTAGCCTCCAGTAAGTCACATCGTTCTTTTTCTACTTGATTTAGAATGTCGAGGTCAATTGACAATTTACCAAATTCTTTACTTGAATAACCCATATTATCACTATCAAACTCTGCTATTAGCTTCCATCTCCTACATGTTTTGTGACTGTGGTTGTCATGATCATCCTCGTCATTATCGCTATCACTATCAATAAATCCATCCTCTGTTGTTCGGGATCTGACACTATTATTCTTCTTTCTCCTGTTCTGTGATCCATTCAATTTTTTTTGTTGTTGATATATTTTTGTCTCCTGGCGGGTTAACTTTATTTCACAAGTAAAGTCATGGGACAACAAACTCGGCCTTTTCCAGCGCATGCGAGAACCATGAAACCATATTTCATATTCAAATAAAATATTCGATTGTGACCTTTTGATTAAATCTTGAGAATGGATATTATGGGTGGCGGGTATATTTTTAAGGTTATTTATATAAGTCTGAGATATATCTTCGATTTCGCTATTATCATAGTCTGCCGATTCGATAATAATGTCCTTTTGGAACGGGCGTCGACGTGCTTCTGCAACTTTAATACCTTGACCGTCGTTTTTATTACAATAGAGCATACTCTGAAATCCCCAAGTATATGAATAAGGCTGAATCTTTCGGTACACCATCACCTCCTCATCCTCTCCATCATCTGGATGGTCAATATGGAGATATATCTGATGCTGGTTTGGTTTGAGAATAGACGATTTTTTAAAACAATATACTACTGTGTTATTATTAGGAATTTTACGACTTGTTTTAGCTGTTGTATTTCTTTTGGTTTGTTGTAAAAAAAAAGAAGAGACAATACCGCTGTCGTTTGACAGTATAGCGGTAGCGGCAGCGGGCGCAGCAGGAGAAGGAGCAGGAGCAGTAGCAGTAGCAGGAGTAGAAAAGGTGGTCGTAGTTTTAGCTGCGGTGGTATCCACACCTGCAATGCTATTGGCTGGAGATGTAGGAATTACATAATAAGAAAATGGTGTGTTATCTTGAATAGTAATATTATCCTCATGATGATGTCCAAAATTAGTCTGGGTTGTTGGAGTAGGCTGGCTAAGAATGAAAGATGTGATATGCTGATAGTCTATTTGCGAACAATACATCGAAGTTTCTTTTCTTATGGCTGATTTGGGTGATAATGGCGGTGATTCTACAGGTGTATTTGGAGAGTAGCAGTCCACAGTAGACAAAGTAGACGATGGAGGTGTTGAAAAGCTAGCAGCGACACTAGGCTCTTTTCTTTGAAAATAACGACTTGCAAATGAGTCTACCGTCATTTTACTGCTACGGCTGCTATGACGACTGGTAGTTACTGTAGGAGGATCTTCATCATACGCGTTGGGCTTCTCATAAACAGGTGTATCAATTGCATCTGGCTTTTGAAATACAACATTTTTGGTTGTTTTCAAATCAATAATCATTTTTTTTGAAATTAGGTTTAATCGTTTATTAAAAATGGAAAAAAGAAGGTTTATAAAAGGGGGGCAAATTATATATCTTTTAAACGGGAATTTCTATGCAAAAGGAAACATGATGATGCGGGTTTGTATTCCATCCTTTTCCCTCTTAGCTTTATGTAAATAAAGAAGCAACTACATTCAGCTTACATTTAAAACTGCGACTGTACGAGCACAAAACAACAACAAAATGGTATTATTCACTCTGACCTTTGCCTCTCGTATGAGATAAATAAGCGTTTATTGACAATTTTGTTGTCTAGCAATTTTTTTTTTGGTATAGCTTTAAGTATATACTTGAGCTATTATGTAGTACAAAATGGTGTACACAACGTCTATTCTTGCTGTTATTGTAGTGGCACGATATACTTTGTTAATTGTGCTTCAATACCACGGCCCTTTTTGTGTATTTATTTGAAACTTGTTCCGAAGGCTGATTTCTATTTCTGTAAAAAAAACAATGTTTTTGAAACAGCAATGATTTAGTCCAGTAGAAGCTTAAAGCCATACCTTCAATATACATACGCAAAATAAATAGCATAGCCGGCAAGTTTCATTGTTTTGTAACTAAGGGCATGAGCAAATCCCTTCTAAATTTAATTTTTTTTTTGATCACGACCAATCCTAAAGTGACGATAAAAATAGATAATTTGATTTTTCTATCAAAGTAATAGTCGGCTATGCAAAACGGACATGTGTGCTCACGGGAGTATTGCTCTGACGCTTTAGATCATGCTAATTATAGGCATAGCATTCGATTAACTAATATAATATTCCACCACACTGCTAGAATGACTTATTATTTTAACCAATGGCGGTGATAGTTTGAGATGTCTCTCCATTTAACGCCCACAGCTCTTTTTTAGAATAAGTGAAAACAGGGCACTTAGATGATCAACAATATCAGGTGACAAATGTGAGTAAGAAACCAAAAGTCCCTAGCAGTACCAATAATGGAGTCAAATGAAGACACGGAAACGGATCCGATTTTAAAATCATCAACGGGTTAATTATCCTTGTTAGTATTTATGCTATTTGTTAGTTCGAAGGTAGCTACAATTTTCCTGTACAGAAATATATAGCTTGTTTTAGCCAAAATTACACGAACTTGCGAACGAAAGGAAAAGATCTATAATTATGCAGAGTTTAGTCATAGGTGATATGGTTAGATATATTACATAATCACATTTCATCATGATACATATTTTTTTTTACCAATGCACAATGTATTTACATATGCTGTCAGAGGATAATTCAAAGCTTCCTTTAAAAATGTGACAGCTACTGCTGTCATCTAAATACATAATAAAACACCAAACTGTACCCTAAACAAACTTAGTTTTCAAATCTCGGTTTCATATCTAAGTGGTATCTACATAGTAAATTTCGACACTTTAGTAAACTCTGGCAATGTATCCATCATAAAAATCATTATCGTAGTCGGATGGAAAGAGTTATGAGACTGTATATTTCTGTAACTCATTTATTTACGTAAGGGTTTTTATAGTAATCATGTTGAAGTTTTTGGAAATGCTTAGCATTGATAGCATTAAAAAACATGTATAAATGGAGGTATCTTTGATATAAGGTACCGTTTTCCAAGAAATCGTTCACCCTTGTATCATGCGGTTACTGTCCTCTGTAGTAAATATACAATGCTATATTATAATCGGTATGCGTCATCACAGAATACAGTTTCTTGTTCTAAAAAAAAAAAGACTGAACACAAAAAAAATAAAGTAGGGTACCAAGTGTTTAAAATATTGTTGCTAATGCTTAGTAGCGTAACTCTACTGGTTTTTTTATGGATAAGCTGTTTTTAATAGTCGTACTATATTCTTTATCTGATCATTGTGTTGCTTTTGTGGCGTAGAATTATTTCAAAATCTAAGGATAGTAACTACAAGTGATAAGGCTGAAAACTGCATATTATCATTATGTGTAAGCGTAATAATCTTTGGTGTAACAATATACTTTGACTATTATTAGCTGATTTAAACGGACTTGCAAGATCATTTGATATTTTGAGTAAACCATGGTAGTATCAAGGTATGGCTGCCCATTTTATAGTAGATTTATCGTGTTCATTAGATTTTTAGGGAGCCCATTTGATGTCAACTGCAATTTTTCAAGCAACTTTGCTTTTTCAAATCTAAGCCCAATTTTAACGCTACGTTTCATTCGTTGAGATTGTTACTAAAAATACTTTAAATTTTAGGATACCTGCCAAGATTTTTTTTTTCTTTTACCTTTTTCCTTTCTTTCTCTTTTATCTTCTTTTTTTCAAAAATATGTCGAACTACCATGATGATTTCTATGACAGACCTTCTGCTCCTCCAGCAGCAGTAGCATCGACACCACCTCCTTTACCCCACCATATTGATACTGGTAGAGAATCGACAGATCAATATGCCATGAAAGAAATCCCGGTCAATTCGCCATCACCTTATCCTGTATATAACAATAATACAGCCTACAACAACCATAGCAACGGATCTACTCCAGTTCCCTCTCAAACTCGTTATAATGACCCACACAGATCTTCCATGTCGGACATGAAATTTATTGATCATTACGATTCTGACGATGATTTAGAAAAGATCATCCCTCGTGAAAAGAAACGTCGTTCTTGTATGGACAAAGCCTGTTGTGGATGCTGTACTTGTTGTCCTAAGTGGTTGCGCTGGTGTAGTTGTATATTTTTGATTATTATTTTAATTATTGTCATTATTGTCGGTGTATTAGCGGCTTTATTTAAAGTTCCCAAGATTGACTTTACCGGTCTCAAGCAAGATCCTGCTGTCTCCAATGTAAATAATGTTCTCACTATGACGTTCGATGTAGGTATTACAGTAGACAACCCGAATTTTGAGAGTATTACATTCGAGATTATAAAGGCAGACGTAAGTTATACCGGGAATATATTAATTTTAAAAATCTATTGACACATGTTTTTAAATAGGCTTACTACCCTGCTCCTTACAATGTTTATGTTGGTGGTGGCAACGTTACTAATCTTCATATCAATTCAAACGGCATCACTGACATTGTGTTTCCATTTGCTGTTCGCATCGACTCACAAGATCCCCAGCAACAAGGTGTTATTATGGATTTAGTTACGCGTTGTGGTTTGGATGGAAGTACGCCAGAGAACATTAAATTCGATTATTACGTTTATCCAACAGTTCGTATTGCGGGTATTGCGATCACACCAAAGATATCTCAATCCTTAAGTATCCCATGTCCATTAAAGGTAAAGTGTTATTGTATGATTTTTTAATAAAATACTAACTATTATCTAATAGAGTGGTGACTTAAGTTCTATATTTGGCTCATCCTTAGCATAGGTCTTATCACGTTGTAAATGCACTAAGCAGACAAAATAATGACTTGTTTTATAAATGTAATATTAATGTAAAAATAAATAAATATGTTACCCTTTTCAATATTGCATCGATATGATATCACTCTTGATTGCTCCTATCTCGCTCTTTTAATTTTACACCTACTCGCTGTCCCACTATAGAGTATGAAACGTTTCCTTTCCTTTTATTTTGCTCTTCTTTCTTGCAATTATTCATTTCATTTAAAATCAAGCAATGTCAACCCTGTCAATTCAAAGTATACTGAATGCGGGTGTTGCTTTTACAAATGAGGTATGTAAGATGCAGTCCTTTCAAGACCCTTCGCTTCCACCAACACCAACACCGACACCAGCACCACCTCACCATCGACCACATCCGGACGACGAAGGTTGTAAACTCTTAGATTCCTTTGCTATTCTTGTTCAATTAACACTTGCAAGCACTGCTTTGCTAACATTGTTTTATAAACGCTCCCGAGAGAGACCCCAAAGACCGGTTATCGTTTGGTAAAAATCAAACAACCCTCACCGTCATACTTCTCCTTAATTGTTTCTTAAAATAGGGCACTGGATGTTGGAAAGCAGTTTTCTGGTGCTGGTGTCATTCACTTTTTGAATTTATTCATAAGTTATTTGGCAGGTAGACCTCGCAATGGAGGTCCGAAAACCAATCTATGCGTTTGGTATTTCTTAAACGTAGCTGTAGATACTACCGTTGGTGTTGCTATCCTTTACATGTGGTTGCGTATCATACAATATATACTAGAAAAACTCAATGTAAAGAACATCAAAACCGGACAATATGGGCCACCACCTTTAAAAAACATGGTGATTCCTTGGATCAAACAGACTTTTATCTTTATCTTAGCAGAGTCCTTAATGAAACTTTGCGTTTTTGGCATGTTTCGTTATTTCCCCTTTTTGTTTGCTTGGGGTGAGTGGGTGCTAAGATGGACAAAAGGAAATTATAGATATCAAGTCATCTTTGTCATGTTAATGTAAAGTATAGTATAGACATATGTATAGTACGCTGCTCACAATTTTTTATTTTACCACGTAGATTCCCTCTTGTTATGAATATTATCCAATTTTGGATAGTCGACACAATTGTGAAAGTAACACCGACCAGTATCAGCAATAACACACAGCCGGTCATTAACCAACAAACAGCTTCGGACCGTAATAACAATGCTGATGAAGAATCGCCACTTTTGCCAAAATAGCGAATACATCATTTCTTTTTCTCATCTTTGTTTTTAATAAAACCTCTTTGTCTCGACATTTGTTTCCGATAGAAATTAATTTAGCTGAGGTAATTGAGTGGTTTTAAATAATGTCACATCACCAAGAGCCATTTACGTGATATCCTTAGCTATGATTAAAGCCGAGGTTACTTTACAATAGTTTTAAAAGGATATTTTTTGTAGCACAAACATTAAGATCTAGTTAACATTTATACTTAACCTTTTGCAGTAGTGATGAACGTTTTTGGTGCTTTTATTTCCATTAAACTGAAAGCACTGTCCATTTTTTGAATAATTTTGCACCATGGTGTAATGTTAAATTTCTCGGGCTGATCTATCCAAACAATTTGAAGCTATTACACTGACAAAAGTCCAAGCCTAATTTTAGGTGATCACAAAAAAGTTCCAATTGGAGATGATATTGAAAATAACCGTTTTATATTTAGACCTGCATAGTCATAAAACATTGCATCGGCTCAGTAAAATGATTTGGATATTTCAGCCAATCATTTCGCGAATCTACCTATGGGGATTAACGGTCCCAAAAAAAACTGCAAACACAAAAAAATAAAAAAAAGATCTTTTGTAGATCAAAGTAGTTCAAAATGTTTTCAATTGCAAGATACAACGGAGATGCCGAGGAGGAGAAAGATAGTCGTACTCTTGAAAAAAAGCAGGAAAGATTAAACAAACTGAATGCCAGAATTGCCAGTAAGAAGAGAAAGGACGATCCCTCTGCTGAATCACAACAGGACAAGGCTGTCACACCTGTCGAAAAGAAGAGAAAAAGTAGCGAGACTGACGTTATCGAAACAAAGGGCAAAATTGATGAGGCTAAATCTACAATTCCTCAAAAAAAGATCACTGTAACAGAAAAGAAAAAGGCTGTGACAACAGAAAAAAAGAAGGCCACGGTAGCAGACAAGAAGCAAGTCGTGGTTGCGGAGGAAGAAAAGGTCACCGAAAAGAAACCTATTGACGCAGAAGAGATTGTCGAAGAAGAAGTGGAAGAACAGGAGGTACTAGTTAACGATGAAGACACTGTTATGGTTGACGAGGCAGTTACTGAAGAAGAGACTGTTGTTGAGGAGGAGGAGGAAACAGCCATGGAAATTATACATGAAGAAGTTCCAACGTTGGAAGCTTTCCCTGACATGTTGGGACCAAAGACCAAACAAAGCAAGGAAGATGCTAAATTGTTAAAGAGTATGGGTATTCCTGAGTGGATGTTACAGCCAACAATCGTTTCCCCCAAGGATTCGTGCGGTTTAGATAAAGCCGGATTATCGGATCATTTAATCCAACGTTGCAAAGATCTTGGTATATCATCTTTATTTGCGGGTAAGATGGCAGAAATTTCAGCGATATGTATTCGTATTAACAGTTTATAATTCCAGTCCAAATGGCTGTTATTCCTGTGTTTTTAAGAAGACAGGCCTTGTATGACACCAGAAGAGTTCCCGGTGATATCTGTATTTCAGCACCTACTGGTAGTGGTAAGACTATGGCTTATGTTTTACCCATTGTGGATATTTTGTCAAAGAGAGTTGTTACCAGATTACGCGCAGTTGTTGTATTACCTACCCGTGATTTAGTAACTCAAGTAAAGGAAACTTTTGATGCTTTTGTAAGAGGTACAAATTTGGCTGTAGCAGCTGCCAGTGGTCAGCAGTCATTTGCACATGAACAAAGTATATTAGTTGGAAGTGGTCCTAGGTATTTAGAAGAAAAGTAAAACTTTATTTTATAGTCATTCTTAATACATTTATGTTATAGTTGCCCTGGTGGCAAAAGTAGAGTTGATATCTTGATCACAACACCTGGTCGTTTAATGGACCATCTCACCTCTACACCAAACTTCACACTCCAACATCTTCGTTTTTTGGTTATTGATGAAGCTGATCGTCTTTTAAACCAAAGTTACAATGATTGGTTAAATCAAATTTTGTTAGCTACACGACCTGAAATAAATCCTGATGCACCTTTGTTAGAATTCAAACATGATAAATACGGGTAATGATTAATATCTGTAGATGCACTTATTTATGATTAAACTTTTGCATCAAATGATTAATTTAGTGTTACCGAAGCGGATGCAATCGCCCCAAGCTTTTTAAAGACAAACTACCAGTTACCTACAACGGATCTTGATTTACCAAAAGCACCTTCTGTAGGTACATTATTTTATTGATACTAGAAATGTTGCTTACATTTAAAACTAGATTCAAAAACTTCTTTTCTCTGCTACCTTGACAAAAAATCCTGCCAAAATTGCTGGGTTGCACTTAAATGAACCCGAATATATCTCTGTACAAAACGAAGATGGTAGTGAAACCACTCAAGAATACACGACACCTGAAGGTCTTAAGGAGTTCATGACAATTTGTCCTACTGAGAAGAAACCACTGATGGTCATTTATTTGCTTCACCAACTGGGTATCAAATCAGGTTTATGTTTTACTAAGTCAGTCGAATCAACACAACGTCTTCAAATGTTAATAGAAGCATATGAAGAAACGCAACCAGAAGATAAACGTATTCGTGTTAAAGAATACACCAGTGATCTTGGTCCTATCCAAAGAAAGAAGATGCTGAAGCAATTTAAGGATGGCCAAATCGACTTGTAAGTATTACATTATGCTAATTTCAAAAGGATACACACTAAAGCGTTAATATTTAGGCTGATCTGTTCCGATTTAATTGGTCGTGGTATTGATTTGGATTCTGTTCAATTCGTCATCAACTATGATGTACCTTACTACATGGATAAATATATTCATCGTGTTGGACGTACTGCACGTGCGGGTAGAGAAGGTGAAGCTTATACTTTTGTTGAGCAGCAGGAGGCTCGACACTTTAAGGAAATATTGCGTCATGCGGGACATTTGAGCCAAGTTAAGTCATTAAAGATAGAAAAAGAAAAATTGAAGGAACTTGTGCCTGATTATAATAAAGCAATGGCCGGTCTCACAGAGCAATAATTTTGAAAATAATAAAAACTCAGTCCTTTCATTTTTCCCCCTTCCTCTTTTCTTTCGTTTTCCTCTCATTTAATATAAATGGGACCTACATTAAAGAGAACGAATTCATCCTCATTTAAAAAAGGTCCTCATCGCTTACATCGCACAGAATCCACGTCTTCAAACAGAAGAAACGAAGACAGTGATAATGCCTTAAACCAAGTCGAAGAGGAGGAAGAGGAGGAAGAAGAAGACACCAGCGATAACAAGGACAATGACAGTGTATCAGTGAATAGTATAGAGAGAGAGATGACTTTAAAGGATCGCCAAGAAGTAAAGTAAACATGGATAGATCATTATATCAACATTCTTAACAATTGTTTTAGGCTATGAACAAAAGCCATCCTTTTGGTTTGCCTATTTGGAAACCAGCACTTTATAAGAAGTCTCGATCTGTTGTGCGTAAAGCAAACAGGGCCCTTCATTCATCCCCATCCTCAGCACCAGAACTATTTTTAAACCCGGGAAATATTTTGTGGTTACTCATATTTGGCTGGTGGTTATCGCTGGTGATACTCATCATGTCTCTTATCATTACGATTATACCATTTGGTGGAATTCATTATGGAAGAGTCCTGAAGGAATTGGCTTTCTATCTATTATGGCCCTTTGGAAGATATGTAGAGCGTCATGTAGAAATCACTCCAACTCAAATTGGAGGCGCAATTAATCAAGATGATGAGGAAAGCGGCCTATTACAAAAGAAGAGAAAAAATACGCTGTCTATTCCTAATTTCGTTAAACTGGGTCCAGCAGGCATAATCTACTACATCATTTTGTTTGTCATTATTGGTAAACCTATCTTTTTTGTCAAATTATAACTGATGTATTAATATTTTTGAATTGTAGCCCCTCTATTACTTTTAGTTTCTGCCATTTGCTGGATGTGTGTTATCACAATTCCTATGGCCAAGCTGAATTATATTTTAGTGCGTCACCTTTATCGCCATCCTTTAGCGTTAAGATTCAAATCAAGCCCCTCTGGATTGTCTCAAATTGCTGCGAACGTATCAGGTAAACCAGCTGTCATCTTGTTGTGTACATACCAAGCTATTGGGCTGCAATATTATAAATACACATTTGACGGTATAAATATTATCTTCATTAATTTAATGCCGCTTGTGTTCTTTGTCATATTTGATGAATGGGTGCTAAAGCGTCATTTACCGGAATCATTTATCACAGCACCGGCGGTTGTGTTTGGCCTATCATTGGCATCTGTCATTCCTCTGTCTTATTTCATTGGTATGGGTGTTAGTTCCGTTTCCGCTCAAAGCAGTATGGGTGTAGGTGCCGTCATAAATGCCACATTTGGTAGTATTATCGAAATTATATTGTATGCCGTAGCCATTATAAGCGGAAAGAGTGCACTTGTTGAAGGTGCTTTGATCGGAAGTTTTTTGGCAGGTGTGTTACTGATGCCAGGCTGCTCCATGGTCAGCGGGGCTGTCAAACAGAAGGAACAGAGGTTTAATGCAAAGAGTGCTGGTGTCACCTCAACGATGCTCATTATGGCCATTATTGGCGCTTTGACTCCAACATTGTTTTATCAAATGTTTGGTTCCGTAAGTAGCAATTATCGAGACACAAACAAAAAAAGTAAACACTGACTCTCTTTCCATTTTAAGTTCGAGTTACGCTGTATCGGTTGTCCAGATACAGCTGATAACGGAACAATCGCATGCTCCAGATGTTATTATGACCAGCTAAACCCAACTGAAGACCCTGTTTACCAAAACAGTGTTAAGCCACTTATGTGGCTCTGTGCTGCTATTTTACCATCTGTATGTCCTCATTTGGAAAAAAAAACGAGATTCTAACATTCTTGTTGTCTTAGGCTTACATCATTGGTTTAGTTTTCAGTTTACATACTCATGTCGATATGGTGTGGAAAAGTAACCACTCTGACCATAAGAACTCGAGTCCAACTTATTACCAGCGATTAATGCCTACTCATATCATCTCTCAACTCATCCACCATACACCGGACAATCAACAGCAAGCAAAAGACGGCCACAATGCACAAGGATATTCAAGCGGTGTACAATATAGCACTCCACATATGGTAGCTGTTTCGGAAGGAGCCAATCCGTTGTCATCACAGATCGCTGGAATTCACGGAACACCACAAGAAGGCGCACATATTTCGTATGCTTCAATTGCCGGCGGAAGTTCATCTATCCCTATACTAAACACCACAAGCTCAGACCCAACACAGCATTTACCTGGAATGACCACAGCATACCTTCAAACCAAAGATGTCGAGGAAGATGAAGATGAAGAAGCTTCCGGTCATGATTCACCGAATTGGAGCAAGAGCAAGAGTTTTATCATTCTGTTTGGCTGTACTATACTTTATTCGATTATTGCCGAAATTTTAGTTGATACAGTGGATGAAGTCATGAAGGACTTCCCAATGGACGAGAAATTTCTTGGGTTGACCTTATTCGCCTTAGTACCTAACATTACTGAATTTATGAATGCTATTTCTTTTGCCTTGTATGGAAATATTGTTCTTAGTATGGAAATTGGTTCAGCCTACGCTCTTCAGGTATGTCTTTTGCAAATACCCGCTATGGTCGCATTCTCTATTTGGTTTAATTATGGAAAAGAAGAACTTGCAAAATATACGTTTAGGTATGAATATCGTCATCAAAGTTTGGTGCAGAAGAACTAATATTTTTTTCTTTTTTTCTGCAGTCTTGTGTTTCCTCGCTGGGATGTCATTTCTGTAATTTTTTCTGTTTTCTTGCTAACATACACATATCAGGAAGGAAAAGCCAATTATTTCAAGGGCAGTATTTTAATTCTAAGCTATGTGGTACTCATCGCTGGCTTTTACTTTATCCCTCCATTCTCTGAGCACAGTGTGTTAATTGGACTTCCTCCCTCATAATTTCGCGTGACACTTTGTCGATTCTTATGTAAATATTTTATCCAGTGAATAAAAAAACTATTGTATAGCCTTATTTTTCTAGCTGTACATTTAATAATAGTAAGAAAGCCGATTCCTAAGGATTATCTTGATAATTCTCTCTACACGATGAACATTTAAAATGTCCGTATCTTTGAATATCATTTATACAGTCTTTTTTTATTTTTTATATATACTTGAGGGAAAAAAAAAATCTAATTTTAGGCCTTGACTTTCTTGTCTTGTTCTACAGACTTGTTTACAGTGATTTCTAAAAGCTTGTTTAATCTAGTGATCATGGATCTGGGATCGTCCAAGACACCAGCAGCACATAAAGCATTATCATAAATTTGTTCAGTCACCAATTTTGCCAAGTCGGGGTTTTGGTTACGAATATTGAACAAGCCCTTCATGACAGGATGGTCAGGGTTAATTTCTAATACAGTAGGTGTAGGAGGGGTTTCGTCCATCTTTGCGGAACCTTGCATCATTTGCATCATCTTTCTCATGGCAGGACTTTCATGTTCTTGTACTACAAGCATAATACATATTAGTAACAATATATGAATTATACATTTACAACATCATTTACCGATAGCGGGGAAGCTATTGAGTCTGCGAGAGACGTCAACACCCTTTACGACTTCATCACCTAAACTAGTTTCAATCCACTTTGCAAGATCTTGGGCATCGGTATCTGATAAAGAAAGGTCATTTTGGTCACGCTCCATTTGCAATAACGGGTCCTTGGCAGCTTCAGGCGAATCAGCCGAAATAAGATCGTAACCTTGGAACTCCTTCAAATGGTTGACAACGAACTCGTCCACAGTCTCATAGAGGTATAAGAGCTCAACACCCTTCTTCTTAAACATTTCAGTGTAAGGACTTTCTTCAGCATACTTTCGCTTGGGAGTCAACAGGTAGTAGATACGTTTCTGACCTTCTTGACTACGAGCGGCATAATCCTCTAAACTAATCATGCTGTGGTTCTCAGACTTTGAACTTTCGAATCTCAAGAGCTTACTAATATCGCGCTTATGCATGGCATCAGTACAAGCACCTTCCTTAATGAATTGTCCATAATCTAAAAAGAACTCATCGTATTTCTTGGGATCCTTCTTGGCTTCATTATCGAGCCATTTAAGCACACGTTTAGTCATGACCATACGAAGACGAGACAAGATATTGTCTTGCAATAATTCACGAGAGACGTTTAAAGGGATATCTTCAGAATCAACCACGCCCTTAATAAAACGCAAGTAATGAGGCAAGATACCCGCAGACTCTGGTTGAATCAAAACCTTTCTGGAATACAAGGAAACACCAGGTTTGGTTTGCTCTCCTAATAATTCCATGTGCTTTTCGGGGACATAGAGAACAGAAGAGATTGAAAGAGGCGAATCAGTCTTATAATGCAAGGTGTATTGGGGATCGTCCCAGGCATTGGCGATAAAACGATAAAACTGTTGATGTTCTTCCGATGTCACAGACTGGACATCCTTGGTCCATAACGCATCAATGACATTGACCTCTTTACCGTTTAAATAAATGGGGAATCCAACAAAGCTAAATCCATTATATATTAGCTTTAGAAAATAGAGCTTGACTGTTAAAAGGACTTACTTGGAGTACTTCTTGATGATGGAATCGATTTCGAGTTCTGACGAGTAGGATTTGGCATCATCGCGAAGTTCGATAACGATCTTGGTACCAACGGCGACATTGTCAGCTTCAGCGACAGTGTACGAACCTTGGCCATCTGTGGTCCAACAATAACCCTTAGAATCAGGGAAGGCAGATTTGGTGTAGACCTTGATCTTGTTACCTACCATAAACTTTTTTTTTTTTTTTTTTTTTTGGGTAAGCTATTTTGCACATTGGATTGCCTTGTTTATATACTTTACTGTTGAATAGAAACCAACACCGAATTGGCCAATGATGCTTTCTTTTTTGCCGCTGCTACCTTCGTTCTCCATCTTTTCTAAAAACTTTTTTGATCCAGAGCTGGCGATTGTACCCAAATTGGCGTTTAATTCTTCCAATGTCATACCGATACCGAAATCCTGAATGACAAACTGATTCTTCTCTCTGTCCAAAGTAATTCTAATCTCGAGAGGTTTTCCACTATCTACATTGGCTTCCACAGTTTGTGTTTGACGAAGTTTTTCAAGTGCATCGGCGGCGTTGGAGATAAGCTCACTACAATACAAAAAATTAAGATTTCGAAAGCCTCAAAGGGTAGCTATTTCATTTTTTACCGAACAAAAATTTCTTTCTCGGAATACAAAGAGTTGGAAACAATGTCTAATAAACGCTTTGTTTCAGTCTTAAATTCATGAACTTCTTCATTGCTGGTGATGACTTCTTGATCCTCAGTTTTATGCTAAAAGGAAAAGGTAAATGATTGTGAAAAGAAAATACGGGGAAAATATATAAAACAAACCTCAGATATATCTGTAGTGTATGCTCTTGACCAAACAAGCTTTGATGCAGCAAAGCCAGAAGCGGTGGTTGCAGTACGAGCAATGACAGGTGTAGACTTGAGAAAACAAAGTGTATGTTAGACATTTGGCAGGTACCACAGTTACAGACTCTTGGACTTACCAGTGCTGTATTTACTTGTCTAGAAGCAACTTTGCGAGCAGAAGCTTTGATAAAAGGGACAGTTGAGCGGATCAATGGCTTGAGCATTTCTATTGTTTAAATGGAAAAGAAGAAAATTGTGGCGACCTCAAGGGTAGTTAAGATTGAAAGGAGTTTAAAAATGGGAAAGGCAAAGAAAAAAAAAATGTAAGGAAAAAGTAGCCGGGGGGTTAGAAGGGACGCTTTCTTTCATAAAAGTTTATAAAATGTCATCAGCTGGAAAGATCGTTAAGCATTTGCTTGCCAAGAATGGACCGATGACAACACAATCCTTATTCGCTTATGTTCCTACTTATCAAAAGGAATTTGTTTCAAAGACACATTTGAAGCAAAAGATCTTAACCTCTCTTCAAGGCTCTGGTGTTATTTACAAGCAAGTCAAGCGTGAATCAGCAACAGGAAAGCCAACATGGGAATGGAACTTTACAAATCAAGAATTGATTGAAAAGTACAAGAACTTGACATTGTAAATTTAAAGCAACAAGGAAAAATCACAAACTGTATATTAAGAGTGGAACATTTAAATAAAATAAATTTGTCACCATATTAGCGTTCCCAACTTCTCAATCACTTGCTCAAGCTCGCACTAGTCTTTTTGTACTTCATAGGCCTCTTTTTAAGCAATTAGGCGAGTTTTGATCGAGTGTCATTTATAGACTGGCAATGTAGCCTACCTTGATTTTTTTTTAAAGATTTGCACTCAAAAAGCTTTATTTTGCGGATTCAAGTACATTATATGATGCAAAATGCAATAGATGCACTAGTAGCATAGAGCCATGAAATATAATAGCTTGCGTATACATCTTCTTGCATTTAAGTAGATAATCCACTAAATAGCAGTTAATAATAGCTTCACAGACCACAGACCAGTATTAGCAAATAACAGCGAATCATTGATAAACGCCCTGACATGTTTTGTCTAAAACTGTCTTTAAATTCATCATTACCATCATCATCAACAAGCAAATAAACCCAAGTCATTGCTTTGATTTAATATTTAGACAATGTTCTCTTAGTCTAAACATGCCAGACTTGTTACAGCACTTGACCGTCTAAATCATTTAATTTGTCCGAAATTTATAGTTTGAACATTTTTAAGTTTTTATAATTGATTACTTTTTTTAAGGGGATATACTATATGATGGCCTTCTGGGATTACTAAAAGTGCAAGCTGTAAAATGGAATGCTGAAAGATAAATTACTTCATAGTTAAACATTAGAGGATTGTCATGAAAAAAGAGAAGTTTAATGTCTATACAAAAAAAAAAGAAGAGTCTATACGATAATTTCACAGCTTATTCCATAATGATCTGTACGCCAAATGTTAATATTACGAATGTTTAAAGAATGACCATTAATCTTACCGGAGATCTGTGTAAATTCTGTATTTTGACGTTCTTCCTCAGTCATTAATGTGTTGTCCTTAACCCAAAACTTTTCGACCTGCGGCCTTTCAAGACGAGTACGATTGGAATTACGATCGGACCAGAATATACGGTCGATACTCTGAACAGTCATTAATTGATCCCAATTTGTCAAAACAGTTTCTGCAGGAATTAGATCGCCATGTTCATTGCGAGTGTAGTCACCAAATGTGACTGGGTGATATGTGTAATGATCATGCACAACGTCTTTCAAATCTTCCATTTTCCAGTGATGTTCGAACCAGCGTTGGTTTGAAGATATCCGTTTCACCCCTGTGCCTTTAATCACTTCTACCATTTGCTCATATTCGGGAGAACTACTTTTTGAAGGTTGTGTAATGGGTATCGTTTCATTATGAACTGCTGCATCCACATTTAAATCACCAACCACCATAATTGGCTCATCATCGTTACGTGTGGTATCATACACAAAATTGTGTAAAAGGGAAAATTGCGAGAGTCGGATCATGGTATCTTCTTCATTGATTACATTATTTGTATCATACGATGCTTGTGTGTGGGTTGTATAAATGTGTAATTTTCTTTCCGGGTTCAGTTCTATCAATGCATGTAAAGCGCCCTTAATTGAGAGCCTGTGATATGTATTAATTAGGTTGTGGGCATTTACGTAGTTTTTTTTTATGATTATTCTTACCAATCGCTGTGTTGTCCTCTTGGGTATTCGATGATATGAGATTCACGAATAGGGAAACGAGAAATTAACAAAAGGCCGCCGTCAACACCAAGCTGCCAAGGATATTTTCTAGGGGATTCCAAATGATAGTTATAGCCCAAGTTGCGAGCAGTGGTGATAAGATGATCCTTTCTTCTGGTAGCAAAAGCAAATGATTCTTGAAATGTAATTACATCATATTCAGGCAAGATATATTTTTCGATATAGGCTAAACGATCATCTTTATAGTCTGACCAATTGTTTTTGATAAGCGGAGGTCTCATAAAGATGTTCAAGGTCAAGAATCTAGCAGATGAGTTTGTGACCTTATCAGGAAAGATAGGACTGGGATAATCAGCAGGAGAGAAAAAGATGGAACAGAACAAGAGGAAAGAGAACAAAGCCAAGGAAAAGAAGGAAACCAAAATTAATACAAGTCTATGTTGAGCTAAAAATGAAGGAAGAAGGATGCGAGGACATTTGGGTAAACGATCTGTAATTGTATAATAATAATATGACCAGCAAGACACAGAACTAGAAGAGTCAACACTACTATGATGACTACTAGTTGTAGACAATCCAGTGTTTTCTTCGTCTCTTCTGTTTCTTCTTCGAATGCTAAATATTGACCTACCACTACTACCATTATTGTTATGAACGGGAAGTGTCGGTAAATAAATAGCTTGATGAGTGTTTAATCTTGGAATTTTGCGTAACCAATTAAACATTCTACCGAATACTGTCTTAGCAGGAGGATATAATTCATAGGGTGGTGGCGACGATTGAGTGCTAACAACGCTAGCCTCGTATGAGTTTTGGGACTGGAGTCGACTTCTGCTTGGTCTCGCCTCTTCCTCTCCTTCTGACTGTGTAGGTCTCTCTTCGTCCTCTTCCTCTTGGTCATGATACGGTTCGCTTGGAATAACTACTTCTTCAACAGAAGCTCTGTCTGCTGCTGTGTCTAAAGCACTCATTTGGTGAAATCTGTCTTTATACAAAAGATAAAAGAGAAAAAGGAAGAAAAAAAAATAGTGCGAAAACCAGCCAAATAATAACAATAATGGAAACTCCGCCGTCGACAACTACGTCAATGTTGTATCAACTCCTTAAGCCACGACACAAGCAAAAATGGAAAAAAAAAAGCTCAGGCACAAGGACTGCCGTTCTTAAACTGACATCCCGTTAGCAAACGGTTACGGATTTGTAAGTATCGTGCGGTTCGGATAAACGTAACACTGGGTTTCAAAATAAATATTTGGACTCGCATCATTGCAGGTATTTCTATCAATCAACACGACAAAACTGTGGTAAGTGTTCATCATTAAAAAGTCAACTTGCAAAGTCCAATTAAACCGATATTATTAGCTCCGTTGGCATTTCGTTTTACAGCTGTACGACGTTGTAATCTTGCTGGGCAATTTATGGGCAATTTATGGGCAATTTATGGGTGGGTGTGTTGTACTGTCGCATTCACATATTATTTCGGGAATTGAAAATGCAGTCTTTTCAAAACCAATTGTTCAGCAGAAGGTTGAAACCTATTTATCCATTGTCACGATGGCGTTACTTTTCGACTGCCCTAATTCAATGAATTACTTGGTTTAATTTTGATGAGCTGGAGCTTTTTTTACCGATAACATTCCCTCTCCGATTTCCTACAAAGTTAACTGCATTCTAACTGTTGACTTGGCTTTGTTTGTGATTGAAGTATGACTGTTTCAAAGTAGCATCGGGTCATACGTTCTTTTTTTTTTTTATAATTGTTTACAACTAATGATGTTTTCTCTTTTCTTCTTGTTTTGGATTTGCGTCTATGGGTTTGAGTGAAAGATGACTTTTATGGGGAGTTTGACATAATGCTCAAGACTATCGTTTCATCGTACTAAAGTTAAACGACTCTCAGTATTTCCCTCAATTGATTTAAAAAAATTTAAAAACAGAAAACACCCCAAATCAAGTGGCATACACGCCCACAAAATACTTTTCCAATTTGGTGTCATAAATATCCATCATTGCTTTCATTCTCATTTTCACACAACCACGTAGCTATCATAGTACATAAGCTCAAGGCTATAAATATCTAGCCTCGCAGTATTGTCATATCTTTAGTTCGGTTTGGGCAAAGGTGAGTTTGAGGTCGCCTGAATTTTTGAAATACTATTGCACTGTAAATTTTTACAAGCCTCAAGCCAGAAAGTCCTGAAGTTTAACATCTTTCAACCAAGGCAACCAAAGCAAAGTTGTGAATATATGTGAATTCAACTTATTTAATTATAATGTATATGTCATGACTACGATGAGTTTCACCAAGTCCGAATTTCTGTTCTTAAAATCCACGTTGCAATAAAGTATCTATAATGTTCTTCAAGGAAACTCGGGTTTATATTTTTCCTGAGACGTATACAAACAAGAAGGATTGATAGGTATTGAATTCTGGAGAGCGAAGTATCTTACAGCGACTTTTTAATTTATAATATATAGATAATTGTAAGGACAGACACAGGTATTCGGTTAAAAGAGAGTATTCTGTCAATTAATCAGCTAAAGTTAAATATATTTCGACCTGCTGCTGATCAATTAAAATATTCAAGTTTTGTTTGATATGCATATAATGTAAATACACAAATTGCTATGCATAGATAAGCTACATACTGGAATCTAACATGCGCATCTGTACCAGACAAAAGCTTATTTTGATAATGGCTATTATTTAAACAATTTGAAACCTTTTTATTGATATAAAAGAATTCGAGGTTATAATCTATGGTGGTACTAAATATGACATTGGGCTAATTTTTGTACGTCTACTAAACACGCCAAAGAATTTACTTGTATTCCAATTGGATAAAAAATTGTGGACACACATGCTACTATTGTGAATTTAGTGAATGTGGCGTTTTACGAAGAGAAAAAAAGTTATGAAACATGTGCCTGTACGTTACCAAGATAATACCTGTGACTCTTACTTGCTAATGCGCTTTAGGAAAGTATCTCTTTCAGGCCTTTGCTAAACCGAAAATCAGGTAAGAGAAAAAAAAAACTAATTATGGGTACACAATCGTTAGGCCAAAAAACGTAACCCATGACATCAATAGACACTAGCTTGTCGGAACCGACTCCCAGTCCGTTTATTTTCAAAGCTTAAAAAACGGTCCTATTAATGAAAAAAATGCCTCGCGCGCGCGCAAGAAAAGTGCTTCAAAAAGGGGGATCGACTTATAAATGTATGACAACAGTTTTTTCTGAATTCCAATTAAACTCCGTTTTTATTTTTTTATACAGACAACGAGAGATTTTTTAATTTTTTAGTCTTTTTTCTTCTCTTATAAACCAAAAATAAAAACTATAAATGTTGTACGGCAAAAAAAGAAAGCAAGTATTACAGCCAGAAAATACCAGCAGGCAACCCTATGTTGGCGTGATTGAGACCACCATGATGTACCATTCAAATGAGGAACATGGGAAGGAGAATGTAGTTTCCGTAAGTTTGCATAACGAATTGTTTATTTTTATGAAACATAGCCCATGAATAAATCAATGGAGTGTGAAATTCTTTTACCACAAAAAGCTCGAGGTTTTTTAATTATTTTTATTTTTATTTTTCAATCCCAGGTTTTCACGTTGTTTGTGGAGGAGCCTTCAAGACATTTGATATTAATTCGTTTCTATGACGACTTTGTTGAGTTCGATAAGCGAGTGAGTAAACAGTTTTTTGGGTTTTTTTTTTGTTGTTGTTGTTGTCAATGATGGATAGTTAACAACTGGGAAAAAAGATTAAAGAGTATTCCAAGAAATGTAAGATTCCTTTGCCCAAATTACAAGGACGAAGTGATAGTATTACTAGTATTGGAAGCAATGATAGTAAGCGTAACAGTAGTTTAAGAAAAATACTACACAGTTTTTCTCATAAATCAACCCAAAAGAGTAATTCAGATAATATTGAGCGATACTTACGTCATTGTGTAAACGATTTAAATATTCAGTCATGCTCACTATTTAAAGAATTCTTGCAAGCACAAAGAGAGGAAGACAATGTCATACCAAAGCATATTATCGAATCCTATGTACAACAAGAAGCATCCATCATACCAGCACCAGAAGCCACTCCATCACCTGATACAACAACACAAGATGACGACTCTTACACTTCATTTCCTTCCAATGTGATTAATCCAACAAGCCAAGTATCATCTGAATTACCAGCAACTATCCAAGATTTTCAACTCATTAAAGTGATTGGCAGAGGATGTATGGGCAAAGTAAGTTTGGACATGTGTGTAGCACTTTTTTATTTCCGGGGGAGCACAAATAACCTTATTTTGTTTAGGTACTTTTGGTCCGGCATCGTAATTCATCACGCTTATTAGCATTAAAAGCTATCAGCAAAAGAGCAGTGATTGAACAGAGCCAAATCATCCATATTAAGGCTGAACAACAAATCTTGTCTGATATTGCCTCTATTCATCATCCATTCCTGATCAAATTGCACTATTCATTTCAAGACCTGAACCAGTTATTCCTTGTACTCGATTATCACGTCGGAGGTGATTTGGCAACACAGCTTCGCATCAATCATATCTTACCACCTGATAGATGTCGGTTCTATACCGCTGAAATTATACTGGGAATTCAAGAATTACACCGATTGGGTATTCTCTACAGAGACCTAAAACCCGAAAACATCTTGCTAACTGCGGATGGACACTTGGTATTAACGGATTTCGGATTATCTAAACAGTTTTATGATGGACTCAGCTTAGAAGAACAGAGAGCAGACACATTTTGTGGAACAGCGGAATACCTAGCACCAGAAATATTAAATGGACAAGCATATTCTTACGAAGTGGATTACTGGAGTATGGGAACCATCTTGTTTGAAATGTTGACTGGTATTACACCTTTCTGGGCAGAGAATAGAGATGATATGTACCGACGCATCCGGACGGATCCATTACAGTTCCCTGAATTCATTGACATTGAAACAGCGGATTTTATCGCCCGTTTATTAAAAAGAGATCCAAATAGGCGTTTAGGTTCCGGTTCCGATGGAGCTATCCGTGTTCGTTCCGACCCTTATTTTGAATTCATTGATTGGAATCATATATATACAAAACGCATCAGACCACCTTATATTCCAAACCTACATTCAGAAACAGACTTTAGTCATTTCGATAGTGAATTCTTACGTCTCACACCAAGATTATCACCTGTCGGAAGTGATTATATCCTCAGCCAAAGTTTGGATCGCGCCTTTGAAGGGTACTCTTACACAAATAGAGAAGAAACCTTATTAGATTCTCCTCCTTCGGAAATATACAGCTTCACTGACCCACCTCCACCCATTACCTTTCATGATAATCATACTACTGCTTCTCCTCATCAAGGTACGCGTTATTTTGTTTACAATGGCTCCGATGAAGTCGTCCCCTATGATGATTATGCCGACGATAGCAATATTAGTAATGATGATATACGCTCCTCCGACTTTGTACGTTCCAGCACCTATCAAAATCAGTTTACAGACGAAGATGAAGAATTTGATTACTACCGCCAGTTACCGCCAAGACCTACTATACGGCATTTATCCACTGCCGCTCCCTCCCATGCCACTAGTTCATCTATATATTAATCTCTCATAGAAGACTACTTCTTTATTCGTGCAGGTTTCGAATATTTCTTTCTTAAAACATTAATTTTATTATCTAGACAACCCCTTTCTCTTTCTTTTCCTTTTGCATTTATGAAACTACTCACAATTAATATAACACACACACAAGCACACAAATAAATACACATACACACATGGTTGCCTTTTACGGTATTAATTTTTATTTTGTTGTCTACCGGTTCCACATTGTATCATATTACACATATCTAAGCCCACTATAAAAGATAAAACAATTAGTTTAGTGTATGTCACAGATCACATGCATCTTTCTGCCGTACCAAATCACGAAGATATTTCTTTTCGCCAATCCAGCCAATCAAAATCTTGTTGGCCTCCAAAAGATCCACATTTTGATGTTGGACCAACATGTCTGCCAAAGCATCTTGCACGCCTTTAGCCATGCCTTTAGCATCACCACAGATATAAATAGCTGCATCCTTATTTACAATTAAATCATACAACATGTCGGAATCACGTTTAATCAAATCCTGTACATACACCTTCGTGTCCTCCTTTCTACTCTCGGCAATAGCCAAACGAGTGATGGTACCATCCTTCTCGAACTCTTTCAACTCATTTTCAAACAAAAAGTCCTTGCGATGATCACGGAAACCATAGTAGACGTGGATGGGACCAAATGCTGCGCGAATCTTTTCCTTTGGCTGATGTCCAATTCCACCCATAGATGTACGAATCTTACGTTGTGTTTGGCGATGCTCCAAAAATCCAATAAAAGGTGCAATGCCTGTACCTGGACCCACCAAGATTAAGGGACGCTCAGTCTCTACAGGTAAAACAAACGCATTGACATTGGGACGAATGTACATGGGCAATTTGACACCCAAACTAGACACGTCCACTTGCTCATTCTTGTTACTCACATAATTGGTGATTTTATCCATCCATGGTGTAGCCACACCTTGACGTTGAGCATTTTTGGCTGTAATGTATTTGACGATGTTGAAAGCAAATCGGATCTTTCCTTGACGTTTCAAGGGAGAGCTAGAGATCGAATAGAAACGAGGCAAATGAGCGGGCAACAAATCCAATAAACGTTCAATTGGAGGTTGACAGGATGGGAAGGTTTCTAAAATATCGAGTAAAGTAGGCGATTCTTCTCGAATAGCGTTAAAGATACTGGCGCCTTGCTTACTACAAATGTACATCAAACTAAGCTTTTCTTTAGGGTCAGTGGTGTGATCTGCCAACATTCTAAAAAGAGCCTTTCTGGGTTGACTGCTGACGTCCACTGCATATCTGAAAAGATCAATGAGAGTAGCACTTGTGGCATGTTGCAAATGGCTTGGTAAGGTTTCGCCTTCTACCTTGTATAACGCATGATATTCCTTAGATGGGACGGATAGTCTCTCTAAGATGGCTTCAACCAACTCTTCATCGTTAGGCGCGATCACCCCAAAGGCATCTCCGGGATCGTAATGCACATCATTATCAATTTCAATCTCTACTTCTAAGGTTCGCTTCAATGCATCATCACTGGTTAAACAGGATACCATTGTAATGGGTGCATATGTGATCGGTACAGGTGTGACTACAAAATCAGGCACTTTACCAACACAGTCCTCTTGGTGACCATCTAATTTTGTCAATTTAGCTACAGGTACTGAAATACGAGGCAAACCAGTTAACTTTGCTCCAGGCTCAAGTCCTGCTAAACTAATCTCTAATGGGAATCCCTTTTTGAATGCCTTCTTTTCTGGAATAGGTTGTTCAACAAGTGAGTTTTCAAGTTGAGTATACTTTTGCACTTGTTCAGGTACAGTGCTTGTACGAATATCCATAGAGTAAGGCATGCTGGCGGGATCGATTTTAAGTTCCGTCATTTCCTTTTCAAGCTCTTTTTCATGGGCAACAGCGTTAGCGATGGATTGGTCTGTGTGTTGAGTCAATACGGTAGGCAACACCTCCCATAACTTTTCAATCCAGGGATCCACCACATTTTCAAGTCTACGGTAATGTTAAATATGATTTTCTATGAATTGTATTTGTCATCCAAATGATTTACCCTTCCGCATCGTCTGCTAAGCCTCGTTGATAAAAGGTAGTAGCACCCAATTCTTTAAACTTCTTTTCTAAACGTTGCCCTGTGTGGTTAAAGTTGGAGTAATTACTATCGCCTAAACCCAATACAGTGAATTTGGTGCCGGTCAAATAATTCTTGTCCTTATTGCGACGTAAAAATCGCCAAAACTTGAGTGAATTGTCGGGTGCATCACCATCACCAGTATTGGAAGACACCAAGATAACAATACCAGCTTTCTGGAGAGGAGCCTACAAATGAGTTGAGATGAGAAACATGGCATAGTTGTCCAACAAGTTGTAAAGCTTACAATAGTAAAGTCGTCCATGACATGGCATTCACCAGTATATCCTTTTTTACCAGCTTCGGTATGAATACTTTTAGCAATCCATTCAGCATTACCTGTCTGCGATGCCCATAATATAAGATAATCCTTTGCTAACTCTGACATTTAGAACAAAAGTGAAAATAAGAAGTGTAAAACAGGGCTTACAATACCCACATTTTAAAATTCAGGCGATGTTGAGATTTTCTATGGGCGAATCAAAACGCAGATCTAGATCTTCTGATTCAGATCATGACAATCTGGTAGAAAAATGCTGGAAAGACATACAATATATATATATATATATCAAAAGAGAAGAATATTCAATCCAAGCTCTCCACTCTTGTCTTTATTCACAATGTCGTGTCCAAAGACAACCTCTCTGAGTGTCTTTACTTAATTTCATTCTTGCGTCTAAATACGGGAAACATGACTTTTTATTATGAAGATATGCGCAAACAGGTAGTTGCTTCTTAGTAGATATCATTTATTATTCAGCGACAAATAGTAAAAACAAAACAAACCCAAACAACGCGCAAAAGACAAAATCCAGAAGTCTGATATATAAAAAAAGGAAAAGATAAAAAGTTATGCAGATAATGAGATAGAATGATGTTTAGGTAAAGCATCCAAGATGGGTTTCATGAACGACGGCTGGTTTCCAATCAATTGAACACCTAATAGACCAATTGCCACTGCATATGCTGTTTTAGTGAAAGGTTTTTTTTTCTTTCTGTTACTTACATATTAACACGGGAAGCCAAAATAGGTAAAGACGGCGATCTATTTTTTGCTTGACAAATCCGAGCCCGTCTGACTCCATTGATGGCGGTGTGGACTCATGATGCGATGTACTGCTTGTGATACTATGAAAGCGATGCATCATGTGACTTTTACTAGGTCTTCGTGAAAGAGGTCTTTGAATATTACTGGTATATAAATCAAGAATGTCCTTGATGGTTGGTAACACATCCAAATCAAATCTACAGACTAGTGTTGGATTGGCACCGGATATAAGCAAAAGACGAACCATATCAACCGATTTGGATTGTATGGCAAAATGAAGACACGTCATTTCATTCACATCTTGCAGGTTTAACAATTTGGCTTTTTCGTCTAATGGACAACAAGCAACAAGTGACTTGACAAGCACTTCGTTTTGAACAATTACAGCAAGATGCAGTAATGATTGGCCTTGTTTATTAGTGACAAGTAGATTTAATAAACTGGATTTCTGTAATGCATGTACCAAATCTTGCTGCACGTTTTGTTGTTGGTATTGCTCACCACCTTGTACAATGCGCATCGCTACGGATTTAGCATCGTGTAGTTTGCCCGTCATTTTTAGTCCAACCACCTGTAAAGCCAATTCCAGCAAGGCTTGATCACTAGCATCAAAATATGTAAAGATGGCCACATCCTGTCCTTCCAAGACAAGTGTATGTTCCTTAAACGATACGACCACAGGACCTGTGTGATTAGCAGGAGGCAGTATGCAGACCATAGTACTTGAGTTCCAAAAAATAGTAGAAGCCTGGTGTTCACCAAACAAACAAGTTAACCCTTGATAGAAACCCGAACCCAACAAAGTGACTTCAATGCCACCATAGGTAGGACCCTGTGACGGGACTAACCTATCCAATTGAGGCAATGTATCAAGTGTATCAGAAGACAATGTGATTCTTCTGCGTCTATTAAAAGGCCATGCTTCTTCTCCATTACATAATACGGTCATTTCTAATGAGGCGTCGTCTTCTTCTGTGGAAATTGAATTTCTGCGTGAAGGAGCGGGAGTGTCTGGTCTTGAAATTACAGCGTCTTCAGACTCTCTTGATCTTTTACGGTTGCTTTTTGTTTGGAACTTTTGTGATCATCTGTAATCATGATTGGAGGGGAGATGCCTGTACCTACAACCAGGCCATCTATATTTTTCATGACAAAGCATATTCTAATAGGCACACGTTAATTAATATTGTGTGTATTGTTCCCAAAGGAGTTTTTTTTACCTGAAACCCGTCTTTTCGTTATGATGACGACAATAACAAGTAATTCGGGTTGGCAAGATGGCATCACCCGAAGAGAAATTCAACATTGGGCTGCAATTGAATAACAAGATACGGTCTCTTTCCATTTCGAGTTCCTTATCAGATAGGACATATTCGTGCTTTTGTTTACCATCTTTTGTCCTCTCCGCCCTTTTCCTCTATATAGAAGCTAACATTAGAGTGATGATAATAGGGTTTCATAGTATATATGCTTACTTCACGTCGTACACAACCTACGCACATACGAATAGGTTGATCGGTGTTACTAGCACACACCACTTTTGCTTCCAATTGCAGAATCTTTGCTTCATCAGATACCATGGTGGTTACGGATCCATCTGATTTTTGATGTTGGTTCTTTCGAAGCCGAGAACGTGCTAGCATGGTCTCGTCGATGCGAATGTACGACCAATCCATGACTTTCTTATCCTGGGTCATCAATTGGATGCATAGTTTAATCTGTGTTTCCACGCGTGATTTGGCGCCCGTAGTAGGAACACCCAACACACGAATTTGAAGGTTACTATACTAGACCATTAGTACTTGTTCTACATTGACAACTCTTTATTCTTTTACTTTTCCTATTTGAAAAAAAAAGAAAAATGATTAATGATAGACATAAAACTATGGTTTAGCGCATACTTGTTTGCATTGATCATATTCCATTGTAGGTGAACAATAAGCAGTAGTATCTGAAGAAGAATCCAGTGTCGGCGAAGCAGGTGCAGAATAGAGAAATTCAAATCCAGGCGTCAGGTCCTGGAAGAGTGGCAAATAGTCCTCATTGACTTGTTCTGTCAGCAAGTCTTGTAGATCGCTTTCACTTAGAGTTCTCGTGGGTGAGTAAGGTGGCATAAATATAAGACTGGTAAAAGGCAAAGAGAGAGAGAGAGAGAGATAAAAAAAAAGAAAGAAAAAAAAGTGTGTACATGTATATCTCGCATCTCAAAACGTGACGCCCTTTTCCCAACATGTGTGGGAATACATCACCCCCAAGATAAGGGAAGGAAATATGTTTGTTCATGATAGGGTCGTACATTTGAAAGGCAATGTTAAGTTAATCTAAACTTTGGACTCTCTTTTCTGTAGCATTTTCACATGCAAAATGTCAAGTTGATGCTTATTTTTATTTTTTTGCACCACGCTTTTTTTTTTTGTGTTTTTCTAACATGGAGATCTGCGGCTCTCCAAATGCTGTGACGCAGCAGCAGCAGCAGTAATATTTTCTGGCTCATTAAAGGTAGGACGAGCCTTTTGGGCAAAAACTTAAACCCACCGCACATTATATTTTATCTCCGTCGGAAAGCATTCCGTTCCTACTGTCAACAAAAAAAAAAGAACAGGTGAGGTTCCTGAGCGGGCTTATCTTTTTTTTATTTTGTTTGTTATTCAAATGTAAAAATCAGGTGGTTTGTAATAAGAAGAATAATTTTATTAAGATATGTACAAAATAGTTAGTTGTAAGGGTATGTGGGTATTAAAGTTGTCTTTGATGCTTGATAGTTGGCATTGGAGAAAAAGAACAGGATCGTTTACGACTAATTGTAACAGGAGGAGGAGTGGAGGGAGGAGAAGAGGTATCACTAGCCGAATCACTGGTTAAACCTGGTGTCTCTTTAGGCAACGGTCTCTTTTGGATATGATTGATTAATAAGGACACCCATTTGTCATACAGTGGCTTCGACACATACAATTGATAATCAATTAATTTTAGGAACACAATTTCTGTACTATTGATTTCATGCACGGTAAGACTGGTGATCTTGGCCCATGCCTTGTTCTTGTAGTTCTTGTCATTAAGATACTTAGATGCAATAATTAAAGCAGCCAGAAACATACGTCTGGAACAAGGGACAGCTTGGTTGGTCTTCTTGATACGAAATATATAGAATAAGGCAAGTTGAAGCATGGAGTAAGTAGCTCTAGATCGCTTCAAGATCTCGCGAATAAAGTCTGTAGTTGAGATTGCTCTTGTGGAACGATTTGTTGATTTGATGGAATTAAGAATATCTGCTGCTGCATGAATCAGTCTGTCGATCATGACATTTTTATCAGGCACATTTAAGATGGGTGCTAATGTTTGATTGGATAGATGTGGGTGTAATTGTAGTGAATTCTTTAAGCTATAAAGAATTGGATCTGAACGAATTTGTGTCTGGTAGGAAATAGGCATTAAATAATGAAAGAAAGAAAGAAAAGAGTAAAGTAAATGAAAAAGAGAATTATGGGTTTTTTTTTTGGGTATTTATAGTTTTTTTTTTTTGTTGAACGGGAAAGGGGGAGTGTAAAAAGACACACCATTTTTTTATTGATATAAATGAACTAGGCCGTATAATAATGTGTGAAATAAAATATAGGACAATAATGCATTCATTGCGCCATCAAACACAAGATCCTTGTATCCATTGATAAAGTACTTTTTGCTGCCACAAGCTCTTGTCATCAGGATGCTGTTCAAGATGACCCAACTCACAGCATAAAATAAGAAACCCGATAGATTAGTAAGACCCAGAATACCAGCTGCTGAGCCTGCTATAGCAGCGAAACAAGAACGAATATATTGAAGCTGTCTTGCATTATGCATCACATGTCCTTGCACGTACAAATGAGCATCTTGAGGTGGTGGGTTCATTACTTTTAGTGGTTTATCTCGTGTTAATTTTTTTTTCTTTTTTCAAAGCCGAGTGGCAAGTTTTAATCGCTTTTAATTGTCCGTCGTCACGTCACAACCAATCATGCGTTCAATAAAATAAGGTGATTTTTTTTTTATATTTATTCTTTTATTAAATTGTGTGTAAATCATGCAATTATTTACTATCAGGTTTAAGATGTGCATATTCCTTTACATTGGGTTTATATTCAAATTTCTGTTCATGCGGTTTAACACGTTCATCAATCAATGTATAATCTGGCCTAGAGATGGATAATTGATTGATATCTTCTTCATCCGAATCATCGTCATCAAACATTTTAAAGACATGAGAGGAGTCTAGTCTTTGATTGGTGCTGACGGAATCGGTTGATACATGCCCGATCGGCTCACCTTCCTCTTCGTCATCATCGTCTGAATCAGGAAACATATTAAACACACCACCGGCTGGTGGTGGTGGCGACACTGCTGCTGCTGGTTCTAATGGTCGTGGTGGTAATGGTGGAGTTTTGACTGCCACCGCTTCTTCGTCTTCCGAGTCAGAATCATCAAACATTTTAAACACTCGTTGTTCCGACCATTTTTTCGTCTCCTCCACAACCTCATCTTCCTTCTGCTCCACAATCATTATCTGTGACTCGTCATTGGTTACCGTATCTCCGGCTATTGCCTGTTTGGGCGTCATAACAACCGTTGGTGTAATTTCCTCTTGTTTCGATTTATTACGTCCGTATAACCTCAGTGTCGAGAACATGCCCCGCTTTTTCTTTACCTCCTCTGAAGACACGGTTGATCCAGAAGACGATTTTCTGAACACGCCACTCATGATCTTATTTTTTTTCTCCGCTATCGAGTCCGTATCCTTATCCTTGTCGACAACGGTTAGACTGGCACTGCTGTTGGTGGGTATCACAGGAGCGGTGAATGAACTGGTCAATAACGAAGCAACCGGTCTTGGTGAAGAGACGGGAGTCACTGTTCTGGAACTTGCGGGAGAAATATTTGTAGGTGGTGGTGATACTTGTCGGGGTGATACTGGCTGAGGTTGCTGCCTTGGTGATGCTGCTTGTGTTTGTGGTTGTCTAGGTGATGTTATGTTTGCTCTAGGTGAAGTAATCATAGGTGATGTGATTCTAGGCGAAGTCATAGAGGCTCTGGGCGAAGATATGGCTGTGGATGTAGGTGAGTTAGGTGCTGTCAAAGTACCGATGATAAATGGTATGTCTACCATCATAAATTGCGAACGAGTGCCTTGAGCGGTGGTATAAGTGCCTTCTTGTGCAAAAATTTGAACACGAATAAAGTAGGACACGGATAATAATTCACTTTGTTCCAGAGAGATGGTAGGCATGGTGCCTTTAGGTATAGGTAATCCTGCTCGCACTGTTTGTACGTGTTGGTTATTGTCATTGTTTTCGGAAGTAATGTTGAGATCTGCCACAATACGATGAACCTTTTCACCTGGTGAGGTGTAAGCACTAAATAACCCAATGAATGGTCATAAACATTTACATGACAAATATAAACTTACCGTCCATTGGCTACGACATGATTTACTCGAAAGAGCGAGATAGAAATACCTTGTTTTCGGGAAAATTCCATATTATTCCAAATAGTGATGGATACAGGGATGGCAATACCAGCTTGACAACCATGACAAGGTAAAGTGACACGCATGGCCGAGGTGAATTCCCTTTCCAAATTCGATAAGGACACAACGAATACTTGTTCCGCGCGTTGAGGCTTAATCATTTCTGGGGTACGAGTATAGATGGCTTCGTAAACTGGTACGACCCTCTGAGCAAAAAACACGGGTTTAGACTCCTGATCAATAAACGCTTCCAATAAGTAAATAATTTTATTTAAAATTGTGCCTTCTGTTGAACTGGGTAATGGTCGGTCGTTAGGCACATACACTTTGAAAGCAAATCCCATCGTTTTATTTTTTGCCAAATCTACTTTAGGCTCTAATGCTGAATCCAGTACAGATACAAGATGAGTATTGTAATAAGGCACTTGACTGGATCCCTTGGCCGTTTTCGTCGCTGATTTACTAATGTTGCTGCCGAGTTTCCAGCACTCGTCAAAATATGTACGATTGTCCCTATTGCTTTGAATTGGCTGCACAGAGATACGACCTGTCCATGCTAGCCGAAGCTTGGTCAAGCTGTAATTCTGGTTACTGGTTATAAAGATTTTGCCTTCAACTGCGTCGCCTGGGAAATATTTTATATTCGCATTATCTAGAATCACTTCCAATTTGATATCCAATGGTGGCGGTGCCATGTTGTAATATAAAGTAGAAAGAAACGCAAAAAAAGAAAAGAAAAAATGTTTGTTATTATCTTTTGGCTCAGCCACTGTGGTGAAGCCATATAGTACTACATGTCCTTTTTATTTTTTTATGTATCACATGACGTCTTTAATCTAATCGTGTAGGTAATGGTTGAATATCTGGCGGAACAAACACATGTTTTGCTTCATCTGTATATAATTTATCGGGTGAATAATAATTTTCAATGGTTTTAGCATCCAGTAATTGAGGGAACCTTTCCACAAGCGCAAAGAAATCATTTTGTTGATTTGAACTGATAGCAGCAGAGACCAATGCGATATAGAAAGATGTGATCGTTTCGTGATAATCTTGACTTTTGGTTGGATTCTTTTTAAAATGACTTTTTAGCGTTTCTTTAATTTTAACTTGAGCTGCAACAGGACCCAATTCTCGAATATGATTCCAAGCCATACGTAAATGCGCTCTATGCATCCATTTTTGTTTGGAAGTATCACCATCTTCCTCAAATGCCTTCATAAAAACTTGGTCTCCTACACTTCGATAACATCGCTCATAGTATAGTAATGGGTGGGCTTCATCTCGTCGTCCATGTTCACCTCCTACCCCTTCTTCCACTTTTAAGACCTTGTTGATCCATAATTCATGATCGCCCAATTCTATCACTTTATACGCTTCACAATGCATTGCTCCTAACGTGCCCATCAGCACGGGTAGTCCCGTCACTGGGTGATCAAAATAGGGTATGTCTTTAAACTGTTCCGCATCAGGAGAAGAAAACGCAACTGACTGTTGAACCTGTTCGTGAGAAAGCATGTTGAGAACCATACTTCCTGAGGCATGTAGTAATTCGGAAGCTCGTGAGGGTGTACGCACACAAAATGATACTAGTGGTTCTGGGTGGAGACAAACTGACGTGAAAGAGGCCACAGTAATGCCTCGTCGATATTCTCGGTCGTCCGGCTTTGACGTTGTTACTACCACTACGGGTTGTGGTACCTTTCTCATGATACCACGGACATCTTCAATGACACCGTTGCTAGTGGAAAAATTACATTTTGTGAATCTCTGTTGACATGGTTTAAGATTGTGTGTCAATGTCAACGCAAACTTTCGCAGTGACATGGCATAAACAGAGAAAGAGAATGAGAAAGACTCATTTTTCTAAATTTTGAAACCCAAATTTGTTATGTCATCAGTCGGTCATTGTAAACATGAGAAGGAATGTGCTTGCATAGTAAAATAAAATGCATGAACCAAACAACTCTTTTTCTTTTTCTACAAAAAATAAGAATGATTACGTATTTAATCGGTGGACAATCTTTAAAAGGTGTTGAATATGTACCCAATGATGCGGTCTCTTCGGTCTCTTCTTCACTCTCCGATGTGTATACTGACATCGAGCCTACCTTTACAGATACTAACAAGAATCTTAAAAGGTTAGGATTAACTTCATCAGATTTTTCCTCCCAGCTTTTGCAAGCAAATAACCCAGCATGTGTGATGGATCTGGACGCTTCTCGTAACGAAATCACAGCCTTACCAAACCCACTTCAGTTATACACGGGACTGACACGACTTGTGCTATCTAACAACAGCATTTCAATCATCCCAGCTGAATTATATCAGCATCTGGTGCAGCTGGAAATCTTGATTTTATCTGGGAACCGAATTGAAATCATACCAGAAGATATGCCTTCTTATTTACCTCATCTGATGTCTTTATATTTGGACGGAAACCTAATTCGATACTTACCCGATACCATTGGTAATTGGAAAGATTTACGCGAATTCAGACTGGGTTCATTCTATGGCGGAAATCAGATACGTGAATTACCAGAGACTATGGCTGACATGTTCAGTTTAGTGGATTTGGACGTCTCATTTAATCAATTAGAGACCGTCTTTCCAGACACCTTTCGGCATTTGCCTAATATCAATTGTATTAATCTATCTCACAATCAACTGACGACGTTGCCCGATACCCCATTGTTTGGTACGTGTCATAGGTTGGCAGTCATCGACTTATCTGATAATCTGATAAACAGTTTGCCTCCAATGGTGTCCATCGATATACTAAGGCTCAAAAGGCTAGAGCTACTCAATCTCAGTCATAATCAACTAAAGATCTTGCCGACTGAGCTATTAGATCAATCTCATTTTCAAGTCGTTATTAAAGGAAATCCGATGACTGATCAGACTATTCGAAACGAGATGATGCAAGAAGCAGATGTAACTGATGCTCCATTTTTATTACACTCCTTGCGTGAAATTTCACTTCGTTCAATTGCTCTACTATCCTCTACAGAAGTCATGTTACGCATTCCTGAGCATATATCAAGTGACCTAAACAAAACACAAACATGCCCCTCATGTGCCCAACCTTATATCCGAGAATGGATTAGTACAGCCCAACTCAAGAGTTACCAAGGCCACCCTTCTGTTATGCGAAAGGTTCGGTTTTGTGGCACAAAATGTTGGCAGGAATATCGTGAAATATTGCACGAAGAAGCAATTCGAATACAAGAATTAGATCCACGACAGCAACAGCAAGATGCGTTGAATTTTATCAATCATCATACGATGGAGTCAGGATCCATCGACTGGATTATGGCTGCTGTATCTGCTGCTTCCGCACAAGAGGAGCAAGTAGATATACTAGCCAATTCTTTATTTTTAAATTAAAACTGCACATTCACGTTTTCTTCTTCTTCTTTTTCTTCTTCATTCTGACCATATATCTAAGCATACGAAGATTGGGGGGTATGCTGACAATCTCAGCAAGCGTATTTGTTGTTAACTTGTTTAATTATCAAATCCACTTTATTTTCCAATTGTTTTACTTGTTCTTCAGGCGAAGTGTAATTTGCCTTGGGCCCGTTTTCACGAAAGTGGTCTACCGTGTAAATATGATGAACTTCAATCTTATCAATTTCCTCGAATAAAGGATCCAACTCCTTTGCTGCTTCTTCGTTTTGTAATAACTGTCTATAGTACACAATTTGGCAACTGCAAAAAAAGAATTGGTCAACTTTATTCTATACTTTTATAGTATATGTTACCTAAGTAGACCACGAAGTCGGCCGATGGCTTGCCCAATCGCTAGTCCTTCGGTGTATCCTTTATCAAACCCTCTTTGCATGTTGACTTCCTTTCCTTCGACAATTCCTTCTTTATAACCTGTCTTTATACAAATAGGTAAGTCAGTGTAAAACAAGCAATACGCGAAATAAAGTTTACATTGCCATGGTCTTCTTGAAGACGTTCCCATTCGACATTGGCGAGATTTTTTTCGTAGCTGGCTTCGCTACCGCTATCGGCCCAGACATCTTCGTTATCTGATTGCGACATTTGTAAAAGTTAAAAGTGCAAGAATAAAAAAAAAAAAGTTTTTGTAAAACTTAGTAATACAAGTGACTGTTAAGACTGTATGGTTTCAAGTGTCAAATGGAGACGTCCTCGGGGATTATGTTTGAGAAAGTGGTCAGGGTAATCTTACACTAAATTTATAATCCTCGTACAGAGTTGATGATGAAGTTTATCGATACAATGTTTCTGCAATTAGTAACTCCCTAATAAAATATATCTAGGCCTTTACAAGCATATACCTAATCTAAGGTCGAGCTTTACACTACTTGAGATAAAGGACTTGATTTTGTGCAAGAATTAGAAAATAGGTTTTCATATAAGTAACACCTGTAACCGCATAAATCTTTGACGGAAACAAACTGCTTGTGATAGAATATACGTGGATATTTAAGGAAAGTTACTTTCGCCATCGTTGCAATTTCTTCAGTCTTCTATCAGTGGTTGGCTTGATACTTATCTAAATATTCGATTCTCACCAACTGATAGTAGATTTATGATCCTTTTCTTTTCTTTTGTGGCTACAGGTAATCCAAACCCTCAGCCGCCGGTAGTTCTTATGGTAACCATGCTTTCTATAGCTGCTCTTATCCTTGACGCGAAGTGAAACGATTTTTACTTCGAGTGTTAGTGGAATAATTAAACAGCCCGATATCAGCAAATATTGTTGATATACGCAAAATATCATAATAATATAAGTATATTATCTTCAGACATAAAACATTTATGATAATGAAAAAGTTTTAAACTGCAAGTAAACAACAAACCTTCTTCAGTCCTTAAAACAAATTGAATTACATTTTCTATATTAAATGATATATCAGAACTTGTATGTTTTTATTATTGATGAATTTCAATGCTTGGTGTAAGTGCAAAAAGTATAAATTGTAGCTTCAGAACAGAGAACAATCTTATTTTTAAAGGTACTTTGATACTTTTATATATCCTTTTACACTAACGTCTCAGGGTGATATTGCACTAGTGACATTGCGTGGTTATATCGGTATAAAAAATCGTTACATTATTTTTCTATCTTAAAACCCCACTTGTCCGATCGAACACTTACCATAATAAAATTACTATTGTGTCCCACAGAACCTTATGAAGGACTTGCAACACTGAGATTGTGAATTTAAAAGACCGTGTTACAGTATAAATTGGAAAAAACCTCAAACAGGGAGTCACATTTGACAAACATTTGGGGTTAACTGTTATACACACGATAGCAAAAGAACCAAGTGTTATACATTATAGTGGTTGTGCTGGTCTATAGACCGAGACTCTCTAATATTTGATGAATATGTAGGAACGGTGGGTATAATTTTTCTGTTACACTGAATATATTACGATTTGACAGAACAGGTAAACAATTAGAAGAATTTGCCTTATTGGTTGCGTCTCCACATATACCCAAAATTAGATTTATTGTGCACAATTCATCTAAATTAAAAAAAAAAAAAAAACTCTGATGTTTATTTTTATTTTTCTTTCTTCTTCTTTTTAGCAGAAAAAAAAATGGCAAAAGTTTCAGTAATTGGATTGGTATCTGCACTTGTCCATTCACATATTTATTGGATATATTCCATAATCTATATTATATACCTCAAAATCAGTCCGAACGAACAAGTCGTTTCTAATGTAAGGCTCAAGAAAAGGAGTTCTTCAATAGACATACCATCACCGCTCATGGTGATCCCCACCATAGTTCCAGAAATACCACTTCCAGCACCAGTGATACGACAGCGTAAACTTCACCGACGTAGCAGCACAGGCCAGTTATTTAAAAAACGACTATCCACATTACTAGAGGTCGATACAAAGTCTTTGGTGGAAACGGATACCGAAACACTCTCTGATAGCAACAGCAGCAGGTCCTTAGACTCGGGACAAGTTAGTAAACGAGATGGCGCTCTAGGATTATTGCGATCAAAATTTCAGAAAAGCTACAGTACGAGCGATATCCATTCTTTCTCTCAGCCTGCTGCTAGAAGAAGAAAGCGCGACGCTATTCTCGTTATCTTTTCAGGTCGATTTAGCCCAAAGCAAGATATAGTTAAAAAGCGCACAAAATTGTTTCGTAGTCTACCCTCTTGGAAGAAGGCTTAAGAGGCCTTGTATTATATAACAGTTGTAAATAAATAAATTATTGCTCGGAGGATGCGCTCTTTTTAGAGATACGAAATTATTCAATAGCCGTTCGAGTAAGACAAAGTGCATTCCTATCTATCAGCCAAATGCAGAAAAAAAAAAGAAAAAATAACTGTTGCGTTTCAATTCAGACCACGCTAAAGAAATTTGATGTAAATAAGAAGGCTAGTGTAATAAGAAAACAAAGTTGGCAAAAGATGAAGCAGATGTGATGACTTCACAGAAACAGGGTCCTGTCCTTTCAAGTGTGACTTGTGAATTGGTGGCGTTAAATATATCAAGGGAAGCACCTTAAACGGATTTTTTCATCCTTTACCGTCTTTACAATGCCAAAAATGGAGTTTTTACTGTTTATCATTGCAAGTTCTATATGCCGGGTGTGCTCATCTCTTCTTTTCGTAGGTCCTTGTCCAAGTAGAGCTTTCCACGAAGAATCGCCAACTACCCATCCTACCACTTGATCATCGTCAGTCAAGTTCAAATTTCAGACAACGCGTCAATAACTACCTTTCTTCGGCTCAAACATTAACTAGTAACGCCAAACGGGAAATGATAGTCGACAATAACGTCCGGCCCTCTACACCTTATTCCATCCATGATATTATTTTTACTTTCTCAAATCACTTACATTCTTGGGACCATCTTAAATCTGTATGGAAGGAGGATTCAGTAACTCGTCGTCGACACATCAACAAGGCCTTACACTCCTCCGCCTTACTCTGCCGTGCTCGCTATGTATCTATCATAATGTTGTAGATTGGACAAAAAATCAAGTCAGACATTAATTAAGGAACTTTTCTCTCGCATTATCACTTAGATGCATTTATTATTTGATTCGACTATGGATCACATCGATGTGGCTACCAATATGCATTTGATAGATCAGTATTCCATTACAGGTGCTCTTGTTATTATCGAACACACTATCGAGAAATTTATCCAGGAATCTGATCAACATATTAAATTAGCCCTAAAACAAGTGAATCCCGAATTTAACCAAATGGTTTCATTGTCAGGTCAACTTCGCGTATCATTAGAAAGCGTGTGTACGGACGCTGTTGAACAAACAAAATATATTCGCAACCAAATGTTTAAAGATGTCACGAATCGTCTTCATCAGCTCATTCACCGTATTGGAAACGAGTTACAATTATTATTAAGAAATTGAGGAAAACTCGAGTAACATGGGCCTTACGAGAACATACAGTAGATTCACTTCGATTGGAAATGCAAGAGGCTGATATTGTTGATGCTTTGTTTAAAGAATCACGAAAACAGATGGATTGTACATGGGACAATGCAGAGAATGAGCTGATCCAAAGTCCTCTTAAATTGAACTATTGGGTTGATATTGTGGAAGAAATAAAGCAACCACGAAATCAGTCAGATGTATATTGAAATCAAGCAGAAGATACAATCAACGGCGTAATTGTTGCTCCTGTTATTAATAATGGTTACCCCACATCTCATAGTTACTCATACCCCCTTTGTAAATACGTTTTAATTGAATAGTAATAAAGCTTTTAAGTTTGTTTAATCAAATGGGAGGGGACGAGGTTTTGATTTAAGCGCAGCAGCAGCTATAGCACTTGGTACTGGGATGCCACAGCAGTCAGGGTATTCTTGTCCTAAAGCAAATACACCGTCTTCACCAACCACCTTTGGCTTCACTTCATGAATATGCCCACAATCATCTTCCAAATCGTCCGATTGCGCATGTCCTCCCTCAAAATGAATAAGACTTCCAAACATAAAATGCTGCATAATAGGTAATTTCGCTAATACCTCTGCCTTATACATCTTGATCATACCTTCGTTCACTTTAATCCAAGTCTTACAAGCAGAAATATCATCTAGCATGGGAGAATGCCAACGTAATGACGCAGTGGTTTTTACAGTATTAATGAAATGAATACAGGCCAAGTACATGTATTGTTCAGAAAACACTTCCACAGTCTCACTATCATGGATTGATTTTGGTTTGATATGCTTGTGATCTATAGAAGTGATAGGTTAATATGAGATCATCCGTAACTTTTTTTTTTTTTTTTTTTAAAAAAAAAAAAAAAAACTTGCTTAAAAGTTGAGCAGATCCAAAGAGGAAAGGTAAAAAATGATAATCGTCCAATCCCCACACACCGTGAGATCCAGCAGGTTCAAGCCAATAATCAAATTGAAGTTGTCTCATAAGCTTGATGTATCTAGTGAATCATTTAATGGCGATACTATAATAGTGATTATTAATACATACTTTGTAAAGACACGTAATACCACTGCTTTGTCATCATCCTCAGTGAGCACATTTAACTTTTCCAAACAAAGCCTAAAAAAAAATGTTAGTAAGTGTAAATACAGTGGTGGCATTGCATCACTTACAGCCATGCCATAAAGTTAGCTTCGTGTCCTGTGCCGTAATCGATTCGTTTCTCATTACCGAAGCTTTCATAGAAATACTTGCCGACTTCAATGATGGCAGGTTCAGGAACAAGATCCTTAAATAATTCGGGAATTGACTATAACAAGCGAAAAGAAGGGTTAGCCTTTGTTCACTGAAGCTTTTCCCAACTTTACGTTTTTGACTTTCTCGTAAAATGTACGGAAAGCAGGATTGCCAAATCTAGATTTTGAATTTTCGACTGGAGGGATCTCTTTAACCCAACGTGACAAGGTATCTAAAATTGTAAGAATGGTCTGTACATTCTGTGTTTTTCAAGGCGGATTAGTCTACATTCCTCGAAAGCCTCTCCTATACATAATTTTTACCTTTGAGATCTCTACTTGAGCATCATTCTTTAAATTTTTGACAGAATCGTTTAAACGTTCAATATATCCAATGTATTCCTTGTAAGCATCTGATTTCAAAAACTCGTCTAAGTCTTCTTTGGACACAATTCTTTTAGAAGGAACAACGTATTCCATATTTTGTTTAAGAGTATCGGATATAAAGAATACAAAAAGAAAAAAGAAAGTGAATAAAGAAAAACAATGAATGCACTTTTAAAGCACGAAAAAACAGCTAAATATGCTTTACATTATTCTAAGAGGTGACTGTGCCTAAATCGTCATTAAAAATATGCCTGTTTGCGGGATGAGTCTTCAGATTCATGTCCTAGCTTATATGTTATTCTTTGTTATTATCAGCAGTAACGGGCATAAACATTATACAAAACATCCTGTCTAAGCCATTTTTTTAATAAATCAAAAAATAATGAGGCTCAACGTCGGGTCACTCATCCCATTTTTAAAAAGGTGTGCCTTACCAGCTCCATGATCACAAAAATGTCTGCACACATGTACACGTAAATACAGGCGAATGTATAGCGAGCATAATTTGTACCAAATGTCATGTATCTTACGTGAGTAATATGTTAGAGGAGAAAATATTTTACCATTGCCCACCCTATTAGTAGTAGCTATCGATAACCTTGAGAAGTGCGTCGTTAAAGACAATTTCCCAGTTTGTGCAAGGAGATGAGGTAATTACTACAATCTATTACAAGGATTTTATAATAAATAGATGCACCAAATAAAAAAGGCTAAGCTTTTCTCCGTCCTACATTCCTTCTCCGGCTCCTCTTTTTATAACTTGGATGAGATACACTTGATTGGGCAAGGCATTGGACTTTTTGTTTTTGATAGTATTGTGAGGGTCACCAAAAACAACGACTCAAGCTATCATAAAAAAAAACCAGGACGTTTTCAACGGTGATGGGTATAAGTTTAAGGTTTCCAAAAAAGAAGTACAGCTGGTCCGAAATTGCATTACCAATTCCAGGACAAATATTTTGATGTCTTTTCAAAAAAGTAGGGATAATCTATGTGCAAAGAATTAACGGTGCAAGAGCAATTGATTTTTTGGATTTTTTGTTGTACGTTGTCCAAACACTCTTAGTGCCTTTGTTCCAAAAAACATCGGTAAGAAAAGCACTGTCATTGTCAACTGGAGGCTGTGCAATTGCACTACAACTGGGGCTTACGGATTGTTTAATCAAGGAGATGGAAAGCTGAAACTGGATGTATTAAATTTAGTCATGAACCCATTAAAATAACGCTTCCTCAAGTTGTTTTAAACATTGACACAGCTTTTTAGATCTCTAAATAAGCAATAAACAAAAACAAGAAAACCCATATCTAACCGCAAAAACCTATAAGACCAGCAATCACTGCCTTTCTCCTGTTGGCTATATTGAACAAAAAGCTGAATGAGACAAAGTACACGCTGAAAAAACGCGGGAAATATCGTTGAAAGTCTCTCCATTATTGGATACATTAGTTTGGTATTGGACACAGCCAGTTTGTTAGACACTATGGACCCAATCAAGACATCGCTGGATGATTTTATTTAGCTACCATCAGCGGCAATACACAACCAAAACCATTCACTGTCATTTTCAATGCCATGATTGAATCTGTACACATTGATAAGTTTTTTTTTTTTAGAACTCTTAATATACTACAACCGGTCAACAACATCGCTTTTATCCTCTATCACAATCAACAATATGACTTTATAAAATTGCATCCACCACGCATTTTTGTGCAACCATATAATCACTTCCAAAATGTATTGCAGAATCCGATCGGAACATCTCCATGGAAATCACTTCTGTGCTGTTTCATGCAAAAAATAAATTATAAGTTTTTATTACAAAAATGCCCATGCCCGATTACTTACCAATTATATATAGCAAAACTTGTTGGTACTTTGGAGCGGTGATTTTCTACATTGAACACAACAACGCGCATGATCCCAACAACACACAATGCTTGGCTTTTGTAAAAATAATGAAAGAATATTACGTTGCCCACTACAACAATACCATCCCAATGATCAAAATGAACAATGATAGTGAAATAATAAGGCATGTCGTGATCAACCTCGACAACATTAAACTCCACAAGGGTCTGGTACAGTCATCTACCAATTTGTATGAACATAAAGTTGTTGCACCATACAGAATGCTGGACAATTAAAACTTATCAAATTTATTTTTCTACACCAACTCAATTTATGTTCTTAACATGAATGAAGAGGGTTAAGAGAAAAAAAGAAAATTGCAGTGCTACCTCATTGAATTTGCGGGGTTATAGTCACGCTAAATCGGGATCATGCATGATTTTTAAAATTCTCTTTTTCTATTTTTACACTTTTATAAAAGTTTATTTGATGTTTTCAAAAAGACCATTTCAGAACCATCTAAAACAACTTGCACAACATATTACGCGAAGAAAAATATCCCTGGGGCGTTCAATAGTTGCAGAAGGTGAACTTCCCCATGAGTCGCATTTCATAGGAGTTTGACATCCCGAAGGCAACAGTACAAAGCATCATTAAGAGAATTAGGGAAAAGTGGAACACTCATTCCTGAAAGACCAAAGGACGTGCCTAAAAGACTGAATGCCAGAGATCTAAGATGGCTAGAGGGAATAACAAGACATGAGCCGTTTGTGTCTTACGCTCAAATTAAACTTCATCTATGGAACTACTTTATTCATTATTTGAGAGAAATTGGCCTTAAATTTTATTTCATATAAGTCAAGGATAAACGAATATCGAAAAAAGACTTCGATGAGGGAAAAACGAGTTCATCGGACCACTGAACAATGGAGAGGTGTTGTCTGGTCAGACGAGTCGCGATTAACAGTCAGAGGCAATGATAAAAGCGCGAGAGTACTTCCTAAAGCCGGGAAGAGGTGTAGAAAAGGGCATATTTGGCATTCACTTAATTCTCTTAGCATGGAGTGATATCAGCATCCATCTAACCACTCGCAGTATGACATATCCATGCCAAGCTGTCATTAACAAGGCGGGGCAACAAGATTTTAAAAAGTTTTTATTTTATTTTGTTATTAAAGTATAAATGTCAGGCAGCAATTCAGTACACTATTTTTTATGATTGGTTGAAGTTTGGATGGGAAAAGGTATATGTCAAAATGTACTTCAATTTTCGGCACTACAAAATTTATAAATTATATGATCCTTAGTTTAGCATGACTGTAAACAACTGTACTTTTTGGAAGGCATACAGTTAAAAAAAAAAATGCTGTTAAAAACCTTTGTATTTGCTTAAGAAAAAAGATAACTTTTTAGTGTATTGTGGCATACTCTTTTAAAAATGAGGCGAGTTTTATTAGCAAAAAGAGCGAGAAGCGAAAAATTACACTATGTCACGATGAGATAATTCTCTACTTATAATAAGTAGCTTCTCCTTTTACGGATATTGAATGCTTTATGTAACTCTTTTTGCACGTGAAAAATATTTTATCAGTAATTATCTAAGCAATTTATTATTAATGTTAAAATAAGGCCTAGAAGCCCATGGAATAAAAAGACAATATCAAGTATTTTTTTTTTCTGTTTTCTTTCTTTCACTTCTATTTTTTCACAACATGACTGAAGAAACCACTCAAGCAGGGATGATAGCTACAGCTTTACCATTATGTCCCAGGTCTGAACTGACTACAAAGATGCTCTTTAATTATATCTACATTAAAGTATACACCCCCAGCTAATGATTTTACCTCTTTCACCTTTTTTTAAAAACAAACATAAACACTAACAGCACTTTAAAAACTACCCAAAGATCTCGCCTTCAAGCTCAAACAGATGAAGCTCCTGTCAGTCGGGTTGAATTCGAGGAGTACCTTGCTCTTAACCAAGCCTTGGAAGCTTCGTCAACAAGAACAAGACGCGCATCCCACGAAACTGAATCGTCGTCAATTGTTTGCCAAGAATAAGCAGTTAAACGCATGCATCCTTTTTTTTTTGGTCTTTATTTGACTGGATTGACTAAAAAGAAATTAATACTATATGAGGAGCTCTTGAAAAGTCATATGGGATATCCAATGTATGACTTTGATTTTGCCTTGCATGGTCTTTGTCATGAACCACGTACTTTGTCCTTGATCTTGAATCTCCGACTACTGGAATGCTCTGGAAGCTCATGCTGAGATTCAACACCCAAAGTGTCCAGAACCATCCAGGACCTTCCAAGACTGTCCATGTAATGAACCCCAGCTTCCAAGATATTAGTAATCATGACTCATAGGGATCCGCTTCTTAAACTGAAACAAACACGAAGACTAATTAAGCAAGCCAAGACATTCTTACATGCAAGCCCCCGTGATCTAAAAGATATAAATACTTCGCCTTGCCCGTTCCATGTCGATTATTTTGTATTACTTCCCCTTCCTTGTATAATCTTTTATTATTATCAAATACTTTGTAAACCACTCTTCCTTTGTCTTGGTATAACTAGTAGGTATCTTCTTATATTATTTCTATAATATATTCCTTTCCATGTTCCTGACAATCCTTACTACAGCAGTAACAGAAATGTCTTTGATCTGATCAAAACGGTTGTTCGCGTTTTAACCCTACTCTATTAGATGAAGCTGAGTTCCTGGTTCTGCTTGATAAAACTGTGGTGCTCTTCTTTGATTCTATTGTTTGTGTTGATAATCCTGGTGACAGTGATGGGGGTGAACCTGTGCCTGTTTGAAGACATATGGGAATCTTTCAAAGTGTTACTCAAGTGCTGCGCACAGACGTACACTAGAGGTGCTAAGGCTGGTTTCAAGAACAAAGTCGCTTCGTTACAACAGGAACGTACAATTCTGCTATCTACTGCGTCGGGCATTATCCCTAGTCATGCTGTGTTAACGCAGCCTGGTTCCGGACGTATCTTGGATGATTCCTTGAAACTAAACGAGCTAGATCGACTGATTGACAATCGGATTCAGAAAGAAACACGTGAATGTATGCTTCGCTCGGCTACTCGTTGGCATGAACTGGGTGAACGAAACAACAAGTATTTCTACCGAGTTATAAAGGAGCGTCAATTTAAACAGACTATACAATCCCTAAAGTGTTCCGCTACTGGTTCCGTCTTGGTGAATTCAGATGATATTATCCGGGAAGCAAAAGGTTTTTACCAGGAGCTATATACACCCGATCTAATTGATGGTGCAGCTATCGATTCTCTTTTGTCCAGTATTCTGAATGATGTGGTGTTGTCTCTGGATGATTCTGATTTGTTTGCTGATCCTATTTTAATGGATACTCTGCAAGATTTGGTTAGTCATACTCCCCTGCCTAAAAGCCATGGTATGGATGATGATCTTCCTTTTAAGGTTTGCAAGTACCTTTCAAGTCTTCCGCGGATTTCCGTACGATGCTGCTAGGTATTCTACATGATGCTCTTTCCTTTGATACTGAGATATGCATCTCTATTAGTGGCTGGTTAGGTTCGCCTATACCTCAGTCTCGAGGTCTTCGGCAAGGTGATTCTCTCTCTTCTCTGCTATTTAATATAGCCTTTGAGCCTCTTCTTCGGTCAATTCAAATATGCTCTGGTCTATCTGGTGACGCTCTCGGTAACGGTGTGGTGTCTTTCTCGGTCTATTCTCTGGTTCCTCCGGTGTGGATCGATACTCCTAACTCGTCCGATCACGATTTTATCAGTGATTCGATGGTATACTATCCTCTGTCAACACCTTTTGAAGAGCTTCGTCCTGTTATTATTGAAATCCAAACGAATGTCACGAAGGAGTCTGTTTGGCGAACCATTAGATATTGCCTGGATCTCTTAGAGGACACCAAAGTTGCTCCTATTTTAATTACGTTCAATATAAGCAGCATTACGGGGAACTTTTTTTTTGATGATACCTTTACGAAAGAATCGTCATATTATACTCAAAGTTCGCATCTTTGGGCACATCAAGCATATCTGTATAATTCTGATTCTATCAAGGGCTATGTTGATGAAATCCCTATGTCGCCAATTATTGCTTTAACATACTTTCTCACCGAAAGACAAAGAAACATCATAGCTTTAACCAAGTACGACGACCCAACAGTAATCGATTTATACAGACATGCCTATACAATTTTCACAGACCGTCACGATGATATTCAAGATAAGGAAGATGCTCTACTAGACCACACTCAAGCTATCTCACTTCAGTTTCAAAAGATTACAAACTGTCAAAACGATGATCCGTATGCCTCCTTAAAACGTATAAGAAAATATGCAGAAGATGGTCACCAGTTATCGCAAAAGATGATCAAAATTATTAAAGATGATGAAGAAGAAGATAGCCCCACTGTTACGCCGATCGAATTAGAGTGCAAAAAAAGCGAGGATCTTAAGTTTATCGAAAATTATCGCAAAAGTATCAAAGGTCGATTCATATGGGAAGAAGTTTATAATGCTGGCCTAAACAATGAACCAAGTCTTTTCGGTCGGTACAGACTGTCAGGAGCGGACAGGCGGACAGGACAGACAGAAGAATACTTGCTTACAAGAACATAAAAATAAAGGATAATTATTATATTTATTATAAGAGAGAGAGAAAGAGAAGTAGGAAAAGAGAAGAGAGGATTATTAAATAATATATCTGATGAAGGGGAAGAAAGAAGAGGGAAAGTTAGGCTATATTTATTGTAAAGGATTGTATAGCCATTTAGCATAAAAATAAGCAATGACTAAGTTTAGTAAGTAATTACTTATTTATGACAGATATTTGATGATTGATGGCTGACACGTAGATGACAAGGTGCTGGCAAAGAATTACCAAAATTAATGCATCTACGTGACATGATCATGACACAGTGTCATGAACTCATTTCATCATGTCCTAGATCATGCCTTGATTTTAAAGCCTTTGTTGAGGATATCATAGATATAATAATAAAGTTAATTGTCACATCACCTTAAGGATGGATAATAAATATAAAAGTTAATCATCAATGACACATTACCCCGCTTGTTCTCATCCTACCGTTGGAGTCTGTACACAGGGCACATCCCTGTGGCGAGTAAATATTTATTCTGCAAAAGCAATACAATCGAATGGGCCTGGACTATAGAATATTAATAGATCCTGAGCACAAATATTACTCTTGTCATTTGATGTTATAACTGTTGATCCCTCTGACTAATATTTATATACTCAGTATGGAAGGGCTAAAATTAAAGACATGTTGATTATTTACTATCACCAGATTATTACATCATGATCCAAGAAGGCGCTTCATATTTTCCCTAGAACTATCCCAGTTCTTTATATAAATATCCATAGTTTTTTCTCATAGACCATCAATACATTTTGAATACATTTTAATACGTTTTTTAATTATATTTTTTCGTCCATAATAAAGTGGTATCCTAGTTCTAACAGTATCACTTTTGGTTTATTTTTTATTTTGTTCTCCATGCAAAACACCCTTGTGAAACCTTGTCCTAGAATCTAATATCAGTATATCTTGTCCGCTACCAAACTCCCTATAAAACCTTGTACCCAAAATCATATCTGTATATCTTGCCCGCTTCCTGAATTCCTTGTAAAACCTACCACCAATCTGTATTCCAATATATTTCCCGCCTCTTGTCTGACTCAACCTTAGTAAACCTTTTTCCGATCATCTATTACTTCATATCCCAATCAAGTTTTCCCGTCCGTGTCTAATCAGAGATATTCCCCGAACCATCTAATTATTCAATGTCAACTAAATCCAGCCTGCTATTACTCGTCGAATCTTAATCACTCATCCTTGTCAAATAATCTGCTCCGTAAAGTCCCTTGTTAATCTATAATTTAAACCCATCGTAGCTTCTCCGATGTATAAGAAATAGTATAAATAGATGCTAGTTATTTATTAGAAAAACGTTATTCTGGATCTTAGTCCTAACCCCTCCCCCTTCTCAGAAATAATCCTTCTTTTATTATCATTTTAACTCTGATTCTCGTGTCACCAAGTATGTGCTAAAACCACATAATAAATGCTACTGTCTACAAAAGGAAAGATGTTTCACGGATAAAAGATCGGGAATAACTAAACCGGCTTCATGGAAATTTCTTCATTATAACACAACTCTAGGCTCCGACCAATGAGAGATCAGAGAATTTAAGGAACAATAATAAATCAAGGACAGTTACGTTACGATCTTCAATAAACCAAATGAATGGTCCATCATATAAAACTACGATGGATCTGAGCTGTCAAAAATACAAGCCACAATATCTTCAATCTTCTATAAATATCAGGGCAAACCTGCCCGTCTAGTTAGCTCTTAATCAATTTTTATACAAATAAATCGACAAGACTTATAATTGTATTCTCTTTGTTTTTTTATCTATTTTTTTCTGTAAAAATATTCTCTCTTAAAGTCTATTTTTACTACAAAGTAGTCTTCTTTCTGTTCTTGTTCTGTTTCTGACATTATCCAGAACTAAAAACCTAACTACTTGGTCCTCTTTACCTTTTACCTCGTTTTTTTGCCGTGTTCCCTGTTCCCTGTTTCTTGTTTAACCTCGTCTCCAATATAAATTCGCCACCATGCCTGAATTGACCGAGGAGCAAATCGAAACACTCAAGCAACTCCTACACCGGGTCTCCGTTATGGAAGAAACTGAATTACCAAAATTAGAAACCCAAAACATGTCCGCAAATGACATAATTAACAATCTTTCTCGACGACTCCATGCCGTTGAGTCCAACACTGCAACTATTATCAGTAACTGTCAACAACATGTAGCCGATCTTGGTGCAGAGATCCATGCATATATAGCCGAAAATTATCAACATAAATCCGTAACCCAACAAACAAATTCCATCCGTATCAAACCTCCCATGCCTTTCACTGGTCAAACGTCGTACATAAACTTATTTTTCTCTCAACTCTCAGTCGTATTTGCTGCCGACGACGTACGTTTTGCTTTGGACAACAAAAGGTCCTCTACACCATTGGTTGTTTAGCAGGAAATGCCCTTTCATACATTGAACCATTTATCAAGGATATCGACACCGATAAAGAATTGGAAATTTTAAACTATTATAAAAACTTCAAACAAATCTTGTATGACGCTTTTGGTGACTCTAATCCAATTATCAATTCTGAAGCATCTATCCGTGCCCTGCGACAAGTGGGCTCTGTAGCTCGATACGCAACAGGCTTCCGAAGATTGAGCATGCAATTGACGTGGAACAACGATGCCTTGGTATCTCAATTCGTGCTGAACCTTAAAGACCATGTTAAAGATGAACTTGCCCGACTCTGACCCATTTGTGATAATTGAGAATAAAAAGGGAAATGTAAATTGGAAAATAAAGCAAATAAAGAAATGAGACTCTATAATCCTTTATTATAAGTTGGAGAGTTTGTCATGATAAAAATAGAGGTCCTTTTTATATTCAATTATTACTTCAAGATTTTCCCTGCGCAGATCGAATTGACTATTTACCCGCAAACTGGGAAATGGTAGAATTAGATTTAGAAATCAGTTACATATGAAACATAGCTTATTGTTATATAAAAGGAGCTAGTTGACCCATATCCGGCACTTCTAGAGCATTATAGTTTATCCATTCAATGACAGGGTCCTTGATTTGGGTTACTAAAATATATTTATGAGAAACTAGAAGATTCGGCAGTTACTCGACCAATCCAGGAACGATTATGAAATCTGATGTCAGTTTGACATATGAGGGAGCTGGTACTGTGTCGTACCAATAGGAATGTATTCGCAATATGGTACTTATAATACATAGGTTATATGTATTATAATTGAGTGACAAGATAAGAGTAATTGTATTCGTGGAATTAGGCGTCAAATACGACATTGCCCCCTAACAGAATAGAATTACCCCTAAAGCATTTCAGCAGATAATCGATCAAAGAGATGATTGTTCAATAAAGCAGAAAAAAAAAAAATTTACACCATAGGTTTGATGCAAACGAATGAGTAGGTATAAAAAAAAAGATTGGAAGCCCACAGCGAAAAAGAAATTACAATTAATTTGATTTAGGGTGTTTGGCTCCCATGTGACGTTTAGAACGACGTTGAGAGGGAACAGGATTTAAATTCTTACGTTTGTTAGAATTCTTCACTGCAGAAGGCACATCATCAGATGGGACTAAAGTGGAAACTTGTTGGCGTTGGGATACTCTGGTTGTAGTAGCATTATGAGTTGAGCTACTTGGAACAACAGGAGACCCATCGTCAGTAAAAGAATTAATGAGTGTAGAAACTGAACCTGGAGGATTCTTTTTCAAGGAAGAGAGAAAAGTAAGAGAATTGGTAACGACTGTCGTATTTGACGCCTAAATAAATCGAATACAATTACTATTTAATCTGTCTTGAGTTATAATATACTTCATATATTATAACAGACACAGTACCAGTTCTCATAATCTTCTAACTGGAAATCATACCCTACATTGGACCCCGGTTGGCTGATTTACTGCGGTTTCTTCTAGCACTTACGATGAGTAATCAAGTAATCCAATCATCGCACATATTGCTAAATGGATAAATGATTTCTCTGCTGGAAATTCTGGACATACAACCATAGGCTTACATAACTATAATTTATAAGCTATATTTCATGTCGTTACTGATTTATATTTCAAATCCAACAATTCCCAGTCTCTGGAAATGTTTATTCGATCTACGCAGAAATTAATTGAAGTAATAATTTAACTAGCTGGCTTCTCGCTCACTTCGTGAGCGGAGCCAGCGTCTGAAACGCACTCAAAGTTAATAAATATGGCCTTTATTTGTAATATATAAGGTGGGATAAAAAATGATGAGTTTGGATAAGATCTAAAATTAAAAGGGAGTTAGGTGCGAATGAGTAATTCAGGATAAACAACATTTTCTGTAGTGTTTTGTTTATCTAAAAATAATACGGATATACCGTTTGCTGATGTTGCTCTGGAGAGCGCTACATATAATTGGCCATGGGTACAAACAGGAGTTTCGAGATCAATGGCAACTTTTTTTAATGACTGTCCTTGTGATTTGTTAATAGTCATTGCAAAAGATACTTTGACTGGAAATTGTTTTCTTGTTAATACAAATGGGAGCTGGCCTGGAAGAGTCGACAAAGTGAATCGGGGTATGAGTTCGATAACGCCAGAACCACCCAAGATTTTTACTTTCAAAACATATTGTCCAATTTGAAGAATTATTAGCCTAGTTCCATTGCACAAACCCCTTTCGGGATTTAAATTGCGAAGAAGCATGACAGGCAGACCAACTTTTAGCTCTAATTTTGCTGGTGGTAGGCCAGAGGTAATCAAACTGTGAAGATACTCTTCAGGCATGCTGTCTATTGAAGACCCTGTAAGATCTGATTGTACGGTATCGGAAGAAAATAAAGTAACTTTTTCACCAACTACCTGTTCCAAAACCTTACTGTTGATTGCTTCCACATTGATATTTTTTGAACATAAGATCGCTCTTTCATTGAAAAAGGTACTGTTTTCAAGTGGGCGTTCAAGAACATCTTTGGGATAAATGTCTTCAATAAAAGCAGCAGAGTCAGAAAATTTGCAAATGTACGGTGGTAATGAAATTGTCCCTTGATGACTTGAATCATAAGACATCTTTCCGATCCATTCAGCGAAGTCCTTATCCTCTTGCACTGAATTAGCCAAACGGATATTCTCTGTCAAAAAAAGTTTTTTGAGTCTTGGCCACAGAGCAGAAGACATAATTAAGGAAGCATCCACAATTTGCGGTCGATTACCGTGAGTAACTACAGGTGGGATTTGGGCAAAATCACCACCGAGAACAACAGGTACACCACCAAACAACACCGAGTCATCCGAGTCACATATGTCACGAAATGTTCTGTCTACTGCCTCAAAACAATTTCGATGCTGCATTGGAACTTCATCCCAGATAATCAAAGCGGTGTTTCTAATAAGATCAGCAAGATCACTGTTCTTTTTAATATGACACGCGGATGAGGGAGTTATCTGTATTGGTATAGAAAAGCGGGAATGAGAGGTTCGATCACCTGGTAACAATAATGCTGCTATTCCAGAAGAAGCCACACACAACACAATTTTTCCTTGACCTCTGTAGTAGTTGCAAAGAGTATTGTAAATAAAGGTCTTTCCTGTTCCTGCGGGACCTTGCAAAAAAAAAAAGGCGTTTTTGTCCCGGCTGTTGATTGATAACGTAATGGTATCGAATACTTGTCTCTGAGAACTGTTAAGCTGGTTATATTTTTCCTCAAAACTCTGTTGCTCTTCACGACTTGAGTAAGACAGTTCACCTTGAAGTAATGAATTTCCACGGATATTGGAAATGTGATCAATTAATACGTTCCATTGAAACATCGGCAAAGGCAATTGAAAAAATCGCAAAGATTTATCATGGTTTTGCAACGATTTTTCCAAAAGATACAACCCGTAGTCCAACGAACGACTGTTATTGTAAAACAATGCATCAGGATTAAGATCGAGCAAAATGCTACATCCTTTTTTCTCAATGGCATGATCTAAATCGTCACAAAATCTTCCACAAAATTGTTCCCAAATATCCAATGGTGAATTTAAGCTGTTGAATAAAAGAGCTGAAACAAACATTGACCGAAGGGAAGTTCCGGATGCAAAGGAGCCAGCTTCTTCGAAACATTTCTTCCATTCCTCATCGTCTTCAATCAAGTGGAGTAACATGCAAGCTTCTCTGAACGTGCCACATTCAACATTATTAACGGTTCGTAAACCTACAAATGAGGTAGCTCCCTTGATGACAGTCAGCAATAATCTCAAATAATAACGCTCGCCTGCAGAAGGGTTGCAGTAGTACATTCTACCAATAGCGAAACGACTGTTTTTTCTTGCCTTCCAGACTTTGGCTGATTTATCCCAGACAAAAAATGCAGGAAATTGCTGATAAAGTAAGGGAATAAAATCTTCTTTGTGCTGATTGTCCGAATTCCACCTAAAAAATCCCATGAGAGTTGACCCAGTACTTTCAAGGGTTTCGTTAATTTATCTTGCGTCCAGAGAGGATCAAAATAAACTGGCTGTTCTCCAGGTAAGTGCCCAGCCAACTGGGTGACAGATGGTGTCTCTTCATGCATAGGAAATTCGAATATTCTCTAAGCTGCTTCTACGGGGCTGATATACCGACCGTTCAAATATTTTTCAATCTCGTCATTTTCATTTTGGAGCTGAATTGTAGTTTGATCTGGGCCTTTATAAATATATTTGTTGATATAGTTGATTGCCTTGACGGTTCCACAAACTTCAACATTGATATGGGCCTTGTATTTTTTGGAAAGGAAGGGATTGTAAGGCACAACCCAACAGTTGGTCATATGGAACTCCTCAGTTTTATGAGTTGGATGTCTGATGACATGTGATCTACCATCCATGCTCCTTCGATACAATGGGTATCCGTCATCACTTGCTAATGATGTTGGTTGATACTGCTTTGGACATTTTTTTGAGCAGCTAATTTTGCCAAATGCATCTTCAACCATACACGGAGATTTCGTGTTGATGACACCGCAAGGACCATGCATCATGTTTTTGCTACATTTGTTTATGCAGATTTCGGTTCGGTTGAGGTTGAAATGGTGCCACTCTTTAGGATGTATAAAATCGTCGTTTACTGCTTTTTGGTTTTGATAAAATGGAATCGAATGCTTCTTGGGATAAAGACTTTCGTTTACAGGAATCTGGAATACTGGTATCGCAAGTGAATGTAAGGCAATGCTCATCGAAGATATTCAATATAGACAAGATTTCGTCAAAATACGCAACAAATCCTTGACGTAATTCTTTTGATGATGGTGCTTTTAAGCTGTACAAGTCAAACATGATATACATTCCATCTGCAACGAGTTTTGTAATGAAGAAATTGATTGTTAAGCCTAAAATAATGTTTAGAATGCAATTGTCAAGTGTTTATTTAAATTCCAACTTTCTGACTGTTTAATACTTGCCTATTACTTGTATTCCAAGGCAACCATTTGCATTTGATCGATTAATAGCATTTTTAGTCAATAATCCAATTCGAACAAGGTCGTTTGATGTTGCAGACTTATCATTTTTTCTTTTGACGCTTTTAAATTCAACAAATCGTAACGATGGTCCATAATAGAGTCCATCTAAGCTGGTGATTATACTGTCACGTCTTTTTTTAACCCTTTATGCTTATCTCACTGTAAATGTCTCGTATTTTGGATGGATTTTTGCCAGTGTATTAATCATACCCACCTATGATGCTGTGTATCTTTGCGTAGGTACGATTTTTGACACCATGTATTAGCTAAAGCTTGCTGATAATCACACAATATAAGCTGGGCAGTTGAAAAGTAATAATCCTCGGGACGCTGCTTTGTTGTAAATCCGTTTTTTGATTCTTCATTTGTAACACTCGTCCTATTTATAAGCATTGAATATAATGAATATCATTTCAATAACAAACCAATCGAGTACACATACCATCTAAACAAAATGCCTTTATCTGGATCATCAAATAATCCAGACAGTATAGGATCAATGTATCTTTGGCATAACTCAGATTCTAGGACATCCTCCTTAACATCCTGATTGGGCAACTTTTCGATCCTATAAAGAACGAAAATTCTTTAAAACGTTTATTCATCCTCACCAATATTAAATAAATAAAAATCAAATTACTTACAGTTTGGCCACACATTTCAAAAGCTTGTTAACATTCCTTGGATGGCGTAATAATGGACATGCTGGTGCTTGTTGATGATTTGATGGCTGCTGTTCTGGTAATGTTGAGGAAGTAGAAGTGGCAAGGGTAGTCACATTAATATCAGTACTAATGAGTGGTGTGGTTATTGTTGTTGTTATCGATAATGGGGATGGTGTAAATCCTAATTTGTATGCTTGAACAATGCCTTCTTCCCTTGTGATGATATCATTTTTGACATTCTACAGAAAGATAAAAGTCATTAATATCTTTCATTATTCTTTTATCTCATATACATGATAATCTACCTTGATTAAACTTGTAATACTATCAATGTTGTTGATACACGTGCGATTGTATTTTCTGATGCTGAAACGCTTGCATTGGTCATCGAAAATATCCTTTAATTTTTCTTCTGTAAAAACCGCTATCAAATCTGGATGGCATTTTTTTCTCTGGATAAGAAAAATTGATGACAAAGCCCTGAGATGAACTGGTGTTAGTAATTCTATTTTTTTTCTCCTATATATATATATCTTTGCTATATACTTACAACATGTGTGAGACGTTTGATTCAATATTAATGGTATCGAAGTTATTACTAGCGATCAATTCGAAGGTGTAGAAAGCCAAAGATACGTCAAATTGATTGATATCGTATCTGTTATTGGTCGAGGGAAGGACAATATCATTATTATTGGGTTCATGCGATGTTGTACTTTGCTCAGAAGAGCTAGAATCCTCAGGCTTATCAAGTGTTTCCATGGGTTATTGTTGTGTTCTTGTTGTACCTTTTTTTGTTCATGGCTGTGGACATCAAAAACAATAGTTAGAGACGAGTGTATGAGGATTATTATTGATACACAATAGTTGGCTTCACGGTGAGCATCTCACTGGTGGGGTTCTCCAACGCATCATGGTAAAACCAGTTTTCAATCGGTACCGTACCAGTTGGATTCAACCTATCATTGCGATGTCTGAAGGCGGCACAGATCGCAGACCATTTAGACTTCAATGGACTCAAAGGTCTGCTTCCATTCGTGCTGTTTTTGGTCTTGAATGAGTGCAACATGCACTGTACAACTCATTTAGTTCAGCTAGCGTACGATTGGACACCAATCGCTTGTTGTAATCAGCATACAATTCAATAAGAGCAAAGGTGCTAGCTGAATTCCCATTTACAAATAATAGATAATCTATCTACTCACCTTGCTTCTTGTTGCATTAATTGTAAAAGAAACTTTGCACTTAACGAGCTCATGCTTCTTAAAATCGTAAAGGCTTGATTCGCATACTCATCTTTTGTTAATTTCTATAGATAATAAACTGGTGATTACTATTGCTTTTATCATAATCATTTAAAAGCTTCCATTATTAACTTACGATTTCTTGAATCACCGTTTCAATTGACTGCCACGTGTAGAGGGTGTTTTTGATAACAATTCTAAAATTTAAAGGTATGAGCTGTCAGAAACGTGGCTAGGAATATATTATAGCAATAATATCAGAAGATACCTACTAGTTATACAAAGACAAAAGAAGAGAGGTTTAAAAGTATTTAATAATAATAAAGAGATTATACAGGGAGGGGGAAGGATACAAGATAATCGACATGGAACGGGGAAGGCGATGGAAAGGGGGAGTATTTATATCTTTTCAGATAACATGGGTTTGCATTTACGAATGTCTTGGCTTACTTAATTAGTCTTAGTGTTCGTTTCAGCTTACGTGGCCGAAACCCATGAGTCATGATTACTAATTGTTTGGTGTCGGAGATACTTGGAAACGAGTCATGATTACTAATATCTTGGAAGCGGGGGTTCATTGCATGGATAGTCTTGGAAGGTCCTGGAAGATTCTGGACACTGGGGTTGTTGAATCTCAGCATGAGATTCCAGAACATTCCAATAGTCGTGGATTCGTGGTCAGGGGCAAAGTGCAAAGTACGTGGTTCATGACATGAGCCATTATTGTTTTAAGCTATTTTTTTTTACGTGCTAAATGGAATGCATACGTTGGACATCGTGTCTTTCCCTTTTTCGAATCAGAATTTCACACTTTTTGATATCTGTTTTTCCACGTTGAAAAAAAAAATCGTTTACTGAATTTGTCAGGAACGAGGGAGGAACGAGACAGGCAGGACAGGACAGAGAATGAATAGCTTCTTGAAGCAGGTTATTTATTTAAGAATTGTGCTAAATCACACATATAGATTGTACATATAATAAATTCATATCTCATCATCACTGATAAATGATTGCTAAATCATGATCAGGCATAAAAAAGGAATTCGCTAAAGCCGGTCACTATTTTAAAGTGTCACGGTATTGTAACACCAATGTCCAAACTTAAGACATGTTATTGTTATTATTTCTCTATTGACTATGCGTAGCACTAATTGTCCAATATAGATATTGTTATTGATAGCATACTCATATTGTTAAGAGTAGTATCCTCAGCCTCGTCCATTCCATTTATTATAAATACTCTTTATTTTTCCTCTTCTTAAATCTTTAGTTAACTTTAACATCAATAAACTCTGACAAGAATTCTAATTAATCCTATTGTTTTTGTCTACCTTTTTTCTGCAAAACTATCCTCTTTAAGCCTACTTTTGCTACAAGAATAAAAGGGAGGAAAGAAAAGAGAAGATGATTATGAAATATATCTGATAAAGAAAACTGGGAGAAGTGAAATTTATCAGCTATATTTATAGAGAAAAGAAAACAAGAAATTAAATTAAAGAATAAGCAATGACAAAAGTTAGTCATAGCTTATGTGGATCATGACAAAGGATTTAAAGAGCTGACAGATCAATGATGAATATTGAGTCTGAAAGCTGGTTATTCATATTGCATATTTGGGGCATAAAATGTAACAGGATCATGACAGAATTACTGTTGGTAGAAGAAGTCCAAATCACAATGTTACTCTTGTTTTCTTCAATAAACTGATAGAATTCAGGTTCAGGGTTACTAGCAATATATGCTTGAAGCTCTCTTAATCCAAGATGACCAGCCATGATGGGAAAGACACAGCGAGTTAAAGAAACTTGTAGTGAAATGGAAAAACAAAAAAAAAGCAAAAAACAAAAAAAAGCAAAAAAAAAAAGCCCAAAAAAAAAAACCAAACAAAAAAACCAAAAAAAAAAACCAAAAAATAAAAAAAAACCAAAAAAAAAGGTTTATTCTTGAAACACATAGAATTTGCACGTAGTAATTTTTTTTTCACGTAGTGATTAAAATACCGACAGGAAAAATTGAAAATGTTCACGTCACTCTCTTAAATGTACTTTCAGGCACCGTTTTGTAAATTGATAAATGACTGAAAGTTTTTGACAGCTTCCTTCCTTTTCTTATTAGAACTATAATTGTATTAACATTAACCTTGACATTTGTAATAAACTCAAAGAATGTTCTCTCAATCAAGAAGCACTCGCGACGAAATGCATTCTGAATTCAGTGTTCAATTTTGCGTCGGACAACATTTTGAAACGAGAGACGATTTAAAAAAGGCTATTCGAGATTTTGGAAACAAATTTAATGTCATATTTTCTATTGCCAACTCTCATCCTGCCAATGGAGACTTCCATTATATATGCAAACACGGTGGTGATAAGCGTATTTTGTTGAAATCTCCTACAGTCGAAGATTCCGGCAACAAAAGCGAAGAGAAAGACGAGGATTTAAAAAAAAAATATAAAAAAAGCACCCAAAAACTCAAGTGTCCCGCTTTTATTAAGTTATACAACTTCACAATCACTAGATCCCAAATGGAACACAACCATCCCATTTCTCAGGATTTCACAACTTACGCTATCAATCGCAAACAGAGTCCAAAGATCATGGAACGTATCTATAGCATTTTGGCTAGTGGCCATAAGGATCTTGTAACTAGCGTTATGGATGTAAGCATCAAATCATTTACAAACAATTAGACATTCTCACTGACTGATTTTTTTAGACATTGACTGCCTTGGGTATCAACAACATGATTAAAAAGGATATTCAAAACATCCAAACCTTGTTCTTAAAAAATGAGGACGGGAAAGAAATGTATTCTTTAATCACCCATTTGGAAGATATTGGATATGTTGTTCGAATCCAGGTCAAGCCAGATCAAGAAGTCAAAAGCGTTTTTTTATTCATGAAGATGCTATATACGAGACAAGAAGATGGCCTGAAGCAATCACTATTGACACAACATACAAAAACAAACGCACACAAGTTTTCGTCCATCAACATTGTTAGAACTAGTTATGTATCCTCAGTAAGAGGTACAAATAGATTACAAACATTTGCTGTGGTTGCAGCTTTCGTAAATGCCGAGACGGAAGCCGCATATACGTGGGTTCTTGAGGAATTGAGAAATGCTATCTGGCCCGAGGAAAAAGATTACGAGCTTCCAAATGTATTTGTTACAGATAACGAAAGAGCATTAAGGAATGCTATTGATAATGTTTTTCCAGAAAGCCACCATCTTTTGTGTTCTTGGCACTTATGGAATACTATGGAAACTGAACTTCCAATTGGAAAAGTAAATGCTGTGGAATATAGATACCGTCGTTGCCTTGCTGAAGAACAGTTTAAAGCTACTGTCGGAAGCAATAAGGAACAACAATACCTCGATGCTGTTTCCAAATTTGAGCGGATAGTTACCGAAACTGACTGCTTCAAAGATAATGGTAGATCTGCCTTGATTTATTTGAAAGAAGCGTAAGTGCGTGATTTATAATCGTGGTTGGGACATTACATCTTAACTGAGCATTTATACAGTTTGCTTGAAGAAGAGGAAAAGAAACACTGGGTTTGTTTTTATGCCAACCAGTTTCTCATATGGGAAATCGTACGTCAGCAAGAGCAGAGAGCTCTGAAAAATCCAAAAATCCAAAATAGAAAATAAGACAAAGTATTAACCAGATTGCAAAAAGGAACTAAATTTTATTGAACATAAAAATAATGATTTCTTTTATACATAATGAATACAACTAAAACTACAACCGGGACCCTGCCATCGTGGGTAGATTATATCCAAATATTGTTCAAGCTGTCAATAAACCCGCAAGGAGCAGTAAGGAGAATATAATAAACAACCCGTACTTGAATAGGCATTTGGTGTTACGTGAACTCTGAAATTACCAGCTGACATATGATAAATATGACAGCAGTGAGAATACTTCAATCGTCGTAGCACAAGCGTATTACCTTAGCTAAGGTGTATTTACAGCTCGCATACAACAAGCGCCCACTCCGGATTAAAAAAGGCTCTGGGAAACCAATCTGCGATAAAATTAGCTATGACCACAGGACGTATGCATGCATACTATCAGAAGAAAGTAAGCAGTTTTTGATTGTTAAAAGAAAAAAAGAAAACCCCCATATGATGCATATGTTCACGTTTTCCCACTTTTTAGAGGGATGAACTTTATCGAAAGATGGTTATTGAAAGAATTAGCATTGATGGTAACGTCTTTGACAAAGACATGGAATACCGATACGAAAAGTTGAAGTTCAAAGTCGTTCGTTTTGCAATGGACAAAATAAGAGAAAACACGATCTATTCTCTTCGAACTGGATTTGTGACAAGAGGAGAGAACTGTAACTGCGCTGATCGTATCAATTACAAGCTACCTTGTCCCTGTGTAATTGCTGCAAATTCGGATGTTCTCCCTCTCGAAGTAGTCCATAAGCGCTGGAGACTTGAATTTGATGAAAGTAGGTGAATATTTTTATAAGAATCCACACATATTTAATTATCATTACTAGATTTTGATGGATTAGAAGATAAGTATAGCTTAGATAAGACGGTTGAGGAGAAAGAAGAAAAAGAGAGTAAGTTAAATTAGAAAGGGTTTGTCAATATGGGTGTGTCTTTGTGTATAGAGAAGGATGAATAGTATATCCTATATAGTTCCAGTAATTTGTCTTGAATCTATGAGTATTTAAATAAATCTTGTATTAAGCATAGTTTATGCTAATTGTTACTATATGTTTTGTAAAGCTACTTTTTATAGAGATCCCAAAAAAGAAGAAACGTCTGTCCAACATGATGATAAAAGTGATGTTGTTTCAGTCGTATCAGTCAGTGATGAGGAAAAAGATAATGATTACAGTTTTATACCACTTGCGGACGATGAAAAATTCGAACAAAAGCAAAATAGTGAAGGTAAGTTCATTGTCTCTCACATGAGTGATGATATGTCATTACATTAAGACTGTATAAAATATGTACCAAACAAAATATAGTAAATAATAACATTTATAAATTAGAACCCGTACAAAGAAGAACCGGTAAGACGATCCTAACTTCTTGCTGGGCAATGAACCTTATAAGAAAGTGCGCTAACAATTCTTTAATTACAATAACAAAATGTCATATTCAGACGATGATTTGTGTTATCGAAGGGATAGAAAACAACTAATATTGAAAGTTGAGCAGGTCCTTCACAAATGTATTCTTCAATTGCAGACTCCTCTACGCAGCAGCAAATAGCAGATGCATCGACTGTTTTAGAAGAAACTAATGATAAAATTTCAAATCCTGCTATCAAAAGAGATCAGTTGAAACCTCCTACAGCTAATTCCAATAGAAAAGGCAGAACCTCTGCAAAAGGAGTAAAAAGTGGAACAAAACGACTACAAATAGCGAAAGAATTGTTTGAAGAAAGTCAAAAAAAAGGACATTAAAAAAGAAGAAGAAAATATGGAAAAGAAAAGAAGAATCTTAGAGATAGAAGAAAGACATGTAGCTTTGGAGCAGAAGAAAAGAAAACTCACTTTGGTCTTTAAAAACAAAGAAGAAAAAGCGCACGCCACCAGCATTAAACACACACTTATGAAGGCAGATAAGAGCATTAATTTGGGTAAGGAAAACTCAGCTGGATATGATAGGTGAGAATCAGACGAAAGGAAAGACATTCAATAACATGTCCTAAACATTTTTTTAAGGGTATTGTCTTATCGCAATTTGAAAAGCGATACCGTCTTCAAGTGGATTCAAGTCAACCCCATAAATTCAGTGGCTGCCATCCACAGTGTGGGGGCAGATGGTAATTGAGGATTCCGAGCAGTCAGTTATGATGTGTGTAAAACACAAAGTAACTGGATAAATGTCAAAGAGGATATGTTGAATACATATCTCAAGTATAAAGATTCTTTGTACAAAGCTGTAAGAACAGATGCCGTGGTGAATTACGAAGAGCAGAAGATGCTTACGAAGCTTCTTACAATCAAATCGCCCTGCCTGTTACCTGAGGATAACGTGCTGTGGTTCCGCACTTTTGTCTGTCCACAGATTGTGGCCGATACATATGAAAGGCCAGTTTTTTTGTATGGTTATACAGAAAATGTATTGAAAACAGGTGAAGTGCGTACGATCTACGAGTCTCAAGTATTTATTTCACTCGTGCACATGGAATTAAGTGCTCGAGAAAACCCCATTTGGCTTCTTCTTTCGTCCTGGTATTTCTATTATGTTGAGTTCGCTCGCACTCCAAAAGGCAGAATGAAGAAATTCGAAAAGCCTGTTTTGAATCACGATCATAAACGACTCATGAATGCTCACCCTGACGTTTGCAAGACTGATTATTCAATTTTTTTTTATTAAATCTAAAATCTTAAACTACTACCAAAAAGCAACATGTGTAGAAGAGTCTAAGCTTCTTTGCTTCAGAAAGGAGTCAGGCACAAACTCAAAAGAGTGACGTGAACATTTTCAATTTTTCCTGTCGGTATTTTAATCACTACGTGAAAAAAAAATTACTACGTGTATCAAGAATTAACCAGAAAAAAAGTTATCTAAGCATACGACAGTTTTTCTCTACTTATATTTCAGTTTTTGTTTATGCTTGGACTATTTCCGGAAATTATTCGAAAACACTTAGGCTCATTGAGAGAAAAAAATTGCTTCAAAGTCCGAAATAAAATTGGTTCAGATCTATAAAAAAAAAAAGGCTTAAAAATTCTTAATAAAATGGAACAGATTGACGGTGAGTCAAGTGCACCAAATTGTGAATGCATTATAAAGGTTTACGCTCGATACAATCGCTGGACTTGGAGACAGAATACCTACATAATTCTTTCAAATCACTCAAGAGGACTTTGTTGCAGGCATCTTGGATTCTAGAGGTCAAGATTTCTTCACTTAAAAGCGTTTCTCTTTTAAGCTTACTCTTACACACTGACCAAAACTGTTCAATGGGATTGAGATCAGGTGAATAGGGCAGAAGATAAATGCAGCCGTAACCACTGCCCTCAATATATAGCTGTATATCCTTATTTATATGAATGGGTGCATTATCCATAATGATGTAATACCCCTTAAACTCGTCATGCTGGTCCATAACATCCAATGTACTGGCAATAAAGGTAAAGTAGTGGCCTGTAACAGTACCACCTCTCCCTTTCACATTGGCAGAATTCACTACACCCCCATTTGCTTTTCTTTTCTTTTGGGGAGCTACCGCGTTTGGACGCTTAACTCTCATACTTACGACGCCGAGACTAGATACAGCACCAAGTATAGTTCTCGTTCTAGCGCTTGTTTTTGGAACCTGGACAACTGCTCTAGTACCTTTTTTTGACCAAGCAATAGAGCGTTTCATGTTGATATGAAATGCTGCTTCATCCACAACTACACAATTGCTCATATAATCCATGTCAGTGACCTGTCTGTTGAGGATGTCATAGATTATAATAAAAGAATCATCACATTTTACATAATAATGGATGATCATGTATGTATAAATATTCATGGCTCACACTTCGCCCCATTTATTATCATCAGAACCGTTGGTGTCTGTGCACAAGGTGATTCGCCTTGTGACGAGTAAAATATTATAATACCACAAAAGTATAGTACAATCCTATAGGCGGAATATTCGGTTACTGAATATTACACGCACTAAACTTTCTCTTTGGCATTTACGTAATGTCACCTGCGGAGATGAATTTAGATCCTCACGTACTTTTGTCTTTACTTTGTAAGGCAGGAATTACTTCATAACATATTTATTTAAACAGACATTACGTATAACATTATATCATATTCCTCTAACGCGTCACATATATTATCCGAAAGCCATCTAATCATTTAGGATAAATACCTGTAGTTTTTGCTAGTAGAATTCCCTAATCAAAATTTTCTCGAAATAAAAGATATACACAGCTCTAACAGTATTTTCTTGTGTTACCTTAATTTACATTTTATCTCCATCCCAAACACTGCCATTTCTTGACCCATTGATATTGTCGTATTTGGGTACGATCCACTTAAAGAATAATTAAGCAAATCGTCTAAATAAATAAACTATGAAATTAAAACAAACTTTGATGTTGCATATCAGCATACGCTTGTATATTGCTATACAACTTCTCCTACTTCGAGTACATACTTCTATAAAAAAAATTGCATGATTGGCCTAAATACGATATACGAATGACAGTTGGATACAGAATGCTATACCACTGAGTTACGATATCACCGATCGAGAAGAGAAACTTCTCAGATCAATCAAGAATTATAAGAAAGAGAAACTTAATATTAATAGTTCTCTCAATGGATTAGCTACCCAGAGAGAGAATAGAACAGCTATTAATATAAATGGTTCATTTACTTATATATTGATATAGTTATACTGCTGATAAAGAGTATAAAGAAATAGTGTATGAATTAATGGATACCTAGCTTCTACAACCAAATATACAAATATCGATAAGACATTTTATATTTGGGATCGTAATTTATTCATTACAAAGATAATGAATAAATGATCAACTATTATGTTCTATTGCTAATTACACTTGACAAACAAGTATGCATCTTTTACAGTAACCGTTGCATGATCTGATAAATAAGTGTCTCGTAATACTAAAGATTTATTAGAATACTCATGCTCCCGATCCACTGATATGGGACAACGTTATCTGGAAACAATTCTAACGAGTAGTATCCATTTAACCCAAGGCGGGAAACAAAGTATAAATCTATTCCAAAACCAGAAAGGTTGACTCATTATTAAAACTCAGGAGAGTTGTGCAATATAAAAAGGATCAATTATTTCATAGCAGCAGAGTTCTTTTAGTCTATTTTTACCCTTAATAAAAATATACTTTTATCTCATTACTTTTCTATGTAATATTTTGTCAAATACCACAGTTAAATGTATTTTAGTGATTATGAATTATGATACGACTCTGAGTGGGTGTGGGTGTATTTCATAAATGAGTGATTTCATCATTTTATCAAATCACGCATTAAGGTGATTTAGTTTCAAACATCAATTATAATTTTTTCTTTGGGTGATTTTCTCTTACAATTTAGTTATCAAATGCCAATTCTCATACGACATGATTAAATAATTTTTGAATTAGATTCCTCCACCTGTATTTAATTTTACTAATCATGTTGTTGGATCTAGGATATATCTAGTCTAAAAAATAAAAGTAAATTCCCGTAGATATAACATAATGTTATATCTACTTTATTAATTCAATCTTATAAAATGTTTAGCATCAATTAGTTCTTTAAAAAAGATATTGCATAATAAGAGTATTTTATTTGTGTTTGGTACTTATAATTATTGATATATCAGACATTTGTAAGAGAAGATAATTTACCGTTACTTATAAAACTAATTGTAATGAATAATAAGATTATATTCCAAAATATTCTACAACAGTTAACAAAGGAAAAGAAAAAATGATAATAATACAGTATTGCATTATACTTTCTTTAGACATAAAGTTTTTATTTTTTATGACATAAAAATAAACATCACTACCCTCTTTATCAACAATAAACGTTACGTGGATTTTCAATAAACATATTTTTATCATAGAGAAGTAAATATATCTTGACTATAACGTGATATAAAGATTTACATTGCATAAATCTTTGGTAAACGTGTTCTTTATATTGACCTGTCATATAAACATAAAATTGGCATTCTTAAAAAACTTTATAGAATCGAAAAGACTTATCTTCATCTACTGAAATTGAGAAAACTAGGTGTAGGTTTGCTAGATCTCTATATATACTTAAAAATTCAAACTTTGTTATCCAAATTTCCATAACATTTAGATTTTTTGAAATTGACAACTTCATAGTGTCACTTCACAATTGGTCGCAACACTTTTTAAATAATATTATACAATGAGTGAAACTGTGGTATTTATTTAACAGGCCTCAACATGAAAAATACAGGTAGTCTTAATTTCGATCAGATATATATCACAAAAACGACCTTAAATTTGGAAAATAACATGCATCTTGCCTTTGTATTTCTTAAATTTCGCTTAATCTTCATATCCATTCAGACCCTCAGCATCTATCAATACCATACTACATGTACAAATCAGCAACCGTATTCGAAATCTAAGTAATGGTAATTTAAACGTCATTTACTAAGGAAAATGAGCACCAGTCTATCTAATTTACATAATACTCGCCTCTATTGCATTGATAGACTCATATACATAGTATAATGAAAGACCTTCCATTCATTTAGTCTCTGATGACAAAGGAAATTGTAATAAACATGGTTGTACTCAATATGCAATTCCTGGATTTTTTCTAAAAATTCCCAAATATCAAAGTGCCTATTATTACGTTGTTAAGATGCTTCGATCTGGTATTCACCTACGTCCAGTATAAAAAGGACGTTGAATATAGAGACAACCGTAACAGG